CCTTGCTGGAAACTTGGAGAGGTCTCGGGACAGTGTTGGAGGGATTCGACTCCATTTTAGCGAATCCGTCAGAGATTCGACTCCTAGAGTCGAATCAACGTCGTCGACGAGGAGTCGAGCCAAGGCCATTGATCATGCCAAGGCCATTGACAGGGAGGGCGTATACACGCGTCTAAGTCCCTGGCAAGCTATTTTTGTTAGCCAGCACCACGCAAAAATGGCTGATAGTGTACTATCAAGTGTTGAGCCTCCCTCGTCGCCTATATCCCCGGTACACACGGTATTCAATAGTATCTTATCGACGCCGACGCCCTTACCTTCGCGCAGAGCCGTAAATCGATTGGTACATTATAAGAGATAGATTCAAGTCGGCCGACAGGCGAATATAAGGCGCAATATCTTACTATTACGTATCTGGTCTCATGGAGATATATACGTCGAGTTCGGCGCGCCTAATAGCACGCCGTCTTGGATCTATAATCTCTATGATTACGTGATTTAGCAAAAAAAGAACTAGAGTACGAGTAACGCGTCTCGTTATCTTAAAACTACTTATAATATTATCCTAAAACGTATATAAAATAATAGATAAGAGAAGAACAACGATATTTTCTCTTTACTAAGCGAAAGAGCTATTTCTCGCGTCGCGATACCTTAATAATTCGGGGCTCTATATATAGTCTATAATATCGAGATATTTCGTCTTTTACTGATTAAGTAGATCGTCTAATGCTAAATTCTCTATCTAGTAGTAAAAAAGGAGGAGTTTTAGTAATTATTGATATTTCTTTAGCCTTCGGTTAAAAGATATTTTATCGGCCGCCGTGGTCTATCGTATTGGATCGCCGATAAGTTTAAAAAGGCTAAAAACTCGATTAAATCGTAGTTAGTAAAGAGCCTATTAAGGATTCACTTAAGTTTTAATATGTAAACTATATCGTCGTCTCTATCGATACTAGGCGTTTATACTTATTTTTTAACGCCTTCTCTTGAATTAGTTTATTCTCTTCTTAAGCTACGTTTACTAGAGGGCTCTTATACTAGCGAGCGTATCACGAAGGAGATCGTATCGATCATAAAGAAATTCGAAATCGAGTATAAATAGGGAGTCTATATTATCGATAACGCCTTAAATTATATAATGGTCTATAAGACGTTAGTAAAGAGATTTCGACTAAATAAGCTTAAAACTACGCGATATAGTCGTTATCTTAGTTATATTATTAATCTCGCCGCGTAAGCCTTTCTATACGATAAGGACTATAAGGCCTTTATAGAAAAGGCTTAAAACGTTGATCGAGATATAAAGAGAGATAAAAAGCTATTAGCTAAGGAGTAAGATTTATAGCGAAAAAGAGGCCCTATCGATAAGTTTCATAATCTCGTTAAGGCTATTCGAGACTCGCCGTAACGTCGGTAATAATTTAATATCGTCGTCGATATAATTCTAAATAGTAGTAAGTTAAAATAGCTCTATAAGTAGAAAAACTAACGAAAATAAATAAAACTTACTTACGTATAGATAGTAAATATAGCGAGCTTATTCTCGATCTTCTCTCTATTCTTAATAACTCGACGCGCTAAAATTCTACGTATATATTACTTTAACGAGGTCTACGATTAAAAGAACCACTAAAATAGTATACGCAGCTTTATCCGGACGTCGCTAGCGATAATACACTCTTAGATACGGACTAGGACTGAATTACTACTATTTTTAATACCCTGGATTTATTTTGGTAAACCACGCTAAGGCTCGAGGGTCACGCCTTATAGGGCTCTTACGGCGTCGTTTAGGAGGCTCTATTAACGCTTAATTTACTCTTAATAGGCGTCGAGGCCAAGATAAATAATTATCGCGTATAGGAGAGTATACGCGAGTCTCGACGATATACGACGTATATTAATCCCCTATACGTCTATTACCAAAATACGTAGGAAAACCTTAAAGAATATAATAGGGTTATAGATAAAAACCATAAGATCTATACCGCCGCGACTCTCCTTAACCCTTACCTTCGTCTTGCCTATTTTAGGTCCTCCTGGATAGGGGATACGACCGCGTAATTATTAACTATAATAGCTATTAATAGGGCTATTTAGAAATAGAAATACACTCAAAATACGCCTAAGGAAGTTCCTAAGAAGACTAAATCGTTATTCGCCGAGTTTATAGCTCGTAACGTATAACTATTATAGTAAGAGGGCCAGAACGACGATTTTACGCGTTATACGGAGGCCGCGCTATTATATCTTATAGAATAGAAGGACATAAATATCTTCCGATAGTAAATATATTCGCCGTATCCTACGCTTCGTTAATAAGCTTTTGATACGCTTTCAATACCCGTAATATCCACTAAACTTAAGCGTATATTTAGTCAATCGAAGAGAACATTGACTACGGATCGAAATCGCCTCGCGACAACGAGTTTTGAGGAGGCATAATGCTTAAAGTATTGGCTCGATCATAAGCTATACGAGATTACGTAATCCTGTATAGGGAGTCGAATCAGGAGTCGGGATTCGACTCCTAGGGTGGCCTCCAAGGAGTCGGATTCATGAGAGTCGAATCCCTCCAACACTGTCTCGGGACATGATATTGGCGCGAAACTCGAAATCTCAACGCCATGCCTCTTCGTTGTCTTGGTTTCAGCTTCCTCGGGACAGGATAGTATGTCGGAATCACACTTTATGACAGAACCCTGGCTCGCTTGTGAGCGCAACGATCGTGAAGCGGCTTCAAGGTTTGGTAGATGCTGGCGCATAGTTTTCAGTGGTACCTTAACAAGTAGGGAATTCAAACCTCGGTACCATACATTCTCCTTTCGTTGGACTTCGGTCGTCAACGTGCTTGTAGCCTAATTCCATGTGTGGTGAACCTACTTGCGGTTCATCCGCTTTGTGAATCCGGGAAATGCAGCCTTTGCTCCCCACAAGTTCACGCGAGCCAGCCACCACGGAAGTGAAATGACTGGAAGCACATCCAAAATACCCAGATGAGAACGTAATGAAGGTTACAGAAACAACTTCTATATGTTGGAGCCCTGTACACATTCACTGCCGTCACATGATGCTCTTCTTATCCAAGTGGAGGGCATTGCTCTTTGCGACGCCGGTGATGGCAAGCCTTCTACTCCTCCAGGTTGACATGCACGGCTTTAACGTTGGTGTAATTGTTCAAGCCATACTCACCCAGCTCCCGGCCGATTCCACTGCTCTTCCAGCCTCCGAAGGGGATACCGTAGTGACTGTCTTGATTGCTGTTGATCCATACCATGCCGACTTGTAATTTCTCAGCAATACGGTGACCACGCGTGATGTTTTGTGTGAAAACGGCTGCTGCGAGGCCATACGAAGTGTTATTGGCCCTTCGAACGGCGTCGTCATAGTCGCTAAACTTCGCAATAGACGCTACCGGACCGAAGATCTCGTCCTGCATGATAGTCGATGCGTCCTCGGCATCGGTGAAGACTGTGGGCTCGATGTAGTAGCCTTTGTCACCGGTGGAGTTCCCGCCAGCAGCCACCTTGGCACCAGCTTTCTTTCCCTCCTCAATAAAGCCGAGCACTCGCTCTCGTTGAGTCTTGCTGACTTGTGGACCCTGAGACGTTGCTTTTTCAAAGGGATGACCGACCTTTGAGACATCCTTAATGCGCTGCTTGAACCCATCAACGTACTTGTCGTACACGTCCTCATGCACAAAAATACGAGAAGTAGCTGTGCAGACCTGACCGGCATTATACATGATCCCAGAGTGTCCAGCCTGGACAGCCTTGTCGATGTTGGCATCGGCGCACACAATCAACGGGGATTTACCACCGCACTCAAGTGTAATGGCCTTCAAGTTGACAGACGCCATTTTCATGATGTTTCTTCCGGTGGCTGTCGAGCCAGTAAAGGCAATCTTGTCTACGTCAAGATGTGAAGCGAGCGCTGCTCCGGCCGTCTTGCCGAAGCCAGAAATGATATTGATGACGCCAGGAGGAAACCCAGCTTTCTTGATCAACGGACCAAGGAACAATGCAGACAGCGGCGTCTGCTCCGCGGTCTTAATGACAACTGTGCAACCTGTAGCAACGGCAGGTGCTACTTTCCATGCCCACATCGAGAGGGGAAAGTTCCAGGGGATGATCTGCCCACAAACACCAATGGGCTGATGCATTGTGTAGGCAAGCTTGTTTTTGTCTGTCTCAATAGTACGACCGAACACTTTGTCCGCCCAGCCTGCGTAGTAGCGAAACGTGCCGACGAGTTCTGAGACATCGCCGTACAGAGTTTTGGAATAAGGCTTGCCACTATCCCAAGACTCGACGGCTGCCAAGGTAGGCCGGATTTCTTCAACCAATCTTACGAACTCGCTCATAATCATGCCTCTCTTTTCTGCCGCATACTGCGACCACTCACCCTCGAATGCCGCTCGAGCCGCCTTGACCGCAATGTCGACGTCGTCCGCATCAGCTTCATATAGGTCCACGATCTTTTCCTCGGTACTGTAATGATCAGCTCAGCACAACTGGTGCAACCACTTGCTCGATGCTCACCTGGGATCGATGGTCTCAAAGGTTTTGCCGCTGCTCGATTTGACAAATTGATTGTCGATGAACAAGCCGACAGGTTGCTCGTATTTGTGCCCGTTTGGGAGTGACAATTCGACGATGGTGCTCATGATGGGCGCTCGTTGGTGATAGAGTGATCGACTAGATTAAAGTAGAATTTGTCAAGTGAGAAGAGGTGAGAAGGACGATGGCAGAAGGCATCGCACTTGTGCTGCCTATATTGTGACTTCACGAGACCATCCACTGCAGCCCGGTCCATGCTGCCGTCATCCAGAATGGATAAGTCAATGCTGAACAAGCCAGTAATTCCAAACTCATGCTAAACCATGGTCTCCGAATGATGTTCACATCCGTTATAGTCCAAGTGGAGAAAAGCGTGTCTTCCAGGAGCGGAAGGCATTGGCGAAAGCGGGGCTGCAATTGAGCCGCGTTCCGGCCTTGTTTATCAATTATCCGTCTCGGCACTAAAACAGATCTGCCACAGGAAGCCAGGAGCGAAACCATTTTTCCCCGATTCCCTAATGTCGCCACAAGCAGCAGATCTGCCTTCAATGCATGAACCCTCTGGAAGTGTGGACGAAGTTGGCGTTCGACAACTCTGTCTTTGATGAGTCACGGCCGGTCTGTCACTTCCAAGAGTAATGGCTCTCAAAGTCGCTCGGCGGGGCGTACTGCCAGGGTCCGAACTCGTGGTCGGATCAGGCACGGCGCAAAACCGCAGCTCAGAGACTTGTTGCTTGCCTGAATATAACAAGCACGTTGCTTTATCGAAGTTTTGTTTGTGCACGATGTGCGCCGCTACATAGTATAATCTTTGATACCTGCGCTTGACGTTGTTGTGAACAAGCAGCCGTCTCCCTTGCCATGCCTTCAGTCAATGGCTTGTCCACTGACAAACCTTCTGCCATGTTCAATCGCTCATTGACGAAGAAGTACCCCCTTGCAACGGAAGCCAATGGTATATACGTCAGCCTCGAGGATGGAAGAAAAATCATCGACGGCTGTTGTGGTGCAGCAGTGTCCTGCCTAGGGTACCAACATCCACGGGTGATACAAACAATGATCGCACAGTGCCAGAAGTTTTCCTGGGTCCATACATCCTTCTACACACATCGATCACAAGAAGACTTGTCCAACTTTCTCATTTCCAAAAGTCATGGCGTGTTCTCCAAAGTGGCACACTATTCTTCAGGTTGGTCATTCAATCTACTTGGTGGAGGTACAGCAGGTTGACACCGTTGGCGAAATTAGGCTCCGAGGCCGTGGAAACCGCCCTCAAGATGGCACGTCAGTATCACATATCCAATAATCAGCCCGAACGGATTTACTTCGTCGCTCGCATTGATGCCTATCATGGGAACACATTGGGAGCTCTTGCAGCTGGCTATAACCTAGCTCGTCGGGCAGCCTTTCAGCCAATGTGTTCAACAGCTTTCCGGCACGTTGACCGCTGCTTCTATCGCAAAGACGCCAGGCCAAACGAGTCCGAACAAGCATACGTTGATCGTCTCCTACGAGACTACGAGGCTGAATTCCGGCGGTTAGGTGCTGGCAAGGTGGCGGCCGTGATTCTTGAACCCGTTACCGGAGCCACTATCGGCACAGTCACTCCCGTCTCCAACTACTTGACCAGAATTCGTCAGCTGTGTGACAGTTATGGAGTTTTGCTGATCTATGACGAAGTCATGTGTGGGATGGGTCGAACGGGTATATATCATGCCTGGGAGGGCTATGGTGGCTTGAGTTGCGCCCCAGACCTGCAAGCCATCGGTAAAGGACTCGCCGCAGGCTATCAACCACTGTCATCTGTGTTGATAAGCGACAAAGTGTACAAGGTGCTGGAGGGTAATGACAAGACTACATTCGTCAACGGTCATACGTACCAAGGACATGCTATGGCCTGTGCGACCGCCTTGACCGTACAGCAGGTCATCTTTGATGACGATCTTCTTAGCAATGTCAAACGTCAGGGGGAATACCTGGTAGAGCTGCTCAACACGCAGCTGCCCCCCGAAATTGTCTACGACATTCGTGGGCAGGGACTGTTCCGGACTGTCGAGTTTACAGACATTTCAGGACGTATAGGGCCAAAGGTTCGCGATATTTGCTTTGACAATGGTCTTGCAGTTTATTTGGCATCTGGGGATGTCGATGCTATCCTTTTCGCACCACCATTCATTATTACCGACAATCAAACCGAAGATATTGTCCGAATTTTTGTGCGGGCGGTAAGTGCAGCGAGGAAAACAAGCACATCGACAACGAGCCAGAAGAATTGAATGGGGATGCTATGCCTAGCAGCATATGCCTAGCAACATTTGTAATGAGAGTTTTGATAAGACATAGATAAGAAAGCCACCAGACGATCTAGACCCAACCGAAAGCAGCAGGTACCACCTTCCGCCCAAAGCTGCCACAGGGCGAGCTTGCGGGGTAATGATAGTACCCAAATGTCATGAATCACTGAATTCCGGAATGATTTTGAGTCACGCTTTCCATTTGTCTTCGCCATCTCTTGATATGTACTCCGTAACGAATGCCCACTTAGTGTGAGCACTCACGATCACGTTGCACCAATGATCGCTCCTGTTGAAACCACAACGTGCTCGACACCAAGAAACCGGCTAAAAAGTTCCACGGTTTGTTGTCACACCCTCTGTCTCTTTGCCGCGGCAGTAATAGCAACTGACGCTACAGGTACAGGGTTGCTGGACCTGCCGAGATCGCAAGGTTAAGTGTGACGAGACCAAACCAGAGTGTCTTAATTGCACGCGACGAGGACGACATTGCAAAGGCTACGACAGGATCCTGCAATGGACGAACCCATCTGGCTCGCACTCTGCGCGCCCTTCACCTAACTCAAACGCAGCTGCAACGCTTGATCGACGGTCTCGCCGCTACGTTGGAGGCCCGCAGACCAAACTCCCTTTGTTGGCAGCGATTGAATTGAACCAGGCCATAGCAGAGGCTGATCCAGCAGGATTTGATGGTAATGGACCATTTGGAGCATTCCAGCTTCTACCAGAATCCAGCAAAGCTGGCTCGTCTACGATCGAAATGCCTCAGGAGATCAATACTGTGAACAATAATACTGAGGAGGCAGTCAACCCCATCTTCCAACCAGCACAATTTGATCAGTCCAACGGCTACCTCAACCATGACCCTGCCTCTTTTATACCCGCTCCTTTCCTCAACCCCGACATGTCCGAATTCGCCACTTCAGACACAACATTATGCTATCCGAGCCTTACTGACGGCTTATTCGTCTCCTCAGATTCATTGGACGATATCTCTAGTCACATGGATGATGTGCTGATAAGGGATGAGATTCACTTTGATGCGATTATTGAACAAGGGCCTGGTGGTGACCGTATTGGAAAGCTATCGCCTACAGATCAACTTCTGCGTCAAATTGATGACGACGTACCACTCGAGTATCACTTTCTCAACGACAACCCAGGCCCAGTCCTTATGAACGCGCTCCTGACGGATTTCTCTATGAACGATATGTCGTTCAAACAATGCGGAGTGACCCAGGAGATGATCTACCATTATCGCACACGGGTTGTCCACATGATGACACCAGTCGTTCTGCCTACACGGAACCCCTGGCTGACGATGTTCCTCCCTCGAGCCGCAGGTCCAGACGGCCCAAGTCACGGGCGAGATGCCCTTCTACACACCTTGATATCTATCGCTGCATTCAATCGAGCGCGCTTAGACTCCTCAGAGACATACGAGAATGCGGGCACATTCCACATGCAGCAAGCGATTATCAGCCTCCAGCAAGCTCTTCAGACCCATATCTCGACTGGCAAGGACAAGAGTGAGCAGATCAATATTCTCGCAACCGTACTCAGCATGACCACAGTGGAGGCATTTCGAGGAGGCCAAGGTGTTTGGAGTCTGCACCTCGAAGGGGCACGGAAATTCTTTGAGTCCAGCGGAGGTTATCGTGTTTGGCTGAATTACAACAGCACATCTGCATCATTGTGTCAGGTCTATGACTGTCTTGATACTCTGAGAGCCACTAGGGGAAACTGGAATGTGCGGATGACCAGCTGCGAACACCATGATGGCAATAGGCCTGGCTCCCAGGTCGCGGACACTACATCGAGAAGCGCTATACAGTCCGAACAGCCAGTCTGTGCCGAGGCCGACACCTTCGATCTAGACATTACTTATGGTATCTCATTCCCGACACTGGCTGGCCTCAAACGTGTGAATGAGCTGGTCATGCGCTTAAACTGTTTTGGCCCCTCGGAACCTCTGCATCCACATCTCAGGGCGGAAATGGAACACATATCAGACTCTCTCCACAGGTTCACCCAGGCTGTATATCCGCCACCACATGGCTCATTCTTTGAGGCAGATATCAAGTTTATGTGTCTCAAACAGCTCCCTCAACCCGTGGCTCAGGAATTGATGGAACATCACTGCTGGGCATTCCATTTTTCTACCATACTCTATTTCAATCGAGCCACGGTTCGTCACAGACAGACCACGCAGCGCAAGCAGCAGTGGCTCGTGTCTCAAGTTTTCGATCATCTTGAAATTCTCAATTCACTTAACGACGGGGATAGTCATCCCATCACCCTTTGGCCTGCGCTTGTGGCAGGATGCGAATCAAGCGAGCCAGCACTACGAAGGCGAGTCATTTCATTCTTTGCTCGCAACCGCCATTTTGGCCTTGGCAATCTGAATGTGGCCAAGGGTGTTATCCTGGAGGTTTGGAGGAGAATGGATCGTTGCGACAGAGACGATGACACTGTCCTGCAAGACGTCGCGAGCATACCCATTGGACTTGTGGATTGGAGAGAAGTGATGCATGATTTAAGCGCAGATATTGTTTTGGCTTGAGAATTTTTGTGAGCTCGGGCCTCGTCTGCTCTACTACAATGGCGAACTCGTGAGCCCTGGCGTTTGTCAGACTTATGACATTCGAGAGGAGCCCTGGTAGTTTTCCCAACGGTGATCACTGTAGATACTTAAGAGTAGCCTGGGCAGTCGAGGTATCTAGCCGCAGGGATCATACGTTTACCACGCCTGAACCGTCACCCAGCTGAATTGGAGTACAAACCCCTGCAACAGTGTCCACGCGCTTGCCTTCATGCTCGCTTAACCATTTTTCTAACGCGTCCACCACCGCAGCTTCCCACACACCTTTGTTTTTGTATTTTGCCAGTGGCCCGTCCAATTGATCGATACTGGCTCGCCAACGTCGTGCAATGGCCTCATCGAGTCTCAGATTGGGCTGCTTCATCAATTGAGGCGTGGTATCGAACATGTCGGCCAATCGGTACAGGTACGTCCTGATCTGGAAAACGATGGCTCTTGTACGCGGTAACCGTCGTAGGCATTGTCTTTCGACGCGGAAGTAGAGGTCTTCGAGCTGTGCAGGTTGCGCTTCCGTGTTGTGGTGCGACTTGGGATGGAATAACTCTGGGCTGGGATCGAGATGGTAATTGAACCTCTGGACTGGCTCTTGGACTTTCAAGCGCTCAAAGAATCGGTTCATGGATAGGGCAATCTTTGTCTCATAGTCGGGTACTTTGCCGGCATGTAGACTGAAGACGGACAAGCCCAGCTTGTCTTTCACTTTCCAACCTCCTGGAAAACAGACAGTACCGGCTTTGACACGATATTGTGGTGCGTCTTCACCAGGTACGGCGACCTTGTCCTTGACCATGACGACGTAGTCATCCAATGTCAGCATACCCATGACTTCGGTAGGATGATATGTTTCCCACAACGATGAACTTCTGCGGATGTCCCATTCTTCATTCAAAATATGGTTCTTTACGCCCACCAACGTCTTGGAGAAGAGGTTGGGAAATCGCTTCGTGATGAAGTCGACTTGAGTTTGAAGCGCTTCGTAGCTACCTTCCCAACCGTCAGGATGGAATGCGGTGACCATATCACGTTGAGTTTGCAGCAGACGACGTTTCAGAGCCATCTTCGTACGATACGTATCGTCTAGCTCAATCCAGCACTCTTCAGGCATTTTGCCTATCCCCATCGTAAGATGATATTTACCGTCTTTGAACGGACGATATTGGATCTCTGGAGTTGCCTCGATCTCAAATGTCGACAACGGTTCCACCCAACTCAAGTCGATCGAATCTTCTGATCCTAAGGGCCATGGTCAGATGCCGGCATGGTATTTTGATGTTCTGATCACACACCTGCGGTTGATTTACACTGGTCTACGGCAGGCTGCGGCCTCGAAACAGCCTGCCATAGAAAATATGCAGCAAGCAAGACGACAAGAACTGACAACGAGACCCCAGGTAGTGTGGCCTGCAATGCTTGAGGAATGCTTGTGGACATGACCGTCATGATAGATAATCGTGCCACGCCGACCTGGAATCAATGTTCTTGACGAGGGACACACAGAATGTATACAGCACTGAAGTCAAGCAGATCTGGGCAAGATATAGCCATCCGGCTGCCCAATAATGCATCTGGGAAGAATGGCCGGCCATATCAACCGTAGCAGTCCTTTCCAAAGGCAGAAATTGCCTTTCAGCAGAGTAAGCACGGTGGCCTCTTTCATTCCTCGAAATGCATCATGTTCTGCTACGGAGTCGTGCATGCGAAGAAGACCGCGCGGTATCGGCGAAACGACAAGAATGTTGACCAATAATTTCGGTTGAATCTCAGTGTGGCACGGACTTGTATCAGCCAGGACCTTCGAACGACATCGCCGAAACATTGAAGACTACATCCGAAGCAAGACCCACTTCCATAAAGAGAAGGCATTGGCGAACTCCAATCCATTCGCTAATTTGAGCTTGTACTGACCACGGCCTTCGGTCGACAAGGGTGTTCGAAACCCTGAACCACTTTCCCAATTGATAGGCCGAGCTGGCTGGAACTTTTTACTTGGCTAAAGTCAAGTTCAGAGATACGAATCAGCATCCGCTGTTCCTAATCGATGCTAACGGCAGAACTTGTAGTCCTCGCAGAATGCGGGTTGGTAATCCACAATGTAGCTCTCGGAGCTTTGGACATGATATGATGAACTGGGCATGGGAAAACGGATCTGGTTTTTGGGCTCAACCGCACAATAATTGGCTCAACATAGGGATGTGGGTTTGTCTGACAAATACTTTTTTGTCTGTCAAGGGGGGTATTTGTCTGTCACTTGGCGCCGTTTTCGAGGTTTTGTCTGTCGATACTGTCCGCTTATGTAATTACCAAGACTAATCTCCCAGGGCCCAAGGATACGCCTAAATTTATCCGTCGGGCGCTTCGCGCGGTCTATTACTAAGCCTAAACTTTCTGGTTGGGGCGCTTTGCGCCCCTATAACTTACCTAACACTAAGAGTCCTGACAAGATCTGACAAAGAACGAGGTTTTATCTGTCGACAGAATGACGAGGTTTTGTCTGTCAATATGTCAGACAGACAAAGCCCCATCCCTACTCAAGTACCCGCTTCATGACATGCAGCGCGTCTACAGGAACAATGTTGATAATTTATGTCTGAGATGTGGTAATTTTGCCCATGTACCCCTACTTGCCTCCAGTCCACACATCCTTACTCCGCGGCGGCAGGAACAGACGTGTTTGGCGCAACCTCCTTCGTCGCCATTGCAGTATCATCTCGGTAACCTGTTCGATTGGCGCCGAGATTTGCGGCGCTCAACATTTCCAGACCTTCGATGGAAATAACCGGTCCAGTGAATGTCTTCCTTTTCCCTCCATACCACATGGCTAGGATAATGACTAGAACTCCGGCAAGCACCACGCTGAGATAATTCATGTTGTCCACGGTCGCCGGCAAAATGATTGGGAAACAAAAGAGTACGCTATATAGCAAGACCCAGAGAACCGAGAAGGCATTGCAAAAAGGACCAAAGATAGGTCCGAGATCGAATTGGCGAGCAGGAAGCACTTTGGATCGGCCACGCAACAGGACGATACCTTGTGGTATTGCGTAGGTGATGTTGAGGCCCAAAATGGCCATTGAGATGAAACTGTTGAAGGCAGTCGTTGATCCTATATAAATGAGTCCGTAAAGAATTGTGAATATTCCAACTAGGATGGTGGCGTTGGCGGGAACTTGTAAGATAGGGTGGGTGTATGCGAATGTCTTGCTGAACGGGAGACCGCCATCTCGTGCAAAGGCCCAAGTCAATCGACCCGCAGTGACGAAGCAGGTTACCCCCGAGGTACTGTAGATAATTGCCAGCCAAGATAAGAAGAACGTGGCCACTCCCCTAGACCGAAAAGCTTGCAGATAAACGGTCAAGATAGGTACCACTGAAGAAGCTGCGGCATCCAGGTCTGTCGAGGCGAACATGAAAGCGAAGGTCCAACATGTTGCTGTGAAGCAACCAATAATCATAGTCAGCCACATAGCTCGAGGGACCCCTTTGCCAGGATTCGGCATCTCTTCGGCTAGCTAGAGAATGCGATGGTGTCAGTATGACTGTATCTGTGTTGCACGGAGCAGGATATGGAAGAGAGCGTGGCTTACGTGAGTTGCGCCGTCAGTGGCTAAGAACGCATACATGGAAGTACCCACACCCAGCATGAAGGCGGTGCCGTCTGCCCACCCTGTCAGATTTGTGTAATCAACGAATACCGTCTTGGCAGACTGCTTGGGATGACTTGTTGCGAGGATGGTGATGAAGGATATCACAAAACCGAGAAGTGTCAGGACGAAAAATCCCATCTCAAGTTTTGGAATTAACTTGGGCAGAAGAATGACCACGGCGCAGAACAAGATGGTCAAAACGGTGTAGATGAGCCAGGTCTGCCACCGTGCAGCGACATAATCCGGGTGGTACAACTGCGCCAAGTTTTGGATGAATTGTCCCACGATGATGGGAACGGACGCGGCCGTCATGGTCCAAGCAAAGACACTGAGCCAGCCTGCGTAGAAGGCCACTACTGTGCGATATTTTGGAGACGAGACCATAAAGGCGAAGCTGTGAAGCCAATTAGCTTGGTGCCTCTGTCTAGAGTCTCTAACAGAGGAATGAGAGACCCCGTCGAAGGAGAGACCCCGTCGAAGGAGACGCGAGTGATATACGCACTGATACTGGCCACCAGTACTGGGGAAGGCCGAAGCCAGTTCCGCGAGACCAAGCGTGATGAAGGTACAGGCGACGGCCGATACCACTAGACCAAAGAAAACTGCTGGGCCACCGCCGGCAATCAGTGGTGTCCCAAAGGTACCAGACCATCCGGTCCACGAGTTGGTCAGAGTGAATGCAAACGCAACAGTTGCGAAGGTACTGAACTGGCGAGGCAGCTCGCCAACGTGTCCTTGCGCTCTGAGCTGCACTTCATCTGCTGACAACGCATCGTCATAGACTGGTACAGAACCATCGGCTTTCGTCGTCGTTTCCATGATTGTAGTGTGTTCGAGGTCGAAGGCCTGAGGACGATGCTGCACCTCTTGCGTACTGCCCGGCGGAATTATTAGCTGCTGAAGAACCGTCGGTGAATGAGGTGAAAGAAGGAAAAGTAGATGTTGAGGTCAGAAATTTGCGGAATAAATGGTATTCTGTCAATACATAAGATTGGGCTGCGCCAGCCACAGCTTGACTGATCCTGTGCCATAAGGTGTGGTATCGCTTAGTCACCTTGAAGCGGACTGGTGAAGCATACATTTCAGATGCGGTAACATGAAGCAGGGTTATGTTCCCCGTATCGGCAAGGCAAGTCCACGTCATCGCCTAAAGAAGCAAGCACTGGCGAACAACGCGGCGAGTACCTCCAATCAACATCGACCCGAGACGGGCAATCTTCTTGTCCAAAGTCTCCTGATGCTTCCGTGCGACCGGGCAAGTTTCTTGCACGAAAGGCACATTGATGCACGAAAAGAGATGGTGGTTCGTGCCTCAGAGTATCTTGTGCACGACCCGAATTCCTTAGGCAGGCAGGAGCGAACGTGCCTCCTTTCGCAAGGTATTTGGCTCCACTGTGTCTGCGGGAATGAGACGACGATCTGTAGATGCGAGCGCCACAAGTTTGGAGAGACTAAAGCGCCTCGGAGTGCTGCAATATTCGTCTGGATCATCGGTGACCTGTCCTTACAGATTGGCGCTGTGTGTGACTTTAGGAGCGCAACAGAGTGACCTCCTTAACCGAGTTTCATAGCTGACGTTTCGTGCTGCTGAAAACGAGTCCTGCCTCGAGTTGACCTGCATACGAGCAGACGCGACACGTTTTCCGGATCACAAACGTGAAAGCCACACATATCAGTCGGCATGGCATCCGATGCTTCAACCCTCATGACTTGCAACAAGTCAGCGAAGACTATCAGATTTCTCAGGCGATTGTGATCCCTGCCAATGTGGCTACTGTTGTTACCTCGGGTCAGTGCGGGTTCAAAGGGGATGGCAGCTTGGAACAAGATCCACAGAAGCAAATCATCCTCGCCTTTTCCAACGCAGAGAAAGCCCTTCAAGCTGTAGGCGTTGAGGATGGTTGGAAGTCTGTCTATAACATGACGACCTACTGTCCATCGTTTGATGACACATTCTTGGCCTTGTTCATGCCAGTCAGAGCAAAGTATCTCGGAACGAACAGGCCCGCGTGGACCGGGGTGGCAGTATCTGGACTGGCTGATGGAGCGGTATTGGAAATGACTCTTTACGCTGCGATCTTGCCCAAAAGTACTTGATCCGTTGCATCGTGCATCTGTTGGAATCACCCGGGGCAGACAGGCAATGAGAGAAAGAGGCTGATCACGAGGGATCGTGCAGATAGCATATATGAATGTACAGGCACCATATTGGGTAGTCCTGTTATGTCCCTCAAATCGGCCGTCCTGACCTGTATGTTCAAACGAATAGCATGCCTCCATTAGCGTTTACAACGCTTCCTGTAGACCAGCGACTTTGCTCTTCACAAAGAAAAGCCACGATTTGGGCAATATCATCGACCTGGGCGATCCTAGGTGCGGCAGGCGTCTCCTTCTGCTTTTCGTCCCAAAGAGCCAGAACCTCGGGGTCGGTATCGCGAAGCCACATGTCCGTGGCGATGGGCCCCGGATTGACACAGTTCACGGTGGCGTTGTACTTATGTCCAAGCTCACTTGCCCATACTCGAGTCGCACCCTCCAGGGCCGCCTTAGATGCTGCGTATGCGGTCATGTATGCGGATCCAACTCGCGCTGCCACACTTGAGATGTTGACGATCCTTGGAGCCTGGCCCAGGTGAGGCAACGCTTCCTTGAGGAGGAAGGTCGGCATCCTTAAGTTTGTGTCCAAGATCTTGTCCCACAGCTCGTGGGTCAGATCCGTCAAGAGAGCGTCGTCTCCGGCCCCCGCGTTGTTGACGATGATGTCGATCTTGCCAAACTTTTTCACCGCAGCGGCGACAATCTCGGCCGGAGCATTTCGGTCAGTGCCTCGGCCTTTAACGACGATAGCCTGTCTTCCTAGTTTCTCGATATCGCTGGCCACACGGTCTGCGTCTTCGCTGCCGGAGTTGTACGTGATGACCAGGTTGGCTCCTCGATGCGCAAGCTCTAAAGCTATTCCCTGTCCGAGGCCTCGAGAGCTGCCGGTCACAATGGCGACTTTATCAAGCAATGATTGAGTCATATTGCTGTAAAATGTCGTGACTAACCTCTTGGAGACACCGGTGGTAGACGAGTTTCTCAAAAGCGATGATGGATGATGGTAGTCGAGGTCGAGGTTAGAATGAGGGCGTTATCGAAGCTGGGCATCGTTGAGCGGGGCCACAAGTATGTGTATCGTTTACCGAGCTATGTGGGACGCCAGATAGATGATCCTCCTTTGAGCACGGCACGTATAGTCATAATGTTCTGCTTCGTGATATCAACGGTGTAGTTTCCGTCGGACACGATAGACTTCGCACCGAGACGACGCTCCAGAATTAAATGAGGCGGGAGAAGATGTGGCGATACGGGTATTCGCGCACACCTTCTATTTACGATGTGAGTTCGACTAAAGTGGCATAGGAGACTTGAAGGGTCACTTTCTGCAAAAACCCCCCCGTGTCATGGGGTCCGGGGCTTGTTCGATACCCGAGCTAAACCTTACCTCGGTGGCTAATAACTGGACCACGTTTTCAATGGTCGTCGTCTGCAGTCACTCGCACTATCAACAGCTGCTTCCCCACTATTCTCGCATTTGTGCTGGCGAGTAGCACAAGCATCCCCGGTTCCCCATGGTTTCGAGCTCGTTCTGCATGCGATGTCCTTACGCACGTATACTAGGAATTCGGCTCTTCTAACCATGTTTTCCGGATTCTGTGCGCTGAAAGCACGACTAGGAATTGGTCACTAGGCTTATCTTTACTTGGACCACCTAACACTAATGCGGCAAATAATCGACGGTGAATCGCTTGAAAAAAAAAAGGACCGATCAAACTGTGGACGATTGCCCCAATCCGAGCGAGTCTGCTTTGAAATCTAGACCGTGAAGCATTTGATAGTATCTTTTGAATTTTTGTCACCAAGATTTGTTCATTTGCTCAACCGGGTAAGTCGAGCGTGACTCTTAAGTTGAGAAGCTATAGCAGTCATTGGGACCATGTTATCGACGGGGTTGATTCGGGCTTTTGTACATCAAAATAAGACTCTACAGCAGGACATGGCACAATGCGCATCGTCTCGGCCCGGAGCTGGTCGCCAACGTCTCTGCCTGGAGAGATTCGGGTGTCGCAGCTGGGGGCCTAGATATCGACGTTTGGCAATCGAGATCCAGTCGAGGCCCCTTGGACACGGCTGTTGTGTCGACTTCGCCATCATCCTCCTCTCGTGGCCTCTTTGGCGGACTGCTACCCTTGCTTCGGTTCGAAGGGTCGATAAGCTTCCGTAGCTCGTCCCCACCCAGCTCTTACACCTCAGTCCTGCCTGAGGAGCTATCAAGTCTGACCGATCTCATCTCCCCCCCCCTTGCCAAGAACGTTTGGATGTTTGGGAAGATGGCCCAAGCGATCCTCGTGAGCAGGAAGGCGGCATGCACGCCCGTTGGGATGTTAAATTCGGCATTGTGATGCGCCGGGCCCAGGTCGAATATGCCTTGCAAAAATGTGGCACCCAGGATCCTCGCTTCCGCGTCAATATGAAACTCCTCTTGTCGAATGCGCGATGGATATCTAACCTCAAAGACAGTGCATTTGCTATGTCATCGACCAGCATGCCAGTAGGTGACCGATTAATATTATACCTCTTCATCTCTTAACGTGTAGACCACTTGTTTTCGCTGCGGGGGCAAAGATAGGCTGTCTCTAAGCCATCTTGGTATCCACTAAGAATACAACGGATGTCGCGGTCTCTGATCGCCTGGGAGAGATTCGAAACTGAGGGAACCGCATGAATTGCAGACGCACTGTCGTCCTGAAAGATCCAGCCATGAGGCGGGTTGTAGTGGGGGAATAGCCAGTTATCGAAAGAGGCTGTGACCGGGTATCGATACGCCGATTGTGTTCCACCATCTTTTCCGGCTGGCCTAGCAACGTGAAAGAAATACTCTGTCCCAGTCATCAAGGCGTCTACGTCCAGCTCCAGCCATGGACCGTTTCGGGTTTCGGTGAACCACTCGTCCCAGGTATTGCCCACAATGATGCCGCAAACCAGCAGCGCTGTTTGTTGGTGAATTCCGCGACGAGATTCCGAACCATCGAATGCGGTCAGCTCGAGGAGATGCGTGGATACGTAGGCAGGATGGTGGAACACAACTCGATGCAGGGTAGAGAACTGAGCGCTAACGGGGGTGGGAGGACTTCGGCTGCGGATTTCGACCAAGTTAAGCGATTGCGACGCTGACTGCATGGCTGCGCATTGGTCATGCCGCAATCGACGGCTGCGAAGCGTGTTTTGCACAATTTGCAGTGGTGCAGGAGAGCTGCGGGGGCTAGGTTTGCTAAAGGCGGTTCCGAAGTCCGCCAAGAAAAGTAAAACCTTCCCCCTCGCACGAAGCGCTGGAGTTGTCAGGTGATTGCTACATCCTATAATATTCGAAACGTTCACTTGGGCTTAGAGGCGAACAATTGAAGTACCTACCATCATTTGCAAACCTCGGAGAACACGGAAGGCAATAGTAGAAGTTGTCACGGCTGGCCAGGAGGGCCCAGGTCACCATTTACACCTCCAAGATACTTTTGAAATCACTGCAACCGTATTCAATGCGGACCCGACCACGCCAACGCGTCCGATGGCGTTCGACTCGTCAACTCCGCAGACCCAACGACGATCATTACGAGCAAGAAGACCGACTGAACGTATCCTAAATATCGACGAAGGCGATGACTTAGTCATGGAGGACAATGGCGAAGAGACGGAAACCCACAAGGAACGAAAAGCAAACGCGGTCGTCCGCCAAAGACGGCGAAGACCCAGCCGGGAATAGAAGAACTTACGGCTGCCATAGCTCAGATCTTGCAACTCGCGGAGGACACAGGCCAGTAACGTGAAGCTATCTTGCGACTAACACAGTAAAATGAAACGAGGATAGGGTTGATCGAGGAGCGAATTGATAGGCCCACGCCGGCAGACGCGCAGCTTGTGGATAGAGTACGCCAGCTGGAAGTCTAGATAAGGATCATGGCTCGAACGATGCAAGGCTACCGAGAGCTGATACAGAAGTACGAAAGTAAGATCGAGGACCTTTTGAAAATAGGTCTAGAAAATTCAGATCAGATTAGCGCATTAGAAACGCAGAACCAAAGCATGATGAAGCTGACCAAGGATAGCGCGAATGAACAAGTCAAGATGACACAAAGCTAGGCCCAAGTAGTCGCAGGCACATGGACAGTAAGCAAGTCCTCACCCACCGCAGCAGTGTCGCGACCATCGCTCCCTACAAGCTCAGTCAACCCTAGCAGTTCAGCTTCTCAACCGTCGAACCTATCACAGTCCGCTATCATGGTGGACCTTAGCCGTACCAGCGAGCGTGTGTTGGACTTTGTGTAGTTGAAAGACAAGGTCAATGAGTCCTTGAAGAAGCATGAATCGACTAAAGACGTGGTCTGCACAGGGATGCAGAGGCGGGTTGGAGGCGAGGATCAGGTTAAGCTCATGTTCGCGACGGAAGAGGTGGCCAAGACGGCGCGACAACATATCCAAATGGTTCCAGGAGGCGCCGTTCGATCAGGCCCGCATGCTCGGAGAACAGCGATTCCCGGTCAAGGTCGACCGAGTTCACCGCGCCACCCTCAGCCCGGACGGGACGGTCACCGTGTCCAAAGAAGCGACGAAGGCAGTGGCACAGGAAAATAGAGTGCAGATTGAACGAATCCGCTGGCTGAGCAGGGCCTCCGACAAGACGTAGGGATTGGTGGTCATGTTCTTCACCCGCCAGCATGAGGCGGAGGCCTTGTTGGCGAGAGGGGTGATGGACGTTGGAGGGGAATGGCATACACACATCCTACGAGAGACGACAAGTCCCGACGAGGTATCTCAAGTGCCACCACTACGGCCACCAAGAAGCCCGGTGCAAATCGACCGATGTGGTGTGCGGCAAACGCGCACAGGCCGGACACACAGCACAAGAGTGCACAGCCAACAGTTCGCGATGCGCTGCCTGTCAAGGGCCACACCCGGCCACAGATCGAGCGTGTCCACGATACATGGAGCAGCTCCGCTGGTTCAATCCTATCGGACGTCATGGTAAGACGTTCAAGGTACTTCAAGCGGAACCTGGGGAAACGACCATCTGTGCAACATAGCCTGATGAATGACGCAGGACTGCAAGACCATGGACTACTTATGATCACGGAACCAGCATGCTTTACCCGGGACGACGGTAGAGTGATTTGCTACGCCCTCAAATCACGCCAAGTGGGCACAATTCCTGCCTACCAAGACGGCCACGGAGGGGTCGTTTCCCGGTTCAGATCACCAATTATGTTAACTCCGACCTGGGAGCACGGAACGTGTCTGTCGCATCGCCAGACATGATTGCAATACAATTCACGACCGCCCACCGTTCATTTCTGGCGATCGCGGTGTATGTACCACCAGAGGATCTGGAAGCACTTAGAATCGCGACGCATCTGGTCAGGCAGACCATCAGAGAGCGCGGGGCTGGACTCGAGCTCATCATGGCCGGCGACTTCAACCAACATGACCAACTGTGGGGCGGCGACAAGATAGGCACTTCGGCTTGACAAGGGGAGGCACAGGAGATCCTCGACTTGATGGACGACCTCGACCTGCACCTGCTCTTACCACGCGGCATGATCACCTACGAGAGCTCGAACGGGAACAGCACAATCGACCTTATCTTCAGGAGGAGGGGTGCTCTGGCCGAGGATCGGCTGATCTGCAAACCCCACGATACGGAGCATGGGTCGGACTACATTGCCAACAGCACCACCTGTGCGGTCAACGTGCCCTAGCCATGTCATCGACCTCGAAAAGTATTCAAAAGGTGCGGATTGGGAACGAGTTCAATCCGCCTGGGCAAAAGAGATGGGGAATCTCCCCGACAGCATAGGGGGCGACGAGTGGAGGAGCAGTCGGCCCGCCTCAGTCAGATGGTGCAAAGAGTTCTCGATCAGCATGTGCTCACGTCGAAACCCTCACCATACGCAAAGCGGTGGAGGATTCTCGATCTTACGAGACTCAGACGGATTACACCCAAGCGCGGAACCGGTATCGAGGCGTACGACGGGCTGGCGCCAATGATGGAGAGCTAGCGCATCTGGCCAAAGATGCCAAAAAGCGTTTCCACGACACGGTGAAACGACAAAAGAAGTGCCAGTGGAACGAATTCCTGCAAAACGACAATATCTGGAAGGCTGCCAAGTACCCCCGGCCAGACGGGGCAGGTGGCTTTCATGGCATTGCTGGACTCACCGTCGGGGACCGAATGGTGGAAGATAGTCAGAAAATTGGCAAGCTTCTTCAGGCAGAGTTTTCCGACAGCCGCATCAATGCAACGAGCCAGCAAGATCTGCCCCCAGGGACAACATCCAACTCCACTGGGAAGAAATGACCATGCACGAGATAAAGAATGCTGTGTTCGGAGCGCAACCACACAAAGCCTCTGGCCTCGACGACATCCCCGCGGCTGTTTGGAAGGAGCTGTGGCCGATCCTGGGGTGATAGATCTTGCTCCTGTTCGACGCATCATTGAGGACAGGGATAATCCCCCGAGCATGGAGACTGGCCAAAATCATACCACTCCGCAAGCCGGACAAGCCCGACTACACGAACGACAAGGCCTACCGACCGATCTCGTTGTTGCCGACGCTGGCAAAGGCACTGGACTCCGTGGTGGCGGAGAGACTATCCTACCTGACCGAGACGTGCTCTCTCCTTCCGAAGAAGCAGTTTGGCGCTCGCAAAGGTCACTCGGCCGTACAAGCACTCACGCTACTGCAAGAGAAGATCTACGACGCATGGCGTGACGGAAAGGTGCTCAGTCTGGTCCATTTCGACGTCAAAGGGGCGTACAACGGGGTAGATCGGAATGTCTTGCTCCATCGTCTGAGATGCCGCCAGGTACACGAGGTTGCGGTACGATAGGTGGAGTCGTTCTGTTCGAATCGACAAGCATGTATGATGGTCAATGGTGAGACCTCGGACGTGGTCGACCTGCCCTAAGCAGGGCTTCCTCAGGGCTCAACCGTTATCACATATTCTCTTCCTCTTCTTCAACGCGAGTCTGATTCAGACGCCCATCAACAGAACCCGAGGGGCAATCGCGTTCGTCGACGACTACAACGCCTGGGTCGTGGGACCGAGTGCGCGGGCGAACGTTGAGGATGAGAGACTACAGGCGGAAGTCGTCCTCACGCAGAGGCATGGGAGACCAGCAGCGGCGCGGCGTTTGCACCAGAAAAGACAGCCCTCATCCGCTTCTGCCGCACGCAACGACGGCTGCAGAATGCCGGGGCGCTGCTTTTCAAAGGGGTACCGGTGGAAGCGTCGTCGCAGGTCAAAATACCGCATTGCCCTTACCACGGACATGATTTTGCGGTTGACGAATATTTTTGAAAAGGCGAAAGATGATCGAAACATTTCCCCTATCGCAATCACTGGCGAAGGGAAGTTCTTCTGTACGGGTATGGATTTGGGGAAAGGCACTTCTCCCGTGGCGCGGTCAAAGGTGGACAGTGATCCTCAGTACAACCACCCCATCATTGCCGGTAACCAAGTTGCCTTGTTCAAAATGCTGGAATACGGAGCCCATTTCCAGGTTGGTTCCAAGGGTAAACCTGGAGATTCTGTCTGACAGAAAGATCGCCCAGAGAGAGAGAGATGTGGCTGGCGTACTCGCTTGACGTGCGACGTCGTTTGCGAGCTCGTGGTGACGAGGAGTTACCAGACATAGTGAACAATGAGCTGAGAGCTTTTCTGTGGCTATCAACAAAATGTGCCGTCAGAGCGCTAGAGCTGTTATTCGGACTATCGTCCTGTGGTCGACTTCCTGACGGTCCCTCTTCATGATAAGCCGTCAAGGCGTTGGTGGTGCCATCTCCTGAGTTGACATTGAAAGACCGACTACGGGATGAGCCGTCTGTTTCAATTGCTTCGCCTTCAGCTTCTATGTCCGCCTCACTGTCTTCGACAGCCGCTTCTGACTGAACTGGCGGGCGCATGTCCAGATCCTGTAGTTCTCTTAACGGGCGTCGTTGATCGCCAGGAATCGCGCTGGACAAAGGATCACCGTACATCTGAAAAGTCCGGCGCAACGCCGTCACCGGTGCTCCGGACCACGACTTGAGCGGAAGAACCGTGTCCTGATTGCATCCATGGATGGTGGAAGGATAGTCATGCAGCATTTATCGTTGATACAACCACCCGTCGGCGTCATTGTCCACCTCTGCGCGGCTGATTTGATGGTTCTTGTATGCTTGCGCGTCAGGGCACATTCTCCAGGGGCCATGGCGCCCCATTCTTGCCTCTCGCGCACGCCTCCGAAAATCCAACTCTTCAAATTCGATGAAAAACCGCAGGTTGAAGGAGAAGAAGGTGAAGCCAGGGGCGTTGATATCGTCGAAATTGTCGTGACAAGTGGCGCAGAGCGGGATACCGTTCTCCAGGACACCGAGGTAATTGAAGCTGATCAGGCCCTCCTGCTTGAGTCTTTCAAACTGGGGAGTATGAGATATACAGATGGTCACTAAAGGATCTTCTCACCGAACGATCCTTCTTCGCAATAACGTGACAAGCCTGGACCGTGATGCTCCACATTGCCAGCAGCGCGATTCTGTCCTCAATATGCGTCCAGGTACAGACCCTTTCTTCACCACATCATGGGCGGCAAAGCAAGGCCCGAAGCCGAGACGAGGTCTTATGCTTGTGCATCATCTCGCATCAAAGCAGCGATGCAGGTCATATGGATCGTCCGGCAGCTCCACCAGCAAGGTCGTGCCGTTGCACTCTACTGGCTAGCGCTCTCCATCACTCTTTTTTCGGCAATGACGCTGGTGATGTTCGGCCCGAGGGACAGACTCCCAGCTGGCGGACTGTGCGTCACTGCTCGCCAGAGGGCAATATAGTCCGCATGTTCACACGCATCGAGAAAACGTCGTCAATGGTCACTGCTTTGCACGGCCAGATTATCATGTTCCTCACGAGCAATGTGCCCACATACCCTCAGACTGACCGACGCGGTTGATTCCCTTCTTCTGATTTCGGATCCCTCAAACTGAATCGAGCGTTGCACCTGCCTATATGTGCATTAGGTTGTTTCATTACGGGCGTGATGGCGTCGTTCGTGGGAGACGTTAGAACCTTTCTCTACCGATGTCCACGATTCTTGTGCACGTTTCGCACTACTGTATGCGAAAGAGCGTAATTTCCCCGAAATCTTGATTTTGGGTCATGAAAGTCCAAGCAGAATTTCTTTTCGGTACAGTAAAATTTCTTTTCGGAACAGTAAATGGGATAACTCGTTCAGGAAATTCGAGAATCCAAAATGACCCCAGTTGCAGCAGTTTTCTGGCAAAGCCAAAACGACGTGCTGGCTTGTCCGCTGCAGACGTTTGCCCTTCTGAGCGACAGACGTTCACTTCTGTTACCGTACGAAATTCGAGGTAATACTGGAGCTCAAGATGTTGCTCGCTAGTCATTGCTCATTTTCATCACCATCATGGCTTCCATCCTGCACATATATATATATATATATATTCTGTCGGCAAAGTTTCGGTTGGCTCTCGCCATATGACTGACATTTCCCATAGGTACGGCTCCGCTGAAGGTTGGAGGGGCCGTAAAATAGCGTACCCTAATGGTTCTGGTTAAATAAGAACAATTTGAGCGACTTCAGCCACCCTTGCCTTGCTTGGACCTCGCCAATCCGTTGTAGTTGGTAAAGAGTCGCAGTTGCGAAGTTGACACGGTGGTTGCCGTTACTGCAACTTTGACCCCTGCAGTATGTTGGCTTCGTGAATCAAACAAAGGTTGATGAACACCAAATGCGTCTTGTATCACGTCATCCAGTACTCCCGAGTCATACTTATTGTCGCTGAACCACCAAGCAAGCCAATCAAGTAGACGCCGAAAGAGCGCCATGCAACCATACGATTTATTCGGAAAAATACGTCGAGACATGATTGCCAAACATTCAATGCTCGTGTCGATTGATGATCCGCAGACCACGTGGTCTAGGACAATGAGCCCTCCTGTAGCATTTGTTAAGCCGGTACCAATTTGTTAAGCCAGGTTGTCGTACCGGCACTTGTTCCAATGAAAGAATCGAAGTACTCCCAGATGAAGTGACCAGTATCAAGCGCAGCCTGTAAACGTTTTAAGAGCACCAAAACAACCACGCCACGCACGCCGCCACCGTCAATTGCAGCAACTTTCGGCTCCACCGCGACAGGTTTTCAATTGAAAACGCCGAGAGCATCGATGCCACAGAATTGGCAAATGCCAACACAGTATGTGTATGGGCCTATATCTGGCGGGTAGTAGTCTCGAATACATTCCTCGCATAAGCTGTGCCCACAATAACATCCTTTCTGAAGGCCTTGCCATGCAGAGAAACCAGTCCATGGTTGATTTCAGTCTCCTCCCTTGAGGCCGCTGTTGCCGCAAAAGGTTCTGCCGCGCCACAACGGCGGAAATTCGCGGTCCAAGAGACTTGAAATGGTCCAGGAACCGTGCCCGAATGGGCAAAACGTTATCTTAGCGTTGGGGAGTTTGACATGAACGCAAATCTCGATAGAAGAATACGTCGAATACACGCGATGGAGCAAAGTCTGTCGTCAGTCAGTATCTCAGCTTGACGAGGAGAGCTCGGCAGAATATCCTTCTGCACCCACCGGGGCTTTGCTTATGATAGGCCGGTGCCAACATTGCAGAGGCAATGAAGTCAAAGACGGCTGCTGGAGCGACTCCCATCTTGGCCGCAATGAAGAAAAACCTCTTTAAAATAACACGGAAGTTGGACAGAGGGTCGATGGGCGGTGCTAGGCATGTGAACAAATCGACGGCTTTCCCTGTCCTCGCACAACTGTCGGACCGCTCCAGAGAATGCCTCCGCCATATGTTGGGCACTGAAGAGGAGATGGCGGCTCTGGTGGTCATCCCGCATGTCATCAAGGATGTATCCCAGACGTGCTTGGAGAGATTGTTACACCGGGTCACTCGGGGATTTCGAGACATTGGAAGTCAAAATGACCAATGAGTCAAAGGACGAGGTAAATTTGGTATGGGATTCAGTCTGTACGAGGGCATTCCCTTCCACGGTATCAGTGCTCACGCTGGCCAACTGTGGAAACGCACGGGCGTTGCCGTCGGCGATCCACACACCAAGCTCAAGCTAGGTCTCCAGAAATCGAGCACAAGCTGAATTTCCCCCGAAGTCATTGGCGAAGACACATACTATGTATGAAAAGGGGAAGAGAAGGTTCAGGTGGACGTGTGCGACCACGTTGATCAGCTTCATGTTGGATTCGCCTTTCATCTGATGGATTGGAACGCGCCGCTGATCATGACAGCTGCTGCAATCACTTGTCGCGACTGAAAAGTCTGCATTGATTGTACAGTAGGCAAAAATGATGGGGCGATCGAAGTTAGTCTACTCGAGGTGTTCGCGGTAGGGTTAGAGGAGGACGCGCGATGACCACCCTACCGACGACGGCGATCGAGGCTCTCGGGTCCCCCGAGCGCCCCTACTCAAGCGCAGGATCATCGAGGGTCGTGGGGTGGCGATATCGTCGTCGCCGAGTCGACGACCTTCGACGCCAAGACTCGACCATCTTCATCAAAACTCGACCCCCTTCACTCCTTCGTTCGACCACCGTCCTTCCGGCTTTCGACCATCATCACCGTCCTTCTCGACTAGACCACTCCTACCTTTCGCTTATTCTCTCGTCTCTCTCTCTCTCGCCGGCACGTATTGCCTTCAAGAACGACGCTAAATCTTCCGTAGTTCAAGTCAACCCTCGACCTTCTCAGGCTTACTTCGACCACTATCGATAAGACTTAACTCATACAGAGATATTGTTAGCCGTCCGAGGTAAGGAGTCGAAGAAATATACAAGTTCGAAAAGTCACAAGGATATGGGCATAGGAAATATCCTCGCGACCTTTCGAACTTAAATATTTCTTCGGCGACGAGCAACACGCACCAATAAGCGATTTCAGCTTCGGAGAACCCTTAACCACCCCCTCGACCACCCTCACAGGCACTCGACCACCCTCATAACCCTTAACCACCCTCACTTCCTTCGACCACCCTCAGATCTTTCGACCACCCTCACATCCTTCGACCACCCTCACATCCTTCGACCACCCTCACATCCTTCGACCACCCTCACATCTTTCGCCTACCCTCACATCCTTCGACCACCCTCTCGATGTCCCCCACCTGCTTCGATCTCCATTCTCACTATTTCGAGATCTTCAGATCTTGAAATAATCCTGGTTGATTCCCCTCTAATACGTCGCAGCCTCAGTTCACAAGGTCCCGATAGTTCCTTGTCGTCGCAAGGGAGTCCGGGCAGCTGATCACTGCATCGGCCACAACCGTAGGGACTATATACCCTGGAAAACGGTCCGTGTATCCGTCTACGGTGATGGTGACGATTCGTTCTGAAACAGCACAAAGATAACGGTCACAGATATAATGATGTGGAACACGGGGTAGTAAGATAAATTAATGATGGGGATGCGGAGTTGCTCCTGCCATCAGAACCCGCCTCTCGATGGGCAAAACGTTTTGCCAGCCAGGAAAGCAAATGTCCACTACTACTATATACCACGGCTCTTTGCCATCGTCCCCAGTTCTGGATCTTTCTCTTCACCAGGTGCTTTGCCTAGCCACTATCTTGGCAAGATTGCACCAGACAGTTCTGACATGCGGTGCTTATTCTGGTGCAGCCCGTATGGGGTCTTCAATGGGATTTTCGACCGCTTTCAGGAATTTCTCGGCGCCTTCCGGATCGTTGGCAAATATATGGTCCGCAACCAGTCTCTTGGGTGTCTCACCCATCCACTGAAATAACGAGAAGTCCTGGAACTTGTCGGCCTTAAAGATTTCGAGCACTTCGACAGGTTCATCATCACTGAGATTTTCGATAAAATGACCCATATTGCGAGGAATGACCCCCACGTCGCCTGCCATGAAGTCGAATGTTCTGGCAGTCCCCTCAGCGGCGAAGACGGTGACACGTGCGCGGCCCTTGATGAAGAAAGACCATTCATCAGCGTTGGGATGCCAGTGCATCTCGCGCATCGCACCAGGTCCAATGTCTAGATGAGCCGCCGCAATCGTTTTGGAGATGGGGAAGTTGGTCGAGTCAGTGATCCGAACAAGGCCTCCAGTGGTATTGCGAGGCTCTTGGTCTAGCATCTTGTGAGTGAACTGCAACCTCGACTGTTTGACGTTTTTGCCCTTTGGTTCCTCGTCGTCGATCGATCCGGGGACAGTACCCTGGAAGATGTACTTCTCAGACTTTGGGATCGTCTTGAACAATTCTGGCGAAACCTGAAAGTTCTCGGCAAGAACAGCCTTGGGCGTGCGAGCTATAGTCTGTTAGTTATCGCCATGTACATTTCATGGGAAGGACGCACCAAGCCAATCAGTCAACAAAAAGGTCGACTCTTCGTTGAAGTTGCCATCGTCGAAAACCAATAAGAATTCGGTGCCGTTGGGGGCCAGTCCTTGCAGAGAGTGTGGATGGCCGGATGGGAAATACCACAAGTCGCCTTTCTGAAGGTCGTCGATGAATTGACCTCCTTCAGTGTCGAGTGCAGTGATGCGGACACTTCCTTCCAGGACGTACGCCCACTCGGCTTGCTTGTGCCAATGCAGCTCTCGAATCACGCCGTAGTCGAGTCTCATATTGACACCAGCAATCTCCGTAGAGGCACCCAACTCTCGCACCGTGGTCTGACGGGTCCAACCTCCTTCCTATCACTGTTCAGTATAATGCTCAATGGTCAAGATAGTTGAGAAGTTACCTCGATTCTGGTATGAGAATCGGCAAAGCTCCAGCGCAAGTTGGACATGCTTCCGTGGTCGGTACTTGGTGGACGAAATAGGTCGGGGTTCTGTCTCTCCCTGTCCTTGTTCTGAGGTCCTAGTACTGTAGCACCATCCCCATTCCGCCAGGGAAGAGGTTGCCAGTTCTTGCCATAGGAGTCAACCTTGTGATCATAGGGATCTCTGTACTTGGGGTTGTACGGTCCATTGCTTTCAGGATCCGCGATGGGCTGCTGGCCCCGTTCTATGATGGGGACGGCCAAACAAGAGCTCACAAGGAGCGACAAGGTAAGAAGCTTCATCTGTGAGATAGTCCACGGAAGTCGAAGATTGAAATCAGACTTGCTGAGAAAGCCGGGGTAAATGAGCTCTAGATTTAAATACCCTCCGGAGGATGTTACCCAAGGGGACCAGGGTAAAGCCAACAACCGAGGAGTCGAAACGTCATGAAGACTCGGCTGAACGTTTTAGCGGTCGAGGATCAACGGTCGGGGAATACTTCCATCATATCACCATCGCCATCAACCTGTAACTTATGATGCGCTTCGTTTCCGCTTTAACAAGAAATACTACAACCGGCAAATTGTTTTTCAACTACATCTTTCCTTCAAAGTCCTTTCCTCCAATTTTTCTCTTCCTGGCAACAAGGCGCCAGTTATATGTGTCGGTTGTAGCAAGATCACGTTACTGAAGCACGCGACAGTCTCACATCCATAGTCAATTCTCACAATGGCTGCCACTGACGGCTATGGAACTGCAGGCAGGGATGCCAATCATGACAACTCAACACAAGGAGCCTCAGACTCTGAGAACCAACCCCTCCTTGGAGGAAAAGCAAAGTCGACATCGTCGTTCACCGAGTACATGAAAGAGGACATTGACAGGCGTTGGGCTGATCTCCTTCTGCTGCTGTCCTATATCATCACAGGTCTTCTCGACAGCTCGGCAGTCTTCATCTGGGGTTCCTTCGTGAGCATGCAGACTGGAAACACCGTCTACCTCGGACTCGGGCTTGTCGAGCCGACCAAAGGGACACGATGGATCAAATCCTTGACATCTATCGGTTTCTTCTGCTTCGGTTCCTTCTGCTTCAGCCGCTTCCACCGATACTTTTCACCCAAACGGCGATGGGTCCTCCTGATGTCCTTCTGCATGCAACTTGTTTTGATTGTCGTTGCTGCCGTCATTGTCATGATCGATACCGGAGAAGCCGGTCAGTTGCGATGGGAGGTGCTTGTCCCCCTTGCGTTGGTCGCGTTCCAGAGCAGTGGCCAAGCAGTGACCAGTCGAGCTTTGCAGTACAACGCCTTGACCAGTGTTGTCCTGACAAGCATTTACTGCGACCTCTTCTCCGACCCTCTGCTTGTGGCAGGACTCACACAGAACGCGGAGAGAAACCGACGGGCTGCGGCACCTCTGTTGTTGCTGGCAGGCGCCATTTTTGGCGGCTTATGGGCTCACAGCTCTCTCGGTCTGGCTGGGGCTCTGTGGACCGCTGCAGGGCTGAAGATTGTGATAATGGGAGCATTCTTCCTCTGGAAAGCCGAAAAGCCAGCTCCACGCACCTGATGTTGACTTGGATATAAGCTGGGCAGCGATGATTGACCGCAACTCGCAAGACGCATCGACTCGCGCCAGAGACATGGTTGGACTGATGACGCTGTCCATTTGCTGAGCTTCATCGCCCGTCTGGAGCGAATGCGAAGTTTGTGGCGTTGAATCTGGAGCAAACTTCGAAGAACCTGAAGATGAGGGCTGGTGAGGCTGCACTCGAGACTGTTGGCAGGCATCTCTGGGACAGGAAGTCAATGTAGCAGAGAATGACATTCAATTGCACCTTTGGTAGTCACCATAAAGTGAAGCCTGCCGTAGCAGTGTTTGTCGATCATATTTTGCCCTAGAAGCGTGCCGAAGCATGCCAGTCACCTACATGTTGTTATGGAACCAAGTGAGCAAGGTCTGGTAGGCCTTTTCGTAGGCAGCCTTGACCTTCTCATCCTCTAGATTACTTCTAGCAGCCATGAAGCCGTGAACCTGATCTTGGTACCATTCCACCTTCTTGGGTACCTTCAAATTTGCCTCATACTTTTCAACAGCATCCTTTTCTTCCTCGCCGGATGGAATCATGAGCATTGGGATTGTGACATTGGCCGCATCGTTCGGGTCAATCATGGCTGGGTGGCATGTTGCAGCGGCCTTGAAAAGAGTGCCTGACGCGGACACCAGGTTGACAATCTGCAGATGATCAGTCCACACCCAACCTTGCCGATGTCTCGTTTAGAGCAATATCACTGACCTTCCCGCCCCAGCAGTACCCAACAATACCCCAGTCCTGGATGCCGGGGTTGCTGGACTTCAACTCACTCATGACACTCTTGATCCTCTCGACGGTCTTTGGTGGAGCCGCCGAAGTTTGGAAGAACTCGCCCAATTTCTTTCCCTTCTCCTCATTGTCCGGGGGATACCACGAGATGTCGGCAGGTTTGCCCTCGAAGAAATCCGGCATGAAGACCCGGAATTGGTGTTCATTGTGGGCGTGTGCAATTATGTCGGCTCCTTGAAGAGTTTGTGGAAAGAAGCCGAAGATGTCGTAGACGACCAGAATGCCCTGCTTAGCGGAAGATGGTCCGGTTGTGTCTGGTTGGATTCATATGAGCTTTGCCCATGGAGTGTTTCCGGGTGACCTACAAGTCCTCAGTCCATCAATCGTGTTGAATTCGCCTTGTTCTTTCTGCATGCCATAAGTCAATCCGGAGGCATGAAGGGTCTGGAGAACGTACGTAGCCTTTACTAATCACCGCAGGGGTATTGCAGCCTAAACGTGATCAGTATCCGTATGGTCTCTGACAATTGGGGTTTCGTACATGCTGCTGACTGAGTGTGAGACATGCTTGCTAAAGTTCTGGTTGGTGTTGCTGCAGGGCCGAACAGATAGTTTGATGCTGAAAACAGCTGTTTTGAGATGGCTGCAAGTCTCAGCCGGGAAGTCATTGACGTCTTTAAATAATTTTACCCGTTGCTTACAGGGTATGGGCTTCACATTCATCCAGAAGGAAATGGAAATCAATGATGTGAGAAGGTGGGGATGAGATGGTCAATCACTGGTAGAGGCCTTGAGAGGGGTCCCTTCGGGGGTCTCAATGCATTTCATCCTCGGACGTACGACGGGGGTGCTCCGTAAGAACAAAGTCATTTACGTCAATTGGGGCATCACGTGGTCATAACGGATATAATAAGGCCGATAAGACAGATTTCTATCTACCTAGCGAGCTAGGTATGCCTTTGTGTTTCTGGTCTTGAGTCTCACCTCGAAGCCTTCCTGCTTGATGAACCATGCATTGTGCAATTTCCAAGGCTTTGATGGATCTGCCAATTCGAGCTTCGAGCGAGGCTTGTCAGCACAATCTCACGTTACGATCGGGACCTTCGATGAACTCACCTCGAATCTCATCAAAACAGCAGGCACCAGTTTGTATATCTCCAACAAGCTGATATTCTTGCCAATGCATGTCCTTGCCCCTGCCCCAAACGAGAGGATAGAGTTTTCCATCAGTCGTCTTTGCTCGAGCGAAGCGTCCAGCCATCGTTGAGGCCGGAACTCTTCTGTGCATTCTCCGAAGAGAGAATCTCGGTGAACCGTCCAGGCGTTGCAGCCCACGATTGTCCCAGCAGGAATGAATTCTCCACACAGGGTCACTCCTCCAGCAGGAACGATGCGCTCTAGCGTGAGGCCTGCTGCAGGATGACACCGCAATGTCTCCTTGATCACCGCGCTGAGGAACGGGAGCTCCCGGACATCATTCCAATCCACTAGGCCCTCCGCGTTCTGAAACACACCCTGATCTTTCTGTGCCCATAACTCTGCCATGAGGCTTTTCATGTCGTCCGGGTGTCTCAACAGATTGTAAAAGAGCGCACGTAGGGTTATGGCTGTCGTATCCGAACCCGCAAACATGTTGGCCACTGTCACAGCAAGAACTCTCTCGTGCGTCATGAATTCGGGGTCCTTTCTGTGAGCCTCGTAAAACCTGGACAAGAAGTCCCGGCGTCCTGGTTTACCGTTGGAGGCTTCGGGTATCTTTTCACGGCCTTCCGCTACGTCCGGCCGGCTGGCAATACGCGCTCTGGCGAAGTTGGCCACAGGTGAATTGGCGTTCAGCAGATTGTATCTACTAGCCGTCAGGCGGATGGGATTTTTGAGAAGTAGGCTATCCAGGATCGGAAGCTGGCCGACCTAAGATATGTGTTAGCAGCAAAACTGCCTATCAACAAAATACTTCCTCACCACAGCGGCGTAATTCAGCAGCCATTGGAGATCGCCAATGATATGGTCCACGTCACCTCCATTGTCCATAAAGCCAATGCGCTTTGAGAATGTGAGCTCGCCTATCACGTCAAAGGCATAGTATTGCAGCCAATTGCCGAAATCGCATACTCCGTCCGCTCCGGGTTTATTGGCAAACCTTTTCTCCAATTGATTGAGGAACTCCAGTGTGGTGGTATCGACGAGTGGTTCGAATTGTACCAAGGTGCTCATAGCGTAGGCATTGGAGACGGCCCTCCTCAATTTGGCGTGGAAGGCTTCCTCGGTGGAGGTAAACAAGGTAAACAGGCGACGGCCCTTTGCGATTGTCTGCTGCACAGGGTAAAACTCGGACTTGACAAAGCCAGAGTTCAAGGCATATATGACCTGAATCGCGGCGGGATCCGATATCGAGATGGCTCGGGGCCCCAGACGGACCAAAGAGCCGTGTATCTGATGCAGTCTGATGTGCTCGAGTTCGGGCCGGCGGCGCCATACCACAAAGACGCGCCAAAGGTCAGTACATGAGGCCAGTAACGGACCGGGAATGTGTGAAATGCCACGGCCATATCTGTTGAAGAGAGCTCGGCCGGCGACAAGGACGACGAGCGCCCAACACACAAACACGTATGGATGGTCTCTCCACGGAGCCAATATGGAATCGATGAACATGTCGTTTCAGTGTCTAAGGAGACCTTTTGGAGGAAGTGGCACAATTTTGAGATACACGAGGCATGTTGATCGAAGCATAGGCATCTTTGGGCATCTTCATGTTATGATGGGTATACTCCGTCCGTGCAACTGCCGAATGGATAGTAGTATGGGGTAATAAGGAACGCAATTGGAGTTTCTGGGGGGAAATCCATGGGGTTGGTCGTTGTTGTTCGGAATATAGGCGCGGCGGTGCTCGTGAAGCGGAACTTATACCGTGAGGAGGCCACGCCGTCGAGCAAGGCGTTAAATCATGATTTGGTGGCACAACTTCGTTTATTTGTTGATTGTTCTTGAAGAGAAATACTGCGATCCGCGTGCGAGTACTGGGGTTGCAAATACATCAATTGATCAGGTGGTCGAGTCGATCCTGAGCCAGGCCCTAAAGCAAGGCTTCGTAAGCTCGTGTCTTGACTCAGGTCACTTCAACTTTACGTGCATGATAAAAGGGAATATGCAGAGTTGTGTCTAGTAAGACAAGACAATGCGTGATGATATGATGGTAGCTGGTAGCACTCTTTTGTTGGTGGCAGTGTTCTTCAAGGTCGCCATTCCACGTGACGTCACCTTTTCAACCCGTCGCAGTTAGGTTGTCACGGTTTTTATGGCTGCTTCCTGCGCTTTCAGATTGTACAGTATCTCTGTCGCCAGCAAGTCATCTTGCTGCTGCACTGCTTTGCTTTACAGTTCGTCCGAAACAACGACTAAAATCTGTTCGCAGCCTCAAATGCTTTCCAACCATCAAGCCAGGATCGGGCATCGGTGACCATACCTTGAAGAGCCACATTTCCAGTGTTTTTGCCTCTCCCCTTCCCAATCCACCTCACTGCTTGTCGCTTTCGGATCGATGGAAGAAATCTCGCATACGGAAGCTGCAGCTAAAATAGAACAGGGATCAATGGACCCGCATTGCATTCTGGCATTCGAAAGAGACGGAGCACATGTTTGCTAGGTTACGATCAATGGGACAAGCGATCCATGTTCTGAAGTTGAGTGCCTGGTGACAGGACTGCTGCGGTTTCAGCAAATGCTTGCAAATTGCGCACCTGCTTCTTACCCCGGTTTTGTCATCACAACGCCTGCTGTGGCCTCCTGTGACAGTGGAAAGGGGATGGACGATACGGAGGCTAGTACACCAACTCGGTGTGAACTCTTCCGCAAAGGTCCACTGAGTGAAGAATGCCGTACGGCCGCTACACTGCATATTTTGAGCTGGCCAGGGCAGTATTTCACTGATTCGAAAATAGTGTCGCAAAGGAAGATGCTCTAATGACGTACTGGCAGCCATATCTGGTAGCAGTTCCAGCCTGGCCGAGGAATTGCACGCCTGCTGACTCATTTCTTCCTGTTTTACTGATCGCGTCTTCGACTGCTGCAAGGGCTATAGACTCTTGCACGATTCCTTCGTTACACAGCTATTGGTCCAAAGTCAATGCTAACCTGGCGGATGTCTCCCCTGTCGCCCCTTAGCGGCTCTCGAGAACTGCCACGGGCGTGGCCTTTTCTCGGACGCAGTGGAAGGCGGAGGGCTTTGCGGCCGCAAAGCTACTACTGTTCAGGCGCAATGACGAAGCAAAGAAGATCTGCCAATGACCATCGGTGAGCTTTGAAAGATGGTAGTATAGTCAAATGAGAGACTACAAAATACATATATTGCGTCGTGAGGCTCCTCGTACCCTTTTTCTGCTAATGTCACAGGTAAACAACAATTATCCATACTCGAAGCACGCAATCAACTCGCAATGGAGTCTCCAAACTTGGACCTTGAATCAGCCGACACTGTCACAAGCAGACATTCCCCCGGTCTGGAGATCTCAGGCTCATCTGGTTCCTCCCGCCCACATGTTCCCAACCTCGATATTTCCCGCCATCCAACACAGCTCAGTAGAGAGTATCCAGAACGTTTGCAGTACACCGAAACAGTCGGTTCTTCTCCCGGTTCACGCTCAGAAAGCAACGATGATAGACCACTTCCTTCATTCGGAGGTGGCAAGCCATATCCTCCAGGCATCCCGGCCGAACGCGAGGCCTACGTGGTAGAGTTCGACGGGCCTGAGGACCCGTTGCATCCCTTGAATTGGAGTGCAAAAAAGAAGTAGGTCAATTGCATGAAGGTGTTCTAGGGAGAAATGATGCTGACCCATGGCAGATTTGTGACTGCCGCGATCGGCGCGCTTGCTTGCTTCTGCTCCAGTTTCGCTTCTGCCGTCCTCTCTGCTGCAACGCATCGGATTGCAGAATACTTCCACATATCCGTCGAAGGGGCATCACTTTCAAGCTCTCTATATCTACTGGGTTATGGAGTTGGCCCTGTCATGTGGGCACCTTTGTCAGAATTGCGCGGACGCAGGTTGCCTCTACTCCTTGGTCTCTTTGGCTTCTCGGTCTTTGCAGCAGCTACCGCTGTCTCAAAAGATGTTCAAACCCTGATGATATGTCGATTCTTCATGGGATTATTCGGCAGCAGCCCGATTGTACTTGTGGCGGCCGTGTATTCCGACATGTATAGAGCAGAACAGCGAGGCCTGGCATTGACCATATTTGCGGTGTCCGTTTTCATGGGCCCAATGGTAGGACCGATCGTCGGTTCTTTCACCGTGGTTAGCTATCTCGACTGGAGATGGGACGCATATTGGTCCATGATCATGGGTTTGACGACTACCGTGCTCATTGTCCTCTTCCTTGAGGAGACGTATCCAGCGACTGTCCTCACTACAAAGGCCGAGCTTCTACGACGTCGCACCAAAAATTGGGCAATACATGCAAAGTTGGAAGAAGTGGAAATTGATGTCAAAGAGTTGGTGGAAAAGAACCTAGCTCGCCCCGTCAAGATGTTCTTCACAGAGCCTATCCTATTGCTGGTTGGCTTCTACCTCTCCTTCGTGTACGGTCTCATGTATGTCACCCTGTCGGCGTTTCCTCTGGTCTTCGAGGGGGTGCACGGGATGCAACCTGGCGTCGCCAGTCTCCCTTTTCTAGGAATGGCCCTGGGCATGGTAGGCGCCGGAGCTGCATCCATCTCGCTGAATCAGGGCTGGGTCAGAAGATATCACGCGAACAGCAACAGAGCAGTGCCTGAATGGAGACTTCCCCTGGCCGCCGTTGGCGGAGTGGCGTTCTCGGTTGGTCTCTTCTGGTTTGGATGGGCTGGCGCCTATAAGAGTGTGCACTGGATCGTTCCGACCATCGCTGGTGTTGTCATCGGCTTCGGACTTCTTTCGATCTTCATGCAACTTATCATGTACATTGTGGATGGCTACTTGATGTTGTGAGTACAATGCCAGCAACTCTGCGCAACTTGACTGACGGCTGTTTGCAGTGCAGCTAGTGCCATTGCCGGGAACACGATGGTAAGATCGCTGTTTGCGGCTGCATGGTATGCTCCAACGGTATTTATGGCATCGACAATCCATGCTAACCCAGTTTGCAGCCCTCTTTTTGACCGACAGATGTTTCTTGACATGAAGATACAATATGCAGCAACATTGCTTGGCTGTGTGGCCGCACTCCTTGTGCCAGTGCCTGTATTCTTTTATGTGTACGGCCCTAAGCTTCGGCAGAAGAGCAAGTGGGCGCCAACATTCCCTCAACCGCATCCAAACAACACCGAGCACGAACGAAAGGAGTCCGCTGAGAACACTGAACGCACAGTATCAAACGCGTCGCGAGGGGCTTGCAATGTCTCCCACAGTGTGTTGCATTCAAGCCAAGACTCTTCAGTCATCAATAACATGTACACATCTGAGTGAAAGCCAGCCATGAGATCTTGTTGGCCATCATCGCAGCGTTAAGACATGAACGTTCAGAGCCATAGATCGGCCACAGCGGAGTTGTCACCTAAGTCCAGAACAGAAACATTCACAGCTTTTGGAGGCAGAATCGATGACTCAACCCCCAATCGAGTTCATGAATGCTCGCTTTTCGATTCCTTCTTCGCTGCCTCTTCTCGGGCTTCCCTGTCGGAATGCAACTAGTCAAGGGGTTAATTCAACCCTCACGGCTTGCTACCTGGTGCTTACGTCTCGTTCACTCTCCGTAGCATGTTCCTCAGTCCAGTGCCGGTTTCCCTTGCGATCTTCACTTTTCTCCTGGGAAACAGCGCTTTGAGGGTATTTTTTCAGGTCTGATGCCCGCTCTGCGCGAGCCAGCGCAGTCGGAAAGAAGTGTATGGGGCTGCTCGAATATTGGCGGCATATCATCCTTGTCGGGCATGCTACCCGAGTCTTGAGAGACAACATGACTGTTGCTCTCATCCTGAAAGATGGGGAAGCTATATCTGCTTCTTATTCCGGAACAGCAGTTATAGACTCACTTCAAGTATGTCGAGGAAGTCAGTCTGGAATCTCAATCTTCAGATGTAAGGGATTTTATAAACTCCCAAGTCGAGATTTCGACATTTGTTCTCGGGTGGTGTGATAATCCCAAGGGTGTCAGGCGATAACGGGCTATCGCACCAAGGGACTGCCATATCGCAGCGAGCATCCTCAGACCACTTCTCAAGTCAGCGATCTTCATTTCCGCGGTCTAGATCACTGGAGAAATCTTAATACGCAGACTTGGTTCTGATTTTTGTAATAATAGGAGAAGATAAGAGGCTCAGATATCAGTATTCCTAGGTTAATGGTGAGAAAAAAGTCTTTCGGCTTCTGGAGACACTCGGACATCGTTCTCGGTTCACTTTTCCCGGGGTGCCCTGGACCTCTTCTTCGTGGCTAGGTCTTCCGCGCATAACCTGAACAATTACTCCCTCACGCGCCGCAAAACTGTGAATCATCAAGCTTATTTTACGTTGTTGTTGCTGATCTTCAGCAATGCAGAACAACTTGGGAAACTGTGACCTGCAGGTCGACGTCTGATGAAGATGCCCCACGATAGCCAACCCATCATGGCATCCCCTGAAGAGCTGACCCCATCCATGGATTGTTAAACGACCCCACACTTTCGTCCACATCCGACGGAGAGATTCCTGATAGTGAGGTTCTAGCTTTTTGCACAACTGCCGGGATCATACCCAATCGACTACGAAATGACAAGAACACTGGGCTCCATACCTGAACTGATGGCAGGCTTGTTTCAGCGACGAATGTACAACCGGTGAAGCTCGACAAGACCGAACGTCACGCTATCACGTCGAGGAAGGAGATAGAGCAAGATGGACATCCCTGAAGATCACAAGGTCGCAATCTTGGTGGTCAGTTTTCCCACCTCAGGGACCTTTGCACTCTTTAGCTGATGGAAATAGCGGCATGACGGAACGTATCATTTCGAGACAAAGACTGTACCGGTCCCTGAAATTGCGCCTACCGATCTACTAGTCCGCCTATCGGTCACAGGGATATGTGGCTCGGACTTCCATCTAGCAGCAGGACACTCTGGACCGACGCGAGACATCCTCGGGCATGAAGGGATCGGGCGCGTCGTTAAACTTGGGTCCGCGATTTCGCCGTCCTTCATCGATATCGGCTCCAGGGTAGGCATTGCTTGGGTGCGCGACCTTTGCGAAAAGTGCTTCTGCTGTCTTGCTCCTGGCGGCGAAGCTCGATGTCTGGAAATGCTGTGCTCGGGATTGAAGAGGGACGGCACGTTTGCAGAGTACGCTGTAGTCCCGTCCAGATATGTGGTGCGCATCCCCGAAGGTGTGCCAGACCAGCTCGTTGCGCCGATCCTGTGCGGCGGTGTGACGGCATTCAAGGCGATCAAGGTCAGTGAAGCGGCGCCAGGTCAGTGGATGGTTATCTCTGGCGCCGGAGGAGGAGTTGGAGCGTTGGGCATTCAGTTTGCGAAAGCCATGGGATATCGAGTGATTGCGATTGATCTGGGAGACGCAAAGCGGGAATACTGTCTGGAACTCGGTGCCGAAGAGTACTTTGACGCCACGAAGGTTGATGCCTCTGCTATCCAGCAACTGACAGGGGGATATGGAGCGGCGGCAGTTCTGATGATGGCTAACTCGGCTAAGGCGTACGAAGCCGGGCTGGAGTTTGTCGCGCCATATGGAGCATTCGTGTGCGTCGGCATCCCACCACCTGAGCAAAAAGTGAGCTTTCATCCTCTATTGGGCATCTCAAAGAACATTCGCATCATCGGATCTGCTGTGGGGACAAGAAAAGATATATGGGACGCCATTGACTTTGTCAAACGCGGTGTAGTGACACCAAGGGTCGAGAAGGCGGCGCTGGATGATTTAACCGAGATTTCAAAGACATTCCAAAAGGTGAGTAGCCCGCAGAGGTCGTCAGAGAAGTCGTTCAATACTGACACTGAGCAGACATCTGGAAAATATGTGATTCGCTTTCACGAGGAAGAGAAACAGGTCTCCAATGGGCACTAGAGAATAGATTCTCGTACGGATCCAGTGTCCTAGCGGTTGCAGCCGCATTCGTAGACGCGTTGTACAGCCATGATAAGATGTACGATGTATATCTTGGTTTTCAATCAGAGATCGAGAGATTGAGTGATCGACTGATATATTGGCGTATCGCCTGCATTCAAGCCTTCCTCTTTAGTGGTCGTCCTTCTCTTCCCCGCAAAATATTGGTGGAAACTCATTTGCCTATAACGACCCCGAACGCACTCTCTGACCCTAGTAGCTGTGCGACAAATACTCATCCAGCAATGATATGTGAGCTCTGGCGGGGTTCATCTTCACATGTTTGTATACAGCCATGGTCAGCTGACGATGATGAACCCCTCCCGGAGTACGTCGTGAAGGGTAAACAGTAGCCTCAGAGCTGCGAGATTTCTTGACCGTTGCACGCTCTTACCTCTCTGCCTCCATCGTAGATGAAAAAGTCCCTATCATCAGTCTGAAAATATGGCAGCCCGTCCATTGCTCTTCAGATTGGCCTTGACCGCCAAGGTTGGAAGGCTGGGCACCCAGCGCTGTACTAGTAACGAGTTCAAACGATCACTCCGCCTATCCGCGATCAAACCTGCACCTACCGATGTCATATCAAATTCTACTGCGACCAACCAAACGGTAGAACAATCCCATCAGGTGCTGCTTCTGACCGACAAGGCGAAGAACGCAGCATTCCTCGGCGAAGCTGACAGCAACGATGGCCATGATGTGTATCGAGAAATGTATGGCGCTCCACAGCCGCCATTGGACGCCAAGTATGCAGCCTTCCTAGGCGAAGCAGATTCTGATGATGGTTTCGAGACAAGAAGGAGCGAAGAAGGAGACAAGCACGAGCCCTTGGACCCCAGATATGCAGCCTTTCTGGGAGAAGCTGATTCGGACGATGGCTTCGAGGCACGAAAGGTGGAAGAACGCGACAGACACGAGCGCTTAGACGCAAAGTATGCCGCCTATCTGGGTGAGGCTGATAGCGATGACGGCTCCGAGGGAGATGTCGAGTCCAACCCTGCCAAGTATGACCATAAGACCCAGGATACTAGTGAGAGCGGCTTCCACGTGGAGCGAGGAGAGTCGCGTTAGGGCGAGACCCTCTCACAAAGGCGCCGTTTTGTGGGAGACATGGGACTCAATCTGTGCAATCGAACGTGTCGCGACCTGCTCGAATCAGTGTCAACAAGTAGTATGATATGAGGACGGCGCTCGGACATCTCGTGTCGTCTCCATTCTGTGTTGGGCCGCAAGCAGCTTGTATTATGTTCACTCTTTCTCAAAGTTATCGTAGTCCTCCTTAGACATCAAGCTGTCCAACTCTGCCGAGTCGCTGACTTCGATCTTCGCCAGCCACCCCTCGCCTTCCGGGCTCTTGTTTATCGTGCCGGGCTTCTCTTCTAGTACCTTGTTGTGATCCTTAATCGTGCCTGATACAGGGGTCAGGATATCTGAGGCCGACTTGACTGATTCTACCGCGCCGATGCTGTCGCCTTTCGAGACTTCCAGACCCAGCTCCGGCAGTTCCACATAGACGACGTCGCCGAGGGCTTTCGAGGCATATTCTGTAATTCCAATTGTTCCTATGACGGCGGCTTAGCGGAGGAAAGAGACGCAGAAGTCGCGATGAGCGTACCAGTCTTGCCATCTGAGTCGAGCTCAATCCACTCGTGGTCCTCCGTGTACTTCTTCACGTAGACTGCTATGTGTCAGTACCATTCCTGCAGGGTTGCGTGGCCGACTCACGGGCTGATCTTGACGAGAAAGCATTGCGGGAGACAGCGTTCCATTGGCACGATCGAGGTGCGACTGACGAGGGGGGAATGGTTCTCTTCGTAGCCAGTCGCAAAACCGTGGGTGCTAGCCGGCGCACAGCTGTAGTAGACATCCTTGCTGTGCTCAGAGAGATGTGAGAGTGCGAACAGAAGAAAAGTGAGAAACCGTGCGACACTTCTGAGGCGATCTCCGTACAGCAAGTGCTAAATGCGGAGGAAAGTGATGCCCACTCAAATTAAAGCTTCCGCCGCGAACTGCGACGGACTTTATTCCTTGAGGCACTTTTTCCACCAACTTCAATTGCGACAACAGCCCACACCGACCGAGTCAGGATTCAGGTCGAACATGAACGCATAGGTCCGCGACAATGCTATACGAGTTGATTGCCGTGGTACGTCGTCACTTGTTCCGCCAGATACTTTCAGGCGATTGACTAATTGACGTCTTCAGGTCCGGCCGGGCAACATCGCCCATGTCAAAGAGTACTATCTCCCTCTATCGCTCCATTTCGAACACACGATCTAATATACTATCAGGATTGCCCGAGTCACAGGCCAGCAGATTCTTGACAACAGAGGCGTGATACGCGGCATTAAGAACTGGGGACAATTTGACCTGCCCCGACCGACCACGAAACATCAAACCCAGCATCACCAAGGCCACTACTTCGTCATGCAATTTGATGGTTCAGTGAAGGTTCAACAAGAGGTCCGACGACTACTCGGTCTCGATCCGCGAATGATTCGATACTCTATGGTGAAGATTGGTGATAAGCTCGGCGGCGTCAATGGCGCGATTGAAGAGGTGGATGGAGATATACCCTGGAACTCTGGCGGAGGCAAAGACGTTCTCTCTTTCGCAGACACGTTCGACAATCCAAGGGTGGCAAGATAGGGCAACTAGATACGGACGAAAGGACATCATGTGCGAGGGGAGCATCAAACATATCATTCCTACCGAACGCCCGCTACAGTGTGGTATCATCAAAACAAACTCCATCGACCTCTCTCCTTGACGACTGGCGCCCCTGTAGTGGGCTGCTTGGCCCGGCCCTCCAACTGGCGCAGACTCTCGATCTTGGACAGCACAAGTTCCAGCATGTCTTTACGTCGGATGACGTCGAGATGTTTGCGCACTCTGGGATCCTCCCGCGCAAACCTCTCGATCTCATCCTGACTCAGATGCCGTCCAAGACGAATGTCGAGTTCTCGTGGAAAGTTGTAATAAAACTCCGACAGCAGCTCGACGTTGAGGAAGAGGACAGCCGTGGAGGTCAATTTGTCGGCCACCACGTCGAGGAAGATCTCAGGACAATAGTACTTGTTCTTCAAGTTGGCGCACTGTTTGGACTTGACAGCCATCAGTCGCATCTTGAGAATGTCGGCTCGGTCACGGAGGAACACAGCCTCTCGGCCTGTACAATAGTTAGACGGATTCCAGGGCAATGGAGGATTTCAGCCAAGACAAACCTCTCTGTAGCAGAGCCGACGAGAATCCGCCTGCGCCGCCAGTGCCGTCGCCTTCTAGAACGACATCTCCTTTTCTAACCCGATCAATGAATCCCATGACATCTCTTAGCTTCTTCTTGCCAATGGCGTCCTCGAGTTGCTTCTGGGCGCCGTCGCAGGCTTTGAGCTCGCTCTTTAGGACACGTCCCGCGTTTTCTCGTCCTTTGGACCACTCGTTGTTTTCCACCTCTATCTCGAACTTGAAGGGTTTGATGCAATTCTCCACTTGGTCGCTGGTGCTGTAAAATCGATCGTTGAGAATGCTTGACGCTGCATCGACGATTGCTCGTTGTGCGTAAGGATGTGCGGCAAAAGTAGAGGATGCTATCAGTTTGTCGACCTGGCTCTGTAACTCTGCAGCTACCACCGTCGTAGCAAGTCTTCCGACTCCCAATTTAGTCAGCTCACCCGTCGAAGCATCCAGCTTTCGTTGCCAGTACAGTGAGTTTGGGTCTGCTTTGGGCAGCTCCGCCAACGGATCGGCTTCAAATTGAATGGGTGCTAGATCTTGGACAGGCTTGTTCCAATATCTCTTGGCGAGCAAGTCCATCACTTTCTGATCCAGGACTTCCTTGAGAAGGGCGCGGACCTGAGGTCTTCCGAAATGCTCGCTGAACTCCTTGAACGAATGTTTGAAGCTGTCCAAACTTTCGGCCAGGTACGACTCGGCACTCAAAGGCCTGTCATTGTATTGAACCTTGAACTCGTAAGTGGCTTCTTCTAACTCTTGAACAATAGCATCTCGAGTTGTTGCTAGGCTCCCGGCCATCGTTTGTTCCAATACGTGCATCAACTTATGCCGTAGAGTAGTCGTGCCGACAGCGAGTTCCGACTGAGGGCCGAACTCCAGAGGGTGGGCTGAGAAGTATGCATTTTCGTTCTTGACAATCGCACTGGTGACATTTTGACCGGTCCGCGAGAACAGTCCAGCAGACTGTGGTATTTTGCAGACCACGCCAACATAACCGAGCCGCAATGGGTACTTGCGATCCGACAAGATGTCAGCACCTCTAGCCGCGTCCACCAAGTCCATCTTAGTAATGACTCCAATAGTCCTTTCACCGCGAGGATCGACTCTTCGACTCGACCTGAGCGCTGTGGAGTTGGCCAAATCGACGTCCGCAGCTGAAATGGCTAGAATGACATTGGGTGGCTGAATATACTTGTCGCACAGATCGGCGATTTTCTGTTTCAACTCAATAGGTTGGTCTTTGCCAACCACTTGTATGTATCCAGGGAGATCGATCAAGGATAAGTCGGGAACATTTGGAGAGTAGATGGACAGTTGTATCGGGTCATCCGTGACGCATTGTTCAGCGGGCACGGCCAGATTAAGGTCCGTCAATGTGCGTTGAATCTGAGAGAAGTCGGTGATCTTTCCCAATCCTAAAGCCGGGAACTCGCCATATTCTGCCTTTGCATCAGGAGTGTTTACTAAGGTGAGTTCGATGGGACGTCTGGTGACCATGTTCGTTCCCTTGGGCAGGAATTCGTGTCCGACAATGGCTTCCAGAACCGAACTCTTTCCAGATGATTGAGAGCCAATGACAACGATTGAGGGTAATGTCAAGGCACCGCCTTGCCCAACTGTGTTCAAGATGGTCCGAATCTCAATCATCTTTCTCGTCAAGACCATCATTTGATCATCTCGAGCGACTTGAGTATCTGATCGCTTGTCTTCCTCGTCTGACTGTTCCAAGCCGAGCGCTGCACCAGATGCTGCGGCGGCTGCAGCTGCTGTCTGAGACTGGTTCGGACCTTCTGGCCCGGAGCCCCCATCACCAGAGCCTTCGCCCTTCTGGAAAAGCTGTTGCATCCACTCAGGCAGATGTGTATCGTCTTTAGTCTTCTGCCATCCTGCACCTATTTGATCTGCGATGCCCTTGGCTCCACTGAACAAACTCGAAGATGTATCGGTCACTGTTTCCCCTGCTCTTTTCAATGCATCGATAGCGTAGTTCCCTGCCTGCGTCGCCTGGTACTGTAGGTAAGCCAGTCCAGCGAGCATGCTTGCACCGAACATGGCGGGTAACCGGGCCATCTTGAGGGCGAGTTTGGGCAGGACCCTGGTGAAGGAGATTGATCGTACGACGGGGACATTGTGTATGGAGTTTGACCCTAGAGGCCAGTTGCGCTGAGGAAGAAGTCGATTTGGCCTCAACAGGCCGCCGGCTGGAGTCTGGACATGGTTGTGAAAGAGCCGCGCTGCTCGCTGGCGCAGCAAAGGTGCGGCCCTTGCGGAGAGCAGCCTACCATTCATCACAGGACTTCATCAGACACCAAATGCAGGTTCGATCACGTTGGTGGAAAAATAGGATGCCGGTGGGATGTTTGGAACAACGCGCGCATGATCTCGTATGGGTTGAAAATGACGTCTAACCACAGGAGGCACGACGAGCCACTTTCCCGGGCGAATTGATCCTGTCAGACGAAGACCATCTCGACCTCCATTTGGACTTGAGGAAGGTTTAGAAGGCATGAAGCGCGGCTGCAAGCTGATGAATTTTTTTCGTCGATGAGGCTACAGACTTCCCAACGTGACAGACTGGTCGTCTCATTGTAGATAGAGAGTAAAGCGTGCACATATCGAGCAAATATATCCATTTGCACCCAATGGGTCTCCTCAGTCAGACAGGCCGCTTTTCTCTTGGATCGAGGCTTCTTTTCACTGCACTGTCCTTTGCCTCTGGATGTGACACATCAAACAAAGGTGAATAATCATTCGACGACTACGAGTGGAGGATACTCACACCGCCATCTTGGTTGACTGCGAGGCAAAAGGCTGTGAGGACGTGGAGTCTGTGTCACTTCTTTTTTTCTATCATCATTCAACAGGTCTGCGGGCGTTGAAGGCTTTGGGTTTCAATCATTTGCATCGTCTGCCATCTAGGCTTCAAGCTGCCAGGTCTACTCAACCATTTATTGCTGTAGTCTGCTACAAGATTGCGAATTATGTCCTCGATCGAGCATATGACTCACTCGGCTATCATCCAACATCCTCTGTCCATGATCCTCAGCAACAATCGGTGCAATGTGTAGATTTTTGGTATGTGTTTCCCTGATAGCTGCTGATCGACAGCAAGGCTGAGATATCCCAGGTCTACAAAGGCTCAAAGCCAATCATCCTCTCCAAACTCATCACAGAGCCTTCTCACAGCATTCTAACGCAATCATACGACAGCCGTCTTCGTCTAGATAGTCGAAGACCGGTCAATGGCGATGGATTCGGCGTGGGCTGGTACACTGAACCAGAATTAGGTCCGGACCCATGCATTTTCACCTCGACCCTTCCAGCATGGAACTGCGTCAATCTTGAACGTCTCGCGCCAAAGACGGCCTCGACATTGATCTTTGCCCATGTCCGAGCGACGACGGAAGGCTCTCTAGCCGAAAACAACTGCCACCCCTTCCAACACAACACGCTCATGTGGATGCACAACGGCAACATTGGAGCGTGGAAATACGTCAAACGACCCCTCGCCGACAGTCTCTCGGACAAGTGGTTCCTGGACGTCAAAGGCGGTACTGACTCCGAATGGGCCTTTGCCCTGTTCCTGGACACTCTTGAGCGCGAAGAAGGCGTGGACCCAAGCTCCGAACCCGAAGGCGGGTTTGACCCCAAGACCCTCCGACGAGCCATGAAGAAGACTATTGCCAAGATCAACGCCTTCGTGACAGCTGTGCCAGCGGAACACCATCTAGCGGACGTGGAAACACGAAGTCTACTCAACTTTGCCGTGACCGATGGCCATTCCGTCATTGTGACTAGATACGTGAGCAGCAAGACGGACGCCGCAGCAAGTCTGTACTATTCCTCCGGCACAGCCTGGGTTGAAGGAAAGACCAAAGGGCAATTCAGAATGGAGCGTCGGGACAAAGCTTCGGATGTGGTCCTTGTGGCCAGTGAGCCGTTGACGTTCGAGCGGCACAACTGGCTGTCGGTCCCCACCAACACGATTGTGACAATCTGCAATCAGACGGTCTATGTCCGGCCTATCAAAGACGAATACTACGACCCTGACCCATCGACAGAGCGGTCGACGGGATTTGCAAGATCCAAAGGATTAGTGGCAAAGGCTCCTGGCGGTGGTACTGCAACTCCGTCTACAATGGTAGGCACGCCAGTCCCACGGCCCGGAGTCGAAGCAGCAGACGGCAGCTATATCGGCACGGAGGATTTGGACAAATACAGATCGAAGTTGGCGGATCTACATTTGCAGAATGAGACTGCCCTGAGTCGAGGGAATGAGCAGCTGGTGATTTGAGCCGCATCGCTCCAGCATAGGAGCTCGGCATCTGCGACATGCGCGGCGCAATGATTGAAGCATTTCTGGCGCACGAGGATGTAAAACAATTTGAAGGAAAGGGTGATTCGTGGCATGGAAAACGAATGGGCAGACACGGAGTACGGACAGACTGGACTGCCTCGCAGGCATATAGTGCCAAAAGGGAAAAGTTCAGAGAGTCGTTACGTCCCGGACATGGACAGCTTGCGATTATCGTTTCAAAATTTACCCATCATCCCCTTTAAAATCCGCATGCCTGAAGTATTTCATGCCCACCCAGGCCACAACGACCCAAACCCATGCCATCACGCACGTCAACACCAGTAGAGCAGGATAGTACCCTACGATTGGCAGCGTGGGATCATCCTCTAACTCTGGTGGTGCATACGGCGTCTCTCCGACATCCCAAGCCCAGGACCAAATGCCGAAGCAAGAGCCCATCCCGACAACGAAGACGATCCATGTTACGATCAAAATCACGTAGCCCCAAAAGGCGGTCTCGGAGTAGTTCCACCCCTCGTCGTCCGTAGGAGTGCCCGCAATGGATTGCGGTTGGGTTGCGAGCGGTGAGCGAGTGCGAGATGCAAAACCTGCGAACCCTCGTCGGACGGGGTCCTGCAGTGGAAAGTATGAGTCGCCAATCGAAGACGCCACCGAAGGAAGTTTGCGCAAGACGGGCATGCGCGGCAACACAAGGTCCTCGTCGTCGGTTGAAGCATCAGTCGCCATGGTCGGACTCGTAATGGATGCAGTGGAGGAGGCTGGGTCGATGGAGGCAACACTACTGCGTATTGAGGGGATCGAGACCCGAGAAAGGGTACGAAATGGCCACGATGGTGGGGAGTCGGGAGAGACAGGATTCTGTAGTTCTTGACTTGCTCGAGGTGTTGCAGGCGCTTGTTCTTCCTCAGTCGCCTGCGGTTTAGGTGAATCGGCGCTGGACAATGGACTTTTCTTGTTGTCAGAGTTCTTCCTGTCTCGTCCTTTTCCCAGCACTGTTTTTCTCAACGACCCTTTCCTCTTCCTCTTTGTCTGAGAGTGCGCCTCGGCCATCGCGCCGCGTCCGTGGTGAGAATCGTCGGTGTCATCTCGATCGGCGGCGTCACTCTTGGCTATGTCGCTGTTTGTCCGCAAGAAGCTTAGTCGTGATAGAATACTGCCGGAGGTGGTCCTCTTGTGCCCATCGCCTCGCTTCTTGAGCTTGGCGGCATCCTTTTGCTCTTTGTCTTGGCCGCCCTGCTCATCGTCGACCTTGGGAAATGGGGTGGATTTCTCGGGGGACTCAGAGTAGCCATGAGGCGACCCGTTCATGGCAGGCTTGTTGATAATGAGCGCCGCATATTGTAGGCCTGTAAATATCCCTGTTGGACTTGGTCAAGAGACTCGTTGACCAAAGAGACCTGGAAGGGCTTGAAACAAATGCCAAAAGCTGACGAGGGTAAACAGCAAGGAACAGATGCAGATTGGAGGACAGGCAGCGGAATACGATTGAGCCACGTCTTGTAGCCTATCAGACCGGGTCAGATTAACGCACGTAAGGGTTGGCTTATGGTTGGCTTATGGTTAAAGCTGCAGGTACGAGTTCGGCGATGCTTAGGTATCTACCTGATAGGCACAAGGCCTGCACGGAGCACACAACAAGGAGGCCAAATCTCCGCGAGATTACGGACTTTTAGCGCCGTTTTGGCCATTACAGCTCCGCGTAGGCCTCAATCAGGTCTAGCCGAAGCCTATAAGGCGCCGTCGAAGTCTTACAACACCAAGGTTTAGGCGACAGCAAGGTTTGCAAGCTATACCAAAAACAGGCCTCCGCGGAGGTCAGGAGTGGAGTTGCAGAACGCCCTAGTACTTGACATCACCTGTGATTATTATCTCTACCTCGATAGCCTAGGTGGGTATCGAGGCACTTTCAACAACGAACCCTCTAATACTCATCATGGTTTAGTGCTCACTAGAGCAGTAAGCAGCATTGTCTCCGCCACTCTTATGTCCTCTGAGGACAGCGTGACAGGTGAGATAGGCTAATGGCGAGTCTTATGGGCATGTGTCCGACGGGCGAATGACCGATCGTATGAGCGTGAATGGATACTAGGCTTTCGGTAACGAAGGTAAGTCGTCTTGAGGTGCCTTCGACGTATATATGTCCCCTCTATCCCAGTGCGCCTTACAGTGTGACAGCACTTCGTCCAGCTGCACCTGTACGACAAGATGGATCGTCTACAGAAGAAGACAGTGGTGACAAAGCGCTCCTTCACATACACTTACTACGCCTCGAAGAAGAATGAGGAAAACGCCTCCAAGCCTACACTCTTCTTCATTCATGGCTTCCCGGACAGCGCTCATTTATGGTCCGATGTTGTTGACCACTTGTCGGACCTCCCATATCGTGTAATTGCACCAGATACTCTTGGCTATGGAGGGACTTCCAAGCCTCTTGATGTCGAAATGTACAATTATCGAGACATGACGAACGACCTCGAAGAGATCCTGCAAGCCGAGGATGTCCAAAAGGCCATTGTCATCGGCCACGATTGGGGCTCAATTCTCGCTCAACAGTTTTACTTCTTTCACCCCGAGCATGTGGTCGGCATTATCCTGCTCAACGTAGCCTACCGTCCACCACAAGAAGGCAAATTCGACCTCACGACAATGAACAATGTCACCGAAAAAGCCTTTGGCTACTCTCTCTTCGCGTATTGGGAGTTCTTTACGGCTGACGACGCCCCAAAGATTGCCGACGAAAACCTAGATAAGATGTGGGAGGCCATGCATGGTGACGAGCCTGAGTGGATGAGGAAGATCTTTTGCGGTAGAGGCGCCCTCAGGAAGTACCTCTTGGGCAACGAGCATGTTCCTCTAAAACCATACGCCAAAGAAGCCAAGTGGAAGGACGATTTTATGCAACGGTTTGGGAACCAGACCTTTGAGGCGCCGTTCAACTACTACAACGCCACTGTGAACAACGTTCAATCCAAGTCAGATGCCGACATCCCGAAAGAGCTCCACAAGGTGCAACTTCCCATGCTATACATCGGTTGCACAGGGGACGCCGTTTGTCGCAGCGATGCGATCGAGGGTCCCAGGAAAGCAGGGCTATTGCCGGACCTGGAGGTTCAGTCGATCATTTCCGCTCATTGGGTGCCCATGGAAAAGCCGAAAGAGGTTGCTCAACATATCAGGAGCTTTGTGACAAGGCGCTTTCCTTGAAGGAGACAATCAAAGAGGTGATTGAGAATTGAGGTCATAGATCTAGAACAATAGTACCAACTCCTCTCGACACACAGCTCAACATGGAAGAGCCTTTTTCGTCTGCCATCAGTCCCGTGCCTCGATGCTCAATTCTTCCGCTCTTTACAACCACCCTGCAAGTGCCACAATTCCCAGCTTCGCAAGAGGAAGGTATATCTAAGCCCGCTTCTCGCAATGCGTCCAAAAGAGTCTGTTCTCCTTGCACCTCGATCGTCTTATTAGTGTCGGCGAGCTCCGCGGTGAAAGGGTCGCCGGACGTCGCAATCTCGAACTTCTCGAAATGCAGGTTGGCTGGCCCAATTCCTATCGAGCGTGCAGTCTTTGTCACGGCGTCCTGCAGTCGATCGGATCCGCAGCAGTAAATGTGCGCTCTGTCATTGACTTGATTGAGGACGTCTCTGGCGCTGAAGATCGTGCCCACAGACTTGTCGTAGATTGTGATATTCTCACGGAACTCATCGAGATACTGCTTCAGGGCAATGTCCTCGGAGCTACGGACGAGATAGTGCAGGTGATATGAGTAGCCCTTCTGCTGACAGTGCTGAGCCGAAGCTATAAAAGCTGTAATGCCGACGCCACCAGCGATGAAAACGTGGTTATCTGCGTCCACTGACAGAGGAAAGCTCGAAGTGATCTTGCCGGCCTGGAGAACATCGCCACGCTGAAGATCGTGGTGAATGAACTGTGAGCCTCCCCTGCTGTTCCCACTAAGGGCAATTGCCAGCTCAAAGCGATTGGAATCTCCTGCGACAACTGAATATGCCCGAACCAACCTTCCACTCAGGCGCAACCGAACATGAGATCCTGGAAGCACTTTCTCAGGCGTGTCCGAGGGTTCGGTGGCTTCAAAGACAATCGACACGATCTTTGGAGTTTCCCATTTCTTCTCAGTCAGCCTATAGTCAGTCCAGATATTCATGGCCACTCCTTCCAGACGCCCAAGTTGATTTTCGTATTGCTTCTTCAGTCGATTAGCGAAAATGGTCCGGGGCTCGTCACCAAGCTCCTTGATCTCGACCAATTGTCGCATCGCTTCCTCGTTGCGTAGGTCGTGGTAGAGGTAGTACTGGACTCTGGCTACGGTCCATTCCGGATTCAGTCTTTCCAGCAGGAACATGTCGTCGCCCGCCTGGATTGTGCCTTCCTTGAGGATTCGGTAAAACCACCCCGTGCGAAATAGGTCTTGTGATCGCTTGGAGATGTCCTTGGCCTGGAATCTGTGGTTCAACTTGTAGCACGGCTGTCGAGGCTCGCAGACCTGGGCTATGACGGTACCGATCTGAACCACATCACCAATGCACATATTACGCTCGTTGGCATATGTGGCAACGAGGTTTTCACCGAAACCACCAACGACGAAGCGATCTTCGCTCTGAGGCAGTTCCTTCTTCCAGCGTGAGTAGTGTGACGAACTGTACTGGAGCAATGCTTTCTCCGGGCCTCCATGAAACTCGTAGGCATGTTCATCTCCTTCGCAACCGAGGGAGCTGACCGTGATGGGGCCAGCCCTAACGTGTTTGAAAATAGCAGAAGGCTCGTTCATGCCAAAGGCCGGCTTGATCTTACCAGTCCTGACTTGTATCAGCTTTTCTCCCTGCCATCGTTGCTCTAGTGCTTTGATGGCGGCGAGGTCTTCGTCTTGGAAGACCGTCATCGCAGAGAGGTTTGAGTCAGCGAATCTACTCGACTCGTACGCTCTACTGTCTGCAGGGACGCAGCCAGGCCGAATGATAGCCAAATAGAATTGAAGAGCGATCGTGGTATCATATCGGTGTTATCAAGGAGTATTCTGGTGAATCAGGCAGACAGGCGACGGAGCTGGCCGATATGTGTCCGCTGAGTCACTGACGCCCGTCCGTTGCCTTGCATGTGCCGCGGTGCCCGTCACAAGGACCACGCCGACACCGTTCGGAATCTATATCAGCAAGCTCTTTGCTCTGGTCCATGGTATGATACTTAAAACAGTCCTTGTACTTGTTGTGACCCAATCGACTTACTCTAGAAGGACCTCGGTAATTTGCTTGACAGCCTCTATACTATTGTGTAAATGCTCTTTCTTCTTTCTTTCGGTTTGTCAACTGTTTTTGAGGTGACATGCATTCTCGGCTACATTGGCTGGCCGCTTCTGGCATCTCACCAGGAATGATCTTCCTTGACTGCCCCTCTCAACACTCTCTTTCTCCACGTCGACCCTTGGAGGATTATTGACTGCTTCCGTACCTAAACATGCATTTCTTCGCCATTACGCATGCCGCGTAGCCGGCCATCGCGTCATTCAGACTGCACTCCTGGCCTGGGAGTGATGGACCCAGCTCACATCGTCCTGCACAGGATCTCTGCGCACTGGCCATGGCCGGTCATCAAGGGAGCAAACAGGGTAACGTGGTTGCGGTACCTTCGTCGTACGATCGGTATTTTGCATTTCCACGAGGTGTCAAATCTCTTCGCCTCCCAGAGTTCTGCACATCTTCTTTGTCTGTCATCTGTCCAACTCCTCTTCCGCATCGCAATCAGTTAGTGGTCCCACATACCACAAGTTTCCAGTGACGATCAGGCTGCAAGGACAGGATCATCTTTCTGTGCAGGTTTCCCCGCAGTCTGAGTATGCACCTCACCATGTGCGGCACCATCATGTGAGTCCCTACAAGTACCCATCCGAGCGGGGGCTCAATTACCGCTTCATGCTGGTTCGTAGACTTAGTTACGATGGCACGTCTCGAAAAGGACAATAATCAATGGCCAGGTATCATCCGGTTGTTCACCGGGAACTCGTGCTACATCAACCTGCGGGGGTTTGCTAAAACAATAAACGCATTTACATTATGCCAGCCTCCCAATCGGTGAGTATAAAGCTGGATCACAGTGCTTTGATTCTCGGTTCGCGCAAGCTTCTTCTCATTTCCCATCCTCAGTCAATATGTTGAGTCACGCAATCTGGGTAGGTCTCCTGGCCTGCTCGACGGCGTTTGCTCAAGACTTCAGCACATCGCCGCCAGTCTATCCAAGCCCACCTACTCAAGGTCTCGATTGGGAAGCTGCTTTCGCCCAAGCTCAAGCATTTGTTTCAAACCTGACCCTAGAAGAAAAAGCCCAGCTTGTGACTGGGACTTCAGGCCCATGTGTTGGCAATATTGGCGCCATTGAGCGCCTCGGTTTCAATGGTCTTTGTCTCCAAGATGGTCCTCTGGCAATCAGACAAGCGACCTACGCGTCTGTTTTCCCGGCTGGTCTTACAACCGCCGCATCATGGGACAGAAGCCTCATGTACCAGAGAGGGTTCTTGATGGGTACCGAATTCAAAAACAAGGGCGCCCACGTTGCTCTGGGTCCAGTGGTTGCGCCCTTGGGCCGCTCTGCGTATGATGGCCGCAACTGGGAAGGGTTTTCTCCAGATCCATACCTGACAGGAGTAGCTGCAGAGGAAACGATTACAGGCATGCAGGATACGGGTTTGCAAGCATGTCTGAAACATTTCATCGGGTACGAGCAAGAGACTCAACGAAATCCAAGTTTGTCGGCAGACAATATCACGATTGAATCAGTGTCTTCCAACATCGACGACCGCACCATTCATGAGTTGTACTTGTGGCCTTTTGCCAATGGCGTCCACGCAGGCGTATCTTCAATCATGTGCTCCTACAATCGAATCAACGGGTCGTACGCATGCCAAAACTCCAAGACGATGAACGGAATACTGAAGGGTGAGCTCGGGTTTCAAGGCTATGTCATGTCGGATTGGGGCGGTACCCATTCTGGAGTAGCCTCCGTCAATGCTGGACTTGACATGGATATGCCAGGTAAGCATTCGAAGTTCGAACACAGTCAGTCTCTGGGCCGCAGCTCCTGACACTCTAATCAGGCCCTATCTCCTCAGATCAGAACTCGTCCTACTTTGGCGGCAACGTCACACAAGCCGTCAATAACGGTACAGTCAACGAAACACGATTGGACGATATGGCACTGCGCATCATGACGCCGTATTTCTTTTACAATCAAAGCCAATACCCGCCGATTGATGGCGAAGAACCAGCACTGGCGTCGTCCTTTCCGCCATACGTATACCAGTTCACCTTAGGACCAGCCAATGTTGATGTTCGCGATGAGCACCAGCAGCTCATTCGAGCATTAGGGGCTGCTGGAACCGTCCTTCTCAAGAACGTCAACAACACTCTCCCGCTAAACGCGCCGAAGACCATCGGCATCTTCGGCAACGACGCTGGCGATTTAGTGGACGGAGAATATTTCTCGGGCCCAGCATTCCAAAGCCAGTACGGCTACGGTAAGCCATGTGCACTCTGACATGCTGGCCACGCTGACATGATGTACAGAATATGGCAACCTCCCTGTAGCAGGAGGCAGCGGCACCGGTCGACTCTCGTATCTGGTTTCACCCCTCGAAGCGATCAAAGCTCGCGCCGTACAGGACGGAACACTGGTGCAGTACATCCTGAACAACACCCTCATCGCGACACCAGGCGGCCTGGCAACGATTCTTCCCGTGCCTGAAATCTGTTTTGTCTTCCTCAAGACATGGGCATCTGAGGGCATCGACCGTATCGGCCTCGAACCGGACTGGAACAGTACAGGCGTAGTCGACTCGGTCACCTCGTTCTGCAACAGCACCGTGGTCATCACCCACTCCGGAGGACTGAACGTCATGCCCTGGGCCAACAACCCAAACGTCACCGCCATTCTAGCCGCTCACCTGCCTGGCCAAGAATCCGGAAATTCGCTCGTCGACATTCTCTACGGCGTGGTCAATCCAAACGGCAAGCTGCCCTACACCGTCGCCTTCAACGAGAGCGACTACGACTACGCGCCCATCACCAATTCCACTGAGCTGCTCGAGACCGAAGATCCCAACGCCTGGCAGTCGAATTTCACCGAAGGTCTTCTCATCGACTACCGGCACTTCGACTATTACAATATCTCCGTGGCATTTGAGTTCGGCTTCGGCCTTTCGTACACGACGTTCGAGATGTCAGACTTGACCATCAACACCATCGCCGTAGGCAATATCAGTGCCTTTCCCGATGCGAGTCCTATCGTACCAGGTGGCAACCCATCGCTATGGGGAATCTTGTACACTGTCAACGTCACGGTCACAAACACTGGAAACACTACCGGCGCTGCGGTCCCGCAGGTCTATCTGTCCCTTCCTCAGATTCCAGGCGAGGATCCTACTCCACTAAATGTCCTGCGCAACTTTGACAAGATCTACCTTGACGCCGGACAAAGCCAATCGGTCATCCTGCCTCTGGCAAGACGCGATCTGAGTTACTGGGACACAGGGCTGCAGCAGTGGGTCATCCCCTCCGGTCCGATCGGCGTCAATGCGGGCTTTAGCAGTCGTGATTTCAGACAATCGACACAGATCACAGTAGTGGCATGAGAGGTGTCCCGACGTCCTCGGCTAAGCCATAATTGTATCTCAGGCAAAGAAAAGTATCAGTAATAGTCATTATCTGCCCATATAAAATATCTCTCTCCGCATATTTACAATGGCGGTAATGCTTCTCGACAAACCGGGCAAACAAGTCTGAGGTTCATCCAACCTTCGAGACATTCTGCGTGGAAGATATGCCGACAAGGCGTTACCATGTAGTTTCTCTGCTCCAACCAAGCCGTGCCTCCTCCACTGCTATCGCCTTTAGACAGCACAGGAACATCAATTTCGTTCATGCAAATGGCGCAGTCAAACACCTTTCTCGTCTTGTCGTCTTTGTCTTTCGCTTCGGATGCGGAGGCCAGTAAGCCAATCGACATGCCATTCGCCTCGATGTCGTCATCGCGGAGGACGGGATGATAGTCGTAGGCAGGCGGACACCAGGAGTCGCGTACGAGTAGACGCGGACCGAGAAATTGTTGGCTTGCCAGAATACTGACTTGAAGCCATAACCAAGCCAGTAAGATGAAAGCCGTGATTGGGCTCGTATCAATTGAGAGGATGTTATGATCGACAAAATACCAATAAAGAATTGGCACGGCTCGGAGAATGCTGGAACCGACAACGTATTCCCAACTAAGGGCTTTCCGACAGTTGCGTATCGTGTTGCGATAGATTTGGGGCCACCAGAATGAGAAGTAGCAGAAAACAAGGATGTTTGCGTATGCTGATCGTAAGCTCCGAGGCCAGGACATTGACCAAAGAGAGAAAAACATGAGTATGACGAGTGAGAAGTAGAATCGGCTGTAGATCGCTGCAAAGGATGCCCTTGCGCTTGGTATGGGCATCTGAATTGTGGTATCCTGGTCGAATGGGATAGCTATTGGCGTGGCACCTTCCGGGCGTGGAGCGGTAGCAGGAAGCGGCAGACCTACTGTACCGTCGGCACTCGTGGCTGGAGGAGGGGCCGGTGTTGTGCCAGGAGCAGGAGTCGGGTTCTGCGGGTGTCGCCTTTGTCTCTCCATCTCCGCGCGTGCAGGGTCACCGACTTGCACGGTCCATATATCGAAGACAAATTTGACCTCCAGAAAAGCAACATGGATGCAAGCGAGGAATGCAGCTGCAGCAACAACTAGGAAAGCTGCTTCATCGATCATAAGCAATGCGATTAGAACGAACAAAACCAAGCCGTCTCCCAATGCAGCAATAACAAGGCTTTGATATGCTATTCGACTGCGAGTCGAGGGAGTTGCCGCTTTCTCCATCTGACGCTTCAATAGGGCGATTTGAAGTCCCAAGGTCATGATAAAGGAGAAAACCAAGCGTTGTGCCAGTGCCCAGTATACTTCGACCTTGGGTCCGGCAATCGTGTCAGATGAAAGTATGTAGCCACAATCCGGAGAAAAGATGTTGGCGGAATATGTAAGGAGTGGAGGCTGACCGATAGGCGCACCCTCAGGCTGTTGAAGCTCCAGTTCGACCTGATGCAGGAATCTGTGGATTTGACTGTCGTCCAGTCCTCCGAACTGCTGACGCAAAGGCTGCAGCCACACGATCAGTTCGCATTGAGGTGCAAATGCTATACCATCGGACAGGTCTTCGAAAGTCTTCTGCCATTTTTCATGCAAGGTCTCATTCATAATAATCCTCGAGGCGTCGAAACCATCGGCATCAAGCGCAAAATGAGGAAAAGCAGGGAAGGAGTCGAATTTTGAGCTGGAGGTAGACATGATGATCTGGCCAGAGGGGAAATGGACTCCTTGGAGCTTCGCCTGCCATCCGTTCCCAGGTGAATCATCCGTCCAAAGGGAAATATCAGCCTTGATGGCTGAGGCGTTGCGTGCATCGCGGTCTTTCGAATCGTACAGAGAGAAGCTGACCTCGCCTTCTTTCTCGGTGATGTTTCTCTCGAAGAAGGTCAACATGTACTCCCGCTTCGGATCAATGGCAGTCAGGTTAATTGGTCGCGGTGGTAGAGAAGTCTCCATTCTGGAGAACTTGCCACGGATCTCTCCAGTGACTTTGTCGTAGAGTGGCAATTCATCGTTGAGGTCTGCGCCCTTCCAGGCAGTCTCGAATTGCTGCTTGCTGAATTCCTGGACACGCGAGAGTAACTCCCATTGGTAGCCATCTCCTTCTCGGAAGCCCGTGAGATTAAGCCATTGATCCTTTTCCGGATTGAGTTGGCCGTAAGAAGAGTTGGTCAAGACGTCAAGCTCCACCTGCCGCTGTTCTTCAACATTGGTGGTGTCAAATCGGAATTGTCGTCGTGCAGGCTGTTCGGGGGTGAGAAAGACAAAGAGAAGTAAGACTACCAAGAGGACAACGCGCGGAGCTTCCATCCACGAGGTTGTAAGCTCTTGCGACGCATCGCAGAGTGGAAGCTTGATAGGACACTATAGTGATGATAGATTCAATAAAGATGAAGACAGGGTTGATGGATGAATAATTCCTTCATCACAGGTCACTGTACCGAGGTGAAGCAACAGGTGTCGTGCCTGATCCAATCGGAGTTTCCCTCTACTCGTCATTTCTCCTGCCAAACGCGATGTGAACTCCCTTTGAAAGAAATGTCCACTGAATGAGTGTCCCACCACTCTTTCACCTCAACACATACCTATGTCCTCATGAACAGGGCACACAGGCCTCATTGAATTCCTGAGCCTGTCGCTGCCCACCTAGGAGCTCTCCATCATGGCGGACAGTATGCCAATTCCAGTCCCTCCTCGAACTCCCACACCTCCCCCTGATGAACCAGCATCTCCCCCACTCGACCCTGCTTTCGATGCAGATGCTCCCATTGCACCAAACACTTTGTCGCCTCTTCCAATCGAGCGTGAGAGTATGTTCTCATTGGATGCAGGGTTGAGGTCTCCCACAACGCCAGGCAAGAGCCCAAGTAAAGATGGCTTTGGTCCCTTCAACTTTCAGCCTGCGGCCATGGCCAAATCGCCGGTCATCAAGTCAAATATAGGGCAAAGACGAGGTCACAAATATAAACACAGCAGTGTCTCGCACCAAATCTTCCTCGAACCACCTCCAAGAGCGCCCTTGGCCCTCCCAAACTCCCTACCAATTCCCACTTTTGCTGAGTGCAGAGCAAGCATGACCAAAGATCAGAATATTCGCTTCTACTGGAGTATCTGTCATATGGCTATCGCAGGATACACGGCATGGAATGCGCATGGGTCAGCAGCAATAGAGGCCCTGTCGCACTTGATCTTCTATGACTCGCTGGGAGCGCTCCTATGTGTGTTCGTTGAGGTGCTATCCAACTTTGAGGTCTGGGGCCGGTCGAGTGTCAGGCATCCGTTCGGCTTGCAGCGCATGGAGGTCATTGCTGGATTCGCCCTGTCTGTCCTTCTAATCTTCTTTGGCTTCGACTTGATATCCCACAATGCGAAACACGCGCTCGAAGGCATCGGGCACGAACCGCATCATCCACACACTCACGAACGCGTTTCCGCAGGCACGGTGGACCTTACGGCTATGCTCGCTCTGGTTGCAACATTAATATCAGCCGTTGGATTGCAAAACCATGCTCGGATCGGAAAAGCCATGCGGTTTGCTGCGATGGAGAACCTGCCATCTCTATTGAGCAACCCCTCGCACTTCCTCACTCTCTCCTGCTCAGCTACCATGCTCATGCTGCCTCTGCTGTCACTGCACACGTACGAATGGGTGGACAAGGTTCTCTCTTTGAGCATCGCGCTCAGTATGCTCTTCCTTGGGGCACACCTCGGGCGCAATGTCGGTGCGATGCTTCTAATGTCTCTACCTTCAAAGGCGGCGGACGTTGCTGAAGTGGTTCAAGCCATCGAAGCAGAACCTTTGGTTCGCAATGTCGAACAGGCCAAGTTCTGGCAGGCACATTACGGCATGGGCATGGCAAACTTACGGCTACGGGTCGTCGGGACTGAGGAGAGTCTACTCAAGCTGAGGGAGAGAATCGGCAGCATTATTCGGAATCGGCTGAGTGGAGGCTATGGCTCGGGAAGCAGTGGTCAGAAGTGGGAGGTCAGTGTACAATTCAAGGTTGATATCGACAGCGCCATTTCTCAGAGTCACGGTCATGGCCACTTTGGATCGATTCCTGGGTGGACATCGAGTCTGAGTTGAGGCGCAGTTGATGTTATTACTGTATAACTATGATGATTTTATGATTGTACAATGCACCATAAACACATTTTATGATGACAATACCGACCTTCTCATATCGTTCACCCAGTTGCGGTCTTAGCTTGCGTCGCTGTTGGCACTTGCGGCACATCTTGCGCGCTGAAGCTCTGTGGAGCCTTGGTGCTGCGCAACGATTGCGGTCGTTTGTGAGCCTGGTGCTCAAGTATGAACTCTTGCTAACAGTGCTCAAGTACGAGCTCTTGCTGACGGCTGTTTGAACCATTGTCGTAGCCCAAGCCAGCATCGCGAACTTTCCAACGGGCACGATCCTTCCAGGGGCAGGATGTATCATATCCTGTGAAGGAGCTTAAGTTCCCACTGGCGCGTCCGCATGATGACTTGCTGTCGTTCTCGTGGGTACACGCATGCGTACCAGATCGCTGGTCGTCGAAAGGCCACAACGGTCCTATACAGTCCTGCGTCGGACCATGCTGACAATTCCATTCTTGTCAGGTCTGCAGATGCTTTGTTCAAGGTATCTTGACGGTCATGGTAGCTTGTCTGAGGATGGCTCCATCCATCGGAGCGGTCTCGGCAGCCCCAACTTCCTGTACTTTTTCCTTTATTGCCTGGACCAATGCTTGGGCCTCTTCTGGTGTTGCTTTCCTTTGATGTCTCTTCGGCGCCAGCAACAGTTCGACTTTCTTGCCTTTCCGGAGAAACTCCTCTAGCTGCTTCATCTTGAGCTGCAAATCGTTGCCACTGATGGCCCAATTCAGTTCAATTTGTTTAGGTTTCTTCTCTTTCTGTGCCTGCTTAACCTGACGTTCAGCTGTCTCCTTGTCATTGAGCCGTTTAATTAGGTCTTTTCGCTGCACTATCTGCACGATCGCTTCGCTATCGCCGGGTTTGCTCAGCTGCAAGACATGACTGTCCGCTCGATCGATTTGGCGGAGTAGTTCGTAGAGATCTATGGGATCAGAAAGCTTGTTGTCCTTCTTCTCCCTGACGAAGCGGGTCTCGATCTTCTCGTCTAGAGTGAATGACTGTTGGATCTTGTCATCGATGGTGACAACCTGGATTTTCCCAACGGGACGCCGATAGACTGCTGTTAAAGAGGGCGACGTAAGGAAAGATCTCTTTGGGACGCATTGAAAGAGCAGCTGCTGAGTACCAGGGCGAGCACCAAGCAGCGCAACCCGCAAGAGCGGCTTTACCAACACAAGCGCCTGCTGCATCAAATATCGTCGAGAGTTGTCACAGCGCAAAAGAACAGCAAGCGACCGAGTCTTTAGAGATTATCATCGGTGTCACTATTTCGAATTGGAGAAGTTTCCCCAGAACTTTGCCTTTTAATTTACCTGCATCTCGCCGGCGTCGCCGCACCAGTCCAGGGGTCAAGCGCCAACCAGGAATCACTGGCGCCTCTCCCAGGGTCCGCATCTGTCCTCGCCATATCTTTTTTGTGGCTGCCGTGTCCCCGACAGCGCGAGGCCCCTTATGCGCCTTCGTCGAGATAATAAATTTCAATCTGCTCATTACTCCTCCACAACGGTGAGGCTGTCCATGTCCTCCTCAAATTCGTCCTCGGGCGGGATCTGGTCATACGTTCCTTTCGGTTCTTCTCCACGCCGTCGCTCAGTATCCAGCGGCCTGCCATTGAGACACTCGGCCAACGGCAGTACCGACAACACTCCTTGGGACCCCTTCGAGAAGTCAAGTCGACAGACGAAAGAAAACGACGGAGGCCGCTCCTTCACACTGGAGTCCATTCGGACCGCTTGGATGACTCAAAGTCGCCAGGCTCGATATGTGAAGGTTGGAGGTGTTTTGGGATTAATAGTACTATTATATTGGTTTCTTTCTGGTGGCCAGTATACCTCCAGCCCCAACAATGTCTACACTCCCAGCAATTCTCCGACGACGAAATGTACGAAGCCTTACGATCACACGAAACCACTGGTGCAGTATGCGATTATGATTGATGCGGGAAGCACGGGCAGCAGAATACATGTGTACAAATTCAACAACTGTGGCTCGACGCCTGAGCTGGAAAATGAAGAGTTCAAGATGACGGAGAAGAGACCCGAAGGGTCCGGACTGAGTTCCTACAAGACGGATGCGGAGGGCGCGGCGAAGAGTCTTGATCCCTTGATGCAAGTCGCCCTCACTTCGGTACCGGACGAGTACAAATCATGCACGCCGGTTGCAGTGAAAGCTACCGCAGGCTTGCGATTGCTTGGGGAGGAAATGAGCCAGAAGATTCTTGACGCGGTGCGAACGCGCCTGGAGACACAATATCCTTTCCCGGTGGTTTCTCGAGAAAAGGGAGGTGTTGAGATCATGAAGGGAGAGGATGAGGGAGTTTTCGCATGGATTACCACGAACTATCTCCTGGGTAAAATTGGAGGACCAGATGAGACACCGACGGCCGCTGTCTTCGACCTTGGTGGCGGATCTACACAGATTGTCTTCCAGCCGACTTTTAAGAACAGTCCGCATGGAGGTATGCCTCCCAAGATGGCTGACGGTGACCACAAGTACAGCTTGAAGTTCGGCGGCCGAGAATTCGAGCTTTATCAGCATTCACACCTTGGCTATGGACTCATGTCGGCGCGAAAAGCACTGCACGTTTCAGTGCTGGAGCATATGCACAAGCAGAACCCCGACTCAACAGCGTGGCTCTCTAAGCCCATTCCGAACGCATGCATCACGCCGGGCGAGCAAAAGAAGGTTGACGTTACCATGCCTGCGGATCATCCCCTCGCAGGCGATCACAGCGTAACTATGGAGGGTCCAATCGACGCGTTGCCAGCTCAGTGCCGCGCATTGGCGGAGGGAATTCTGTACAAGGAGAAGGAATGTGCGATTGCACCTTGCTCCTTCAACGGCGTCCACCAGCCTTCATTGGACAAGACTTTTGCTAGGGAAGATGTATACGTTTTCTCATACTTCTACGATCGCACGCACGACCTCGGAATGCCCGAGTCCTTTACGCTGAGAGAACTACAGGATCTGACGGAGAAAGTCTGTGGCGGCGAAAAGCACTGGGGCGGCTTCGCTGGCGTTGAAGGCGCCCTTGCTGAGTTGCGCGACCGACCGGAATGGTGCCTGGATTTGAACTTCATGACTGCTCTTTTGCACACTGGATACGAGATGCCGATCGACCGGGAGGTCAAGATCGCAAAGAAGATCAAGGGCAACGAATTAGGATGGTGCCTGGGTGCCAGTTTACCATTGCTGGAATCAGGCAGTGGTTGGGAGTGCCGGATCAAGGAGGTCTCGGCATGATATTGTTCTTCTTCTTGTACGTTATCTTTACGTGGAAGGATGGTAAAATAGATTCGGTGATTGTAGCAAAAACGGGTTTGCCTGGCAGCGGAGTTCAGGAGGAGGGATAGACAACACTTCGCGCCGTGCTGCAGACTTTAATCATGTATACAAACGCCCGAAAGTCTACTTGTACCTTTCTACTACCCAAACACCTTCGCTGGCGCCCAGAGGAAATTCACCTCTGATGAAAGTAAATATGGTCGATTCACTAGAACGCCCCTTTACCCAACAACTCATCCCCAACCTCTTTCAAAAGCGGCTCATCTTTGACACCCAAGTCAGAAGCCTTGATCTCCTTGAGGGCCTCCCGCAGATCCATTGCTCGACAGAGATCCCAGAGCATGTCCTCTGGTGGCGCCGCGTAGAGTAGCATGCCCAACGCCAGGAGAAGTGCATGCAATGTCTCCGTGGTACTTGCGGCCGAAGAAGCAGGGCCTGAGACCACACTCGACAAACTCGTAAGGGACTCCAGGAGCGCAGCGGAGAGGTCGTCGTTCGGAGATGCATCCTCGTCGGGGGTGTTGTGCATTCGCTGGTTGTGCATGTACGCGGACAAATTATACACCAGTGCTGCGGCCATGGACCGGGCATTGGCATGTGGTGACAATAGGCACTGTGAGGCGAGTGTCTCGATCTTATCTTTCAGGCTCGAACCACCGTTCGATGACCCGGACTGGCCACGAAACACTTGTTCTTGGAAGACGTTCGAGCCGAAGAGGTTGCAGGCAAGTTGCAGGGAGACGGCCTGGATGTTGTACGGCGCATTTGAGAAGTCGTCGCTGTAGCCTGTACCAGATAGCAAAGTAGACAGTGTTTTGAGTTCGTGCTCGGCGGCGAAGAAGCTCGATACGCGAGGGTCGACGGCCGCAACGCGGACTAGGTCGATCACAGCGAAATGAGTGTTCGCCGGTAACGAGGCGAAGGACGAGGCTAGATGGTCGCTGAAAGCGTGGAGATTTGGGATCGGCGCTTCAGTCATGCCTTGGTCATCGCGCGTCTTGATGTAAGCGAGGAGGTCTTGTACAGACTGATCTTGCGTGAACTGGGGTCCAATCTTTGCAAGCAGCTTGTCTAATGGTGGTGTGCGCGTGTACATGATCGGCTTGCCAATGGTGCGTTGGAAGGTGGGCAATCTTAGGCTCGAATGCCGATGTTGTGGCGGTTGTGCCATCTGAAGGAGAAGTCGGACGTTGCCTTTGAGCTGGGCTGGGTTTGCGCCGGCCCATTCCTCCTGCTTCTGGCCTTTGAGGAATGTAATGAAGGTGGGCGTGGCGCGAACTTGGTATCTTTGTGCGACAGCATTTGCTGACGGTGAAGCAGAGATGTCGATCTTGATCAACTTCGCACCGCTTCTTGTACCGGCTTCGGCTGCCAGTTCGTCATATGTGGGATATACAATCTTGCAGGGTGGACAGGTGGCTGAGGTGAAGAAGATCACCGCGCAAGAGTCGCGAGCTGCTTCGAGGAGGCGGTCTAGTTCGGATGGAGAGGAGATGTAGTGCACTTGTCCGGGAGTCTCTGATGGAGGCTGTGCGTTGATGATTGCTGTGGAAGGTAGTTTGTGTGTGGTGCCGTTGCTTATTGGAGTGGTGCTGGCGCCATTTGTAGTTGGTTTGGGTATGGGTTTCGTTGTTGCTGAGCTGCTCGAAACGTTCCGACCGGCGACAGCATCAGGAGCCTGGGTCATTTTCCTCATAGACTGGTCAATCTGGCCACGCAACATCTGCCCGATGGGTGTCTTGAGGAATGTCTCTGGCAGACTCCGGATCTCATCCGGAATGCTTTTGCCGACGAGAAACATGGCCAGATCCTGACTGAAATTGTTGCAGTTGTGCAGGAACAAATCGTAGGATTCCGGAGTGTAGATTTCTGCTAATGATTCGACATACTCCTCGACGACATCGATAGGAAGGTGCGTCTTGCCCAGATCGACAACTTGTATGGGTCTTCCATGGTGAGTAGATCCGGGGATCTTTCTGTGAATACCCTGACCAAAAAAGTATTCTACATTGTTAAAGACAATTGCTGTATGATAGATGGCGTCGATTTGAATGCCAGTGAGGGCGCGAGAGTATTGCCTTGCGAGACCCTGATGGAGTGTAAGCAGGGCAGTGTCAGTAACACCAGAGAGAGATCAAATACCTGTGAAAGGTCGTAAACGTATAGCTGAACATCCATCGCACTCCAGATGGGTGTATCTGATCTAGAAGTCAAAGCTGTCTACCGCATCGTATCTGAGGAAGAAGACATCCAAGTAGATGGTCACAGCGGCAATATAATCGTCGTTAACGAACAGGCGGCGAAAGTAACGTCAACCAACATCAGCCACATTTTATTCACTCTTATTCTGTGGCAGTGTGGCGTCATCAATAGTCGCCTGTGCACAGTCACCATTTCTACCACAATCATCAATCTTCCAGCCATCCCACCTTACGTGGTTCAAGTCTTGGATGTGTACCACATTGTGCGCTCCAATGTTCTTCAACCTTGAAAATGGTCTGCGCCCGCCCAACTCATGGCTTGACCTTGCTGACAGTGTTTAGCCACCACGGAAAACGCCCGCAAAGGGTAAGGCCAGCGCCGCGAAAGGCAAGGCAGCAGAACCGCCAAAATCACGCCGCTCAAAGCTCGCCAAAGAGAACGAGATCACCGCAGAAGAAGAGGCCGAGATCAAAGAAGCATGGAACCTCTTTCGACTCGATGACGTGGAGGAATACGAAGATGAGAAGGAAGGAGTCATCCGAACCAGCGAGGTAAAGACAGCTCTCAAAGCTCAAGGCCTTGCTCCTCGTAGTCAATCGGACATGCAAGAATTCATCGAGACCCTTGATCCCGATTCATCTGGCTATGTTACTTATGCGCATTTCCTTGCGTTATGTGCCATTCAACTCAAGTCCAAGACCGACGAGGCCAAGGACGAGGAAGTTCAGACTGCCTTTGACCTATTCAGTCCCGGCCAGGGCGTTGCAGGCCAGGAACAGGTCATTCACGTGCAAGATCTACGGATAGTGGCGAAAACATTGAGGGAGGACATTAGTGACGATGTCTTGAAGGCAATGATTTTGGAAGCGAATGGTGGGCAAGGTATTGGCAAAGGTGTCAACCTGGAGGACTTTCGTGCTGTAATGACCAGGGCAGGTGTGTTTCAATAAGAGTCGGGGATTGGGAGGCGGCAAGGTGTTTTTGGGTGACTGGGGCGATGTCACTTTTATGGACTGAAAAACAAGGAGAGACTACGGTGACCTTGAATGGGAAACGGGAGAAGAGAGTAGATTGTCTCCACGACTGATCAGCTCACGATTCATGGTGAATCGTGACAGTAGAGATCCGTGGAAGCCTCGCAGTCAGATTTTTTGTCTGGCTGTTGACCGAGGCCTGGTACTATTCTAGCTTCCCTGTCCACACTGGCTCGTTCTGGGTGTATGGAAACGGCCAGCTCTAGCATAGATAGAAGCGATGAGAGGGCAATTGACGAGCATTCATCATGGGGAGTGTCGAGGAGATATCGCGTGTAGCACACCAGCAGAGCTCCGACAAGTCTTACTTCTCACATTATATGACTTCCTCGAGGACATCTCATCACGCAAGTTCCGTGTGTATGACGGGATCATTGATCGTAGACCCTTTCTCATGGTCATGTGTGGGAAACAAAATGATATGGCAATGAGCTTTGAGAATGAAGAATTGTTGAAGCTTCGCAAATTTTATGGCCAGTCAATAGATATTTTCTGGTGCCAAGCATGTGTTGTTTCAATTTATCTTTTAGGCTAGTGAGGCTTATAATGTTGAAATGGACGCGATGATGGTCTATTCTATTGTTTTGCTTTTGAATGTTTTCGAGTATCTGAGTCAATTCTACGCGCATCAGTCACAAGTGCTATAATCTAGCACGCTGCGGTTTTCGAGCCCACGGATGATCGTCGCTTCGGTAGATCAATGACTCGAGCTCTCCAGTGTTGACCAGGCCAGGGTGCGCTTGATCGAGGCTCGTGATTCCTGCAAGCTGCATAGCAGTAGCCAATTCCGCTTCAAGAACTATTCACAGTCAGCTGAGCACCAGGTCGGACAAGTCTTTAACTTACTCTTGATGACGTGTTTGACGCCCTCCGCACCATATGCTAGGGAGTAGAAGAATGGCCTACCCAGGCACACGGCGCTGGCACCCAAACAAATGGCCTTGAGGATATCGGTACCTCTCTGGATACCTCCATCGATGAACACCTCGAGCTTGTCCAAAATCTCCGGGCAGATTGCCTGGATCTCGAGCAGAGTGAGGATTGATGGCATCGCTGTGTCGAGCGCTCGTCCACCATGATTCGAGATGTATATCCCAGCACAACCACACTCAGCCGCCTTTCGGGCATCCGCGGCACACTGGATCCCTTTCACGAAGACCGGCAGACCCGTACGTTTTCGGATCCATTCGATGTCCTTCCATGACAGGTCCGGATCGACCGAAGACTGTGACGGTCTTTGCGCCGCTTCCACCTCCAACTTTTTGTTGCCTTTTTTCTGTCGTTCTCGTACCATGAACTTTGCATAACCTTCGCGCTTCGACATGACCGGAAGATCTGCTGTGACCAGGATACCCTGTGGACGCAATGCGCAGACTTGGTCAAGCAGCTTCTCCAACTCAGACTTGTTGCTGTGGGCATACAGCTGGAAGAAGAACGGGTGCCCTTGTGGAAAAGCTTCCACTATCTCCTCGATCGAGTACGATGCCATGGTCGGAATGATCATCGGATTGCCGCAGGAGCTGATGCCCCTGGCCAATGCAAGTTCGCCGTCTTTGTGTGCAAGCATTGCCGACGAAAAGGGACTGTTTAGAATGGGCGAAGCCCATTTTCGACCAAAGATCTTGGTTGTCAGGTCTACTGTGCCCACGCCGGTCAGCACTCGCGGTCTGAACCATATTCGCCGGTACCAGTTCTGATTTGCCGCTTTCGTGAGACCTTCTTCTGTCGACGAGTCGAGGTACGCCCACGACTTTGGTCTCAGTGCCGTCTCAGCGACCTTTTCGAACTCGTAAATACTGATGATAGAATCAAGGTCAGGCTTGGAAGGTGTTGCAATCTGCTCCGATCCATCCGTGTTGGTATCTGTCTTGGGCGCGCCTGCTTCGACAAGACCAATCTTTTTGGCCTCGCCAAGGTATTTCTCCACCAGATTTGGGCTGTGTACGTTGTTGTAGTTCTCACTCCCATCTTGGCCGAAGAATTCTTCAACAGCCTCACGTCCACCCGGATGCACAACAGCAAACCCGCTGAAATCCCAGACCACTCCATTCAGCACAATCCATGCATCGTCGTCCTGGTTGTGCTTGGCGACTTCCACAAGAGGAATCCGCGTCGCACTCATCTCAGCTGACTCTGCTCAGAGATTGCTTTCAGTCCAACGCCCAACGCCCTCTGCCTTACAGTCTTCGTGGTGGGAGGGAGATGGCAAGGCTTGTTGTTGGCATGGCGGTCGATGCGACGTTGCGAGATAAATAGGCGATTGCGGACATTACCGCTGCTCGGATTGACAGCGAGCCACTACAAAGACGCCTATCTCCAATCCTGACTACGGGTGCCTGGCTTGCTAATGTATGCTAATTTTGGTGCCCAAACAAGACATGCAAATCAACGTCAATTGTTGCTGCAGACCTAGCGGGCAATTTGCCCAAGCGTTGAACTTATCAACACCATGAGTCCGATTCTGCCTTCCTCAATTCGCGTCAGGTACAGATGAGTCTCAATTTCTGTTGTCGCTCAACGCTTTTCGACCAATTCTGACCAGATCGTCATTCATCAAGGGGTCCTTCTCGAAGCCATCTAACACCTGGTCAAGCATTGCAGCGGAAATCTCAACCACACTTATGCTGGGAACCGAAGCCATCCACCACAGCACTGTCGCCCTCAACCAGTGCAGCATACTGCCCGGCTGAAGGATCAGGCCAGGTTTAGCAACACTGGCATCGATCTGCTCTGGATGTGAGGCGGCAAAATTGAGCACTTGATTCTCCGTTTCCCCCTTATTCCTGACGTGAGCACGTGAAATCCGGCGCGCATATAGACAGGTGAACTCACCCGCATCAAGGAATATTGGGCCATGAATCTAGGCGTCTTGGTCTGATCTCGCTCCGCAGCTATACCACTCATGTAGAGAAAGCGAAACGGCGTAGACTTGCCAGTGCCGCGAGCGTCGAAGATGGCTTCCAGACCAGACATGGTATAGTCTTGACAGACACGTTTCACCACGTCCCAAGGCATATTTCTGGACTTGGTGGGCGTGATCGCAAGCGTCCTTGTCAAACATCAGAATCAATGCTTTCGTCAAAACAATAGCCTACCAGATACAGGCGTCTGCGCCTTCCAGTTGTTTCTTCACTTCTTCCGGATAACGATCAAAATCCTGCACCACTACGCTCTTCAGCTTCCCGGAGTCTGACTTCGGTCCTAGATTCTGGGGAACATCCACGGGACGCCGCGCAAGGGCCAGAACTGATGTTATCCTCGGATTGTTCAGGCTTTGGCGAATCAATTCTGTTGCAACAAATCCGGTACCTCCTGAGATGATGAGCTTCATGATCTCAACTGTAATCAATCTTTTCGTCGCATATGGCAGAGGTTCAAAGAAACGCGACGAAGCAGAAACGCATTGACGATGTTCTTCACCTAGTTCATGGCACTGGCCTCATGTCGAAACATGAAAAGAAGGAGGCCTGAATGCCAAGGAGGTCGACCGGGAGTAAGCACTTAAACGCCGGTGAGGTGCAGACTGCCTTGACTACAATTGTACTTCAAGGCCTCCTCTGCATGTAACCGGTCTGTGGCGGAGAGCGTCGAAGATATAGCCGATGCCTTTATTAGCGAGATGATATATCACCTCTCCTCTCCTGCTTTACATCAGAGGCACAGAGGGTCATTGTTGTTGCCGCGTGATGATCTCCCGGGCCGCGTCAGCCTTATCAGGTTTGATATGAGGGGCGATAACAACCAGGAAAACAAGGTACCTTCAAATATGATACGCAACCACTTACCATGTTAGAACGCTTCTAGAGAAGACGTCGTGGTCGCCATGGCTCTGTCACGACTGAGAAGCAGTCTGCACGTTTGGCTGAGCCTCCTAGGCCTGACCATAGCTGCACAACAGATTCCCCTCTCATCTAGTATTCATGAGCAGTCAAATCTCGACTTCACATCCTTTGCGCCTCACATCTTCTCCTCCCTTCGATATCTCTTGGAGCAATGGCCAAACACATATATACCCAATGGCCACTCCATCATACCCTGTGAGATTCCTGCCTACACAAATCTCTACCATGGAAGACGAGACGGACTGCTTCCCTCAAGCCCTGAATGGTTTGCATTCGATGCGGAAATGTCTTATGGCATCATGGGCTCGGACCGCAATTCGCATCTGCTAACGTACCAGAACGTGAAGCCAGTACAATGTCTCTACTTCGACGGTATGTCGGCTGCGCTGATGGGCAGTGGCCCACTCGACTCACAGATGGTATTCCTCTGTGGCAATACTACCTGCTCTCTCGGTGGTGACGACCCGTGGCATGGCATCATGGATGAGTACGCTCGTGCTGGCGCACTCTGTCACTGGGTACAGCAGAATGGACTGGGCGGTCTAGGCTGGGGGGTGGAAGGAATTGTGAGAATGAATGCTGGATTCGAGATGATTTGGTGCAATTTCACCAGTCCAAACATGCAACTGATCAGTCACGTCAATGTTACTGCGCCATTACTGCCGGATCGAACCAAACAGGAAGAGGTCCTGGGCGAGATGGCGTCAGTCGAAGATCCATCCACGGCTACTGACATGCTGGCCACACGTTCAAGCCCATCATCAACTTCGACCTCAGACATTCCGACGGGGAAACCAGATATGCCTTCTCCACCCAACTTTCGCGGCGGCGGACTTGAACCGTTCTTGCGGTCACAGAGTTTCGAATGGTACCGCAGCGCATCATGGCACATAGGCAGCTCCGGCTCGTCCATCGGCCGCCCTGAAGGCAGAGTCAAGCTCAACTCTTGTGGATTCCTGACCTACTATGAGCCAGTCCTCAAAGATTTCCACTCTGCATTCGTTGAGGAAGAAAGATCCCGCCTGAATCTCACAGCAGATGGGACTTGGAAAGGCCCAGGCGAAGATGGCAATCACAGCGTCGCTTTGAAAGAGCTCGCCCTCCGCCGACGATCGCACAACCTCGCCCAAATGACCAATCCCGAATCCGACATAATGAGAGATGCTGTCTTGCATACTCTTCGCGCCTTGAACCACTCCTCCTTTCTCTGTACGGGCATCGACTGGGTCCAGAAAGCCGTCGACGTGGCTGCCCGCTTCTCTATACCCTTGAGTCAAACCCAGCACCTTCTGTACCACCCTCCGACCGACAGAACCAACAACACCTTGATACAGGACTACATTGCAGCACTCCGCTCCAAATCACACACCATGCTCATGCCCTACCTGACTTACCCACTTACCGCCGCAGCACTGCCAGACATCAACGCTCACTGCACCACAAGCCAGACAATCGCCCTACAACGCCTCCGTGATACCCTTCTGCCAAACGAACGCTCTCTCCTCACCACCTTTGAGACCGTCCTCTCAGCCATCTGCAATACAACGCTGTCACTGGCTTTTGACGTCGAACAGGCTTGGCAAACATACTACCAGCCCAACATCTCCACGCCAATCCCAGACGACATCCTGGACACCCTTGTCAGGGACCACAGTGCTTCCATTTCCCTCCTTCGCGCCTGGCTCGGCTGGTTCCCGGATGACATGCAATGTGACAGCGTCTGTGCCGTGGACGAATTCTGCTTCATCCCCATATGGCCACTCATGTTCCTTGAACCGAGAGGAAGAGGTGGTCCTGGCCGTGGACCTGGCGGTGGTGGGCCACCCGGCGGAGGTGACGATGGTAGAGGACCGCCTGGACACGGCCCGCCTGGAAGAGGACGAGGTCCAGGAAGAGGGCCACCAGGCAGGGGAGGAGGCCCACCGGGAGGTGATCCATGGGAAGATATGGAATCCGAAATCTGGAGACCTAGGTGCATAAAGGTTTTGGATTGATCTCAGATCTGCTATATTATATATGCTGTTACTCCCGAGCAGCTCGAGGCGAGGCTGGTCCAGAGCCAATCATATGTCGCGACATATATCCGGTCCAACCTATCATATCTTTCCTTGTTATCAAGTACAAGTGTCATCCACCTGTCGGCTACGAGCGTACTCTACACCCTGAACAAAGACCATTCGTCCGCCTAGACGTCCTTCATTCTATGACGGATTGACTGCCGTCGGGGCAAGGAATTCGCATTTCCGCTGTACTCCGTACTGACACGCAGCAATGCAGGTTTCCTTGCGGGGTTGCTGCGCGGTGACGATGAACGGTGTCTCCCCGGTCGAATCCCATGTGATGTGTTGGTCACTCATGTTGGTCTTGCGTGTCCCATGCTCGGCCGAGCTTTTCGCTCAGTATGCTTCGGTCATCGACTATGGGTGAGGTGACCTCACTGTCTCTTGATTGACCAGCGGCTCTCTGCTTTGCGTGTTTGGCATTTATCGACTTTGGGCGGTGGTAATTGATTGCTAATTGTCAGCCGCAAACGAAACGGTATCGGTACTTCAGATAAATTGTTCAGTATTGCTTATCGTCGGATCAAACCTCAAGCATGGCGGGAGACGCCAATGTCACAGATATTCCGAGCGAGGCACAAACTCCAATACCACCAAAAGCCAAGAAGATATCCTATCTTAGTCTACCTCACAAAGGTCAACTCGCGATACTATGTCTCGCCCGAATGGCAGATCCACTGGCACAGACGTCCATTCAGGTATGCCTATGCACATCAGTGTGCTTGTCAAGCTTTAACCCGCCTTCCCAGTCATACATGTTCTATCAACTCAAGTTCTTTGACCCATCGCTGTCCGACGCTGCCATCTCGGCACAAGCGGGGTTCCTGATCAGTGCGAAAACCGCCGCTCAAGTATGTTCTGGATTGCTATGGGGTCGACTCGCCGACTCGGAGAACGGGGGAAGGAAATTGGTGCTTCTCATCGGTCTTGCCAGCTGCTGTGAGCCTTCATCACCCCCATCTCAGATCCTTGTTGAACGCGTAGGGGGCGAGGCTGATCATGAGAGCAGGCATCTCCTACCTCGGTTACGGTCTGGCACGAAGCTTTGCCGCAGCTACGATATTCCAGGTACTCGGGGGATCGTTGAGCAGCAACGTCGCATTGACACGATGTGTCGTCGCGGAGCTCAATCCAGAGAAAGCGTTCGTTGTTTCCATCTCGAGTTCTTCACGTTTCTGCATCGTACTGATCCACCATTAGATACCGAGCAAGGGCTCTCCTCCTGCTCCCACTGTTTGCCAATGCCGGAAATCTTCTCGGTCCACTTATAGGAGGCCTTCTCAGCTCAAACGCTAGAGATGCACCGAGTCAAGGGCAGTATCCTTACTTGGCACCAAATCTGTGCGTGGCAGCTGTGTACTTTGTCGCCGCTCTGGGCGTACTCTTCGGACTCAACGAGACGCTCGAAAGTATCCAGCACTCCAACGAAACGCGATTGCACCGGGCGATCAGAAAAGTCCAGCAATTCTTCTCCAAAGAGCCTTCGGAACATTACCAATACGCAGCAGTCCGGGATAATGACAGCGAGGCGGCCATGTCGCCCATTAGCACGACCGAGTCCAGCCCTGCCATCCCTAAGCGGCCCAGACGTAAGCGCAAGCTACCATTCCGTCGGATCTGGACATTCAACGTCGTTTGTACCATGCTTTCTCACTTTGTAATTGCTGGACATCTGGGCACCTTTTCGAGCCTGTGGGCGATATTTCTGAGTACGCCTGTTGGAGATGCAGAAGCTCGGCATCCTCCTTTCGTGTTCAACGGAGGTCTGGGCATGCTGCCTCGTGATGTCGGATTCGCCATGGCGCTCCTCGGGGCCATCGGAGTGTTACTTCAGCTCGTGGTGTATCCATTATTGCAAGACCGCTTTGGCACCATCCGGATTTGGCGCTGTGCTCTCTTGGTCTTCCCAATCGTCTACATCCTTGCGCCATTTCCCTCGCTCGTGGCATCCGCACCCTCACAAAGGGGTGACACAACTCCAGTACTCGTCTGGCTCGCGACCGCGGGCGTTATTGTGCTGTTCATTGTTGGCCGAACAGGAGTTACGCCAGCAACAACGCTGCTGATCAATGATTGCACACCGCACCCTTCTGTCCGTGGTACGATCCACACTACTGGAACCGTCGTCGGAAATCTTGCCCGATCATTCTTTCCCATTGGCGCCCTGGCTATCTTTGGACAAGGACTTCGCATCGGGGTCGTGGGCTTGGGATTCTGGTGTCTCATGGCGCTGGCGATCTTGTCGTACGTCGCGAGCTTGTGGGTCACAGAAGGATCCAATGGCCTGGAGATCAACCTTGATGACGAGGAAGACAGCGAGGAAGAGTGAACATCCTTGGTTTATTAGCCCGAGTATGCTACGGGAGGTAGATGCCCGTTGTCCCAGTGTCGAATTAATCGTCTCAATTATATAATATCGGTTGAATCCATGTTCCAAATTTCCACATGCGCAACGTCTTTCTCGTCGATCCTTCGTATCCTCCGCTTATACACGATCTCTTCGCGCGACGTCTCCGGGACAGGCGTATGTGACCCGATCGCACCTCCTTGAGAGATAGGAGTCTGCACAACCTCCTCAAAGACACCGCCAATTTCCCATATCTTGTGGCCCAGACCAATGTATCTCAACGCCGGGAAGTCAGGGACGCCACCGGCTGGACCACGTTGTGACAGGGCACCCTCCAGCTTCGACTCGTGCATACAGTCTGGTCGACTGATAAAAGAGTTGAAGGCTGCGACACGCTTTTCGCCATCCTCGCCTTCGAGCTTCGGCTGGAGGACACGGATAGCCCATAGCTTAGACAAGAAGGGGAAGATCAATCTCAGTACTCCCATGTCGTCACACTCGATCGAAGCGCTTAGTTGTGTGAGGTTCGGGCAAGATCGGACGAGTTTGGCTGTCAATGGCGCGGGGAGACACCATCGTGCCGGCAGAATTAAATGCTTCAACGTCGGACCGCAGACACCACAGATACCGTCGAGGTATAAGTCGCGCAAGATCGTGGTCGGCGTGGGCGTGCCACTTGATGTGCTGGGCGATGGTTCCCCAGGCGAGGGCGAGATGGTGCCATTGGTGGTACCCTCGGGCTTATGCCGGGCATTGATCAGATACAACCTTTCCATGCCTACGGCCTGGCTAAGATGCAACGCATGGAACTTGCTCACGTGGTCGACGCGAATTGACTTTGGGGGATGCTTTTCCTTGGCCGTGTGGACCATCCAGGTACGGTCGATGAAGTGCGTGGCGCTGCGATGTGCGGCCGCGTCGTCTTCATCTAGACCGAAAGAGTTCAGAACAGTGATGGTATGGCTGCCACTAATATCCATTACTTCTTCGCATTCCGCACTGGCTGCATCTGCAAACAGGTTATACAGGCCCAGCCGCTTGATGTGGAGTTGCTTTTTGGCAGCAATGTTCTTGCGGAGTATACGGGTCAAGTGGACCGATGGTTCGCACTCGTCTCTCATGCGAGGCGAGAAATGCATGTTGAGAGTCTCGAGTCTGTGGGCGTGCAGGAAGAATGTTGATACGTCGTCCGGATAACACAGTGGATCGTAGTGTGTGAGCGTGAAGGACTTCAAACCAGGAAGAGGGGGGATTTCGCTCGACGGCTGCGGAGATCTTCGTGCTGGACATCGCAACCATAAAGACTCCAGTCTGGACAGCTTCGCCAGACCAGCGTACATGTTTGGCTGTATGCGAACATTCAGGTCCCACTTGAAACTCTCGAGGTGTAGACACTGGTCTATTGCCGCCCGAACCGCAATGTTGAGAATCATGGTGCTCTCGGAGATGCGACTGGCTCTCGCATACTCTTCCAGATCGGCGACCTTGAAGTCCCCTTCCAGGACCAGTGACCGCACCAGATTCGAGACATGCCGGGTGACCAGGGCATTCAGGCCCATGGAGAACGGACTAGCACTGCCCAGCCCTTCGGGCATATTATCTCGATAGTGTACCGTACTGTGTGATTTCAGAGCGACACGCTTCCACAAGTGTGGAAGGGTCATGTAATAGAGGACCTTCGAGGTCCGACATAGCCGGGCGAGGGAGCCGACATCGTCGTCGAGGAAGGATATGATGTGTGCGACGGTGGTGAGAGGGAGGGCGTCGACCCCGAATGCGCCTTGAATTTCAGGTCCATTGCTGTATAGATGGTTCGCTGCCAATGTCATTCTGCGGCGGCATTGGTCGGACGAGGACCTTGAGCCGCAGCATTAGGTATGGCTGGTAGCAGACACGGACAGTGCGCAAAAGCTGCACAAGAAAGCCTTGAGTTGTAGGTACCCAGGACGGGTCGTGTTGGTTCAGGCAGAAACATCCAAAATAATGTTACGCATGCATACTACAAACCCACGGATTGGACGGTCTCAATGCCTTGCCCTATAACCCTGTTACTGTGGTCCAAATCATCGTTTCACGCATTTCGATCTGCTACGATTTAAGTGGTGTTCAATCGTATGTATATTCTTTCATTCAATTCCACGTAAAACATGATAAGTCGCTAAAGTCAAGGATTTCATGGTCACTGCTTACTCAGGTCACGTTCCTCCAGTGTTCCTCTCATCGCCGCCGTCCGATCCTGCCGGAGCCAAAGGTGGTCTTTCCAGAGAGGTTTCTGGCACGGCTGTGGTTGCGGCAACCTGTGGATGCACTGTATTGGCATCTTGGGGTCCTTCTTGCGAGTGTTGAGCACCCGAGGCTCCCTCTGAAGACCCCTGTTCTTTGCCATGTTCAGCCTCACCATTCCCCACCTCGCTAGTGACTTCCGCAATGGGCTCAATCGCGGACGAAGGTACGAACCCCGTAGATCGTGGGACGGTGGAGTTGATGCTGCTCGAAATTTGATTAGGGCTGATGTCTGATGGAGCTGACGTTGGCTGATGTCTTGCAACAGCTTGGCCTCCTGTCGGAATGCCGAGGCTGGGGATGCTTACCCGTTGCCGCTCGGATGCTGAGACAGGGCGACTTGCGAGTTGACCGGGTTCATGGTCTGGCAATACGTCTGGGGACCGAGTCCGACCTGGGTGGGGAGCCTGTACGAAGACAACGCGCTGAGCATTCTGCGGGCGAGCTTCCTCTTCCAACGAATCAGCCGAAGTCTCCGTGATATCCGCTTGGACAGCCCCGTGGTCAGGTGTCTCATCAGCCAAATCATCGGGAGACCATGTTCGGTCGCTGCCTTTTGGTGCTGGGATCACGGTCATGGGCAAAGCTCCAGCGGGCACGCTTCCTCGGTTGCCAAACCGATCTTTCTGAGACGACGCGAACATTTCGAGCCTGGTCCGCAATTTCAAGGTTCGATCGATTGGCGAGCTTCGCATCCCACTGGCATTTTGTGCGTCGGCCACCTCAGCGGGAGGTTCGGCTCTTCGTCGCTTGAAAGGATTTGGCACCCCTTGCCAGATATGGCGAGCGGAAGGCGCCTCCTTCCGCGGAACTGCCTCCAATACAAATTCCTTGTCGGCGTCCGAAGTAGTTGTCATCGTGTCAGACTGATGGGACTCGACTCTAGCGGCATCAGCTACTTGTAAGCGGCCAGGTTGATCTTGCCCGCCATGCTGTAAGGTGGGTGATGGGCTAGTCAGATTCTGATAGCGGATGGCGTAGACCGTACTGGCTGCACTCCCAGTATCACTTCGACTTGGAGGGGTGATGAATTGCTCCGGTTGCACCATCTGTGAATTGGTTGCGACATGACGGCCAGCATGCATCGCATCTTCTCCTGTGCTGATGCCATCAGGTGGAGCTATCCGGCGACGTTTTCGCAAGGGTAAATGGTTTCGAAAGCGCTTGTATCGTGAGACAACGGTGACTCCAAAAGATTTCTCTTGATCACCATTCTGGCCGTGATTGGAGCCCCGGCCACGCCAGCTTGCATCTTCTGAGGGCGTCATATTGAGCATTTCATCGCCGTCGAAGATTTCGCGTCCGAGGATCCCGTCCTTTTTCTCGTCTCGTTCCAATGATTCAATCCTTTCCACCCATTCCCAAACGACCACGCTGGCTGCCGCAGCCCCAACCCATCGAATGTACTCGCCCCATCCTGCCAGATTTGGCTGGGAAATATCCAACACAAAGAACACCACCGGAATAAGAACAGACATAAGGGCCAGCACAGCAACCAGACAAATGTTCTTCATCTTGGCATGCCAGAATGCAAAGCGTCGTTTCGACAAACAATAGTAAATGACACATGACGCATAGATCAAGGAGATTGCCAGCTCGAACAAGTAATTCAAGGCGGGAATGGCGTCTTGGAACTTGCGTGGTCTCGTTTTGGGACCACTGATAAAAGAGTCCAGTATGCTGAAGATGGTATCGAGTGACACCATGACAAACCCAAGCCATTTGATGACTACCTTCTCCTTGTGCCGTGGAAACAGTCGAATGAGTGTCTGTACTTGCGCCAACCACAGAAATGTGTCAGATATGATGCGGATGATGCGGACCTCGAGACTGTCGACGACATCGTCCACCAATTGGCTCGAATCCATATACCCCTGGTTGTACTGGTTTTCGGCGACACGAAAGGTGTCGGCTGTGGCGATTGTAAGGGATATGGCCACTGTGATGGCCGCAATCTTCTGCAATAGAGGGCGCCGTCCAACGCCCACCACTGGAGAAGATCCATACGATCCTGTTATCGCTCCTCGACGGCCCAGAAACCCAGACCCGCCACTCGTTCCTCCCCCGTAAAAGGTTCGTGGTGTGATGAAGATGAGAATGACAAGAACATAGCTGATGACGGTGGCAGTAGCAAGGGCGAAGACTTGTGGTGAAATTGAGGCATAGAAAGGGTCTTGAAAGCCAATCACAGATGAATTGCCGGTGGTGTCTGGGCTGAGTATAGACTGCGGGTCGTCGCAAGGTTGTTTGTACGTGACTCTCGCTTGTAAGGTCGTGGTCTGGTCATCACCGAAGATAAGTACGCCTGTCCGCATTTAGTTTCCCAGCCTGTGCTACATCAAATTCTTAACGAACCTCCACTGGGTAGAATGAGAGGTGTGCACCATGCCGTAGTCGGCACGGCCGAGTCATAGGTTGTCAACTGGCCCCAGAGTTGGCGGGCAGTGATGTGACCATTGTTGGACATGCCTTGATTATGTTCTCGTCACAGTAACTCTGCACAATTCCTGCTGCGACATGGTCACCGCTCGAGGAAAATCGGTTCGGAGGTGGAAGTCGACGACGCGCGGTTCAGGTCATGCGATCATCGTGATGAATGTCGCTTGCGATCCGTGGGAGTATATTGTGGTGTTTCAGATTGAATATATTAAATGTCGACTGATGAAAACTCGGCGCTGTGTCTTTACCGGAAAGACTTGAAGAGAACGTTGAGCACGGAGCGCATGTAGTAATGGGAAGAAGATTCAAGACGGGGTTGACGACGACGAATCGAGGGCGCAGTTGATTGATGGATTGCAGTGATCGACTGGTTGGCTTCTGTGGGGCAGCCATAACCATAACCATAACCATAATCATAACTATAACGCTCGGTTCGGTGGAAAATCTTTACTCAATATCAACACCAACCAAAGCTGTTGTCGCCCGTGCATGATGCTGTGAGGAGCTCAAATCTTTGGTAATATCATATGTTGACTTGCAGCTTCATGCTACGGAAGGTTCATCTGCTCTCTATCTGCACCCACGTGTGATATCTCGACTCATACAATGTGGATCACTGATGACCACTGTCATTTGTTGCAGGCAGACTGCAAGCGCCATCATCTTCATCATGCCAGCACTCCCGTTCTCGTTGCGAGTTGAGATGAAGCAGTGACAGGCGGGCTCCTGTCTGATGTCTGCATGTTGACACACTCAAAAACGAAGGAAAGAATAATCCTAGCCCTTCGTCCGTTCTCTTCCCATTCATCGAACCGCCTTCAAGCGTCATAGATTCCCGAAACCGTACATCTGGTTGCCGTTCCACTGCATCTGATTGTAGTCTCGGTTCGTGATGACCTCGAGCATGTCTCGAGTTCCCACAGTAGGACCGATTCCCCCGAAGCCCTGATCGACCGTGGTCTCATCCGTACTGAAAAGATTATCCAGTGGCAACGCAAACCAATCCATTGAAGAAAAGGCCATATCGAGTTGAGCATCATCCGGCAAACCTGGATCCATGCCTTGGCTGTCGGTACTAAAATTGGGAGGTGGTACGAACATTTGTGACGAGAGTTCTGCCATTGGTCTGGCTTGAATTCCTGCAAGAGGATCATTCACATAAAAGTCGTTGCTCATGTGACCTATGTTGGTTGTTTGGTTCAATTGATGGAGTGGTTCGTTGGAAGCCTCATTGCCAGTGGGTGATGACGGACGAGAGTGCTCGCGGCTGGGGCCTCCGGAGCCAGCGCCGACTTGTTGGACACGGATCAATGTCTGTTTCACATTGCGTACGATGTTCTGGACCAGGCGTGATGTCGATGAAGACAGGTGAACATCGTCGACCACTTCTTCGGACATGGCAACAGTGATCTTTTCGAGCTGTTGCAAGCATCTTCGGACCAATGCTTCATGGGTGCCCAAGCTGAAGCGCTGTGAGAAAATAGAGGTCAGTATCCTGGAAAATGGAGATCATAACGCACTGAGTGCTTACCTTCAGTGTGAACATCATGCCAGATAGGCTTCGCAGGAAGATTCGAACTGGCGCATCTCTCAAGTAACCTCTGGCGGCAATACCATCGACGATCTCGCCAAGGATATTGAGAGCTGCATCAGTAACTTCATCAATATACGGCTTGTTGTCTTCGGCGATCTTGAGGAGTGTGGCCTTTCGAATGTTTGAGCCGCCCTGAACCCATGATTCCACCACATTCTGAAGGCCGAGTGAGTTGATATACAACCGAGCGTACTCGTACTCCATGAGCAGGATACTTTGCATGACCGGGTTCATCGCAGACTTGATTCTCTCAAATTCAGCCCTCCAGTTCTGAAGCAAAGGCGTGAATGTTGCGATCGAGTCTTTATACTTGCCACTCGAGATGAGCTCTTTGGTGAACTGGTGGGATGAGAACACTTCACGATTGGCTGAATTCATGATTCTTGCAATGTGAATCCATGATCCTTGCATGATGTCGACAGGAGATTCCCTCGACATGTTGCTGGTCTTGTCCCAAGTTGGGTCTTTCTCCCACAGCTCCACATTCAGCGATGACTGAACACCCATTCGCCCACTGGTTTGAGCCACGTAGACGAGTATGAGGCGTCGGATCCGTCTCTTGCGTGCGCATTCAGAGTTGGGTCCATGCTGATGATAACAGTCCGTGTGATGATTATCGAACACACCAAGCTCGAAAGCCAAGCTCTGAGCCAGACCAAGCAACATCCAGGACATTCTGTCAGAGCGCCATGCCGGCTCCAGCCAATTTGCATAGGGCAAATTGTCGTAGTCTCGACCCGCTTTCTGCTCGCCATCTTGCGCTGGATACTTGCTGTCTGCCTCAGGGATCATGAGGCTACGATCCAGCAGACCCTCTTCATCGTCGTTGGGTGGGAAGTGGAGAGCGCGTGGCTGCCAGTCGGTGAGCAGCAGGAGGGCTTCGATGGTGCCCAGTGTGCGTAGGCTGCCCTTCCAAGTGATCTGACCAGTGTTTAACTCACGGATTTTGTGGTTATTGCCGCCTCCAGCAAATCCTCCACCAAACTGTTCTTGTCCCCAAAGAAGTCGCTCGATTTGACGACGGAGGTTGGTCCATAGCTTGCCGTGGATATGGTATGCTCGTGAAAGCGCAGCATGACCGGTCAAGCGCATATGACGTGATGCAATGGCGAGAATTGCCAGAGCTAAGATGGGTTCATCCACGAGTAGAGCGTGATGATTGAGAGGTGATCGAAACTCATCGAAGACAATGGGGGTCATTGGCGCCAATTTGTCAAAGAAGTACTCCACATATTGCATGGCCTCCCATGCAGTAAACCAGCCATTACGCACAAATCTCATTTCCGACCACGCTTTGAGACCGGCTTGCTGCTCAGCTTGTTCTTGAGGTGTGAATCCATTGTCGGTAGGCGCTGGTGGGCCGCCATGATCGAGATTGGAGAGTGTCCTCTTCCGGCCGGCATGATTAGAGAGGGGACTGTCTTTGGTGTTTGGAGTTACATTGTCAGAGAAGGCATTGGCGGCATCAACCAGGAGGAGAATGTTGTCATGCGTGTTTTGAATCTGTTTTGAGCCCAACGTCGCTGCTGCTACCTGACTGTGCAACATATCGGGAGGGTTTCTGGCGGAGTTCGAGGCGGGATACACTGGAAGACGCTGAGATCTGCCCAGACCATCGTGGGGTTGAGAGGTCGCAGACTGCTTCGAACCACTCGGAGGCCATGCAGATTGAGAGAAGCCGTTCATTGAAGTCGTAGGTGAGGCTGTCAAGGGTTGTTGTCGGCTTTGGGTGAAATTGTATGATGGCAATCCATTATCCACAACCGAGACTTCATTGTCATCTGTAGTCGGGTCCCGCGACACATCCCTCGCCGTTCCATCCGATCTCTTCTGCTTCTTTCTGGTAGGTGCAAATTCGCAATGCAACCGCTCACGCTGACAACGTCTGCAGGGAGGTTCTTTGGGCGCATCGACACCTGAAAAAAGGACCAAGTTAATAACATGTATAGGATCAGAGAGCGTAGCCACGTACTTCCAAGATCACACTTTACTTTGCGCTCACGACATCTCTGGCAAGCCTGATAGCCACGGCGATGAGGACGATTGTCATTGTGCGCCTGCGTCGCATCATTGTTGGAGGGGTCCGGAGACAGGGAATCACTCTTGAAAGCACCAGAGCGCGCAAGACCGGCAGCTGACAACTGGCCGGTATGGTCGTAAGCCATCGCTGGCGCAAGAGTCGGTCGTTGTTGTGGTTGCTGGATTCTATCAACACTCCCCAATTGTGGTTGTCCCGAGGCAACGAAATAGCTGTTCTGTGGAGGGTTGATAGGCGGGAATGCGCTGGCTGCGTTTCCGCTGCCAGACGCCTGGGACTGGGCGTGGGCGTGGGTGTGGGCGTGGATCATCGAGTATTGCGGGGCTGGCAAGGGTTCACAGCTGTCAGCTCTCAAGTCCACAAAGTACGAGTACCGAGTACGCGTTACGGAGTATTGCTTTTTCTAGTGGGGAGTCTGGGCAAGGCTGTATCAATATTTGAGATGGGCAACGTACCAACGTCAACGCCTGGCAAAGAGTAGTTGAAACCACGATACTGTTCCTGTGGTTGTGGCTGCGGCTGGTACTGACGCGCGACACCTTGTTCGTCCACGTATGGAAGGCCGTTGTAGCTAGGATCAGAATTCATGATGTTGTCGGCGGCCGATCTGATCGGTTGAGAGTAGTTGTTCAGAACAACAAACTTAAACTTAATCCTATCGGAGATATTGACGCTTCATTTTTCATTCACTGATGAGGCATATATCTGTGAAGACTGTCACTCAGCACATCCCGCATCTTGCCTGGGTTTAGATCGACTACGAAACAGACAGAGGTGGGAACGAAGGCAGCATACGTGTCAATTGTGATTTGAGGAATGTTTTCCATTGTTTCAATGAATCATTCCATCTCGCTGAAATTCATGGGAGACCTTGTTGGTACGGCAGGCCAGTACCTGGGGAAACCGACACAAAAGGATCGTCAATCTCTTTCTCCTTGCTGGAAACAAGGCCTCCATTCGTCCTTGTGTCGGCTACGTGTCGTCTCAGCGATGCTGGAAGACTCTGCACGCTGTCTTCACTTGTCCTTCGCGACATGTCCATACTCATGCGGCCGGCGATCAGACCTCGGACACCTCCAGCCTTACGAGCCGGCAACTCGCCCGTACCAGCCGTCAGCACATACAGCAGATATTTGAGGTTGGGTAAGGTATGGCGAATGTCCAACACACGTAACCCTACTCGGTTCATAAGGAATTCGATATCCTTGTTGAGAAGAAAGACCCCGTATTCAAATTTGTATGGTACTGTTGTTGGATGGAGAGGATACCTCCGCTGACTCAGTCCAATCGATATCGGGTCGGAAACGAAAGATGCAGAACCATATGGCTCGATTGGGTACGGCAAGGGTATAGACAGATAAAGTGCCAGTTGATAGACCACCTGTGCCGTGAATCCCAAAGCGGCAGCTATCTCGTCTCGATTCGTGTCGTTGTAGACAGAATTAGGAAGGTGAATTCCCCGAATGGTAAATTGTAGAGTTCGTCCTTTGACTGGTTCGATCGGAAAGATGGCGAGGATGGTCTCGCATATTCGTCGTATCTGACCGTTGGTATCCTTTTCCACCTGGTCTATTTGGGTCTGCACGTCTTTGCAATCTTTGGTTCTCTCGTCCACGAGCGCTTGGGTCTTCACTTCAGCTTCACGACATTCTGCAAGGAGCCGCCGTCGCTCGTCCAAAGAGTCTCTCAGCTCGTCGCGTCGTTTAGTCAATTGCCGTAAATGTTTTTGTTCGGCTGTCAAAGCTGGCTGAATCTGAGGGTCATCGTCATCGAGTTCAGCACCTACCTCGTCTCCCACCTCGAGAAGGTGAGCATCGGCGATCAGCTTGTTGATATCATCTTCTAGCTGCGATCTGACCTTAACAGCGTCTTGAATGCACTCTTCCAGGTTGGCAAGTTGCATGAGGGAATCGAATGTAGAACCTGGCTTGTTCGAACCAGCCTTGTGGTCGACCGAATGTTCAATCTCTGGATGCGAGTCCGGAGGCAGATCGGTAAAGCTGGTGTATATCCCATCGGATAGGTGGAGCAAGATGCAGTTTTGTGGTAGTGGATGATGGAAGTTCTCGAGGTTGCGACCGACGAATTGCAGCGACCTCAGATTGAACTCGAAATCAACAAGTAGGCAATATTCCTCCGCACCAGCGCTCTTGGCCCAAACTCGAATGGTAGCTTCATCCGACCGAGTCGCTTGAGGACCGGTGCCGTCTAAGTCAAAGGAGGCAAAGCTCGGATTCATGGAGCGCTCAATTACCTCGCTTATGTAGATGGGTTCCTCAACACCTGGACAGTGTATGGACACCCAGGTATCAGCCAGGCGGTTCACAACCATGTCTTCGAGTTTCGACTGACGCGCCAGTGGGCTTGCCGAGCTCCAATGCAGTGTGCTTCTCCTGCGCAACCGGCCCGCCGCCGGCCGACTGGATTGTTTTCCATCTGCCGCATAGGAAGTGGCGGCCTTGTGAAAAATGCCGGGCGTAGGTTGGCCATCATTCGCGGTCGACAAATCGGTGAAGGAGCGCGACTGGGACAGAGGCTTTACGTCGTCCTCCAGGGCTCGTTTCGCAGGCGAGGTGAGGTTGTAGGGAGCCTCATCGTCTGTTGATGTCTTTGTATTCTTTCGTGGGGTCGGAGCCGTCACATGAAGATTGCGCAGTGAGACACCATGCCAATGACGCAGACGGCGGTTCTGGAAGTACGGTAAATGAGCTATGACTCCTGAAATGCCTTTGCAAGGATACACTAACCCACGGATAAAGGAAGGGACGCTCGTTGCGCACTTTGGTCGCTGTGGAGGGATCTCCGGCAGATTCAGCCATGACATACAACGGCTGCGCGATACATTGCGAGATGAGAGCACGGCTCTGTGACTGGAGTCAAATCACAACAAAAGACAATATTTGCTGAGTGACATTGTGGGAAAGAGTGGGGGTGCGAGATCACGTTTGTACCGCACTGTGTCTTTGCCGTGGGAAACCAAATGTCAATGACAATAGCTGGTGAAGCATTGATGCTCTTCTCATTTGAATGTCTGCCATTGACGAAAGTGGTGTCTTCTACCGCAGTTGTCAGTTCAGCCAATGATGAAATGCCCGACTCGGAACATATTAATGCCGACAACGAACTGCTTAGGTAAGTAGTCTCTTGGCTCCTTTTCCCCCTGATGAACCTTCAGACAACTCCTCCATCCTCGTATCTTCGCGTCCTTCTGCACCATTGCCCGCTGACACATTCCTTGACAGAACACGCGAAGTCCTTGTACCTTTTTGCGCTTGACAATGCGCGTCAACTACATGCTTATGTCGATTTCACCTACTTGAATCATGACCTACATCGTTGTGCCCTACGACCGTCAACACAGACCGCGTGGGAGTGTCATCGAAATACGAAGGTGATCCGGGGTCAATAATGATCAAGATTACACCCACAGACCTCGGGCAGTTGAACCGCTATCTGAGTTACTGATACCATGTATCGGAGAATATGCTTACTTTGCACGGTGAGGCTGCAGCTCGATTGACACACATAGATCCAGAACAATCTTAACTACCGCGACGTGACAGCTCTGACATATTCCCCTTTGCACTTTCTTTGGTGCGTTGAGCAATCCACACCACATCCCTCATGCACTCACTATGCAATCTCCCTATACCCGCCGTGTGCTACCTCTCGCAGTACTCCTGAGCAACCGATAGCTCCACGGCTCTATAGGTAAGGTGGGCAACCAGCTTGTTGAATTGGGCGGGTCGGGGACGGAGCCCCTATTTGATACCTGTCTGCTGCCTTCGAATCTGGGTATGGCCGCGGCATGAAGAGGCAGAGTTCTCTCCGCCACACCTCTTCAACTGCGTATTGTCATCGTCCCGGTCGGATGTACACCCTCTTGAAAACATTCTTCAACAATGCCAGGTTATTTGTGGATCTTTACGGTGGCTCGTATATGGAGCCCTGCGCGCAGCTTAAGGCCAAGTCGATCACGTTGACCGAGCACGATCACGACCATGATCTGAGCTTGACATTTGCTCTGACAGCAGCCCATATACACTGTCTAATCTCCCTCGACTACCCGTCAACCACCCATCAACAAGCCCATTGTTGAACATGGCGCACCTCCGCCTTATGGGATCCAGCTTGCAACCTGGGAAACATATACCTCGTCAATGCCCAGATGCTCTTCTCGGTCGTCAAGGTAGTCGCTCTTTTTACTTTCCTTCGCAGCACAGACATACTCACCACAGTCGCTCTCTTTTGCGCTCGTTGTTCTTCAATTCTTTGCGCGTATCGCATACTCTTTCATTCTTCGATTCCTAGAGACCACTACTGAACATACACTGCAACGATGAAGGTCTCTACAACAGCGATCACAGCACTTGCAGCTGCGTCTCAAGCTGCCGCATCTTGGACCGATTGGGTCGACCCCGATGCTACGGTCACCAGCACCGTGACGCAAACCCACACTTACTGCCCTTGCAATGGCGAAGTTTCATACACACCAGTAGACCCTGACTACACCGACGTGGTTGTTTATACCACAGAAACGGGCACTGACTACACCGACGTGGTGGTCTACACGACGGAATCAGGTGAAGCTGTTGCTCCTGCTGCTGCCACTACACCTGCTGGCACCACAATCACCAAGGCTGGCGCCATAGTGGTCGTTTTCGAGACCGAAGGGTCCACCAGTACCAAGACAGGCATGGCTATCGAGTTGATCATTGCTCCTACTGGAACAGAGACCGAGACCTCATATGTCACCAAGACGGTCTGGACCGGAGCGCAGCCCACCAACGACCTGGAATGGGTCGATTGGGACGACTCCAGCGATGACGACGGAGCCACGTTGACGAGGACACACACGCTCGTCACTACGCTCTATGAAGCCGTTGATGCTTTCCCAACAGAGACCGACACTGAGTCATGGGCTGATTGGGCTGCCACGACCAACACCTTCACTGTCACAACAGAAACCAGTGTTACCCTCTATCCCAGCTCAAGCGGCAATGCTGTTGGTCCCATCGGAGCTTCCATGAACTCTTCAACCTCCTCGTCTGCAAGTGTTGCGCCCGTCTTTGCCAACAGCACCAGCACAAGCTCCAGCAGCACCAGTGTTCTGGCCCCAGTCTCGGCGAATTCCTCCATGACTTCGTCTTCCAGCTCTTCGTCCACTTCTTCATCCACCACTACCTCGTCTACCTCAACAGCTACCACAGTCGCCGCTGGCGAAACTATAGAGATCATAGTCACTATAGATAGCACCAAGAAGAACAAGCGCGACACATACTACGTTGGCATCAGCGACGACAATGTCGCTGTATTGGGAAGCCTGGCTAATGTGGCTACCTTCATTACTGGCGACGACGGTACTCTCCTCTATGGCGCTGACTACCTCGGCTCTAACCCTACCTCTGACGACGCGGCTGCATACCTTGAGGTCTTCACCAGCATACCCACCGACTCCGTCTGGCTGATGGACGCCTCTGGTATGCTCACCCTCTCTGAACGCCAATTCTGTGTCCTGTCTTCCTTGACACTCGAGACTGTTGATGCCGCTGGTGACAACTGTGATGGAACTCTCGTGACCTTCACTGCCGTGTCTGCCACCACCTCAACCTCAACAAGTTCGTCGACCACTACCTCGACCACCTCGTCGTCTTCGTCTAGCAGTACCAGTGTCCTGGCACCTGTGTCTGCGACCACAACGAGCACAACGAGCACCACGAGTTCCAAGACTTCTTCCAGCTCTTCGTCCACTACTTCATCTACCTCCACCACGAGTTCCAAGACTTCTTCGTCCACTACTTCATCCACTTCCACCTCCACCACTACCACTACCACCACAACTACCTCTTCTGGAAGTCTGCCGACTACCACTGACAATGTCACTGGTGATGACTATGAGACTGGTATCCTGTTCGCGCACAATGTTCACCGTGCCAACCACTCTGCCTCGGATCTGACGTGGAACGATGACATGGCAACCTATGCTGCCGAAACTGCTGCCACCTGCAACTACCAGCACAACCTGTGAGTCAGATTCTTTGAACACTCTTTTCCATGAGATTGCATGCTAATATTCAATTTTCAGAACCGCCGGTGGTGGTAACTATGGTCAGAACATTGGTGCTGGCTACACAAGCACTCACGTACCAATCATGATTGGTAACGACATGTACAACGCTGAAATGCCCAACTACCCAACGCCCTACGGCGAGGACAACCCTGATACCAGCGACTTCAGCAACTGGGGTCATTTCTCGCAGATCGTCTGGAAAGCCACCACCGGCGTTGGCTGCGCTACGCAGTACTGTGACACTCTGGAAGGTGCAACCTTCACCAACTACTTCACTGTTTGCAACTACTATCCTGCAGGCAACGTTGGCGGCGAATATTCTAACGTTGGTGCACCACTTGGCGAGGACGTGGTTGTCATCGAGGTTGACGATTAGATAACTGAACTGGTGGCTTGGAGCAAATTATCTTGGAAGATACCCTCAAAACAACCCGGCGTTGTTATGGCAATATTAATCACATGGAACGTCTAGCATTGCATTGTACAGTCTGCAATGATTGAGTTGCAGAAGTCAGACTTGCATTTCAGATCAGACATTCTCAGCTAATGAGTGGGCGCATTCATTCTATCGGAGTCAGTTATCGATTGCCAGTGGCAGTCGACTTGGAGGATGGTCATGCGTAAAGCACGACCTTGAATAGTTTGTAAATAAGTAGCTTACGACGATTGTACCAAATGTTGAAAAACTATCTGTTGAATTTGTAAGATGAATTCACGTTGTCTCATGTCGAGTTTAAGAATCTTCCTAAACTCGAGCAGCCCAGCATCATGCCGATCAATATGAATCCATCCATCTCAACGCCACCTTCCCATGAGGTTTCTTACCTGAGGCTTAATGCATCACGACATATGGCGCAGTAGGCCATTTCAACACCATGTGGCACCCATAAAATGTCTCACATAGTACACTGTATCAGTCGGTTGACCGGTCACCACAGGCTCACAGACGGAGTTCTTGTCGTGGTATCTACGTTGGAATCGAGAATGGTCAGAGAAAATACGACTAGACAAGCATTCAATCTCCGTAGTCAATACAACCAGATCATCTCTCTGCTCTTACTATCAGCAGTCGGTGTCTGCGTTCCACACGGCACTGGCGAAGCTAGAATCCTCTACAAGACTTGCAACGTCACCATAGCTGTAGCATCTTCCTGTTCCATAACTGTACGCCATTGCAGCACACCCATAGCTTCCCGCGCAGGACTCGATACAGTCGTCACAGGATGCCACAGAAGATTCGTCGTAGAGGCTATCCCCACTTAAGGCGTAGCCACATGACACGGCAAATGTACAGCCGTTATATTCCATATTAACGTCGCCGATATAAGAGCAGGTTTCTGTCGGGAGTGTGACTTGTGTACCGCGCGCAGCATTGTAATAAAGCGTATCTGCAACCTGCTCTTCGAGGATATTTTTGAGCCAGCAATGATTGTCGGAAGGCTGAAAGACCACTCCGACACAATCACTATTCATATCCTGTTCACGGTCACAGGTCTGGATACAGTGGCCCTCGCTGTCGGCATCAAAATCGTAAAGGTCACCACCAGGTCGATCAGCGCCGGTGCAGATATAGTACCCGTCACCAGTGAAGACACCGACTTCAGGTGTTTCATAACAATAGCTTGAAGTTGTTGATGCTGATATAGTTGTAGTTGTATTAGTGGCTGTAGTTGTATTCGTGGTTGTAGTTATATGAGTTGTTATAGTTGAGTAAGTGGTTGTAATTGTATTAGTGGATATAGTTGTGTTAGTGATTGTAGGTATACTTGAAGTTGAGGATACCGATATAGCTGGAGTGGTGGTTGTATCTCTAGGTGTACTTGTACTTATAGAATTGGTTCATATATATGTAGTAGTGGTCGTCGTCTCTGGCTTAGATGTCGTTGCCGACTTGCTCCGCGCCTGTGTGGTGGTGCTAGTCTTTTCTCTACTGGTGGTTGTGGACTTGCTTGGTTTGGTAGTCACTGGCGACTTGGTCACCGGGTGTGTGGTGGTAGTCGCTGAGCTCGCGGTAGTCTCTGCTTTCGTACAACATTATGACAGAGAATGAATGACTCGAAGATATCGCTACTGAAATATAGGATTACGGGCAGCCTACCGCAGAGGACGTTCTTCCTTTGATATACTAGGTCTACCATCATAAACCTTTGCTTCTGTTTCCAATCGATTATTACCACCGGCACATCTCTCCTCATCACAAGGTCATATTTCTCATGCTTACCAAGGGCAACAAAAAGCCTCGCACAGACTTGAGCTTGATACGGAACATTTCTGGGTATCGGAGGCATCACCAGGACCTCGAATCGTTCGTGGAATACCTAGCACGGAGTAGTTCTTTACCCCTATTAAGCTTTAAGTTTAAGGCGGTTTAGCATTGGAGATTCCGCTTTCATCATCTGTTGCCATGACACGCCCCTTGACGCTTGGGCACGAACGCTTCTTTCAAAGCCTCGTGGAAGGCCTCTAGGCTATTAAGATCCCGTTATGGACCTGCTATGCGTTGTGACCCTCCACGCTTATTCAGGTCTTGTGTCTCTATATCGAGACGAGATGTTCCTCACCGCCGTAGACTATCAAGCCTAGCCTGCAAATCATCATCTTCACCGCCTCCGCCGCCAATTGCCTGGGCCACCCTGTTATCAGCGACCGCCGTCTTCTGTATGCCTGTTGGCGTTTCGCCGAGCTGAGCACAATTAGCTTCATTCATGCTTGCATCCCGGCCGACAACCAAACTTACAGCGTTGTTGAGGTCTACGCCAATCTCATCCAACACCTGATTGACAACTTCTTCGCCTTCTTCTTCGTCCTCAAGACCAGTCACATCGTCAATAGCGTCGTCCATCATTTCTTGCCGTTGATCCATGATGTCGTTCTCACGTTCAAATTCCATCGCTATCCTCTGCAGCGCTGGCAAGTTCATTTGTCTGTTCATGCTGCCCAGCAGCATGGTGGCTCCCTTCATGGATTGCATCATCTGCTCGTTGCTCCGGACGGTCTGCAAAGGGACATGGTTGTCAGTATGACCACGGTATACGACCCGGAGGATGGAGACGGACCTGTATCCGTAAAGAGATGGCTTGTAGTTGTGTCCTCATCTGATAGAATTTCTGAATATATCTCCTTGTCCGGACCAGGTCCTTTGCCTGGATCTTGCAGGCGCCAATCTGGCCATTCTTTGCGCTCTTTTTGATATCTGCTACCAACTTTTTCTCCTGATTTTCAAGCTTGACTCGCTCGCGATCGAGTTCACGTTGGGTCTTCTCAAGTGCCCGTTGATGCTTGCGTAGCCGCTCGGCGGGCGTCATGCGCTTGCCAAAGGCCCATTCTATTATCTGGCGCAATGTCAGCAGGTTTCTTCAGACTAGTCGCGCGCTTCTTACGTTCATGGTAGCGAGGCGAGGAGCACAAACGAGAATGATTAGATCGCACTTTCTTGTATCGGCACACGAGGCCTTTTAGATGACCCTGCAGTCGCTGTCTTTTGGCTATGGTGGGAGAGATGTGGTTGTCTACAGCGACAAGCCGCAGACAGCCAGTGACGTTGAAGGGTCAAAACTCCGGGGCGGATCGGCCTAATGTTTAATCCTCTTTTTCCAGGGATTCGCCTTTCAATCATCAGTCTACCTCACTTGTTCTTCCTAATAACACCTCACGCATTATTATGGAAGCAGACGCAACTTTACGACGATTTACTGCTGTGGTTGCTGATTGATTCTTCTCCAAAGCGCCCGAACGATGAGCCAGTCGTACTTTCCGAGCGCAGGCTCATCGCGCAAACCCGAAGAAAATGGCTCAGACCACAACAACGACGACATGGCATCGCCTGCTCCCAACCACCCTCCTTCCTACCGACCACAATACATGACAGTGGGCTCTGGTGGACAGTCGATGCATGCCGCCGCTCTTATGGAACAGTTAGAACAGGACTCAGGTTATGGAAGCATGCCGGGCGATGTGCAACAGAATGGTGGCGAGATGAACGCTTGGGAAGATGGACTCTTGATGGATCGGCCTACCCCTGCACATACACCACAGGTCAACGGTCAGTCTGGGCCGATGTCAGATACCGAGAAGCGAGCTCTAGCCGGCCATGTCCACCAGCTGTACTACAACCAGAATCGAGTTGCCCTCGCCAAGGCAATCAGCCAGACTGTGGAACTTCTCAAGCAATTGCAGGAGATGAACGCTCAGTGGCCGGCACATTATCCTTCAGTGCAGAAACCCGAAGAAGAAACACAACCTCACAGACCAGGTCTTCATCAAGCCCAGTCTACGATAGATCAGACCGATTTATCACGAGACACGTTTCTCAAAAGAGCTGATCACCACAGGCCGGGAGCACTCAGAAGAGCTGGTACCTCTCTTGGTGAGGATACAACTGGGGAGTCCAGTGGTCAAGCACAAGCGAGAAAGACACCTGAACCACGGTTGATTACGCCTCAGATTGCGCAAGAATTTTCCATACTCAAACTGGATTTGAAAGTGGGCACACTATCACAGACTGAACTGGTCCATTCATTGGAGAAGAAGTCGATCGCGTCCTTACTTGACGGCAAAATCGGCCAGAGTGTACGGCATCTCCTCGCTCTTCGAGACCGAATCGAGGATACTTCGAGCAAGGTCTTGGTGACAGGCGACCTGAACGCGGGTAAATCGACGTTCTGCAACGCATTATTACGGCGCAAGATTCTGCCGGAAGACCAGCAACCCTGCACCAGCATATTCTGTGAGGTCCTGGATGCCAAGGAGAATGGCGGGCACGAAGAAGTGCATGCCGTGCACAAGGATTCGGTATATGATCGCAACGATGAGAGTACCTACGATGCCTATTCACTAGACGAACTCGAGAAAATTGTCGTTGACAACGACCGGTACATGCAATGCAAAGTTTACGTGAAAGATGTGCGGACTATTGACCAGTCACTCCTGAACAACGGTGTGGTGGACATTGCATTGATCGACGCACCTGGTCTGAATGCAGACTCGGTCAAGACAACTGCAGTCTTTGCTCGACAAGAAGAGATTGACGTCGTTGTCTTTGTGGTGTCCGCCGCGAATCACTTCACACTTTCCGCAAAAGAATTCATATGGCAAGCTGCTCACGAGAAAGCTTACATGTTCATGGTAGTCAATGGATTCGACAACATTCGAGACAAAGAGCGATGTCAAAAGATGATTCTGGACCAGCTGGCCAAGCTTAGCCCTCAGACGTTTAAAGAGGCCCAAGAGCTGGTACATTTTGTGTCCAGTAATGCCGTACCCACGCAGCGACCACTCCCGATAGAAGGAGGAAATAGCGGCAGCGGCGGGTCAGGTCCGTCCAATCCCCCAGACGATGACGACGACGATGATGGTTCAGGTAAGGGTAAAGGCAAGGACAAGGAAAAACTCCGCGATTTCGAGGTCCTTGAAGGTGCTCTTCGCAGATTCGTCCTGGAAAAAAGAGCACGTTCGAAATTGGCTCCCGCAAAAACGTACCTGATGAACTGTCTGGGCGATATGAATGTGCTGGCCACCGTGAACCGCGACGTTGCGCAGGCCGAGCTCGAAAGAGTATCAAAAGAGCTTTCCGAGATCGAGCCCGAGTATGTCGAGAGACAGAAACAGCGAACAGTGGTATCAGAGCAAGTCGAAAAGGACATTGATTCCACGGCAACGGAAGTCTACAATCACACGAGGTCAACACTCTCTACAACCATAGCGAACGTGGGCAAGGAAGACCATGGTGTCGAATATCCGGGACTATTCTCTGCATTCCAATATGCTGACGATCTTCGAGTCGCCATGCTTGACCAAATCTCTGCTGCAGTCACTAATTGCGAGGTCTACGGTCGGAATCGGACGGTTCACGGAGTAAGCATGGTCAAGGCTCTTGGTCTGCTGCATGTCGGGGAAGAGTATGATAATCTCAACTTCCAGGCCGACAAGATGTTTCAACGACGGAAAGATGCCCTGGTGCGGTCAGTCGATACTGATGTTGAGCTGTGGGACTTTTTCGACGTTGCAGGTCTGTGGGAGCGTCAAGAGAAGACTGTAGGCACAGGATTGGCCTTGACGTTGGTCGGCACAGTCGGCTCAAGAGCTGTGGGTGGTATTGGTTGGGTTGATGGCGCGTTTGGCGCGGCCAAGATTGTAGGAAGTCGGAATCTGAGGCGTATGATCGTGCCTGGTGTTCTCGCAGCTGGTGAGTACCATGTCCTCCTTTCTTGACTGCAAAGATACTAATCTGGTCTGTAGCCGTCTTGACAGTGGCTTATGTCCTGTCGACCATCCCACAAACACTCCCACCTCGACTCGCCACCAAGCTCTCTGCTACCTTGGCGCAGATGGATTATACGCACAGCAATGCTAACCGTATTGCTGCCGAAGTCCGACGTGTGCTACGCTACCCAGCACAACGCTTGACGACAGACCTCGCTCAGAATGTCGAAGAGCTGAGACAGAAGAGGGAAGACGTGTCCAAGGTCAAACGGGAAAGCGAGGTGGCACGAAAGTATTTTGGTAATCTCATCCGAAATTCGTCAGAGGCTCGACGCAGGGTCTCAGGCATTGACCTTGAAGGACCACCGGGCGCTGTGGGTGCTTATGCATGAAGGGATTGAGCGACTCGAGCACCAAGCCATTTAGTTACGTTGAGCGTGTCCTTGCGTGTTGCTTGCGGCTCTACACTTTTCTGTCCCGGCGCGGACATCTATGATATGTAATTCTCCACTTGCTCCCGCATAGCAAATGACTAGGACTCCTGCAGCGATTCTCCCGAATGAAAATGTCATGAGTGTACGAGATATGCGTGGTTCTGGGTCGATTGTCCAAAAAGGTGTTGGTTCGGTGATTCCGGGAATTATATTCTTCACATTTTTATTGCACAACGGATCATACAGAGGCCTCCATGTACTATGCAAACCACTACCGAAAGGTATCTAAGTACTTTGCACAAATTTCGGAGGCCGCCAAAGTACTGAGGTACAGAGACTTGCCACTCGACGCAAACGCCAAAAAGAGGCAAAACCGTTGCTGTGATGAACGTTGGTGGTACTAAGGGGAAAGGCCGAATTGTGAATACCGAATCGTGTGACTGTCGTCGGTAACGTTAGAGCAGAGAAGAATTAAGAAAATGCGCATCATAGGGGTCCCAAGGGTCCCCGGCTAAGAAAGTCTAGAAACCAGGTCCCAAAAATCTGATCCATTTAGTGTCGATTGAATCATCCCGCCCTCATTTCGATTCTCGTCAGGCCTCTCAGCTTCCCCTCCCACTCACTACTTTCACCCCACAGATTGATTGACCTTGCTGCACTGCCATCATCGCCCTCGCATACCTGCCTCTGCTTCTGCCTCTGGCCTTGATCCGTCTTGCGTTCCAGGCTGCCTGTCACAATATCCGTACATCGCCCATCTTTATTCACCACAACACATCACCATCGTCGCCTTGAAATAAGCAGGCCACTGATTCAAGCGCTCTGCCTTGAGTCGCTGCCTCCACACCCTCAATACATCACACCTCCAAGTCCGAGTCTTTCTTTGTGTCCCCCTCAAACTCGACGGCCCTCGGTCTTTTCCTGCTCGTGACGTTCGTAAAGTATTGGTCACCCTGAATACACCCTTCAACTTGCTTGTCTGAGAAGTCAAAGAAGGGCACAGACAAACTTCCTGCGCTTTTTGCAAATTCACTTGCCCACATCTCGCATTATTGGCGTCATATCCAGCCGCCATTCTTGACAGCAAACCAAATCTCTCACCTTCTACGAAGCGCTGCCTACACACCTTTCCTTCCTTTGCAGCCCGACGTCGCCTACTGTCGTCGACAAGCCGTCAAGCTGGCGGGCACCACCGAGCGGAGAAGCTCCACGCACGGAGGGTTTCTCAATCGTATGTTTGGCAATAAGAAAGAGAAGGATGGAGAATCGGACAGCATTACTCGATCCAACAACGACGCCAACAACGCTCCAGGCTCACCATCTTCTCCGATCAGTGTAAAGACAAATGACACACCGTCCAAGTCGGAAACACCTGCACGCAAACAAGCCGAGGACAGCGCCGCATCACCTACGAGTGACCCGAAGAAGCAGCGCCGCAGTAGTAGCGCCAAAGCGAAAGAGATCTTTACACAAGCGAAAAACTCTTTGATCCATGGTGATAAGGACGGCCCTCAGACACCGATGCAGAAGCTCTCCAAAACAGACGCCGCCTTGAGTGTGCCGCAAGGCTCGCTCAACAACTCGGCAGGCGAGTCTCGTCCCACTCCCAATTCGTCCTTTTTGGTCGGTGTAACGGAAGACAAGAACAAGAAATGTCGCCGAACCATGGAAGACACTCATTCTTACCTTTACAACTTCCTCGGCACTCCGGCGCCTGTCGTCGACAACGTCAACTCGCAGAAGAAGTCCTTGGACGACCGAAACAGTTTGACCAGTGTACCCTCAGATCCTCAGCGTGTTGTGGAAACCGATAATGGCTACTTTGCTATCTTCGACGGCCATGCTGGAACTTTCGCCGCCGAGTGGTGTGGAAAGAAAGTCCACATCATCCTAGAGGATTTCATGCGGAAATACCCCAATACCCCGGTGCCCGAACTGCTCGACCAAACATACACCTCTGCCGACAATCAGCTGGAGAAATTGCCATTAAAGAACAGTGGATGCACAGCCATCACTGCTATCTTGAGATGGGAAGATCGTGTGCCCACCACCAATTCAGCCACCGGGTCCCAGGCTATCGCCGCCCTGGCGGCTGCAGCTGCCAAAGAAGCAGAAAAGAACGAAAAGACGACCGAAGCGAATGAAACCACTCCACGCTCCAACTCGACTACAGAAGCTGCCGCGGCAGCTATCCAAGAGGCCAAACAGAAGGCTACACGGCAACGGGTGTTGTACACTGCTAATGTCGGCGACGCACGAATTGTACTTTGCCGAAACGGAAAAGCTCTTCGTCTCTCCTACGATCACAAGGGTATGGATGAAAATGAAGGCAAGCGGATCTCCAAGGCGGGAGGCCTGATCCTAAACAATCGGGTGAACGGAGTCCTGGCAGTCACGCGCGCATTGGGAGATTCATACCTCAAAGATTTGGTCACTGGACATCCCTACACGACAGAGACTGTTATCCAGCCCGACCAAGACGAGTTCTTGATATTAGCCTGTGATGGGGTAAGTGATAAGTCCAACGTAAGTGTGAGCAAAGGCTAACGTGATTCTAGCTATGGGATGTCTGCTCGGATCAAGAGGCCGTCGACCTCATCCGTCACGTGCAGGATCCGCAGCAAGCGTCGAAGATGCTGGTCGAGCATGCGTTAGCTCGGTTTTCGACCGACAACCTCTCCGTCATGGTTGTTCGATTTGACCCGCAAAAGCTGCAACAAAACACCAAGATTGATATCGGCGTCGAGAGCGAGGCCAACAAGGAGAAGGGCGCCATCAGCGAGGCGGAGATGATTGTGTCAGAAGCCCGTCGTCACTCTGGTATTGCAACCGAATCAGCCGTGTCCGACCAAGACTCTGAAGACCTCAAGCAATCCATAATCAAAGAATCCGATGGTGAAGAGCAGGAGCCAGGGCCAGAGTTGACACCAGAGGGACAGGGTGAAGCTCAGAAGATACTATCAAGCCAGCAGGGAGGACCAGAAGCACAGAAGAGCGGAGAGACTGATGTTACCATGCGTTGATACCAGGTCCGGACGTGAGATTCGGCGCATTGCTGCATCTCTTTACCGCCATGACAATTGTGTAGCAGAGCCAGAACTGGTCTCACAACTATGGGCTGAACGTGTTGCTGGTTCGTCTCGGAAACCGGATTCCGATATCGACCATGAGGCTGCACCACAGCCGGCAGGATATTATGGATTCACTATTGTCATTGGAAAGGGCGCGAGTGAGGACACCTGTGCCTGGTAAAGGATAAAGGCACATTGTACTTTGCAGGACCCCACCGGACGGGCAAGGCTGAATGAGTATGACTGTCTTGACACCGGCCATTTGGTCCACGAAAGCAGCAGTAGAAGGCTGATATTACCTGTTATGATGAAGAGTAGCATAATCTGTATTGTATCGGACTTATCTTCCTGAACAGGCCCTCACGCCCTTCTCAAGTTTGGAGGCTCCCTTTGCCCGTAGGTAAAGGCGCCTTATTGATGGAAGGCTTGTGCATTCAATGTTTAGCCGGCTGGAGCCGGTCCGCCGGTGGTTTAAGGCGCTCAGGCTTTGGCCTTTGATCCGCACCTGTAATAATCACCAAAAATGAGTGGCTTATCAGGGATCCGAGCATGAATTTGATCTTGAGGTCCACTAACTGCTGCTTGCTGCTGTCATCGCCATTTACAGGTATCCAGTCACCAGAAAAAATATCCCTGTAATCTGTCGCACGTCTAGAATACCTTGCTGACCTTTCAACGCGACTCACAGTCGTCGATCAACCTTTCTTGCCATCCTCCCTGATGCCGTCGTCGTGAGCTTCCATCTCACTACCCTCTGCCATCAATGGCGAGCAAACTTTCCCTGCGCATGAAGCCCGTGAGCTTCTCAGTTGCATCACGCAGGCCGATATCCTCCTTTACCACGAGCACCTTCCGCAGGCCAATTAATGCTTCGGCGCTCAATCCATCACAGGTTCTTCCTCGACAAGTCCTTCAACAAACGTTTCGTCGGACCTATGCCGACAATGCTCCTAAAGCTCCCTCAGTGACCCTTTCTCCCGAACCAAGGCCCCGAAAGCGATTCAGGTTCTTCCGCTGGGTATGGCGGGTAACATATCTTACTACCTTTGGGGTTCTTGGCTTCACAGCATATTCTATTTGGGAAGCGCGAAATCCAGCCGATCAGCTTGAGGTGGACCAAAGCAAGAAAACGCTGGTTATATTGGGTGGGTGTCTATCACGCTCAATCAAGCTTCAATACTGACAAAGTCCAGGTACTGGTTGGGGATCTGTCTCACTGCTCAAGAATCTCGACACTGAAAACTACAATGTTATCGTTATCTCGCCTCGAAACTACTTCCTCTTTACCCCCCTGCTTCCCTCCTGCACCACCGGTACCATTGAACATCGCTCTATCATGGAACCCATCCGGAACATCCTTCGACACAAGAAGAGGGCAGTGAGGTTCTACGAAGCAGAAGCGACGAAGATCGATTATGAGAAGAAGATTATCTACGCCAAAGACGATTCCGACGTCAAGGGTGATACTATGGAGACTGAAGTCCCTTTTGATATGCTGGTCGTGGGTGTCGGCGCGGAGAACGCTACATTTGGCATTCCTGGTGTTCGCGAACACGCTTGCTTCTTGAAAGAGGTCGGCGATGCTCAGAAGATTCGGAAACAGATCATGGACTGCGTCGAGACTGCTACATTCAAGGATCAGTCTCAGGACGAGATCAAGCGTCTGCTGCATATGGTCGTCGTTGGTGGTGGTCCCACTGGCGTCGAATTTGCTGGTGAATTGCAAGACTTCTTCCAGGAGGATTTGCTGAAGTGGGTGCCTCAGATCAAGGATGACTTCCACGTCACTCTTGTGGAAGCTCTTCCCAATGTGCTCCCCATGTTCAGTAAGCAACTGATCGACTATACTGAGTCGTCCTTCAAGGAAGAGCATATTGAGATCCGCACAAAGACCATGGTCAAGAACGTCACCGACAAATTCATCGAGGCAGAAATCAGCAAGCCTGACGGAACCAAGGCAATCGAGAAAATCCCATACGGTCTGCTTGTCTGGGCCACTGGTAACGCTCTCCGGCCCGTTGTCAAAGACCTCATGTCGCAGATTTCGGCGCAGAAGAATGCCCGTCGTGGTCTTGAAGTCAATGAGTACCTCGTGGTCAACGGCACCGAGAATATCTGGGCTGTGGGTGACTGCGCCGTCGCCAACTACGCGCCTACAGCACAAGTCGCCGCACAAGAAGGCGCTTTTCTCGCGCGATTGTTCAACACCATGGCCAAGACCGACGCCATTGAGACAGAGATGCGGGAGCTTTCGGCCAAGCAATCTTCCGCCAAAGCAGAAGAGCGGACGGCTATCCTCAACGAGATTACCGAGCGCCAAAAACAGCTTCGCCGTGTCAAGCAGATTGGTCCCTTCCAGTACTCTCATCAGGGCTCGTTGGCTTACATTGGAGCTGAGAAGGCCGTGGCCGATGTCTCTTGGTTCAGTGGCAATATCGCCTCGGGCGGTACGATGACTTATCTTTTCTGGAAGAGCGCGTACTTGAGCATGTGCTTCAGCAGTAAGTCCTTGTTTGCCCGTCTGTTTTCGCAATACTGACCTTTATTGCAGCTCGTAACCGTGTTCTTGTCGCCTTTGACTGGCTCAAGGCCAAGTTCTTTGGACGTGACGTGTCGCGCGAGTAGTTGAGCAGTTGCGCGGAAGGATTCTACGAGAAGCCATGGACGCCGCTTGAAGGTTAATTTGTCCTCTGTCTCGAGCGCTGTGAGTCTGGCCGGTACAGGGAATTTGGGTTGGCTGGGTAGGGCAAGGCCAGGCACGGGACGGATTTTGTATTAATTTGTAGTCACGACCGATCAGGTTGCGGACCAGCTTGAATGATAGAATAGCCGCCTGGTTGGTCTGTGGATCAAAAGCTGGCTCTTGTAAATGTCTTCAATAGTCGCGCACACTTGGCTTAAAATGCTAAGATCTGGGAACTCAATTCCAGCGATATTGTACATTCCACTTCAACGCCCTGCTACCGCGCGGAAACGATCTACCACAGCTTATTCTCCTCTCTAACCTTTGCATTGCGTCCCTTCTGCGCACTCTGCCTCCTCAATTGCTTCAAGTCCTCCTCGCTCACCGGCGGCTTGAAGTACAAGCTCGGTCCTTCGCCCTCCTTGACCGTATGGCTCAGATAGCCTCGGTTCTTGGCGTCACGGTAATACTCGATATCCTTTCTAGAAGTCGGGTCCGGCAGACGATATGTATATCCCATGGCCGTGACACGTTCCTTCAGCGACTCTCCGCCGGCTACGGCGAGGGCTGGCTTGTTGAGTGCTACGGGATCCCAACGTAGCGAGATGAAAGGGTGCATCTGCTGCATCTTCACCCGGCGGATAGCCTGTTGTGTGTAGAATCTGGTGGTGACGGTACCACCGAGTGCTTCAATGGCCGCGATGGCGGCTTGTGACGCTTTCGAGACGACGATGTGGATGGGTGTCTTGAGTTCAGCGGCTCCGTCAGCAAGCAGCTTGATGCCGTCTTTACATTGGCCGATTACTTTCGACCTGTAGAGCTCGAGTAGTGTGATCGGTCGACTTGGGTCCAGCCGTTTCTGATCGATCCATTCTTGTATCCTGTTTAGGTTGACGGGGACCATTTCAGTCGCGTGTAGATTCTTGAATCCAAATTTGCCGTGCACGATGTGCTCTGGCGTTTGACCTCCATTGAAACCTGCGGGGACTTTCCCATGTTGTTTTTGACCGTCGGAACCACGACCTGATTTACCACCGTTTCCAGATGCAGGACCTCGTCCTCGTCGAACGCGGCGATTGTATGCGCCCGGTCGGTCGGACAGCGAGCTTAGGATGGAGGCATTTCTGGTCTGAATGTGGAGGAATGGTAGGAGGAAGGATGGAATTGATGATGTTGCAGAGATCGAAGGGGAATCGAGAGAAGTGAACGGCTTGATCTGCGGTAGCCGCAGGGGTATTCGAGGCGGCATCGTGTTTGTGACTCCGTGTGGTCTGGAGTGTACCGGCTTGTTGAAGCTTGATGAATCTCAAAAAATCGCGAGATTCGAGATTCCTGCCAAGGTCCATTTTGCGCCAGAACTGCAGTGGAGGAAGGATCATGCCGCCCTAACAGCAAGGCTTAGCAAGGCTTGGGTGCGGAGAATCTTACGTCGCAACCTGCCAACTCCTGAGACAGGCATAGGAATTCTTGTTTCGTTTTCTGTTATACCATACGTCCAACATGCTATAGCCGTCGCAGAATATACATCTGGTCGATGGCAGCATTTCCGTTTCATGATATGTTTCCATAGTCGTCCTTCACACCCTCAAATATGGGGCCCATCGAGTTCAACAAGCGGCGCATCTTTATATTGGTCGCAGCCGTTATAGCCTTTTATATTGTGTTCCACGGTCTCACCCTCTCGGGCGAGACCATTAGGGATGTCTCGGCTCGTATCCCTCTACCGGACAGCCTGCGACCCAGCAAGCCCGAGCAACCTCTAGTTGCTGACCCGGACGACATATGGGACTTGGGTCCTCCTCCCCCTGCACCTGCACCGGAATCTCCTACTGACGCTTCAACCCTGCCTCCTCCCGAATCGCATCCTGTCGAGCATTTCGACTTGCATCCAATCAACCGGCTGATGCAAGAGGCGGACGACACATGGAGGTTATATGAAACAAGCATATCGACGTCGTTCAGACAGACAGTGGAAAAATACAGAAGCAAATATGGAAGACATCCTCCTCCAGCGTTCAAGGAATGGTACCAGTTCGCGCGCAAACGGAATGTCTTCAACATTGACGATTTCGAGCAAATCATGGACGACCTTCGACCGTTCTGGGCCATCAACGCATCCGAGATCCGCACCCGTGCTGCGCATATGTGGGAGGACGAGGCGTTCGGCGCCGCCGTGATTCATATCCGAGACCACAAGGTCGTCCGCACAGATAACCCAAGCTGGAGGTCTGACACTATGGTAGAGGTCATCAACAAATTCATCGAGTTTTTGCCCGACATGGATATCGCTATGAACAGGTTAGACCAACCAAGGGTGGTCGTTCCATGGGAAGATATGCAGGAAATGCTGCAGAAGGAGTATGAAACCCGTGCCATGCCTCCGGAAGTCATGGACAACTTTACGACTAATCAGCCAGAACTCCTGAATATGAGCATTGAGGACAGAGCAAACGACACCTCAACAAGACTTGATGACGGATGGTTCTTCGCGCCAGGGCGGCAGTACATGGACATTGCCTCGAAGGCATGTCCGCCGGAGTCGCCCGCTCGGTCGAACATGTCCATTGCGCAAGCAGATAAAATGTACAAAGAAACAGAGGCAGGGATTGTCAGCAACTTCAACCTCTCCTCGGATCTTTGCACCGTTGGACCTGCTATCCAGAACCTGCACGGCTTGTTGTACACGGCCAGCAGCATTATCGCCTCTCACAAACTGATACCTATTTTCGGTGAGTGTAAGGTAAACGTCAACAATGACATCCTCTTCCCCGCAAATATGTACTATTTACATGACGACCGGTACGACTATAATCCCGAAGGAGACGTGGACTGGCGAGACAAGGACGACACTATCATCTGGCGCGGAGTGACTTCTGGAGGTGTGCAAACCGAGGACAATTGGCCAACAATGCACCGTCAAAGGCTCGTCCAGCTTCTCAATGGCACTCATCTTTCGAGTACAGACACCAACGTCACAGTCTTGACGGAGAAGCGGGAAGCCTCGTACCAGGAGAACACCACTTACGAGCCATATGACCACTTCCACGCTTCGCAATTCGCCGAGCAGCACAGTGATGTCGGATTCGTCGAAGCTTGGGGCTGCGTGCCAAACTGCGGTTTCTACGACCAGGTCTTTTCGTGGAAACCGCAAACGTCATTGACGGCACAATTCAAGTCCAAGTACTTGATTGATGTGGATGGACATTCATTTTCTGGCAGATGGCACGCTTTCTTGCAGAGCAAGAGTCTGGGGTTCAAGGCCACCATCTTTCGTGAGTGGCACGACAGCCGTCTTCTCGCATGGCGACACTTTGTTCCAGTCGACAACCGTTACGACGATATTTATTCACTACTTTCCTACTTCATGGGCTACGGGCAGCCCAACATGGAACATGCACTTGAGTCTGGTGATCCCAACCCGGAGGTCTATATCGCTGCACATCCGAGAGAGGCGCAGAAGCTCGCCCGGCAAGGGCGCGAGTGGTCGAACAAAGTCCTGAGACGGGAGGACATCGAAGTGTACATGTTTCGGCTTCTTTTGGAATATGGCCGCCTTATTGACGATAATCGAGATCACATTGGCTATTCGGGCGATGGAAGTGAATTGGATAAATTCGATGCCGGCGATAAGAGCACCGGCAGATGGGGCATTGGTGGTTGGAAAGATTGAACGATTCTCGTGCTCGACTTCGCCCAGCACGGCTCCTGCACAGCAGTGCATGGACTGTGCCGGGAGTCTTACGTGCGACACCTTACCATAAAGTCCCAGGATTTGAGACAAAAGTGGTCAAGAATTCCTTAGGCTGCCAACTTTCAAGGCGGGCTCATTTCTCTGTTGGCAATGTTGTTGCGCAGACAACTGAAACCACGACCAAACCTGTTGAGTGAACACGGTAGTCGGGCTTATTTGGTGCCTCAGCCTGACGGTACAAACTTATGAGAGGCGACATTCTTCTCAGTACGCTGAGTGTGGATACCAGCCTTCGGACATCAGTAAGCGGGATTGATGCACTGAAATCACAATCAGGCGACGCTGTCTACATGTATATACTATAACCAGGGGTGGCCACATCCGGTACAGAAGGCTGGATAAGGAGTTTTGGAGCTGTACAGCATTTACGACACGGAAACGGAATTGGGACGGAACATTGGATGCTCATGCTCTTCAGGGCGTTCATCGTAACATAGATACCATTCATAAGGTTTTTATCGTTACCGAAGATGACGAGACAACAAGCTCGATCATTTCTTCAACTTCTTCTTCAACCTCTTCTCCGCTCGGGCGTCCTTCTTCAGCCTTGCATCAACAATCTTGTACCTGCCCTTTACACCTCTGGGACGCCCACTGATACCTCTGTTGCCGCCTCTCGCCACAACGACCTTGACTTTCTCCTTCGGTCGACCCTTCTTGGCGGCCCGCGCCATCATCCTCGTTATGCTCGCCGCCTTGTCCTTCTCGCTGATACCCTCGTCATCGAGCAACAGCGCAGACTTCCTACGCAGTTTCTCCAACTTTTGCGCTGCCTTGAACTTCTTGCGTCCCTTGGCTTCGAGCACTTTCTTGATGGGCCGCGCGTTGAGGGCGCGCAGTTTCTCTTTGATCGCGGCAGCACCGGCCGCAGTGATGGGCCGGTTGAGTTTCGAGTGTGAAGTCTCGTCGTCGAGGAACCACTCTGGGAGACCGTCTACGTCGCGGAACGAATATTTGTTGAAGCTGTCGTCGATGAGGTCAGAGGATTTGGTCTGCTTGGTGGCCAGTGACTGAGCCAGGGTCATGGCTTCAGCTGTGATGATGTCGACGTCCAATTGACCGTTTGGCAAGAGAGGATCCTCAGGCCGGGTGGATGGAGCCGTAGAGGGCTTTTGTGGGAGGTCTGCTTCTGAGTCGGACGCGTCGTCAGTTGCCTGCTGTGAGGAGGATTGGGTCTTCTTCAACGCTGATTTCAGAGGCTTTTGCTGCGACTCGACCGCCTGCTTCTGTGTCTGAGTTGTTGCTGGCTTCGCTTGGTCAGACGATTCATCTTCAAGCTCTATGGCGCTGTCTTTGTCGTCTTCATCTTCGTCGAGACCTAAGTCTTGGAAAATGTCCTGGTCGAAAAACATGGCTGCTTTCGTCGAAAGACCATCAGCTTTGGGAAGTGAACGTGCAGAAAATTGATCTTCAGCATCGGACTCTGCGTCGGTCGCATTGTCGTTGCCCTCAGCTTCATCGGACAGACCACCCCACTCGTCAGTTTCTCTTTCTTTTCTGGCCCTTTTCGCTCGCGCTTTGGCGTCGTTCTCTTCACGTTTCTCACGGTACATGCTGTACAAATTGTCGAGCTCTTCTTCCAAGTTGTCTCCATCTGAATCAGAGTCGTCATCCTCAGAGTCCTCTTCAGACACTTCTGACTCTAGGGTTTCCGTTTGCTCCATCGGCCCTTCTGTGATCTTGGTGGCGTCTCGAGCCTTATTCGCAGTCTTGATGTTGAATATGGCACCCTCACCCATCGGACCATTTTGTTCTAGACCAATTTCTCGAGGCGTGGTCATGTGCATCTGCATTCGCACAATCTCCTTTTGCTTTTTCTCATTCCCCCGTCGGCGCTCTTTCCTCTTTTTCTTCGAGTCTTGCTCCTTCAATCTTTGTAAATCCTCTTGGATTTTGAGTTCCTCATCCATGGGCTGGACCTCAGCAACCTCTTCGCCTTCCGTCTTCTCAGCCTCTTGCTGTTTCTTTGCCTTGATAGACATGCCAAATTTGTCGCGCACTTTTAGTCGCCACCGCAGAAGTGTTCTAAACTCTTTCTTGCCCAACACTTTCAAGTCTTCACAGCATTTTCTTACTTCATCCGTCGTTTCGGGAAGTCTGTCCAAGGCCGCCAACGCGAGATCGCCATTAGAACCTTGCGCAAAACTGAGCTTGTTGACCGTACCGAGGATCGCAATCGGATCTGTGGTATGGATATATTCACTGACGGGGATCTCTTTGTGCTGTGTGTATTCTCCCTCCTCATAACCTTCTCGCTTTCGCTTCTTCTTTTCGGGGTTGAATACTTTGGCCTCGTTGTTCGGAGTCGCTTCTTGCACTTCGGCAAAGACATGCTTAGGATCCAGGAATTTCGGATCCATCCTTTTCGGAGCCTTGAAACCTCTGCAGACAACGAAAATTTCGGCAGACACATTTCGGGACGAAGGAGGCTTCGTAGCCTCGACGGACGTGAACAGCTGCTTGAATACCCACAGCAATGCATTGTAATCCTTAGAACGGAAAACTTTTGTGACGAATGTGCCGCCCTCTTTCAGGAATTCTGTCGCCAATTTCATCGACTGCAAGACCAATTCCGCTTGAGAAAAGGCATCTTGTACCCAGGCTACACCCACGTTTGGGGCACCATCATGTAGCACTGCATCTGCTTTGAGATGTTTCAAGTGTCCTCGTATGGTCGCTCTGCATTTGTCGGTAGTGATATCGCTCTGGAAGGTGATAACTCGAGGAATGGGTTTAATGGGAGCCAAGTCGACACCGACAATCAGACTTTGCGCAGGCATAGTCTCGGCTGCGACCTGACACCATGATCCAGGTGCAGCACAAAGATCCAGGAGTACCCTGCTCTTTTCGAGGAAGCCATATTTCTTGTTCAATTGTATCAACTTGAAAGCGGCTCTGGCACGATAACCTTTTTCTTTGGCGAGCTTATACCACTTGTCAAGTCTTCCCTTGCCGTGCTTCTTCTGGATCGCCATATTAGCGATATATTCCCAGAGAAAGCTGTGCTTGAGAAGTTCTCGGAAAGGGTAAAGTAGTGTTTGCAATATGGTAAATGCGGCGGCGCCGAGGAGGAAAAGTTCCAGACGCAGGACAAATTTCCTGCCAAGGCATAAAGTTTTGCCGAGGATGGTCCATTGTCTTCAGCCTCGTAGCTTCAGCCTTGCAATGTTCAGCCTTGCAATGTTCAGCCTTGCAATGTTCAGCCTTGCAATGTTCAGCCTTGCAATGTTCAGCCTCGTCAGCCTCGTCCACCTTCGCAACATATCCTCGGCTCCAGTAAAGGAGCGAATATTGACGCAGACGGACAACTCATTGCAGTGCACGCGACGATATGGACAAGGCCTCGGCCAACTCAGTGATATCGCATAGAATGTGCATGAAAATGTCGCAGCTGTTAATACTTGCCCGATATGGAAGGTGGGCGGTTGGATAAGACACCTCGGCCTTAGCCTGACCACTATTTTGGGATTATCAGCCATATGCTGACTCTCTAACCAGGAGACTACTGACCCAACCGACGCAAAGCTTTGAACAACAACAAGGTAATTGACGTCGCAGTCTAACATCACAAAGATGACACCTACGAAACCGAGAACGATTGATCTAAAAGGAACACCACGACAGGTACGGCGATATCGCCAGACTCTCCGCACCCAGACTAACGAAAGGCAGATCGGTGTCCAGCATGGCAGCCTCTTGTCCACAGAGATCAAACGTCAAATCGAGGTGTACAGCGCCATGTTCGAAATCACATCGAAAATGTCGTGGGACGCCGTCCTCGAACTCGCCGAGGAATTCAGCGCAACCATCAACAAGCTGACGCCAGACATTCACGAAGAAATGCAAGGCATTGCCGAAGGCGCCGGCGTCGACATTCTCGATATCGTCGCATTGAATTGCCGCAGTGAAATTGCCCTTGGAAACTTCTCGGACGGATGCACGAGTCTGGCTTGGAATACGGCACCGGATGTAGAGGGCGTCGTGCTGGCCCAGAATTGGGACTGGACCAACCGAGTCAAGCAAAACCTGGTCATGATATCCATCGAGCAAGCTGGTAAGCCCAAGATACACATGATCACAGAGGTATGTCTAGCTCGTTAACCGAGCCCCTTTCCGTGCTGAAACTTGCTACAGTCAGGCATTGTCGGCAAGATCGGCTTCAACTCCGCGGCGGTAGGTGTATGTCTGAACGCCATCCGTGCCCGTCCAGTCCTAAGCACAAAGCTCAAAGCTGCCCATCCACATCGCTCTCCGGGTCTGCCTCGAGAGCACATCCGTCGACGGGGCTATTCGCCGTCTGCAAACACTCGGAGGCGTGGCGTCGAGTCAGCACATACTTATCGCCGACCGGCACAAGGCAATTGGCATGGAACTATCGCCGCTGGGCGATGTGTTCCTTCCTGAGGAACGGGGACTTGTCACGCACTCGAACCATTTCATCACGAACAAACACGTCGACGAACCGCCGTGGCTGGCAGGATCGCCTGTGCGTCTCCAGCGCATTCGCCAATTGACGGCGAAGATGATGGACGAGGGAGTCTCCGGAAGCATGGTTCAAGGATCTTTACTCCGCGAAAGGGTCTTCTCCGACACTTTCAATGCGCCTCAGGCGATTTGCTGCCAGGAGGATCCCACCCGACCAATTGAGACGCGCAGCAGCACGCTTTTCAACATCATAATGTCCCTGAACGACAAACCATCTGCAGAAGTTGTATGGGGGAAGCCCAGATCCAGGGAAGAAGGAGAGGTGCTAACAATGCCGTGGTAGCTTTACGATAATGGCCATCGCTTAGCGATATTAGTCTCTCTGGACGCTCAGGCATGAATATTCTTCTAAGGCACCGGTCTTTTATTGTCATGATATTCTACTCTATCGCTATGCAAGCTCTTGAGCGCTTCCTCGACCTAAGATTCAGCAGGGTATTTAGCTGCCATCTCGTCAAGATATGCAAGCACAACCTTCCCCCAGACCGGTTTTCTCTTGTAGAAAGCAAACTTTTCAGGCAACTTGTGCAGCAGTCCGCCCAATCGAGTTGCGAAGCCAGGTATTTCTGCGATGTCGACCAGACGATAAAGATACGTCTTTGTCACGAAACAGATGGCTTTAGTCCGCGGCAAGCGTCGGAGAACCTGTCTCTCCACCCGCAGCTGAACCTGCTCAATGTCGATACTCTCGTCGGCCTCACCGACATCGTTCTCGTAGAGGTGAGCTCCTTCAGTCAGGAAAAGTTCCTCGTGGTCGTTTATTGCCCAATTGACCCGCACAACCATCTTTGACGGGTCTACACTTTTGAAGAACCTTCAAGCCGCGTCAGCCACACCCGAAATGATCATGGGGCAGGGAGATATACCTGTTCATGGATTTCTGCAACCTCTCCTGGTACGTAGGAACAGTCTGATGTATCTCAGTGAGAGTTTTGTCCATCTTGTCTCGCACGTGGAAGCCCGCGGGAAAAGCCGACAGGACAGCTTTCAAAACGTACTCTCCGGATGGGCCCTCGACAAGAATGTTCAGATCGTCCTCGACAAGTCTACCAGCAATGTATAAAGGGTGGTGTTTGACGTAAGGCGGGGAGACATTGAAGCTTTCTCCAGTGACCCGGTTGTTGATGACGCTCTTGTCTGCTGACAAGGTGAAGATTGTCGGAAAACGACGCGGTAGATAATTCACCAGGCACTCGAGCATCTCGACACAGCCATCGTAACCTCCTTCTCTACAGTCGATAGCGTCTGAACCGGCCTCTTCGAGGACCTTGGCTTTGAGATCCATTCTCTTCTTATAGTTCTTGTCGAATACTATCCAGTCGTTGAATGCTAACTTTTCAATTGCTGCCGATGTCGTCAGCACTACCTCTTTCCCTGTAGATTTTATGGCATATTACCCATTGTTATGCTGTAAACGCGATCACTTATGAAGTCCTTCTCGTACCACGATATCGGCTCTTCATCTTCGTACTGAAAGTTGGGCTTGTACGGGCCGACATTCGTAAAGTCGAGCTGCGTTACTGGATCTGAAGGCATGTTAGCGCGACTATGGAATTGTTGATTCGCGAGAAAGTGATCCTTACCGCTCCCTGAACTGCACGAGCCCGTTGATGTTGTCGGAGCGATGTCCTTGAGCAGGCTCTTTGTCTGAGAGGGTTTCGCATTGAGTCTTTGCAAATAAACGTAGAGCGCAACAAGCGTGATCAATGAAAATCCAATTCTCATCTGTAGCTCAACAGTTGATGCCGGCTTCAACGTCGCCGCCTCCATTGCGTTGCGTCTGTCTCTAGCAGAGGCGAGCAATGCGCATCCAGGAGGTTTCTGCTTTACCTTGAACCATGAGTCTTTTGCAGGAGCCTTGAAATAATGTTTCTAGAACGCCATTGCACCATCGCGACTGGGATAGAGTTATCCTACCACTACTATTCGCATGCTCCAGCGAATCTTCGGCCGTTGTCTCTCCACCATGAGCAGCGCAGGAAGATTCCACAATGCCTGATGCAGAATAGTCCGACCCTCCAGGTCGGCTTACCACTGTAGCCATTATGAGATCTGGGCCACTGCACGCCATCCGAATCAAGCAACTTTTGTTTCGAAATTCGGGTGATTGGGCGAGAGGGACGATCTGAGTGCTAAGTTCCCTGCTGTATCCAATCGCCAGTCAGCAATCCGGATCACAATGGTTCTGATCGGATCCACGCGCGCATCGTAGACGGCGGACGGCGCTGGCGTCGAGAATCGTATCTCTTATCGCTGCAGTAATGAAGACGGATTCTGTGCCGGTTTTGCGGGGTCAGGGTCATCTTGACTCGAGGCTAAAAATACCTTCCTAATGAGGCAACTCGAGTGGGTCTTCCATCAATTTCGGGTTGATATCGCAGAATACCCGTCACTTTGGTGAAAGCAGTTACCATACCGGCTCGAGACCACTCATGTGGTTGCGAGGTTGATATAATCACCTTCAAGGAAGCCCTTGCATCTCGAGCTTCTTTCTGCGTACCCTTCTAGGATTTCTCGTTATTTGCAAGTTTGGTCGTTCGCACCTTGAGTAGCTCCCGATCACGGAACGATCCCCCTTCGCATACACGATGCACGACAAGACCGCAGATGAGGTGCAGGTGCACACCCCTGTCGACAGCGAGCGTGGCACTCTCAAAGATGTCACCAATGATGCACTTCAACTTGCTTCTCTCGGTCATACCGAAGAACTCGGTATGAGGCGATATGGACTGTCAAGTCTGAAATGGATTGCTGACTGCGTAATAGAACGGAACTTCAGTTTGTTTGCCCTGATCGGCCTGGGTTTCGTCTGCTCCGGCAGCTGGTCCGGAGTGGCTCAATCTCTGGTAGCTGGTGTCAACTCCGGCGGCCCAGCAGTGCTTGTATATGGCGCGTATGTCTCAACAGAAAACATGTCATCCGACGATGAAGCACATTGCTAACATGGTGCAGAATTGTGATACCCGGAATGGTCTTGATGATTGTACTGTCGCTGGCTGAGATGGCATCGGCATATCCTGTATGATTCCTATACATGCACAAGTAGCCTCGAGCTGACCTCACTCCAGACTACTGCAGGTCCTTTGGAATGGACATTCAGATTGGCACCTCCAAAACATGCTGCATTCTTGGTACGTCAGACGCGCTTAGTGTTTCATCTTGAGATCTACCTGAATGAGTTTGAGCTGATCGGTTGCAGAGTTGGATGACCGGCTGGTCCAATATGCTTGCTTGGATCGTTGGCGCTTCTGCAAATGTCGCCGTCATGACATTCCAAGTCGTCTTCCTAGCCAACTTGTACAACCCGAGCTATGAGTCGAAACCCTGGCATATCTTCCTGATTATGGAAGCTTTGCTCATCCTGAACTGCTTGATGAACGTCTTTGCGACCAGGCTGCTGCCCTTGATAGACAGAATCGAGTTTTGGTGGTAAGTATCGGACCAGTCCTTGTGCATGACACCTCTCTGACCATGATTCAGGTTCCTCGGCTCGTTCTTCATCGTGTCCATCACTGCAGTAGCAGCAGCCAACCCCCACCAACCTGCTAAGTTCGTGTTTGGCACCTTCATCAACTACACAGGCTGGGATAATAGCTTCGTTGTTTTCATGAATGGTAAGTACTAAGTCTGTTCCATCGTCGCAACAACGTCTGCTAACGCTCTTGAAGGATTGGTCATCACCGCTGGTGTAAGCTAGCATCCGTTGACTCGAATGAATGGGAGTATTACTGACAATAACGTAGAACTTCTGCGCCCTGGACAGCATCAGTCATCTTTCGGAAGAAATGTCGAACCCCAGTCGAACAGTGCCAAAGGCCATGTTCCTGACAATCGGCATCGGAGCTATCACTGACTTGTTGGTGAGCATCTGTCTGATGTTCTCCGTGGGTCAGGATCTGGATGAATTCTTTAGCAGCGGGTAAGCAACCCCCATAGCCTTTTCCGGCATGCTGAGGGGATTTTGGTAGCTAACGGACGTGCAGAGCACCCTACCTGACAATAATGCTTACCTCAACCGGCTCCAAGGCTGCCGCGGCATGTATCTCGACGATTCAGCTTGTCAACAATTTCAACAGCACTACCTCGGTCATCCAAGTGGGTAGTCGAATCATCTGGTCATTCGCCCGTGATGGCGGCTTTATTTTCCCCAAATTCTTCGCGAAGGTCAACAAAAGCCTTGCCTGCCCCGTACCAGCCGTCATAATGTCGTGGGCCATCGCAGCCTTGGTGTCGGTGCTGTACCTCGCCTCGACCACGGCCTTCAACGCATTGATGTCGTGTCTTGTTCTTCTGGGCTACGTTGCTTACTCGATCCCGATCGTCTGCCTGATGTTACGTGGGCGCGTATATGACCGAGAAGGTGCCTTCAAGCTCGGCAAGTACGGTTGGGCCATCAACGGGGCAGCTGTGTTCTTCATGACGCTCTTGGGTATCTTCTTCTGCTTCCCGATCTACTTGCCTGTTACGAAGGACAACATGAGTAAGTTTGCCACATCCCCAGACTATTTCTGTTGCTGACTTAATTGCGAAGATTACGCTAGTGTTGTTTCTGTCGGTCTGTTGGTAATCGCGTGGCTGTTGTGGATTTTTGTAGGCAAGAAGTCCTTTACTGGTCCTTCTCTTAACGGCATCCATATCAATGCGGCGCCTGCAGAGACGAAGGAAAAGATCTGATTGTTACTTGGTGAGCTCTGTATCAGATGGATGAGGGTTGATAGTGGAATGGGGTGAGCTGGTTTCACTGGCGATCATTATCAGATACATTATGGAACACTTTAGTACAATGTAACAATTGAGCATTCACATGTCTGCCTCTGTTGAGAGAATGGTCGTCATTGCCGTTATGTAGGGGAGGGTTTGTCGCTGCGAATGAAGTGGTCGTGATGGCCCTTTCCGTTTATCAGGCGAGCCCGTTCCCAGAGAGAGAGAACAACTGCGTCTACAGAAAGCACCTCGAGGATGACAGATTTCTTTCCAGCAGGTCCAACTCAGTCCGGCCTAAACACTGTTGACAGCAGACCGGTAGTATCAACAAAAGCGACCTCTCGGTGTCAAGAGTAGTCAGTCTAAAGATACGGGCAGAAACGGTATCCAGGAACCACATTTGTCGAGCACGAGGAGGTATGGCAGTGGCATAGTGTCATTTTATTTCGGCACAGCCTCGTCGTGTAGCTTTCAAGATCTGCATTGCGGTCTATCCAAATGAGATCACCCCCTAGCTCTGGGTCACATCAATGATCAATCGAATCATGCGGTAACCCCAACTTGGAAGAAATCGAGACTGCCAGGGCCTGACACCCCACGTCCAAGCACTGCATCAAGGGGTTCACTATAATCAACCCAGCCCAGTCCTGATCCCGTGGCTTTGTATCCGTACACCTCAAGCACCTCGATCGGGTAGTCCTTGGCTACCTCCGGCGGGAGTTGCAGAAAGATATTCTCCTCTGACCGATGGTTTCCTTGAGTCATAAAAGCTCCAAAGACCTGAGGAGTGTGCTTGATCAGAATTGACCATGCATGAAAAGAGGACAAGACTCACTTTGCGGCGTTCAGACTGCGTCACATTGGCGCCTCCACCGTGGAAGATGGCACCATCGAAAATGAGAGCATCTCCGGGCTCAAGGCAGACTGGAACTGCTTTCTCTGGTGGAGGTTGGTTTTCTTTTTGATCAGCCTGCAAGGAATTAATGAGTGACTGTTCGCTCCTCGCAATGCTTGTGCGGTGAGGAGACACCTACCCATTTGTGACTACCAGGGACGACCACGGTTGCTCCGTTTTCAGCAGTGGTGCGAGTCCAGGCGCAAAGCATGTTGATCTGGGTTGGCTTTGTCGGATGGGTGATGTGATGAACTCCATCGTCACGGTGTAGTTGTTGCGCCTCCGCTCCGGGACCAATGTCGAACGACGTGCTGGCATTGCCGATCGGCTTGCAGACGAGTGTACGATAGCCATCGCCACATCTTGACTTCTTTGTCAGAGTCAACAGGCGGTTGCAGATTTCCTGGTAAAGCGGATTGAGGAAGAACTCTTTTGCATAGGTCTGCGATTTCCCCACAGAGCCACAGATCCTTTTTGTTGCCTCCGGGAAGAAGTTGCCCTTCCACACCTGGTCTGGTTGTTCATGCGGTTTCAGTTCTTCGGCAATCTTATCAATCGTCTCCTGGCTGATGACCTTTGTTATGACAAGGCCGCCATCTCGATCGAGAACGGAGAGGATCTGCTCGAGTGGTGTATCTGCCGGCAGTCTCTCTACACCCTGCTGGGCCATGTTGATATGGACAAGATGATGAGCCGCTAGGTCGGAAATCTGTCTGCAGGTCGACAATGCACTGGGGTTTCTGAGTTGAGATGAGTCAGGCAAATGAGTACACCTGGTGACGATACTTTATTACCACAGCGACCTTCAACCTGCAAGGACCTTCGATAGACGTCTCGCCCAGGCCAATCGTTGTTGGAATATGTAGGCTTATCACCATCCGTCCCTGTGCAGCCTAATGTGCCGTACTGGCATGATTAGCTTGAACCAAACTTTCCTATTCGGGAAAGTTTTTCAGGATCCACCCGCAATTGATAAGGAACGGAGTTGAGAGCTTGTGTCCAACTCTTCGACTAGCACAACTTACCCATTCTGGCAGCCGAGTGACAGGGTTTGTACACCGGCCAGGTGCATGTATCCTGAACATCCGAGGCGAACCATTGAATCTTGGTGACCACGCGTGGTGGACGTGAAGTGCTCATAATTTGAACAATATTCGCCTGGTTTTCTCCCCGAAATCTGCAGGGAATCATAGTCAAGAAACAAATCGCATGGTCGCAGTATGCCTTCCGCAAAGACTCCAGCGTTTACCACTCTTCCTCGTGAAAGCCCTGACGAGGCTATCCTCGAAGCCTTTGACCGCGATGGCGCCGTAATTATATCCGATCTCCTAAACGAGACGAGCATCAATGTCATACTCAAAGAGCTCAACTTAGACCCGACCGCCACGTCCGAACAATGTGTTACCGCACTGGCTTCAAAATCCCCTACGATCGTCAATGAGGTCCTCTTGTCCTCTCAGCTCAACCGCTTGCTGACTGCTCGGATGTCGAAGACAACAACTATCTGGCACGGAGAGGAGCTGCTCACGAACACATCCCGGCCATACCTGAGCGCCTCTGTTGTGTTCGAAGCTGCTCCAGGCAAGGCAGCCCAGCCCTTGCACCGTCATGACGATATATACTTCGTCGACCACCCCTTGGATATACCCGTGGAGATCTGGGCGCTCATTGCCCTCGATGATAGCGGAGTTGGCGAGGGTGGCAGCATGATAGACGGAATCTTGGAGAGCCATAAGTGGGGTGAAGAATGGTAAGTATCCGCCACTGCCCAATTCCCTGTTCTGGAGACGAGTGAGGCTTATGCACACCATAGGGATCCCGCAGGACATAGCCTAGCGTCCTCCGGCATGAAACGTGGGGACTGCTTTCTCCTTCATGGCTCAATGATTCATCGAGGCGGAGAGAACTCCTCCACAAGTCTCCGCCGTACCTTGGGCGTTTCCTGGGCCCAGGGCCATATGAGGCAGGAAGAGAACCAATTTTTGAACGTTTCCAAGGAGGTTGCCATGAAACTGGATGAAAAGACGCAGCGGCTTATCGGATATAGGATGAACGCGCCCTTCGGAGGGTGGTATGAACTTCGAGATCCTATTACATACCTTCAGCCGGAGGATAAGGTCGATAAAACAATGAGGGACTTTTTGGAGAAAGAGATCGATGAGCAGAACGTCGTTTGAGGCAAAAGCTTGTGCTGATGAACAATTTATCGAGGATCAGGGAGGCTCGAAAGGCCTCAGACCCAACACCATTTCCAATCCATCTCTTCGCTCAGTTCATTCCAGTCGACGCCAATCCTCTCCTCCCATGTCTTGGACTCCCTGCGCTTGGTCCAAAGAAGTTTGAGGGCTTCTTCGGCATTTTGATAAAGCGGATCCCTGACATGGCTACTCATGCCTCGTATCCTTTTGATGGCCTTCTTTGCCATGGCAGCGTCATTTTCATTGATTGCGAGAGCGGCCATCATGGTTGGCCACAGAGCAATGCCTTCGATGTAGGATGATGGCGTAAGGGATTCCAGATTGATAAAAGTTTGCCGCACGTGATACTGCACAGTCTCATGGCAATAGTCCAGTTTCCGAATCTTCCGGTAGTAGAAAACAAGGGCGGCATGCCTGAAAGCTTCGGCTAGATGTTTCTCGTCCGGCTGCGACCCGCTTCTGGGGCGCCACCGCAGCAGAAGGTCCTCTAGCTTGACCGATTCGATGGACCAGGTGCTGTGCCATTCAGCATCGTTTTGCATGTTGGAGGTTGCTTCGGTCTCCTCCCGAGATTGGGCGAGCATGACCATGCGCCCGAGCGAGTATACCACCACGACTGGACATCCTACCAACTTTTGGAAATGTTCGTCGTCCGGATCCTCTTTCAGACCCGAGATGCGTCCCAGGGCTACTTGCCGTAAATCGTCCTGCCGAAGTCGTCGGTAGATATTCCAATACTGTTCCGCTACCAACAAGTCGAAGCGGGTAGACGTTGCTGCGAAAGTCTCAATAGCCACCACGCATTTGGCTAGTCTCACCCAACTGTTTGAATCTTTCAGGTCGCTTTCAAGTTTGCCTCTCAGCTGGATGAACAGTGTGGCTCCTTTGAGCCAGTGATCCCAGCCGGAGGTGCCTGAATGTAATACCTGCCGGATTTAGTGCTCGCCAATATGTAGCGCAACCAATTTCGACGTACCTCAAACGTCTGCATGAGCATGCATGCTGCAAGAGTGGCGTCGTCCCTGAGTAGGTCTGGCTTGGCCAAATTCTCTCTTAGTAGTGTCAGAACTTTTTGTTTGTGTCGCAAGGCCTTCAGTCCGTTGTATTCATCTCCCGGAGGGTTGAGCAAGTGATCAAGAGCTCTTCCACGTTGAAGGGACAGCTGGTGTGACGACAACGCCATTATGGCCTGCATCAGTATTTCCGACTCCGTAGAAGCCGGGATGACTATGCAAAGGAATGGGTTGTCCGGTGTGTTCCAAAGCGGCATCAGTCGCGGAACTACCTTTTCAATATCTGCACAAGTCAACGTCATTACGCACATGTCTTGTCTGGGGGGCACCATACAATACTGCAGGTAGAACCTTCTTTCGGACGTTCTTTCCCCCGACCAAGCACCAGCGGCTGGAAGTTCGCAAGGGATGTTTGGTAAGATGTCTGCTTGAAAGCTGAGTTGTGGTGACTGTTGATTTGTGGAGGATACGGACGGTGTTTCGAGCATGACTGTTGTACTGAATCCGTCCGCATCCCGAAGGCGTGAGTCTGTGAAGCCCACATGGCGTCGACTTGGAGAGTCGTCTCCCATAGGGCTAGTGCACGGTTCCCAGGTGATGGTTGGGTCTCCCTGGTCCTCATCCCATCTGTGCTCTGTGCTAAAAGCATACAACAAAGAGGCACCTTCGACAGTGCCTAATTCCAGATCCATTCCCGTGGCTTCTGGCCTTCGTGCGTCTAGCTGATCAGATTGCAAGACTGATCCTTGGGGCTGGTTCTCGACCTGTCGCCTCGCCGCGTCTGCCGTGGACACAGGAACCGCGTGGTCAACTTCCAGCACGGCTGATGAAATCGACCTCAAGCCCGGCGGTCGGCTCTTGGTAGCTCTTGTTGCTCCCCTGTCTCGTCGAAAGCGCACTTTGTACTTGCGCTGTGACTTGGAGACGTGACCAGCATGTTCTGTATCGGGGATCAGCAATCGAACCTCGTATCGACTTCGACCCGGCCACGTACCATGATTCGTGGGAACCGCGTACTTAGACCCTTGAGGTCCAGCTTCTTCCGAGGTGACATTCCTCCAATTCAACCGCATTGGTTCTTTAAGTTAAATATGGTGCCAATGACGGCGGCTACATTGTGCGAGACTGGCTTGTCTGCAAGGTGATACCATGCGGAAGGTAGACACCGATAAGGGTGTTGCCGTTTCTGGCCGGCGACGGGTGTCGTGAAATGGTGTGTGCTTCCCCATAAACCATTACGGTGGAGGAGTAGCTCAACGCTGGCAAGTCTCGGAGATAAAATCTCCTGCATGATTGTGGTGGAGACTGACACTCGTCTCCATCTTCAGCGCTAACCCGACTTCGTATTCCAGCTTCATTGATTTGAGCAGATATAAAACCCTCAGGAACGGCGCACAGAACGTCTGATTCAATCTTCCCAATCCATCTGGCTTTTGCAACATTCATCTTCGCTGGAGCCGTTGCTTAGCAGGTGCAGAATGACGGACATTACGGGCTTTGCGGACGCTATGGACACCACCGAAATGGATATAAATTTGAGGAGCCGCGAGCAGCATACCGGGTTGTCTTTCGCCCTGCACACTGCCTGACGGACTTGACTTTTCACCATCATCCAACGACATCTGCAAGTTCGCACTATCACCCTTCAACACTATGGCGCCCACCAATCACGCAGCATGGCTCAAAGCCAAACAAGACCCCATCATGGTAGTTGAAGAAGCACCCTACACAAGCCCTGCAGAGGGTGAGCTTGTCATCCGAACCAAGGCTGTGGCCATCAACCCCGCCGATTGGCATATCCAGGATAAAGGTATGCTGGTCACGAAGTTCCCAGCCATTCTAGGCTGCGACGTCGCCGGGGAAGTCGTTGAAGTCCACCCCAGCTTAGCCAATCGCTTTGCGGTCGGTGACCGTGTCTTCGGCTCAGCAAACCCCCTGTTCAACAAGGACGGAGTGTATTGCTACTCCGGCTTCCAGGAATATATGATCCCCAAGCCACCTCAGATCGCCAAGATACCGGAGCACACAACCTATAAGGACGCAGTGGTGTTGCCATTGGGTGTCAACACCGCCGCAAGCTGTATATTCTCCAAGGAAATACTCAACCTGAGTATGCCTCTTCACAGTGACGGCGGCAAGGGAAAGACACTCTTGGTCTGGGGTGCAAGTAGCAGCGTGGGCGCGTGCGGCGTGCAGATGGCGGCATTAGCTGGATATGATGTGGTAGCCGTTGCTAGTAGCAAGAATCACGACATGGTCAAGGGCTTGGGCGCTAAGACGTGCTTTGATCAGAACAATACCACCATTGTTGATGATCTCGTTGAACACTTGAAGGGAAAAGACGTTGTTGGTGCGTACGCGGCCATTTCAACGCCTCTAACGATACCATTGTGCTGCGAGGTTCTGGACAAGTGCGGTGGGAACAAGGTGGTAGCATCGGTGATGCCTGGCGCAGAGGCCTTTTCCAGCAGAGGCGTGAGCGTCCAAGCCAACTTCGTTGCCATGCATTCGTTCGTAGCAGAAGGGAAAATGACGGCTATCTGGGAGTGGCTAGAGAAGGCCCTCCGAGAAGGAAGAATGAAGTGCATGCCGCCGCATGAGGTCGTCGGGCACGGCTTGGGAGACGTGCAGAAGGCGGTCGACCTGATGGGCAAGGGCGTCAGCGGAAAGAAATTGGTCGTCGTGTTGTGAGCAGCTCTATATGGGTGTCCTTGACAGGTGATGATGATCGCGGTAGGACAGGGAGCAAAAGTCGAGAAAGAATAGTTTCTTGCATAATTATGGTTGAGTGGTTCTTTCTCTCATTAGAGCTGACATATCTTCGACATGTATAGAAGGCTGCTGCTGTTTTAGTACAAAATGGTATATATACCAAAGTTCGAGTCGAATTTTACATCCTTCCCAGTTTCCATCTTGCTATTCGTGACTGGACATCCTCCCAAGGAATTTGTTTGATCTTCCTACCACTCGGGTCTTCTCCTTCTTGGATAACAACGGTTGGGGCACCAGTTCCGTGGCCTTTATTGTCGACCTTTCCGGTGAAGATTTCCCTAGCAACTCGTCTGAGGTCGGCCACGGTCAAGGCGTCAATCTTTTCGCACATTTCCTTGACTCCGACCTTGCGGCCATGGACTTGAACCTGTCTGCCGAGATCCTCAAGCTCTACCAACCGGGACTCCAAGTTCATCAGCAGGCTGAAGCGTAGTTGATTTTTGGCTCGATTGACCTCGGCGACTTGAAGACTGGGAAAACCAGATTCCAACGTCAGGGCTTGCAACTCCCGGCACATAACATCCACCATATGCCCGACGCGACCGGGCTCACAAGCTGCCGCAATACCGAACAAGCCACTATCCGTGTAGCTGTGGTTGAACGCCACACAGCTCTCCACCCAGCCATGCTGATTGAGAACGTTGGTATACAATCGCGAATACATGCCTTTCCCCGGCCCACCGGCAGAGAAAGAGCCTCCTCCTCCTAACAAGGTCTGTAGCGTAGCCTGCGCATAGATGTCGTCCGACGATATCGGGAGAGCTTCGAATGCGATATGGACATGCGATAAAGGAATAGAGAGATTGTTTTGAGGTACAGGTAGAGGAGGAAGCGCCAGGTAGCCTCCGGTGTAGTGGGCCGGCTGAGTGAGGACAGAAGTGGGAGCTTGTTGTATTAATGAAGGTTCGAGAGGGGAGACGGTCGCTTGGTGAGGGGCGGACGTAGAGAAGCTGCTGAATCCTGGTATCTTGGAAAGCAACTTGCTTGCTGAGGATGATGGCTGAGAGGTCTGATACTGAGTGTTTGACGAGGGCTCAGGGGTACTTGCTTGCGAGTCGACCTGTGACGACGAGCTCGACTCCGTCCTGGGCATGTCTCCGAACCACTTCTCAGTCAACCGCACAGCCGCGTCGTGTTCAATTCCAGCGAAAGCGACAACCGTCCGCTCTGGCCTGTAGAATGTGCTCCGGTATTTCATGACCAGATCTCTGTTGATATATGACAGCCTTTCCCGCGGACACAGAAGGGGATTCCCTAATGTGTTGTCTTTGTATGCAGCCATGTGCATCAGCTCTGGGATGATCAAGTCCGGCTTGGACCATATTTCTTGTATCTCGTATTCCGCCGTCTCCAATTGTTGAGCGACCTCTTCCTCTGTGACTAAGGGATTTCGAATTGTATCCGCAAGTAGGGCGATCGTATCGGGAACGCCGGAATTAAAAGTTGCAGACTGATACATCAAAGCTTCTCTTGACGATGCGCATTGTATGTTGCCCCCTAGAGACTCCAGAGACTCCAGCATCTGATCAGATGTTCTGGATTTTGTTGACTTGAATGCGAGCCGATCGACTATGTGACTGACACCACGAAGCGACGCATCCTCGTATCTTGATCCTGCATCAATATAGACTCCCACACCTGCGAACGGACCGGGTAACGATTCGGTAGCGACTCGGATTCCATTCGGCAACTCTGAAATATGATCTAATTCGACAGGGTCCTAGTGATTCGAGGTGTGAGATATAGTCACGCGGGCTGGTTCAGAAGTGTCGACTCACTTTTTGCAACGGATCTCTGACAGTGGCATATTTTCTGCCCGCAGGTCTCGCAGTCTTTGCCAATAATCTAGCATTGCGCAAGGCTCTAACGGCCGGAGTGCGCATGCTGGTCGAGGTGAGAAGGTGTAGTTGATTGCAGTGTCGGTGATGTGTGCGAGGATGCTGGATCACGAAAGACGATCGTATTCAAAATCCAGGTGGACTCTTGCGGATCGGGGTTGGATTAGTGCTAGGCAGACGACGGCCGCCAGAAAGAAAGCAGGCAAATTCAAACGATGCAACCGCCGAGGTGTCAAAGAAAGCAAACAAAGTCGCCGTCTGAAGATGAAATGGAGCCCGCAAATCGCAGGCAGATAGCGAAAGTTCTTGGGAGCTGAAGGTTAAGCCTCATTTGGATGGCCGTTGCGTCCGATGATGTCGTTGCCGCCTATCTCCCTCATCAAGCCTCTGATGCCATCGGAGAGGTTCATGAAAGCGAAGTACCAAGGGTAAGTAGAAACCGACTTGATAACTTTTGCTATAGGTGCTGGTCAGCAGCTAGAGTCTATAGCCTCCCCATTTCTATCTCACCCCTGGTCCTTTTGACCTCAATTTATATCATTTCTGGATGTATCGATTGAGTCAGACCTAATTACAGGCGTCCTCGGCTACCTGCAGCCCCTAAAGCAGCCTGACGACCATCCCCCGGGTAAATTCAGCATTGCTTAGGTACTCGTACTCGATTGCGGACACAGTCTGCTCCTGCGCCGCAGACGACTACACCAACGACACGATCCCTTGTCGTCTGGTTGGCCATTGTGTCTCGAGTCTCTTTTGCACACAACGAGCAGCAAGCGAATGATCTGAACAACAAGCAAGAAAGGCAGATTCGAACTTTCCTGGTGCAGCCGCGTGACGCCTTATACCGCCTGCGCCTGCCATACCCACGATCCCTGCCACGTACTCCAAAAACCACCTGTATCACTCCCTCCTTCTCTCCACCTCACGTCATTCCCTATGATATCTTCACCCACGCCTGTCACGTCTGGTGTCACAGCTGGTGCGGATTTGACCAGAACCACATCGAGGCGTCGTGGCTTGAGTTATCTTCGTGCCCTGTCTCATAGCCGTTCCTTCGGCGGCACCAGCCCGAACGAGCCTTCTCGGTCTCCTCGACATTACTTTCAGCGATCCATCAGTTACAACGATAACCGACCAGAAACACCAGTGACCGGGAGACGTAGAAGTGCGTCACGCCCGAACGAACCTACGAGCCCTCTAGCGAACGATTCTCCTCAGATTTCATCCTCCTTAGGGAACAATAGATCTTCTTCTCCACCTGCCGGACAGGTTGCAACAGCCCAGACCACCACACTCCGCGCTTCAGGGGCAAATACTGCGGAAGAGCAAGACACAAACAAAATGGCCAGACACCGGAGCTCTACCTCGCGGAGGCATACCAGTCAGCAACATTCTGATGCTACAATGGGGGAATCTATAGATTCAGCCTTGAGACCGGCCAATCCCAGAACTATCTCCAGGTCAAAAGGAGAAGCACAGGATGGAGATAAACCGCAGTTACCAACAATACGTTTCTTCCCTCACCAAGAACTACGCAACGGACGCCCATCTCTGACCTTCTCGCCAATCTCAAGAACACTTCCCACCGACCATTCTATCATTCGTGTTGGTCGATATTCTGAGCGAGAAGGCGTACCTGCAACCAACCCTACAACTCCCTCCGACGCACCAGTCGGCTTCAAGTCAAAGGTGGTCAGCCGTAAACACTGTGAGTTTAGTTTCCTGGATGGTCAGTGGCAGATCAAGGATGTGGCCAGTTCGTCGGGTACCTTCCTCAACCACATCAGGCTCAGTCAGCCAAATACCGAGTCTCGACTTTTTCCGATCAAGGATGGAGACATTGTTCAGCTGGGCATTGATTTCCGTGGCGGCGAAGAGATGATATTCCGTTGTGTTAAGATCAGAATTGAGTGCAACCGAGCCTGGCAGAAGAAGCCCAACAACTTCAAGTACATTTCTCCTTTCCGACGTAACGACTCCGAAGACTAACAGTCCTACAGCAAGAGCAGACATCAGCAACTGCAAAGCCTCGCCAAGGATCAGCCAACAGCCGATTCAAACAGCGGTGAATGTTCTATATGTCTAGGCTCTGTTCTGGTACGTATTTTCCGCCACATGCTGATGGTCATACTAATTTTCTTGCAGCCTTGTCAAGCATTGTTCGTTGCGCCGTGTGCTCATGTGTGGCATTACAAGTGCATTCGACCCTTGCTAGAAGGCAAAAACAGCACTTACCCGCAGTTTCAGTGCCCCAACTGTCGAGCTTACTCGGATTTGACAGCAGATGTCGATATCGCGCAATCAGACATCGACGAGTGGATGGATAACGCCGACGACAATGACGGCCTGCCCACAAACGCTGGCGGGGATGGTGGCAATACCAACGACCATACAACCGGACAAGCGACCGGCGAAGCAGATACCACAGATACAAGTGGTGCTCTGGACACCTCAGACGCTTCCGATGGACCTCCGGAGAATACCTCTGTGACCATATCCCATCCCGTAGATATCCCCCGGACCGATGGACCTTCCACTCCTCGCCGGAGCTCCGGCTTATTGGCACGAAGACAAGCGACAAATCCATCACCTGAAGTAACTTCGATGAACGGAAACATTGACATGCCAGACCAACCAGACGAAGAAGAGATGAACGCTCATCTCGACCATCAACGCACAAGAACACAGACCCCAGACCCAGAGCAGATTATCGCCGGCGAAGGACCGCTCACACCTAGGAACAACGCAGGACCTTTCGTGTTTGATGGGAGTGCGGGCAGATCAGATGCAAGGCCTTTGGTGGTACCTGGAATTCCGGAGGTCGCTGATGAAAGCGGTATGGGCTCATTATGAGCCAGAGGCTCCCAGCATGGAGAGATATTTTTAACCGAACAATATCATCTGCTATGGTCGTTCTCTTCTGGCAAACGATTGAGGCCTCTCGATCGTCGGACGAAGGTTGGATGTGACCGCCTTTCTGGTGCTAGGGCGTAAGAGGTTCGAAAGCCAGATCTGAGCGTTCTTGAAGCATTCCTTCTGTCTCATCATGGTCAATTTTGCGCAGATGAGCTGGCGGCATCGGTGATAAAGCGTTCTTGAGCAGGCATCATGATGAGGAATGACGAAGTGACTTATTCCGAGTGCGACTTTGCAGCCATTTTCTTCTTGTCACCGCAACCAGCTTTTCTTCCTCATGTAGGACACTGAACTGTATCAAGCACGTTTTGAATGATTGTTTGCGCATCGAGATCTCTTAGTAGATCCCGTGCAGTAGCCACGTCAGTCCCATACTGCGTACTGCGTTCTCGATGAGGTGAGGCAATGACGAGTCGATGCGGATATATCTTCTTCGCCGCTAGGGCGATAAGAGAAGGCGTGACATAGTCTACGCCATGGAACGGAGCAAGATATCTGCATATTCAGTCAGCAACCGACCTGAGACTTTTCTGGGGCGACCGACTTTGATAGAGCAAGGAACAATGTGGTTGCGTATGGCGTAACACCTCCATCGACACCTCGTTCCATACGAAGAAATGCCACAACGTCCTGAAGATACCTTCGAATCTCCGGAGTAATCGTGGTTGCTTGACCTTGGGCACGGAGTTGGTCGATCAACTGGTGGTGATTAGCAACGAGACTCCAGGCCCGTGGAGAGATATCTTCTCACCTTCTCATCAATTCGACGGGTAGCAAGCAGCTGCTCGCGACGCACACTTGGTGAGTTTGAGTCCGAATACGTCGACTGATCGTCGGCCAAATTGGCCTGTTCGAACTCTTCAAGGTTGGGGAATTCCTCATCGGGGCCGTGGTGGTGCGACATGAAGATTCGGTCATTCAGATGTCGGTTTAGTCTAGTATGCTTTGTAGAAGTTGTAATAATGGGCAGCAATAGGAACACTTTTGGGACTGTGTGCACGGTCGTGCGGCTGAATATCCTTCGTCTTCGAATGAGTTCGAGGGCTTGAATCTGAACCTCCTCGTTGGCAAGATTGAAATCCTTCGCGATGACTACATTCACCACCCTTCTGCTGTCCAGCTTTGCTTGCTCGACCTGATTTGAAGATGGTGCGCGGAAACTGACAGAAGCAAGCTTGGAGTGTAGAGCGCCGCCCTAATGCTGATGAGACAACGACCAGAGTATCGCTGGAGAGAGGACTAACACTTTCAAGCCCGTCATCAGACTCGTTCGGAAGATCGCCAAGCTCACTGGTATCGTCCAGGATTGCTGGGACGAACTTATCGACAGATTGCAAGTCGTGCTGGTTGATGATGATGTACGAGAGGTGAAACATGTCTCTGACAATCTGCCACCACGATCAGGCTAGGATTGACCCGTATAGGTAGGCTCTTACCAGAGCAAGCTCCGACGCCACATCATTTTGATACTCATCAGGAGTCTCGATCAAGCAATGATGCTGTGCGACAAGGCTGAGAACGACTGCCAGTTCCAAGTCGGTCAAGTCACCGATATGATCGAGGAAGGTTTGGACGTCCATTGTCCGTCAGGCGAGAAGGTTTCTCATTTTTTCATGCCGCGTTGTAAATCGACATCTTTCTTGAAGGCCATCATATCTCGTTCCAGTGCAGCCTCGATGAGGGAAGCAAGTCGTGAGCAGATGCTTTTAAAAGCGGCACGTTTCGGGACAGTGCCAAGAAAGCCCTTCAAGTGTGATCTCATTGGTTGGCGGCAACGACGACAACAACAGTCGATGCCGGTGCAACTCTCTTTCCCGCCGTTTGATTGCTTGTTGGTCAGTAGTAATTGAGATGCATCCTTCATGATGTGACTTTTCATGATCCAATGACGAACAACAATCCCAGGGCCGGCTGGGAAAAGATCGGAGACCAATTCTATCAAAAAGCCCAACTTTACGAATCAGTCTTCGACCAGGACCTCGAGCTCGAAAACTACATTGTTGCGGGAGCACCATACGGCGGAGCTCTAGGTGAGTGCACTACATCGTAGGTTGATTGCAGACCGACTGATGACTCTTCCAGCATTATGGCGAGACACATCAAAAGTTGCACGATATAGGACTGGCCAATCGACCAAGTCGACTATCGACGTTTATTCTTCTTCGGGCAAGCTGATCAGCAACATCAACTGGGAGAAAGGCGTGATTAAAGGTCTTGGGTGGTCCGACGATGAAAAGCTTTTGGTGGTCACCGAAGAGGGCACTGTTCATTGCTACTTCGGACTTCACGGCGACTTCCAGCCTTTCTTACTAGGGCATGGCGCGGAGGAATTTGGTGTCAAATCATGTCGGTTCTGGTCGCATGGATTCGTCGCACTCCTCTCCAACAATGCCTTGGTGGCTGTCTCGTCCTTTGATGAACCGAGGCCAAGACTACTTGCTCACGCTCCAGAAGGCGAGGTCCACTCGTGGTCATTAATTCCACCTGCGTATACGCTCTCCAGATCTGTCGAGGTCTTGTTAGCTGTTGACAAGACCATATATGTCGTCGATGCCTCCGAAGCCGAAGACAGGGGTCTTTCAGACGGACCTTTCAAACACGTCAGCGTCTCGCCCAATGGACGGTTTGCTGCGCTCTTCACGGAAGATGGTAAAGTCTGGGTCGTGGGCAGCGACTTTCAGAACAAATACAGCGAATACGATTCCAAAGCCAAAACGACACCCACTCAGATGATCTGGTGCGGCAATGATGCGGTCGTCCTGGCTTGGGAAGATGAGATTCATATGCTCGGTCCCGACGGTGCGGCCGTCAAATATTACTACGATGATCAAGTACACGTCGTCCCTGACATCGACGGCGTCCGGTTGATCACCAATGACGCCTGTGAGTTTCTGCGAAAGGTGCCAGATCCTCTTGAAGAGGTCTTCAAGCTGGGGTCGACGTCGGCGGCCTCGATACTGGTGGACTCAATCGACCTGCTGGAAAAAAAGTCTCCCAAAGCGGATGAGAACATACAGCGCATCCGACCTAGTCTGCCCGAAGCTGTTGAGACGTGCATTCGAGCAGCTGGACACGAGTTCAACCACGCTCTCCAGAAGCAACTTTTACGCGCAGCCTCGTTTGGCAAGTCAGTTCTGGACCTCTACAGCAGCGATGAATTCGTCGACATGTGCGAGGACCTCCGAGTGCTAAATGCCGTGAGGGACTATCGAATCGGACTGTTTATGTCCTATGAACAGTACGTCCGCCTGACACCAGAGAGGCTGATTGCTCGATTAGTAAGTCGTCGGGAGTACCTGCTTGCGATCAAACTGTCCGAGTACCTCCATCTACCCCTCAACAAGATATACGTGCATTGGGCCAGTCAAAAAGTGCGAAGCGCGTCCGGAGACGACGACACGATCCGTGAAATGGTGGTTGATCGATTACGAGGCAAGCATGGCATTTCATTCGAAAACATTGCGCGAGCAGCATATGACGAAGGGAGAAGTCATCTTGCCACAACGCTACTGAACCATGAACCGAGAGCGGGCAAACAGGTGCCATTGCTATTGAGCATGGAGGAGGACGAGATTGCGCTGAACAAGGCAATTGAGTCGGGGGACACGGATCTGGTGTTCTTTGTGCTACTACAGCTCAAGAAAAAGCTGCCCCTCGCAAGCTTCCTTCGCACTATCAGCGAGCGGCCTGTGGCGGCAGCGCTTGTCGAAAGTTCAGCCAAAGAAGAGGACCAGGACTTGCTCAAGGATCTGTATTACCAGGATGACAGGCCCGTCGAAGGGTCCAACCTCTTGTTGGAAGAGGCGATGCATCAAACACAGGTCCAGGCCATCATCGACAAGTTGAGACTTGCCGCCAGGCTCCTTACAGACGCCAAAGATCCGACGGCCCAACTACACTCTCGAGCTCTGACAGAAGCCACTCAACTCCTCAAGATGCAGGAAGCGTTTGACAAGGAAATCACCGACAGCAGTGGTAGCTATGTCGGCTTAAGCGTCAACGAGACCATGTTCCGGCTCATCAAGTCCGGGTACAGCAAACGAGCTGCTACTGTTCAGAGCACATTCAAAGTGCCGGAGAAGACTTGGTGGTGGATTCGACTGAGAGCGTTGACAGCAGCCCGTCTGTGGGGCGAAGTCGAAGAGATTGCTAAGAATAAGAAATCGCCCATTGGGTGGGAGGTATGTTTTGTCCCCTTGCCAGTAGCCCGCGTTGTCCTGACTTGTTCTGCAGCCCTTTTACAATGAAGTCCTTGGAGCTGGGAACACCCGTCTCGCCTCGTCATTCATTCCCAAATGCACCAACCTCCAGCCGGCAGAGCGGGTCGAGATGTGGGTGAAGTGCGGCATGGTCGTCAAGGCTGGTGAAGAGGCGCTGAAGGCCAAGGATTTGAACTCGTTGGAGTTGCTTCGGGATAAAGCCAACGGGCAGCAGCAAGTCGAGATCGAGAGGATGCTGAACCAGCTGAGGCCGAGGAAGTAGCTTGTCCACAGACGAGTTGACAGAGTCACGTTGAGATATCTGGTGGATGCCTCTCATGTAATCTTCTCGACCTCGTCTTCCACATCTGTGGTTGGTGCTGATGCCATTCGATCGACAACGACCAACTTTGTCGCCGCCGCCGTCGCTGGTAGTTTGACGCCGTCCACAATCTTGACATCTGTCTGATCCTCATCCATCTCTTCATCCACCCACCCGTCGTCATCGCCGTTCGCATTGCCGTTGGTCTCGTCCATATCTTCACCAAGTATGGCCTTCATGTTCTCGAAATTGACTGCATCACCATTTACATCATCCCACACCTTTTTCCGATCCCGCCTCTTTTTCAGCCTCGAGGACGCGTCATCCAGTTTCTTTGAGAGAACGTCTTGGATGACTTCTCCTCTTGCCAGGACTTGTTCATGCCGCCGCCGTTGGCCTCTTGACAGGGGTTTTGCCTTGCGCTTGGATTTGGTGATGCCTCCATAGGGGCGGGCTGCTAGGACGGGAGTGGCATCGGACGCTCGAGGGGCTTCTTTCACGGATTTGTCGACGTCTATTGAAGGGGATGTGGCTCGTTTGGAGGCTCGAGATCGTGGGTTGGCTGTGCACTGTCAGTAACGGCTGACAGGTCTGACTTGGATGCTTCTTCTCACCTGTGGGATTATTCTTTTTATTAGCGGTCTTTGCCATTCTTGCGCCGGTCGTAATATAATATAAATGTGTAAAGAAAGCACTGTGCTTGAAGTGGTCGTACTGTAGAGTAACAAAGCCGCAGAATTCAAGGGCTGTCCTACAACTTTTTTGTGGAGAAACTTCGGCGTGGAGAAAAACCGTTGTCGCGACTCGCAAGTGCAAATGACGTATGCCGGCCGTTCAGTCTTCAGGCATAAAGTACGAACCATTTAAATGTACGACTTTAATCAACCGACTCAGTACATCGACCACTATGTCGAAAAGCACGCAAGGTTTTTTGGTAGGTGTCAAACAGTGTGCATTACTCGTTACATCTGGCGTTCTGATCACAATGTACCCCACGTACTCAGGCCATCTACACCCGTCTCTTAACGACACTTCCTGCTTCCATTCAATGACTTCGTGAGGCACATCGATCTCAGACGATAGCTACGATCATTATACTGGGCACTTCCCCGCGTCCATACCCACGCTCACCTCCGCCACGACATCCTCCTTACCGTCCGCCTTACCACTCGCCTCGGCCTCGCCGTTGGCCTCTCCATTTTGCTCGGGATCCTTCGCCGGTGGCATCACTGCGTCCTTGAAGACAGCAAAGCTCGACGGCGTCTCCTCCATAGAGGGAAAGTGAAAGCCACATTGGGGATATTGTTCCTTGAGAACGGCCTGCTCCTGGTTCAGATCGTACTTCTTGTCCTGCAACTTGTTGCAGACAGGACAAATGCGGAGCAGTCGCGTGCCGACCAATTCGAAATTGGTGATGATGTCTTCAATGATCGCTCCATTGGCGGCCCAGGCTTTGCAGTACTTGTGGTAAGTGTCCTTGTGCCAGTCGTAAAGGGCGCCCCGGCTGGTCCAAAAACTGCACTCGTTGTACCAATTTTTATCCTCGGGGTGTTCCCACCAGGTCAGATGCAGAAACCCGGGGAGTTGCATGAGGTGGCGACGACTGTCGGCGAAAAGGACCTTGAATTTCTCGTAGGCATCCGGGCTGGAGAAGCGCACACGTTGCATTGATAGATAGATAGGCATGGTGTCGGCTTAGGCTTTCCTGTTGCGTGACCAGGTTGTATGTAGGTTCTTAGGAAGTCAACTTGTTCGAATACTGTAACGAAAGCAAACACGGAATCTTTCATGAGACCTGGCGATGGCCAGATAAAGGATTATGGAAGGCACCATCACGACGGCATCGAGTTAGAATTCTAGCGTTACCTACGAAGGCGTTATCAGTGGTGCCCATAGTATCAAGACTTTATGGTCGACGGCACTCCTGCCGATCGCGAGGTAGGTGAACCTGGTTGGTGCTCCTGGTTGGTGCTCCTGGACATGAGTACGCTTTTGTACTCATGGTAACTTGCCAACGGTCACTCGTGGTGGCCTACCAAGAATGGATATGACGTTCGATTGGAGCCAATCATGTAGAGGGACGAGCCGTGTCAGGAGACCAGACTATCGCTCTTATCAAAGCTTCATACCAGCTGATAAACGTACGAGCAGGACCTCATCTTGCCGATCCCAGGCCTAGCGATGTATTCGTATTTGCGCGAGCGGTCGGTCGTCCCTATAACTCCACCAAGAGAGCAGAGCCGACTCGAATAGACTCGCACCCAGGACTTGGAGATAAATCGAGGTGTCAGCTTGTTGACTGTAAGAAGACACCAGCTTTAATATCAACCTTCGCAACCATAAATGTTGCCTGCCCGATTCATCCATATGCTCGTGGAAACTAACTGATCTTGGTGAACCGGAGCCCTTCTCCAAAGACCTTCCACTGAGAATTGTCGTCCAACTGCTTCTGCGCCTCCGTCCACTCCATCACTATCCTATTAGCTCGTTCTGGCGATCGGGCTTTAATCGTGGCTTGGAAAGATTCCGGCATACAGACAACTCCTTGTGTGTATTTATCCTGGTCTGGGAGCAGTGGCTGTTTTGTAACCGGGTCGAGCTTTGGTGTGATCTTGTAAGTCCAAAGAATCCTGGCTATGCCAAGGAAAAGCGATTGTTCTGCCACATGGATGCCGGCACAGAGGCGTCGACCTGCACCGAAAGTAAAGTGATCTCTCTCAGCTACATTAGCGCTCTGAGCCGATTCCGATGCGTGCTTGTTATCACCCATATATCGTTCCGGTTCGTATTGATCTGGGTTGGCATAACGGCTAGGGTCCCTGTTGATCGTGTAGACATTGTTGACCAGTAAGGCTCCTTTGGGAATAATGTATCGTTGGAACGGAACTTCTTCTTTGCAAGCATGGGGTGCGGCTCCCATAACGGCTGTGGGCATCCAACGAAGAGTTTCCTTGATACAGCATCGGATGTAGGCCAGACTCTCCATATCTTCAATGGTTGGCATCCTGTCACCAACGACCCTGTCGAGCTCGGCTTGTGCTTTCTTCTGCGCCTCGGGAAAGAGCACCATCGCCTGGATGAAGCCAATCATTTCACTTGCAGTAGTGTCCGTTCCAGCTTCTAGCGCATTCCCTGCGAGATATGCCCCAAACTTGTCGTCGAACCCTTCTTTCTCCTGCTCAAGCAGCAGATCTACTGAAAAGCAGGGCTTGGCGTAACCATTTCGAAGGAGGTCCTTGGTCTCGTTCCAGAATCGAAGATAGAGAGTGGTCTGTTTACGGTGCAGTGTTTTTGCTTGGGTCATTATTGGCAACATCCAGTCGGGCAGGAACCTAAGCAGGGGAAAGACATCAGCTAATGCAGAAGTGCTTGATTGCATGATATCCAGCATTTCATCCAACCTATCGTGTGCGTTAGCCATGGCAAGCCGCGGACGATAAAGGAGCGTGCTTCATACAGTTCGATGAATTGGCTCATGTTGGAGTCTTTATGCGATGGGCAACGGCGGCTAGAGTTTCGACCTTAGCAATTGAACGTGGCCAAGGAAGCTCATGACGAACCCATATGTCATAGAAGTAAATAGTGAGTGCGAAGCCCTAGGCGTCGTAAAGAGTATCAGCCGGCACACTTTCCATGTACTTAAGATGTGAGTCATTGTCTGCTCACCGTTTGATGATGCCTTGGAAATCATCGGGCATTTGGAGTAGATCGAACAGCATCTGCTGATTTTCAAGCATGGTGTATCTGTTGTTTGATGACAATAAGTCACCACTGATGAATCAAAACTGCCCCTGGATTGGTGAGCTCACGGTATGTAACTTTGAGAAACCGAAACGTTGAGCATCTTCTGCATCAACTTTCGCTGCAGACGCCATTTAGGACCATTGGGCTAACAGCAAAGCGTCAGCTCTTGCTGTAAAACGTAAGTGCAGTAAACACGGCAGGTACCATTAAAAGCATATGTTCACCTCCACCCAAGATGCGATGCCCTACATAGTGATCTCCCCTCTCGTTGGTCACTGCAGAGTGCTTATCCAAGACTTCTTTGACTGCGACGTTGGTGGAGAGAACCACCATGGGCTGGGGTCCAAGCATCAATGTAAAGGCTGGTCCGTATTCTTCAGCCCAAGCCCGGTACTGTTTGTGGATATCTCGACTAGGCATCTGAGACGTAAACTAAGCTCGATATCATCGCACATAGGAAGCGAACTGATATGAAATACCTGAAGCAAGTTCCCCAGTACCGGGATTGTTGGAGGCCCAGGGGGGGAATGTGCACGTCTGCGGCCCACCCGCGATAGCTGCACAAGGCAGGGTATCAGGAGCAGCACTATGACTAGCCATGGTCGGAAGTCATCCATCGAAAACAATTTCATCATTGAACTTGACGACAGCAAACCCGCCATTTTGTATACGTAGGATGGCTGCAGGAGCTGGACAAAGCATAGAATTACAATGATGGGGTTTATAGGTACGATGATACTCTGATTATCTTGCAAGCTATTTAAAATTCCCATTTACATACAACGCGGGGCTCCGCACTTGCCATAGCAGTGCCCCCTCGGCCGGGACCATTCCCAAGCCTTCTTGTTATTATGCATTGTTGAACTTTCTTGTCTGTTCAGCCTATCCCAGACCCTCCTCAGAAGACCAAAAGTAGGCCTAAACTCAAATGGGACATGGGGACGGGTTGACGGTGGCCGCGCCAAATCACCTAGACCCAAAAAAGCGCCTGGAGAGCCGGCCTGTGGAGCTGACGGTGACCGCTCGAAATCAACTAGACCCAAATAAGCGTCTGGAGAACCGGCCTGTGAGATTGGGGGTGACTGCTCAAAACCACCTGACCCCAAGAAAAGGCGCGGAGAACTTGAATAGAACACCGCGCCCAATGCCCTGACCGGTGCCGCGGCCTGCAAGTCCAGCTGCACCGTCCCGCACTGGCAACGGCGCCGCCCCCGAACAATGGACTGAGCCAGACCAGGGGCAGGAAAACATGGTTACATGCCTTACTATTTACTTGGGACTGAGAATCGAAAGATTGTTTTCATTCAGGCATCGATGAGGCTCTGCGTTGAACCGTTTACCTTAATTCTTACTTGCTTCCTCCCATACAGCTCGATTCATGTGACAAGATGGCTGCGCCTTCGAAGGTGACAATTGTAGGCGCAGGCCTGGGCGGTCTTACTGCTGCCATCGCCTGTCGACATGGAGGCTTCGATGTCACCATATTAGAGCGGGCGCCGAAGATAGGTAATGTCCGTACGATATTCGTCAACCAAAAGGCCTATCGGTTAATTCTGGTGCTCAGGTCGGTGCTGGCATCCAAATTCCTCCCAACAGTGCCCAAACTCTAGGCAGATTGGGCGTGCTTCCGCAGATTGAAAAAGTGTCGACAATAGTGGAATCATTTGACATGAGAAGATATGCCGACGGTTCGCTACTCGCTAGTAAACCCTATGGGCAGGCTTCAGTCGGACTATATGGTGGTCATTGGAGGTAACCAATGCCACGGTCTTGTATGTGCATCGCTCACACGTACAGGGTTATTCACTGCGAGGATTACCATACCATACTGCTCGACGAAGCTTTGCGACTGGGCGCCACGCTCCAGCGCGACGCTCATGTGGAAAATATCAACGTTGAAGGTACCGAGATTGCCATGATGGACGGCTCAACGATGCAGGCCGACGTGGTTATCGGAGCAGATGGTGCGGACCCTATCAAGTTCGTCAAGGCGTGCTTACGGGCTGACTCTGGTCGAAGGCCTGTGATCGTCGTTACGGGAGAGCTTCGTGTCCAGACCCTCTTTTCCCACCGAGACGGGAGATCTTGCCTACCGTGCGACCTTCAGCCGTTCTCAGCTTGAAGTGCTGAACAATCCCCGTGTTGACGAGTTGTGTGCGAAGAAAGCTGTCACCGTTTGGTTTGGTCCCGACAAACACTGCGTCTTCTACCCCATCCGGGCGGGAAGTGAATTCAATCTGGTCTTGCTAAGACCGGACAATCTTCCACACGGCACTCGATCCTCTGAAGGGGATATATCTGAGATGAGAGCCACGTTCGATGGCTGGGATCCAATGTAGGGCCCCCCTCGACAGACCCAGCTCTGTGGAGGACTGACCTCGGTGATATTAGTCTCACGGCCCTCATCTCGTGCATTTCCTCTGTCCTTAAGTGGAAGTTGATGCACCACGAGGAGCTGGAGACCTGGGTGCAGGTAATTTCCAAGGTCTCATTGCAAATATCACGAATCAGGACTGACATAGTCCAGGGCAATGCGGCGTTACTAGGCGATGCATGCCATCCGACGCTCCCTTACCAAGCTCAGGGCGCTGCCATGGCTGTCGAAGACGGTGCCGTTCTTGGGAATCTCCTTAGTGAGTACAAAAAAGATCTTGAAAGCCCGGATACGAAGCTGCGTCATTGTCTGGAACCGACAATACTACATCTCTATGAGGAGATGCGCAAGCAGCGTACTACTCTGAACGTAGCCGGCGCAGAACAGAACCGGATATTCTACCACTTAAACGACGGCCCGAAGCAGCAAGAACGTGATGCTGAAATGGCAAATTTCGATTTTGCCACTGGACGCTCTTCCTACACTTGGCTGGATTCGGAATACAATAAGGACCTCTTGAGTTATGATGCCACGGCCGACGCTAGGGAGGTGTATCGCAGGCGGTATGAAGATCAAATCTCGCAGGACAGACAAACGACAATACGTGGAGACGGCTCTATGGCTTCGAAGCCTGCTTCGGGACATCTATAGGGCACAGCATCAAGGAAGGGTTTGCAGTTTCAACGGGAGGATGACTACGTAGGACATAGAGTTTCCACTACTGGTCACCATCTCTGAGGTCTTTGATGGCCCTGAGCGCGGACATTGCGTAGCTCATCGGGCCGTACCATCATGTAATCAAAATCCTCGTCAAAGCCCGTAGCAGGCAAGGACATGGTTCGCTTACGTGGAGGTTATTGCTAGAGTGAGATTATCGACTCGACGATCAAACCGCACACTCAAGGTGTCGGCGCTGATGCTCATAACAGCAACTGCCAAAGGTTGCAGGGTATTTTGAGAGCTCTTCCGCATCCACTGTTGCGTGATAGGTTGCAGCACAATGCTGCCACAACCCGGTGGGTGCCTGACTAATTGATATTGTCCTGGAGATCCTACAAGCTGCCTTCGTGCGGGTGGACATGGCACGAGATGGCTACAGGAGAGCCTCAATACTGCATATTGATGCAGCTGAGCTGGTAGAGAGACTGTGGGCTTTTGAGGCTTTTGTCTAAACCTCCCGGTGCGGGGGACGTTGACGTAGGTGCTTTTCAGGCTTTCTGGACCAAACTGACAAAGCCTCGGCGTGCCCGTCTTTCTCCAGCCAGGGCTTACTCTAGGCTTGTCGTTGGTGCCAATCCCCGGGCCGAAAGTCGGCGGACTGGGCAGCTTGGGGCTCCTACATCTTTCCCCAAAGGGAGGGCAGTCCGTGTCTATGTCACCATAACATGTTACTTCAGCCCCGGTTGCCCACCACCAACAAGCTGGAATGGAAGACAACTCTGCGCATCCGGCAAATGATGGGCCTCCGAAGCCTGTCCAATCTGCAAATCGTGCTTGCGTTCAATGCAATCGGAAAAAGACAAAATGTGACATGGTGCGCCCAAAATGTGGCCTTTGTTCTCGAACTTGTAAGGATTGCACTTTCCCCACGAAAAGGAAAACGCCCTACCAAGATGGGCCACGACCACAGAAAGCCGGAAAATTCACGATTGATTTTGATCCCTTGGTCCAGTTGTTTGGCACGTTGCCATCGATGGGCGGACATCAGCCACCCAGCAACGAATGTAGCTCCGATGCAGTCTCACGGCACACGCACACGCACTATCAGCAACAAAGGTTCGTGGGAACTCCTCGACAAAGCCCCACGCAGGAGCCCGTGGAGGAGGGGAATGATCGACTCTCCGCCTTCGGCCTCCTGCCGAAGCAGTGATCTCGCTGGACTCGCTGCCAGGACCCTTGCCACCTCAAGGACCAGCGCAATCAACCACGGCTGTAGTTGGCATTGATCCAGCAGCATCCAGAAAACCCGACACGAGCAATTTCATTCCTCCTTCCGACCTTTCTTATCCCTGCATCCTACGTCTGGCTCGACTCTTCTTTGACCACGTCCAATCCTGGCTGCCCATTCTTCACAAGCCAAGCTTTCTCCGAAGCTTATCCGCAACGCTCGAAAACCGGCCCGATGGCTTTGCCCAGCTCCCCGTCAATGAAGCCCTGCTCCTGTGCAGCATGTTCGCATTGTCGTGCAGGTTTCTGTCACCTCATGAGCTAGGCGGCTTGACTACGCAGCAATGTGTAGACGTATATACTCAACATACCATACAAACGTACAAAGACGCCCGCAGCATCGAGACGCCTCCAACTTTGGCGTACCTGCAAGGCTGCGTACTCTTGGCTTTCAACTACTATACTTCCGGTCTCAACTTCCAGGGATGGATTTGCGTAGGAGTGTGTGTCAGACTAGCATACGAATTGGGAATCGCAGACATCGACTCTGAAGAGGACGAGGTCACAATCGCCTTGGACTGGGTAGAGAAGGAGGAGCGACGTCGCGCTTGGTGGCTCGTTTGGGAGCTCGACACCTTCGGGTCCTCCATTTCCAAACGTCCGTTTTCGACTGATTGGCGCCGCGCCGCCGTGAAGCTTCCAGTATCGGACCAAGCTTGGTTCGCCACGCAGGAGGTGGACGCGCCAAGATTGCCATCAAGATGGGGAAACATACAGACTATCTTTGATGAGATGCCCCAGACAGATGCCAGGCCATGGTTCCTTCTAGCACAACTGCTCAATGTTCGTGCCCACGAATATCTCCAGCAGAATGTAGGCGTGAGTCTCGATGAACGTACCATCCTGGAGAATGAGATCAATTGTTTGAGGCTAGGATTGCCTTCCTCTTTCAATTTGCTGAGCAACCAGGTCGACTCGTCGGCCTACGAGACATCGAACTCGAATTGGAACTGGATCGTGGGGACAAATCTTCTCCTGTCTTCGACCAGCTACATTATCCGCAACTTAGTAGTCGACGAGCGGGACGGTGGTGATCTGGGCATCTGCCGTCATACCGCGCCAAACGGGCGGCGAACAAGAGCTGTGGAGCTCACCAAAATCACAAGTTATTGGCCCTTGGAATTTTTCCCTACTTCCCACCCATTCCTGGCTTGCTTGTTGTTGACGGTGGACGTCCGGAAGGGATGGAACCCAACTGACACGCCATTATCTACTTCATCCAATATAGTCACAAAAATGATTCAGCACAAACTCGGGGGAAAATGGAGACTAGCCTCTTTAGCGCTCCGTGAGTGACCTGTTGTACGTTGTGCCTTCTCATGATGGCTGATTGGTGTCAGGTATGAATGAGATTCTCGGCCGCCCGACCGACCTTAGTTCTGTCGACATGCAGTTGATCCATCGCTATCCTGTCTGGTTTTCGCAGGAGCTGCGACGCGAAGCTGCCGCAGCACTCACTAGGCAGTCGAATCAGCAAGAACAAGCATCTTCGACGAGTCGGGAAGGAACGCGCCCAGCATGTTACGACTACTTCAAAAAAGTCCCGCCCGTCAGCCTTTTCAGGGCTGGCAAAGAGACTCCAAGCAGCCATTCATCTACGTTACCCAACCTGCAGGGGGCTCCTGGCACGCACGAAGGCAACGTTGAGGCAATGGAGTTTTGGAACTTAGATTTCACCAACTGCGACTTTCAGGTGCCGCAAGACATGAATGAGCCGGAGTGGCCGGATGCTTTCCTTGACGCACCCATCAGCTAGCTTGTTGAGGCCTGCGCCATTTGGACAGAGATGCCAGTATCGAGTCTAGACGGCAAGATTTCACTGCTGGAAAGCAGCACGCATAGCGACCTTTTCCTCGTCGATATTGCCCACGGTTCCTGTGAAACCCTCTTCCAGACCTGGATCGACTTGATGAACGCGAATTGATCCTCCCGGCTCAAATGCTGCTCAGTGGCGATTTTCACTACCTCCAGAGCAATGTCCTCACTGATACTGGCCTCCTCCGAGCCTGAGCGCCAGGCGACGTAATCGTCCGGTCGGACCAGAACGGCTTCCCGCTCCCAGATCTTCCTGGCATGTGGCTCATCTGGCAGGTGGACAACCTTGACAGGAATGTTGAGACCTTGCGATGCGCTTCGGAATTCTTGGCTGAAAGTCACATGTGAGATGGGACTTTGTTCGTTTGAAATGAATAGAGGCACATGAACGTGGTGATGACAAGATAAAGGGATCTGGAAAGACGCATACTAGGAAGGGGGTCGAGTCAGGATGCCATTGTTACTTACTGAGCTGTATCAATCGGCGCCTAGCCTCAGGACTCAACAATCGACGGCCCTGCTGCCGGATCTGAGGCACGTGGGCCTTGTTGGTGTTCCTGGACTGGACGCGAGTGCAAAAGTACTCGTGGTGACTTGCCAACGGCTACTCGTGGTGGGCTACCATAAATGGCCATGACGTTGGTTTGGAGCCAATCATCGCAAGGGACGAGCCGAGAGACGGGTCTATCACTCTTATCAAGCTTCCATGTGCTTGGATGCTAGCACTGTGCTAGTATGTGCAGCAGCAAGACCCTATCTTGTCGATCTCATACTCGATGGGCTTGCACGGAGGCACGGTCTTCTCCACAACTCCATCAGGAGTCCAGAGCTAACACATTTCAGCCTCCCACCCTAGACCGGGATAGACCGTCGCTGAGGTCGCATTATGCCTCGAAACATATATCCAGGGGCGAGCCTAATCGTTTACGATATCGCTGTTCTTGTTGTAGTCTTGGTCATTCACGCGTCGAGCCTCTGAGATCAGCCCATGTCGAAGAAGCCGGGATAGCCCATATCTTCGAGCCAAAACATATTGTCCATGTCTATGTTCGGACTGATATGCAGCAGCTCGCCGGAGAACATAGAGCCCGAGATGGACGGCGCGGGATCTGGTACATGCGTTGGATCCGTGTATACATTCTCGGAAGGTGACATTGTCAGGCCCAAGTTATGGGGAGCCAGCTGGCTGCCGTTCGTGGTCGAAGCTTGCGAGAAGTTGGCGGACTTGTTCTTTTGGCGGAAGAGCAGCAGACAGTCATAGACGAGGCTGGCACCCATTCGGGACTTCACACGGAGTCTCAAGTCTTGGCTACACATTGTGGTACTCCGCTCTCCCGCACGCCAGAATGCTCGGAGCATGTCGGAGCCCCGAAGAGGGAAGTCTCGGTCTTTCTGCGGAACCGACAGCTGCTGCATTGCAAAGGCCGCGGCGTTGAACAACAATTTCCCATGGCCGTAATCGAGCCCAATCGCGAACGTGGAGTGGAGGATCCGGAAGATGACCAAAGCGGCATTCAAGATGATGCTTGTGAATCTCAGAGGTGCATGTGGCAAGACATCATGCGAGGTGTCGTCAGACAAAATGGTCGCTATCAGCGTGGAGGCCGTGGCGTAAGCTCTCAATATTCCAGGCAGCCGAAGGTCGACCCGATCATCGTACAAGAAGTAGAAGCATTGGATATGTAATTTCGAGCCGTGGAGCTCAAGCCGGTTGGCCAGAGAAAGTTGATCGTCCAGTGAAGTTTCCAGGTCTTGGAATTGTTGTTCGCAGTCAGCTATCAGGTCGAAAGGGTTGGGGCCTGCTGGTATGCCGTAGGGTCCATCAGCGGCTTGTGCAAGGGACCTCAATCCGTCGTGACTGCACCGTTGTATCATCAGACTATGACAGATCTGGAGTGGCATATCTGCCGAGAAAGAAGAGCCCATGCAGCAGGCACTGCGAATGCTCCAGTCGTCAAAGTGTGAGATCGAGCCATGCCCAAGGTCTAGAGACAGACTGTTCCCGTTAGCCGGCCATCACGGTCGATCAAATACTCAAGGCAGGGAAGCCTAACCTCTGACACAGAGCCGCCGAAGCGATCCATGTGCGACTTCTTTCTAGGACATCCCACCGGTTGCCGGGCTGGGCCGAGTCCTTTGAATACTCATGCTCGCATCCCGGTCGATGCATGCCCATCATCATGGCCGAATTCATGGCCATCTTACTGAACGTCAGGGACTTGTCGGTCCACAACCGGACATCGGGAAGCGGCCAGGATGCAAGTAACAGCATTGCCTGGACGTGCTGCGTCGAAGACGTGTTCGAGGCAACAGTGGCCCAGAATGTGCGGCTGAGCTCGCTCCCAAGCTGCTTCAGAAAGTGGTCTTCGAGTTGGAGCTGCCTTGCCGCAACAGCAATGACCGACCAAAACAGGAGAGGCGAGGTCTCGTAGCATAACTCGTTCGTACGTTGCGGGTCAAGGATCGGGAAGAATGGGTGGTACTTCTCAAAATATCTATTGATATACCATGTCAGTATCAGTATTCAGTGTCACTTCACGGTCCTTGACATGGGAGAATTCCACTGGCCAAGGTCACACTCACGTCGCAAACATGGCTTTGGCCTGTGTGTGCCTTAGTCTTATCGCCCCAAGGACACAGTCGAAGGCCTTCGTGCCATTGCTGCATTCACGATCAGGCGTTTCTGCTGCAGTTATTGACGGGATTGCATGGTCGTCCCCAGCAATCTCATGTATGACGGGCCCGTCATCGGCGGAACAACCTTGCCGGCCCTCCAGAATGGGAATTGTCGTCGGGTCTTCCGCCGCCGCCGCCACCGCAGACACAATGCCAACCGGCGCAATAGTGACTTGACCACCGGGTTCATGCTCCAGTGAGCGTCGAGTCTGCTGGCTCCTTAGGGGAACCGAGGTGGTGGGCGCCGGTGGCGTATCGTACTGTTGAGATCCGACGGAATTCTGCAACAGTGCCAGCTGTCGCTGCAATTCTCGCACTTTGTCGTGGCGATTGGCCCGTTGGTAAGACGGATCGACAGTACAGTCGAGTCCCATCCTCCGACATCTTGGACATGGGACGCTTTCTAGACCGCAGCGTATTTTGGCTTGTCGGCATTCACGACATGCGATCCGTGCTCGTTTGCGGCCTCTCCGCCCACTGTCGGGCGAGGCAGTGTGAGAACCTGTCATTTGAACCCTCGTTGTTGACAGTATGCGGCACTCGAGCGCATCTCTGGGTCACAGCCCTCCTCCTCGTTGGATTTGTTGGATGTGGTCTGATGTTGACCCTAGAAAAGCGAATTCATGAGCCGGAGAGTTGGGTCGACGTGTGCAGCTTTCTAAGTTAGGCTAAGGTACAGCAACCGATGGCAGCTTTTGAGGGGCTAAGTAGGGGCTCCCCCGCCTCTGACTCGTCTAACTTGGCACCAATTGCACAGGGACGGTGAGGGGCTCTGCAAAGGGTGACAATCCCTTGATGGCCAAGTTAATTTAGAGATGACCACTTATTCTATTTCTAATTGGTAGTCGGAGAATCAACTACGCTGTACGACGTGAAGATATAGCTGCCTCCATCTTGCAAGGCCGAAAGCGTGCGGCCTCGCCACCTGCACCCTTCGCACGCAAAGCTGCCTCACGGCCAGCGATTCGTCCGAATACGGCACCTTTGGTCAGACCTGCGCCGCCAGCGTAATTGTGATAGAAGACGCCGCCAGCTATTTCACCTGCGCAATAAAGACCTGGCATGGCCTTGCCTTCATTGTTCAACACTCTAGCCTTGTCATCAGAGGCAATCCCTCCGTAGGTAAAGGTGATGCCGCAGGTCACACCGTAAGCCACAAAGGGACCTCTCTCCAGGCGCAGCGCCCAGTTCGATTTGGGGATCGCCAGTGATGAAGAGGTGCAAAGACCGTCCAGGTGATGCGGGTCAAAGTGGCCTATATCAGCACCGGGGCACGCAGCGTTAAATTCTTGCACCGTTCTCTCCAGGACAGTTGGGTTGACATCCAGCTTGGTCGCCAACTCTCGGATGGTGTCGGCCACGATGGGCCTCCCCGAGGAATATCGCGTTTGGAGGAGGTAAATGGTCTTTTGATCGAAGATCTGGTACGCAATCGCGCGAGGCTGATCTCCTATCATCTTTCCGATCTTCGCGTAGGTCAGCCCAAACTCAGCTTCACCTTCATCGAAGAATCGCTTCCCCTCCACGTTGACGCTGATACCGTAAGTGTAGGAATAACGGGGTATCACCGGCGTCTTGGTGATGTCTCCGGTCAGAGGGGCGTCGATGTCCTGTGGTGAAGCATGAGCTGCCCCCCAATGTCCCACCGGTCGTGCCCCGGCTTCCACCGCACGGCGGAGCATGGTCCCTGTGTTGTGTCTGGTGCCACGAACAGGTACCAAGTCCCAGCCTTCACCAAGGTATTGTCTCCTCATTGCTGGATTGGCCGAAAACCCCCCACATGCCAGAAGAACCTGGCCGTAGAAGTCGACGTACTTGTCCGTTTGTCTAGTCCTGACGCCGTAGACGGTGTCTCCCGATGTGAGGAGCTCATGTGCCGGGCAGTCATACCTGACAGGTATGCTCGCATTCTCTACGGCGTTGTACAAGTCTCGAATAAGACCCTCCCCGTCACCAACAACCTTCACTGGAGCGCCGCTCATCAGATCGATGATGATTCCCTTCTGCGTCTCGATGTTGTAGTACTTGCGCAAGGTCGTTTCCCAGCGAACTCCTTTGTCTTTCATCCATTCGATCGTCTCCCAGGCATCCTGGATCATGATCTCGGACATGAGTGGATCATTACGACCGTGCGAAGTCGACTGGAGGTCATTTCGGTAGTCTTCAGGAGTGTAGGGCGACATGGAACAGCGTTCAGCATCTTCGAGTGCCTGTTCGCATAGAACCGTCTTGACATGAGCCAAACCTTGATGGGGTGCTCTGAAGGCTGTGCCCGCAAAGCGACTGTTCCCTCCGCGCTCTTCCCGGGACGCTGCTTCAAGGATCACAACGGTTGCTCCGGCCTTGTGGGCAGACAAGGCTGCACACAAGGCTGCATTCCCTCCTCCCACAACAATTACATCGTAAACTTGTGGTGCGTCCAATTGCATAGCACTCATCTTAGCGTTTGCTCGCGTGTTTGGACACTTGATGACCTCCAGGGAAGCCAAGTGCCTGCAGGCGGCTTGTTCTAACTTGATGGTCGGACTAACTTCCAAAAAGCCGAGTCTGGCACGAACGACGGGAATAGCTTGTTTATAGGGATCGCGAGGCAATGGGTCTCTGAAGGTGGTTGGCTTCCTCGTTCTGCATCCGTGCCGCTCTTCTGGTCAGACTGTGCCATCTTTTCTTGAATGCTGGCTCATTTGTTGTCCAGCCGTTGGCCGTGACTGGAATCGCTCCCCAGGATGAAGGCGTGCATGGCCACTACCGTCGACGGTTACAGCTCGCAGCCTCGCAGCCTCGTACCGTACTCGGAACCACGTCAACCTGCCGCATGCGGACCGGACACGGCAAGCTGACGGCCAATCGGATCCATTTGGCACCCCCCTTTTCATCCCTTGCAATAACCTTGAGACGCCAGCCAAACTCTTCACTCTTCTCGAGATTCCGGGCGGCCTCGATTGCCTGAAAGCCGGTAAGGGCTGGTGGGGTGCTCAAAAAGCCTTTCTCCGATGATAGAGCTCTTTAGCGTCTTCCGGTCTCTGCGATGCCAAACCCCACAATACGAAATGGCTATGCTCCATCATCATTCCTGGAGACTGAGTCTACATACTTGAGTCCATACCAGGCCCATGCTTCATCCTTGCCAAGGCTGTTGGACAGGCAAAGCGCACACGGCCCGAGAAGTACGCGCCGAGCGAAACCCGTCGCCTGCTCCTCCCAGTAAGTCGAAGTTGTGAATGCTAAAGTTGAACGGCCTATACATTGCGGGGACTCCCCACGGGACACCTCCAGAGCTGACATCTGGAGGGGCACACAGGACTTTCCAACTATATATCCAGCTTCCCAACCCCACCTTCCACCTTCTCACAAACGCTCCATCTGTTTCATAAACACAATCAAGTGAGAGAAACATTGCCTCGATGGCGGACGACACCAAAACGCATATATCTTTGGAAGAACACACCGACAATGTGGAAGTTCAGACTTCCCAGGTTCCTTCGAAAGAGGAGCTCCAGGCGCAGAAGAGCCTCCTCTGGAAGCTCGACCTTGTCATCTTGCCACTTCTCTCGCTCTCGTACCTTTTGGCGTACATGGTAAGAAGCCTTCCCTGCCTGTTATGCTCCAAACTCACGTCGGCCTGCTAGGACCGAAACAATGTTGGCTATTCCCGATTGATGGGCTTGCAAAAAGCCCTGAAGCTTTCGGACAAGCAGTTTTACAACGTCGTCATGGTCTTCTGTGAGTGGATTCCACGCACTGCCATTTGAGCTGGTCCCTAACTGTTCTTGGACTCCGGCTACCTCGCTTGCATCTTTGTTGGCAATCTCTTCATCAGGAAGCTGGGCCCAAAGATCGTGTTGGGTTTTGCTGTCACCTCCTTCGGAATATTTGTCTGCTGCATGTCCAAAGCTCGGGGATATGGCGACCTGATCGGACTTCGTTTTGGCATTGGTGCTGCAGAAGCATTGCTTCAGAGCGCGCCCCTCTACCTGTCGATATGGTATGGGAGGGACGAGCTAGGCAAGAGGATTGGTAGCAACCCAGACCCAGAGCTTTACTATTGCCTGTTTGCTAACTGTTTCAAGCCATTTTCTACTCTGCAACGACCATTTCCGGTGTATTCTCAGGCCTCATCGCATATGGCGTGCAGAAGGGTCTCGAAGGCACAGACGGCAGAGCATCGTGGCAATGGCTGTTCCTGATCGAGGGCGTTATCGCCGTGGCTGTCGGTCTGGCGAATGCCGCACTTCTGCCCAACTTTCCCGATCGTATGGAGACTTCGAGATTCATCAGCGAATTGGAAACCAAGGTGGCGTGGCAAAGAAGTCAAGGTATACCTGTTCAATCTGACAATCTCCTTCGCTCATGGTGATTGTCGTCCACTGGCTAAGCTCTGTTATGTCCTCCAGAATACAACGCAAAGAGTGTCAGGTTTGAGTCGAGTCAGATCATCAAAAGTCTCTTGGACCCCAAGACGTACCTGCTAGCTCTGCTCGCGGGTTGCAATTCCACCTTACTCGCTGCGACCGGTGCTTTCCTTCCCACCATTGTCGTAGGTTTTGGGTACAGCAAAATCCAGAGCCAGCTTTTCACTATCATCCCATACGCGTGCTCTTTCTTCAGCATGCTTGCCGTTGGGTACCTCTCAGACTTCTACCGCAACAAGTCGTGGTTCATTCTCGGGTCTTTGACCTCCTGCGCCATCGGTCTCATCGTATTGATCAGCTCCACTGGAAAACAGGTCGGCATGTTCGGCACCTCCCTCCTTGTGGCTGGTGCTTATCCCGCCGCTGTGTTACAAATCACCTGGATCCAGATCACCTTCTGTGGCAACACAAAACGAGCCATCTCCTGGGGCGTGGCTATGATCGTTGGTCAGGGACTGAGCATGAGCGCCGCTCAAATCTATACTACGCCACCTCGCTTCTTTGAGGGGCACGGCATCCTTCTTGGTTTTGTTGTTATGGGAATGGTATGCACGGTTGCAGCAAGGTTCCTAATGGCTCGCGCCAACAAACAGACAGACCAGGAGCTCCGGGAGTATGAAGAGAGAGGACAAGAGCATCCCGGTGTTGGCAAGTCTTTCGAGGAGGTTTGCGACAATCACATCAACTTCCGGTATTCTCTGTGATCTGGAACCTGGAAAGGACTTTTTTCTCGGGCATGTCAGAGGGAAAAGTCGATGACAGTCAAAGGCAGTATCAGGCCGCGCTTGCCAATGGTGTACTCGTGCACCCGACGAATTGTCGTGATACTTGGACGGGAGTTTTACACATCTGAAAAGAGAACAACGTTGACACAATGCTTTCATGAGATTTTATAGCTTGTTTCGAGGCCCCTTTATGTAGACGTCTAAAGACTCTACCGGCATTCAGGCGAAGTATCAAGGATATATCTTGTCAAGACACGTCACTCTTCCACGACCCAAATTAGTCTCTACAAAGTATGTGGTCGTATCTCAACAGCAATTGTTTGTGTAAAGGGATCTAGGTTATCAATACAAAATCAAAAGACTGCTTCTTAATGAGTGATCCCACTGATAAAGGGCCCAACTCCTCGAAACAAACGGGCTATAAGCTAGTTCAGCAAACCCGCTGAGACCCGGTCAAACTCGAGCAGTTCCTGCATGCCACAAGCGTCGAAAAGGCGATGTGGATTTGCTTCAGGACCGTATTTCTCACAATCCCCATCCTCTTTCAATGTTTCCAACGCCTTGGAAACCGACAAAAACGTCGGAGCCAGACAGACAGCAGCGTACACGATAATCTTGAAGCCCATGTTCTTTGCTTCAGTCGGGGTCATTTTGTACGCCTTGCTTCCTTGCACCATCCCGTACATGACGGGCACGCTGCTGTCCTTGAAGGCTCGGCACACGGCCTCGGCCTGTTCCCGCGTAGAGATTGCCTCGAGGAACGCGACGTCTGCGCCTGCGTCGACCGCAGCTTGGAGTCTGACGAGAGCTTCCTCCAGGCCCAGCGACTGGAGTGCGTCGGTCCGTGCGATGATGATGATGTCCGACTGGAGCCGTCTCCTCATCTCAACCGCGGCCCGGATGCGAGTCAGATACTCATCCTTTGACACCAATTGCTTGCCGGCTAGATGCCCACATTTTTTGTTGACGACTTGGTCTTCCAGATGGAAGGCCGCGACCCCGGCCGCAATGTATGCTGCGACCGTCCTGCCCACGTTGATGGGCGCTCCGTACCCGGTGTCTGCGTCTGCGATGACAGGCACGGACCGGTCGAGGTTGGAGATCATCTCCGCGTTGTTTTTCATCTCGGTCATCGTGGCCAGGCCCAAGTCGGCCATGCCGAGACGCGACATGCTCGTGCCTGCACCAGTCATGTAGAGAGCGTCGAAGCCTGCATTCAGTGCCAGACGTGCACTGATGCCGTCGTAGACTCCCGGGCACACAACGATCTTTTCAGGGTCCGCGAGCATTTGGCGTAGGCGTGTAGAAGAAGGGTCTGCCATTGTTTTTGCTGGAGAGAATGCCGTCTTGAACCAACCTGAATTTGGTTCTATTATGGAGTGTGTGAGATCTGTCGGCCATAGGCTCTATTGTAACCCGAAAGTTGGGAGAAAAGCGGTACATCAGCTGGTTTCATATTCCGAACAAGGACAACTCACGACACATCAAAATGGGTAGATCCCACGCACTCTCGTCAGTCAGCGCATGGTTCCCAGTCGTGGCCCGGCTGGCCCGCTTGCGGGGGTTCTCTGTGAAATAATGCACCACAGCTGCGCCTACATGGGTGTCTCATCGACGAAACAACTCTGCCTTTCCGCTCACGGCCCGACAACGGTTTGCGGATCTTCGACTCCAACCTTCAGCGTCCTGGGGTACCAGGCGATGCTGGGGGCCGCACCAAGTGCCTGATCTCGGTGGTCTTTAAAGATCGAGAGTTGGTGAAATGATCTGAGACTCCGCTTGTGAGCTGTAGTGCTACTGACATACTTATTGAATGCAGCGAAGCCAATACGGTCACGAAATTGTCCCTGGTAAAAGACAAAAATGAAGGACATGACAAGGCAAACATTGAAAGTCACTGTCCGCCTTCCTGACCGAGATCTTCGCTCGTCAGAGTCGAAGTGCATTTCGCTGATCGAAGATGCATCGACTGTGGTGCTCTCCATCATTCGCGACAGCCGCATCCCACCCGACCAAGGGAATCTGTTGTCATTTCTACGCTGTGTATCGAGTAGCTTGCAGGACGCAGGCGCGGTCGCCGTCGCCGAAGCACTTGAAGAGGCACTACGGCGATGTATTGCGGAACCCGATTTTGGCGGCTATGGGCTGAACGAACAAGAAACCTTGCGAACATCCGAGGAAGCCGATGTCTTTTTTCTGTGTGCTGCTTTCCTTGAGGCCCTGAAAAGTGCTGCAAGAGCGCGGTCGAGGCCGCAGTTGTTCTCCGAGAGACCCAAGGGAAGACGTGGAATGACCATGGCGGAGAAGATTTTCGCGATGCACGATGTGTCTCGCCGGGGCTATGTCAAGCCGGGAGACATCATCCAAGTCGAGGTCGACTGGGTCCTGGCGTCCGAGCTCTCCTGGCAGGTGAGTGCTACTGTCAACATCCACCTTCCTAGACTGACGAATCGCCAAGGGTATGGAAGCAGTTTATGAATCGGTGGGGCGACCGGGTATCTTCAGAAACGATCGATTTTGGCTCGCGGGTGACCATCGAGTAGAGCCGGCCTTATACGATCAACCGAAGGTGAAAAAGCTCATGGACACCAGTCTTAGGGCCAAGCAGGATTTCAAAATGACCGAGTTCCAGGGTTTCAATGTGAGTGCAAGCATTGGTCCTCTGTCACAAGAGCAGGCCTTTTCTTGCCGCGACAAGCCATCCCAGTCTGACCAACACTCTACTAGTACACGATCATGCACACCGAATTCGTTCGTGAGCGGGCACAACCTGGAATGCTGTGTATAGGAGCCGACTCGCACTCCTGCTCGGCTGGGGCCGTGAGCTGTCTATCTATCGGCATGGGCGCCACGGATGTCTGTATGCCTTTGGTGACTGGACAGACCTGGTTCTCCGTGCCAAAGACGGTCAATCTCCGTTTGACCAACCAGCCACCGCCAGGGGTTGGCGGAAAGGATACGATCCTGTACATCTTGAAAGAGTACAAGAGAAACACGATCGCTGCCGATTGCGTCGTCGAATTTACAGGCCCTGGCCTGCAGCACTTGTCGTGCGATGCTAGATTTGCAATTGCCAACATGTGCACGGTAAGCAGCCTCGATTATGAAGTATCCTTGGGATTTTTTCTTGTTTCTGACTTCAAGTCGTTCAGGAGTTCGGTGCCGTAACTGGCATCTTCGAAGCAGACGAGCGGACCATGGACTTTGTAGGTCGACGGCGTATCAAGAAACACAAAAGCGACTCAGTGTACTTCAAGGCAGATTCGGACGCCGCATATGCCGACACCTTTGAGGTCGACCTGTCAAAGGTCGAGTCCCTTGTCGCTGTCTATCCTTCTCCAGACCACGTGGTGCCAGTCAGTGAAGTTGCGGGGACTCGATTGGATGGCACTTTCATCGGAGCTTGCACCACGGCCGAGGAGGACTTGGTCATGGGCGCTTTGATATTGAAAGCGGGCCTCGAATGCGGACAAAAGCCTTGCGACCACGGCCGACGGCTGGTGGTGCCTGGATCTAAACCCATCCGACACAAGCTGGAAAAGCTCGGTCTGCTCGACATCTACAGACGAGCTGGCTTCAGGGTCGGCGTCCCAGGCTGCAGCATGTGTGTTGGCCAAGGGGTTGACCAGGCTGCGCCGGGAGAGGTGTGGATGTCATCACAAAACCGCAATTTTCCAAACAGAATGGGGCCCGGTAGGTATCCATCACTCCGGAGTCCTGCTAGGCTGACAGGTTGAAAAAAGGCTCATTCGCAAATCTCGGATCGGCGAGCACAGTTGCCGCCTCGTCCTTCTCCATGACCATCTGCGATCCCAAGGCCCTTCTGGAGGCCATCGACCCGGCATATCTGCAGGAATGCCTTGGCTACCAGCCGTTCACTATGACCGATGGGCCCCTAAGCAAGCATCAACGCTTGTCCTATGCGGAGCCGTACGGGGCTGACGGTGAAGAGCAAGTCGAAGGCCAGAAGCAATCCGATCCAGAAGCGGACGGCCCGAGCAATGCAGGTACTGGTCAGCGACAGTCAGCAGCAAACGTGATCAATGGCAAAGTGCTGGTTTTGGGTGATTTCGTAGACACGGATGCGGTGAGTACAACGTCTCTCAACCTCCAGAAGTGGTCATCCTTTACGTCCACCTCAGAAATTTCCAGTTTTCCTCCATGGACGAAGTTTCTAACCACTTGTTTGAAAGATCATCCCCTCCAAGTTCCTTGCAGGCAACACCACGAATGAATCCCTCGGAGAACATTGCATGGAGTTCTTCATGCCCGAATTCAGGCGAATGGTCAAGGACGGATTCAATGTCGTCGTCGGAGGCGAAGGGTTCGGTTGTGGCTCGTCACGAGACGTCGCGGTCAACGCCCTACTCGGCGCCGGTGTCCAATGTGTCATCGCAAAGTCGTTCGCTTTCATTTACGCCCGCAACCAGCCCAACATTGGCCTATTGGGGATCACCATCGCGGAAGAAGAATTTCATCGTCTAGCCACGCAGGGTGAAGAGATCAGTATCGACTTGAACAGCGGTCAGGTCCGGTGTGGAAGCAGGGCTTTTGGTTTCCAGCTCAGTGACATGGAGAAGTCACTCATTGCAGCTGGCGGCTTGACGGAAGCGTTCAAGAAATTTGGTACTCATGTCTTCGATGCACTGTGTCAGCATAAGGAGTCGGCGAGACGGGCACAGCAGAAGGGAATTGATATCGAAAGTATCGGTCACTGACGAGTCAATGACTTTTTCACTCGGGCAGAGCCGAACTCAATCAGATCCCCACCCTAGACCACGAGATAAGCGGTCGATGAGGTCCCATCGGTGCCCCAGAAGATATGTCCAAGGACCCAACCTGATCGCCTTCGGTATTGCTATTATTGTTGCGTCTTGGTCATTGGAAAAATACACCGGCTTCGATATCAAAACCTGCGTTCATAAATATAGCCGCCCATTCATCGTCGGTCATGTCCCTATTCGGAGACGATGCCTGGCCAGCGGCTTCGTGCAACGCAGAAGCCATCCCATCAGCCCTGAATGGAACGTCCTCAACTAACTGTTGCCCACAACTAGTATTCCTGATGCTATCGGATGCGTCCTCAGCCGATCTCTGATGCCGCGCGGTGTTTTCAATGAATGGCTCATGCTGGCTCGGCCCTTCACGGCGACTCAAGTCCTGCTGCGAAGGTGGTTGTTGCCCGACTTGATACTGCTGGGCTGCACCAGTTGTAGCTTCTGTCATTTCATGTGCATAACGTCCTCTACAAGCTCTTGCGTACTCCTGGACAACATTGTGGAGGAATTTTACTTGCAAGGCACAAGCATAATTCGGTGGCGTTGACTGGTCTGCGAAGACGCGAGCGACGGTATTGATGGTTTCCAAGGCAGCCGTCTCGAATTCTTGCCGAATCGATTTGTTGACTGAAAGAAGCAACTAAGGCGGATCAGCGTCTGCATGGCAACAATTTGGGCACACATCCAGCAAAGGATGAATAGTGGACATTCTGAACTCACTTTGATTAGGAAAGCAGCGCTGTATGCAGTCATTACGTGCACAGAATCGTGAGCAAAGCTCAGAAGGGGTGAGACGGAATGATGGGAGACGAGCTGCAGCATCTCTATGGCACTGGTGTATGTGATCCAGAATGCTTCGGTATCGACAAGTGACGCCCCGATCGGCGATGATATCGAAGTCTGCAATGGAAACGAGTAGAGAATGAGGAGCACGTGCGTACCAAAGAAGGACACCAAGAAAGAATGTCATTGCTCTGTGACGAAGTAATGAGCACAGGATCGTGGACGCCAACACTACGAGCATGGCAGACGTACCTGTATCCGAGCTTAAGTTGACCCAATGCTTCTTCCAGGCCTCTATCTGAGGAGTGAGTGTCTTCAAGAGCGAGTCAAGCCGGTAAGCGTGTGTCGTACATGGTGCTGGTCGCAGTGGGCAGAAGATATCAATGATATCTGCCGTGGCAAGTCGAAGGGTCACCAGCGCAGCTAAGGTGGCGTCATTCGAAGTTGCCATAGGATGTTTGTACCAGGTATTGACGGATTCGAGGAAGTCGCTTCTCTCAATCATCCAAGGTTTGCCTGTCTGTAAGCTCATCCTAAATAGATACGTTAGCATGTGATTTGGAGCGGGGAAAGGCTGTGCCCCAGGAAGGGTTGACAGACCCTCTTTCCTATACGAAGAAAATGAACCATGTGCGTTCAACGTTACGCCTCTGCCGAACTACCAGCTCGGAAGCCGCGGAGTCGTCTGCGTCACTGTTTGGCTTGAACTTGTGCCAACCTAATTCCATGCATAGTCTTATGGTATATCCGATGAGAGACCAGGAACGAGTATCTTCTGGCTGTTTCCAATATGTGCTGAGCAAGATGGCCTGGATTACTTCTGGTGATTTGGCGCCTTGGGCGAAGGCACCGTTGAGCAGTTGCTCTGAGTACTTGTGTATTTCAGGGTGTAATGCAGGATTGTATACCTTTGACGAAGCGGCAAGCATAACCGTCAAGAGGAAGGAAGACCTCTCTCGGACGTGTCGGAAGGTGTATAACGCGGGATCGAGAACACAGATGAATGGGTTGAAACTCTTCATGAAGCTGTTGCAAATAAGCTGTGGGCATTGCCTCGGGAGTGGGATACTTACTTTTCGAATAGAGATGTGGCGATGTGAAACGACACAATACCTTTCGAGATGGGATCGTCCTCCGGGAGGTCTGAAGCACTTTTTGGGTCGACCAGGTGTAGGCGATCACTGATGCTAAGGATGTTTTGCAACGAGTATTTTCCATTTGTGGCCTGTTTGTTCAGCAGCGAGGATGGTTGAAGTCCTTCGCCATCAGCCCAGAAGTTCCTTCCTGCTTCGTCTTGGTTCGGTCCGGGAGACAGATAATTCTCTGACGCCGTAGCAAATGTAGGCTGGTCATCTTCTTCTGCGAGAGCTGCGGACGCCCGCTGGGGAACCCGCTGCCCGTCGATATTCTCAGCTTGTTCTATTGCAGAACGTCTTCTCGGGCTTAGTCCTGATCTCGGCATCCTATGATCAAGTGCTCGTCTAGGCGCTTACCTCAATGGCTTCCTTCCTCGTTTCTTCTGGTGAAAGACGCATTCCATGGACTTCCGCAGGCAGCGATCGCAGGTTGCTGTGCCTACAGCAGGTCGACATCTCATCTTTACTTTTCGACATTCTAAGCAAGCCTGCGCACTGCAACTCATAAAACGTATCATCAGTCTCCCATAGCATATCTCATCGCAAAGTGTTGAGAATTTCTCTACCTTGGTTGTTTCGTGGGACCATCTGGCTCTGTCATTGTGTCATCCGTCATATTCGCCGAGGAAAGGTCTCAGCTTTTGGGGACGACCACGATCTGTGGCTGATTGCGGCGCCTGTACTGTCTCTTGAGCCCAATGCGCCCGTGGCACAAGTCTTAATGGTTTGCCTCGAGCCACACAGACACGTTTCCAGTCATGGCTGCACAGGTAGATTTTTCAAGAGGGGTATGGACCGTATCTTGGCTTTGATAAGAAGACATATTAGAAATGTTTGGGCATTGATCACAGGGCGGGTCCCGCGTGCCGTCCAGCCGCCGGGGGTACGTTTTGGACGGCAATACTTTTGATTTCGTCCTCGCATGCCATTTGTAGATCTAGGTGATACACAATGGCGCAGCTGTTCGAAGTATTGTTACCACAGACAGCACTACTTCAAATACTGTAAACTCCTGCCATGGCGCATTCCACCTCCGCCTCAGCCTCGATCTCTACGAGCATGTGATCTCCTACTAGACCAGCAGTTACAAGAGTATTGGCGGGACGGACACCGGCCATCTGAAATACCCAGCCGTGAGCTCGGCTAACCTCTTCGCAGACACTGGCATCCCGGATCATAATGCGAGTCCGCACAACGTCAGAAAGGGATGACCCGAGTGCTTTCAGGGCGTTCTCGATGATGTCTAAGACGCGCACGGTCTGACTTCGCGCACAGCATCCACCAATGGCTGGGATGGTAGGTATAGGAGAGTTCGCAGTGGTGCCAGAGATGCGGATGACATTCCCTGCCCGAACAGCTCTACAGTAGCCCTGAACGATCTCATTAGCACGGCTGTGGACCCAGGGGTGAAGTATCTTCCTACAGCGATCGGCTCCCACTTGCTTCCAGACGAGTACTCTACCCGTTTGCCATGAGCAACTGCCTCTCGTAGGTTTTGCTGCGGTCGTTTCCTCAAAGTGGTGGCTCGTATCGCCGGCAGCAGTGAGGATAGGGGCCCTGCGGTACTCGTCTCCACAATCATTTGGTATGTCTGTCAATCCCTCCTGCGCCTCTTGTATCACTAGAAGATCTTCCTTGCTCAAGTTGAGCTGGAATGCCTCTAGGTTCCTTTCGACATAATGCTCAGAATCGTCAGATAATCGAGAGCCAACGATTACTGCCTTCACAGATGGTATGTCAAGGACATATCGAGTCGCAACAGCGGCGATAGATACGCCGTGCCTTTGTGCTACCGTGTTCAATGCCTCAAGAACGACTTGAAAGGGGCCCCAGCCGCCGGCAGCCCAGATAAAGCGGAGATACTTGCGCAAGCTCCAATTGAGCTCGTCCATACTGGCAGGTTCAGACTTTCTCAGCCATTTTTCGCTGAGGAAACCGCCCAGCAATGTCGCGTAGGCAAGAATACCCACGTCGTGTTTCAGACAGAGATCGTTCATACGCCCGCGGGTCAGCCGTCGATCGATTACGTTGGTCGGGATCTGATTCGTGGCTATAGGAAATCCAGAATCCAGAAGGAGCTCCAGATGGGCGGCATCGGTATTTGTCAGACCGATTAGTCCAATCTTGCCCCTTTCCTGGAGTATTCGCAGATGATCAAGGTTATGTAGATACGTATCGTCCGAAAAGTCCCAGGCGTGGTCTATGACATCTGTAAGCTCGTGCAAGTCAAGAGCTCTTCATGGAGGGCAGGTGCCTAACACTGAAGAAGATGAATCTTTTTTTGGTTCATTCGGCGAAGCGCAAGGTCGACAGCGGCCTCAGCATTTTCAAGGTCTTGACTCCAGTCACTGCTGGGCACCATTTGGTGAATGCTACCGTGCTCGCACCAAGTCGAGTAGTGTTGTGCTCTCCAATAACCAGTTCTGTTTTGAGTATGAATCAGTGCCAGGACTAGCAAAGTCCAAAGGGAAGACAAAGAGGCTCAGAGAATACGATGGCTACTCACCTGCATCTCCATAGTGGTCAGCCATATCAAATGTATCTAATCCGCGATGAGTTCTGATCGAGTTGTTAGTTCAAGCTTCCAATATGTTCTGTTCGCAGTTCGAGGCTTCTACGTACAAGTTGTCCATGACCTCCACAGCGACTGCAATATCGCTTTTCTTGTCATGGCCATCAGCACGTTGCCAGAGACCGTTGATCATGCGGGAGATCTCCAGCGAACCCCCAATGACCGTCCGCTCAGGACGAACAGCTGCCATGGGCCCCATGGCTCTAACCGTCAGTCAGACAGACCTCAAAGCATTTTAAGCACACCGACAGTGATAATGGCAATGGAAGAGGATATGCTGGAGCTTGCTCGCTAGACTTTCGACAACTTTGACTGAATCAGGTCGTTCAACATATTGATTCGTCCAATTCTAGATAGTCTGATATCGATATATGCCGGCCTTTTAGAGACGACTGATAGGCCCGCACTTGCCCGGTGAAATACCAAATCTAATCACTCCCACCGGCATTTTGAAATCAGGGGTCTCAACCTTTCCCAGTCCATCTGCTGCATAGCGGTGCGACCGTGATAATTTCCCGGACCGGCGCACTCTTTTCGATTTCCGGATTGCCACGGACTTCAGCCAGCACGATTTGCCGGGCTTTTGGTGTTCATCGAAAAAACGCGCATTCGAGCCTAATCGCGTCAGAAGCGTCCTAGAATTCAGGCCCCATGCCAGGTCGATCTCCGTTGGAAATCACTCAATGATGTTCTGAACAACATTTGCACCTCTAAGTCAACATACCAACCATTCTACTACGTCCATGCACCTGCTACCCTAGCTTCGGGAGGCATTCTGCCAAACATTTTGGTCACCTCAACTTGCCACCTAGGAAAGAGAAAGAGAATCGCAAGTCAAGCTTGGCTTTTAGCACGCAAAGCATTCACATGACAGGTGCGATGATCTGGAACGAATTTCCCCAGCTGGGGCAACTACTTGGAGAACGCCCAGGACTCGACGTGGTCGACTCCCATACCTGTGGTCAACCGACACGCGTGATACTCAGCGGTACAGGTCTCGCAAATGGCATGACTCCAGAAGAGGGACGTGAGTTTCTGAGGACTAAAGCCGACTGGGTACGCCGACTTGCTGTAATGGAGCCTCGCGGTCACCGTTCCATGTTCGGCGCTGCAATAATCCACCCGTCATCCCCAGGCGATCCATTTGGCGTTGTTTTCATGGATGCTGGTAGCTATCCCGATATGTGTGGTCATGCCACCATTGGTGTGGCCACAACGCTATGTGAGCTTGGTCTGATCGGCCGCTTGGATACATTGGGAAGCAACGCAAACTTTTCTTTTCAGCTACGGACTCCTGCAGGGACTCTCGAGCTCACAGCGAAGGTCAAAGGTGGACGATGTAGCGCGATAGTCTTCCAGACGCCGCTTGCCTACTATGTCGGGTCGATGGAACTGGCCCTTGCTTCTGGTCAACTTGCACGAGTCGATGTAGGGTGGGGAGGGCAATATTATGCCTTCGTGCCAGTCGAGAGCGTTGGGCTTGACATCACACCCGGAACGATAGATCAACTCATCATTGCAGCCACCTTGGTCCGCCAGCAGCTTGCAGTGAGCTTCGAGTCATCTGACCCTCGCACGGGCACCGTTCCAACCATTGGAAACATTGTCTGGACAGCTCTGCCCCGGAATGAGGCCGCCCACGCTCGCAACGTGCCAGTCTCGAGCAGTGGCTCGTTCGACCGGTCACCTTGCGGAACCGCCACCTGTGCAAGGATGGCTGTTCTAGAGGCTCGTGGCGAACTCGCAGTTGGGCAAGACTTTGTAAACGAGAGCATTCTAGGGACCTTGTACTACGGTCGTGCCATTCGTAGCTTCAATGGAGACAACTACCGTGGCATAGTACCACAGGTGCAGGGCAGCGCCTGGATCACTGCAGCAGGTCGTCTATCTCGGGACACGACTGATCCGCTTGGCTTAGGATACCTTATTGGGGGCGGTCCTGCGGTCGTCTGACTGCAGATGAAGACCCCCATCAAGACGCTCTTGTCAAGATAGCTCGGAGGAAAGTGATTCATGCGGTGGCAGCTATACGGTAATCCGCACTGGAAAATGTCATTAGTCAAGACATAAATCATCGACGTTTGATGGGATTTCCTCGCTACGGCCTAAAACACCGACGACCGGCTATTTGATTTCGACCATCAATCAGGTCCAGGACCTCTTATCGCACGACAAAAGCCGCTTAATCCATGAGTCAATTCACCGGTCAACCAAATCAAAAGTCCGACTCGATACTCAACCTGCATAATCTTGCCCATGCACGAGGAGAGTTCCGAAAATGAGTTCTGGGTTGGATCAGACCACGGATAGCATCATTATGATATGTATAGTGACAGCACCGTCGTCTTGCCTTTCTTCCGATAGTTCTTCAGCTGATACATTTTGAGTATCTGCCAGAGGAAGTCGCACCAAGACAATGAATTCCGACACCAAAACACTTGAAGCGAACGAGAGCGCCCCTCCTGAGGATGCCGACAATGGAACTGTGGAAGGGCTCCCGAATACAATGAAAAGGAGCCTCAACAGGCGCCACATAAACATGATCTCCCTCGCCGGCATGATCGTGAGCGCTCAAGCTTGTTGTGCTTTCAAAGACTCGCTCTCACATCTTCATAGGGAACTGGCTTATTTCTTGCCAGCGGGCAAGCATTGGCCGTCGCAGGCCCTGTCGGCGCCCTCTTCGGTTTCACTTTCATGGGTTTTATCACCGCTGAGGTTGCGCTGACGAGTGGCGAGCTATCTGCCTTCATGCCCGTCTCTGGAGGCTTCGTGAGGCATGCCACCCACTTCATTCAGCCTGCCTTTGGTGCAGCCACGGGCTGGAACTACTGTCAGTCTCCCTACATGACATCTTCGGGGGGAAACAATGGCGACTGATGATGAGCTTCAGGGTATATGATGGCAATCACGGGTCCCGCTGAAATCAGTGCAGCTGCCACGCTCATCAATTTCTGGGAACATGATATTAATGCCGCCGTGTGGTACAGCGTCTTCATCGTGCTGTTGGCAATCATGTGCTTTTGCGGAGCTCGAGTTTATGGTGAAGTACGCGACCATGCTGTACTCGTCTCTTGATCGAATCTTGACTGACTCGAAACAAAGTCGGAGGTATTCTTCTCAACGCTTAAGATCCTCCTGATCGTTGGGCTCATCCTCGCTGGACTCATCGTTGACCTCGGCGGTTCGCCCAGCCACCATCGCATTGGCTTTCAATATTGGAAGAATCCAGGACCTTTCCACGCCTACCTTGTGGACGGAAACACCGGCAAGTTCCTAGGCTTCTGGAGCACCTTGATCTCGGCTGCATACAGCTACGGCAATATTCAAGTCGTGGCGTTGGCAGGTGCTGAGACTCAGAACCCCCGGAATAAGGTCATACCGGACGCCATGAGAATGACCTTCTGGCGTATCCTCGTTTTCTATATCATCAGCATATTTATCGTTGGCTTACTTGTGTAAGAAGTTCTTCAAGGTCGACTTAACTAAGGTCCTTTATGCTAATCTGACGAATTTCCAGGCCATACAACGATCCAAACCTCGGCACCTCTACGGGGACCGCCCAGCAGAGCCCCTTTGTCATTGCTTTCAACAGAGTTGGCATCAAAGTGCTCCCATCGATCATCAATGCTGTCCTTGTGACCTCTGCCTTTAGCTGCGGGGCTGCATGCATCTTCCTCGCCTCACGAGTCCTTTACGGTCTGGCTGAGGAAGGTCAGGCACCCAAATTCTTTCTCAAAACCAACCGACTTGGGTCTCCATACCTCGCTGTCGCAGCCTCTCTCATCTTCCTCCCATTGGTGTACCTCAGTCTGGGTAGCAACTCATCTGTCGTCTTTGGCTGGTTTGTCAACATCGCCACAATAGCTGCGATGATCTCGTGGTTTATCATTGAAGTCACATATTTGCGTTTCTTCTACGCTCTGAAGGTGCAGGGTATCAGCCGGGACCGTAAGCTCCAACTACATCCCATTCTCCCGCTCATTGTGGATTGACTCTGTTCAGGCCTTCCTTACAAGAGCCCTTTCCAGCCATATGCGGCTTGGGCGAATGCATTCGTCCTGGCTTGCGTCATTTTGTTCACTGGTATGTTTGGTAATGTTGGAATGGGTGTCCGTCTGCTTACCATTCTATAGGATATAGTGTCTTTCTCAACGGCCATTGGAGCGTGGATAGCTTTCTCACGAGCTATATTGGCATTCCCATTTTTCTCGGTAAGCATCTCTGCAACATTAGACCGGATCAGTACCTAGTACTGTCTTTGCTCAGTTCTCTGGGCAGGTGCTTGGGCTTATTATCGGACTGGTTTTGTCTCTTTGCACGCAATGGATCTGTCCGAGATCGAGACAATCGAAAGAGAGAAACTCGGGCATCATGATGAGAAGCTCCCTTGGTATAGGGTTCTTTTCTAGCTTCCCAAGACCTTTGGCAGACGTCACACTATGGAAAATGAGCCCCATCTGGTCGAAGTCGGCGGTCAACGTTCCGGACGCTTTGCTGGTTTGCAAATATATCGAAATCCTCTCTTGAGGTAATCCTTTTCGCGACTATTGCTGTGGATCTCTTCTGGGCGGGGATACACTCGCGGGAGATATCTGGGGGTATGATATCGTCCCAACCCCGTCTTAATCTAAGCGTTTACTCTCCACTAAACGTTGCCGTCACCCCAACGCTGTCCTGACCTGCGGCGGCTTTGTCCAGAGCGATGTTGGTGTTGAGCTTGGTCGTCTCCTCGTCGATCTTATCTTGGGTCGCGTCCGAGTCACCTTGTGCGGCCTGGATCTGAAGGCCCAGCACCTCGAGTTGCAACTTCAACACCTTGTTTTTGATTTTTCCATTCTGGAGGGTCGTCGTGTCCGTCCCACTCGCAGTGGCCGCTAGCTCATCGTCGAAGCCTCCCGTGCCAGTCTCGGCGTCCTCAGCTGTGACACGAGCGTCTTGGATGATTTGAAGGTCGGATGCGGCTACACCAGCAAGGTCGGAAGTATCAATCTGTCAGCGGTAAATCGTCAGTGCAAGATCTTTCGTATGCGGGTGTCCGCGATGTGCATACCGGAAAATTCGCGTTGACTTCGGCCAACGCATTTCCAGCCACTCCGTCCGAGATCTGAAACTCGCTATAGGACTGCGCGGTGAGGACGCCCGCTCTCTTGCTCCTCACGACGGGACCAGCCGAGGAGAGAGCAAAAAGCCCCAAAAGAATAGCGCCGGGAGAGATGTACATTATGTCTGGATATCAGATGCAAAGAGCGAAGAGCAAAAAGGCAATGCAGCTGTAATGAGCAGCTTAACACGAAGAACAAACGGTGATTAGAGAGGGCATAGATTGGAAAAGAGGACAGATCCAGCTGTACTCAAGTGGCAGAACGGCAGAAAAAGAATATGTTCTTGGACATAGAATCCAAAGTCGGACTTTGGTAGCACACCTACATCATATTATACCTGGACCTGTAAGACGCCGAAATCAAACTTGAGCCTTTTGGCCGGCTATCGTGCTCAGGATTCGCTTTGGCCCGCACCTCGCCTCCACATGCGACTTCTGCTGCAATGGTGGTGCACTGGTGCTTGCTGGGCACGTGTGTTGAGACTTGAGATGTTTGTATCAAGTCTCGGACTTGCAAGGTTTCGGGTTTGAGCCCCTGCAACTAGCAACTCGAGGATGCTCAAAGCTTCTACCTGCGGATCTCAGCAGCAAGGGTAGGGCCGTACCACCCACGAGGTACGCGATCTCAGTAAGACGATCCCCCGGACTTGATCCGAGTCTGAGTTGAGTACAGCACGCTGGTGAGGTTGATGACCAAGTTGCAGAAGAACTCCCTCTCCGCATCATCTGAAACTCGTTCAATTTTCAAGGGGTCAACCTATTACGCGCCTCAGATCATTCCAGCTCCGAGGGGGGCCAGCGCGCTGCCAGCACCTTGGCGTAGGAGTCAGGACCCGATCAAGGTTGAGTGTATGCACTCCGCATGCTGCCTCGGCTTGATCGGGGAGTGTTTGTGTCTAGGCCCTTACGTGGACCAGAATCGGCGAGGCTGGTGGGTGAAAGCAGCATGAGTCACGGGTCAGTTGTGGTTTAAAGCGGCAGCGACTGGTTAAGATCCACGGCGCTGCGCAGTGACGCCACGTGCACTTTGGACAGGACGTCATTTGGCCTGCGCCGCCAACGTACCAGCCTTGCCAGGCTCGAATCAACACACCTTTAGAGTCGTATAATCCTAACATCTCACAACCGTTGACGTCTTTTGCTTACCTCGAATGTCTTCCTTGATCAGCACATGTAGCGTTAATTTTCCCGCTATTTTGATTTCCCGAGAATCTGGCTCATGGCGCCGCCGCCGTTAAAACGCCAGAAGACCAATCCTACCACGGTACCGCCTGCGCAGGCACAGGCACAGGCCGCCAACGTACCTCTTCCTCCGGAGTCTCCAACGGCCTTGTCCACTACGAAGCCTGCCACATCAAATCAGGGAGATCACCGAGCGGTAAGGGCGCATTCCACTGCTAGGCAAGGTCGCTGACGGCTTGAACAGTCATGGATCACGCGGACATGGCCTCGCAAGGCTCGGCCTCTCGCAGAGGTTGCTCGTGAGAGCGTCTCGTCTGCATCGAACGCCCTCCAAGAGGTTGCTTCTGTCACGAAAGATAGAGTCCGACCACAGAGGTCACCGTCTCTGGCCATGGCGTTGGGAAAGACCACCTCAAACCGATCGTTACCCGTCGATGCTACTACGACTACAGTCAATGCAACGGCCGAGTCTGCAACACCAAATGGCAAGAGAAGACCGCAAGGGGCTTCCGATAGTAATGATAGCAAGACGAAGGAGGAACCTGCTACAGAGCTCACGGCCCCCAACGGGGAGCAGAAGCCTGACAAAGAAGATAGCAGCGAACCGGCTCTGCAACCGGCCGCTCCGGACACAACCTCTCTTTCGTCTGAGCAAGCTCAAAATGCACAAGCAAGTTGGCTAGGCTGGCTTGCTAGAAGGGATGGCTCTGTTGCGCACCCTCCAGATACACAGCCGGCGCCCGGTCCGAACACACCAGCCACGACAGCAGCCACTACCGCAGCCGATAACACCGAAAGCGGCATACAGCCTGAGCCTGAAACAACTCAACAAGAAGCACAAGGTGATGAGGCCGGCACCAACAAAAGGAGCTGGTATCAAATGTGGAATGGCGGCGAGGCACCTTCCACCCCAAGTCAGAAGGATCAGGCTCCAGCAACAGCAGCCAGTGTTCCCACATCCAAAACTGCGGAAAGTGCGGAACCCGCATCAAACGTCGACATTCCGGCATCAAGCACATCCTCGAAGCCCAACTCGCAAGCGTCGTCCATCGTGACTTCGGCACCTCCGCCACTGTCCGGAGATGGGTCCAAGTCTTCCGGCTGGGTATTTTGGTCCCGCGACAAGAAAGTACCATCTGCCACAAAATCCGACAACGACCCTCATGTAGGTGAAATAGCCATCTCGGATACGCCATCGCAGGCAAAACCAAAACGAGCATCAATAAGTCTAGACGATGAAGCGAAACCTGTGCTGAAGCTATCACTGCAAGAAGATCGAACAAGGAAAGCTACGTCAGATAAGGTTGCAACGCCAAAGCTTACACCGGTAGAGCAACTTGTCGCACAGCCTGCGAAACACGAGAGGAAAACGAGTACAGTGAAGGATGGATCAACCACCAAAGCTGAGTCGTCAAATGCCACCGCGGTTGCCAGAGAACCAATCGAAATCGGTACACCGAGGAGGGGCTCGCCAGCTCCATCCAAGATTAGACAGCCCGATCTACTGCTACCGCCACTCAAAGAGACCCTGACCTACGAGGAACAGCCTTCCATTATACAGCAACTTGCAAGATTGCTGTATTACACCAAAGAGCCACACCTCAAGCATCTACATCTGGTCCGCGATCCACCACGAATACAAAATGCTCTCGCCATTGGAGTTCATGGATATTTTCCTGCTCCTTTAATTCGAAGTGTGCTTGGTCAACCTACCGGTACATCTATCAAGTTTGCTGATATGGCGGCTAAGTGCATCAAAAAGTGGACAAAAGACCATGGCTATGAGTGCGAGGTGAAAAGTGCTGCGCTCGAGGGAGAGGGTCGCATTGCAGAGCGAGTCGAGCTTCTCTGGAAGTTGTTGCTCAATTGGATCGACGAGATTCGCAAGTCAGACTTTGTCATGGTCGCTTGCCACAGTCAAGGCGTACCCGTTGCGATCATGCTGGTGGCAAAGCTCATACAGTTCGGTTGTGTCAGTGCCGCTCGTGTGGGAATCTGTGCGATGGCGGGGGTTAACCTGGGACCATTCCAAGAATATAAGTCTCGTTGGATCAGCGGTTCCGCAGGTGAGCTCTTTGAGTTCTCTAATCCGAACAGCAAAGTGTCGTCTGATTATCTAGAGGCGATGGAGGTGGTTTTGAAGTTTGGAGTTCGCCTAACATTCGCCGGAAGCATTGACGACCAACTGGTGTCGATGGAGTCATCGACGTTTGCTCCTCTCACTCACCCGCATATTTACAGAGCTGTGTTCATTGATTCTCGCGTTCATGCACCGAACTTTTTATCACATCTTGTTGGCTTTGTGCTGAAGCTACGCAACGTTGGAGTGCCAGATCATGGCCTGATTCGAGAATTGTCCACACCTCTGGCCGGCAGTCTGTACGGCGGCGAGGGGCACTCACGCATCTACGAAGATGATGCCGTCTATGATGTTGCCATTGCATTCGCTTTGGAGACAAACGCTCTAAAAGACGTACCGATATCGAAGAGACAGACCAACAATACGACTGCGAACCCATATGTACTACCATTTGCTATGCGCGGTATCCTGGAGGAAGATTACGTGAAGACAGAGCTGCAGAATGAGGCTCAACAACTGCTGGCCCAGTTTGATGATTGGAAGCCAACGACCAAGGCGCTCAGGGACGTGAAATTCAGGCTTGAAGGGATTAGGTCAAAGCTGTGAGACAACTCAGCAGCCCGCTTTAAATGAACGAAGTAATGATATCTGCACTAACAACTCGCGAAGGTACGCATGGCGTACGTGTACAAGCATTGGGGACTGTTCTGAGGGTTTGAGAACAATAGAAGGTTCTAAACGAAGGTATTACCAGGTAGATCTACAAAAGACCTATGAATGTCTTGCCCCGAAGGCTTTGAATCTCTCCTATCCACCATCATTCTACACTCACAGCGCATTCAGCTATCACTTCGAACCGCTTTCATTCATGTTCGCAACTTCACCGCCCTCGCATCAGCATGCCCAATTCAGCCTGTCCGCCTCATGGTGCTATGGGGTTCTACCCAATCCACCACTCTTCGTTCTCCGGTGAGAGACGGTCCGGTACGAACGAGAAGAAAAGTCACACAAGGAGTGAATAGCCGAACGTCCAGATGTGAGTGTAACCATTGTTTACAAATGTCACCTACAGGTGAAAGTGAGTTTCAGCAAAGCAACGCCTTGCTACTGTGATCGTTCGTAACACAAGACACAAATCCATTCTTCTCTATTTCAAGGACGGTCGCGTCCATCATTCATCAACGTCGTTCTCGTTGTCGCGCGAAGAGACCAGTGCGTTGTCCACCTTCAAAATGGACCACTTCCTCACCAGCACGCGCGCTCAGAAGAACGTTATCCTCACGAATGGAGTCCTTCGTTTCGCTCAAATTGTTGTCGGTATCGTCACTCTCGGTCTATACGCTCAGCAAATCGGATATTGGTTGAATCATGGCATCCCAGGCAGAGTCGTAAGTGGCGCTCTTTGATATGACAGTTCCTCGGCTTCAGCTCACATATCGAAATTCAGGCTTATGAGATCGCCTGCGGCATTCTCGCAATCGTCAGCGGCATCATTCTCTGCATCTTCCCATTCATCTTATCCTACCGCCCGGTCGCCTTCGCTGCTGTCTGGGACGTCATCATGTTCGTCCTGTACAGCGTTGCGTTGGGCCTCATGAGAGCCGTCTTCGGCGATCACATCAACTCGAAGGGTGGATACGAAGTCTCGGATGACAAGACCTTCAATGACCAGGTTCACAAGATGAGGGGCAATCTTTGGGTCAATCTGGCTGGTATGATACTGTTCTTGGTTTCGGCTATCATGGGAACCGTTCTCATCATCACTGGACGTGTGGTCGGCCGCAAGAGCATCGTTTGAGACTGACGGGCTCCAAGCAAGTATTGCTTGACGAGTACCCCATTGCAGTCGAGGAGAATACCATGATCAACAACGAGCTGAGATAGCATTGGAATTGGAGGCCTTCATGGGAAGAAGGAGCGATGGATTAGCTTTTGGGAGCGTTATGCGCCACGTTGGTGACACGATAGTTCAGCCTTGCGCAGCCTCGTCATTGACGTCTGTTTACCCCAATCGCGATGGCATCCTTCCCGCAACCATCTTCAGGGCAGCTCAACAGTAAATTGCCTTTCGTCTGCTTTCATACATCCGTCGTACCCTCGAACGGGTGTCGCATGGTCCTACCATGCTCTTCCGCCGATGGGCTTATATTCTGAGTCTCTCGGCCTGGCATCACTTCCCTGGCGTCAGAGCAGGCGCCATTGACGAACCTCGCGACCACGAAACCTACGATAGTCACCTTTCAGATCAAGCAGTGTTCTCAGGTCTCTGTCCAGACTATACCACCTATGCTCGTCATTTCCAGTGCGTCACCCTCTATCTCTGGCTCTTCCACATTCGCTGATATGTAGCAGCAACCCTCTGAGCGCAGGACCTCTAAAACTGCCCTACCAGCGACCGCATCCCCACTGTCGCAAGTTCTCTTCGCCTGCAGTAGAACAGGTCATTGAAGATTTATACCCTCAGATCAAAGACCCCGACCTAGCACACATATTCCGAAATGCATTCCCAAACACGCTCGACACTACGGTTCTCTGGCATGTTGACGGCGTCAAAACACACGCCGAAAAGTCGAGGCTAGTACGAGACAGGGGAAAGTGGGAAGGCGCGCAATCTTTCATTGTCACGGGCGACATCAATGCAGAATGGCTACGAGACTCGACGAACCAACTAGCCCAATATCAATCCCTGGCCAAAACTGCACCGGACATTTCCAACCTCCTCCTGGGCGCGATCAACACCCAAGCCGAATTTGTAATTGCTTCACCCTACTGCAACGCCTTCCAAGCGCCCGACCCAGCACGTCTACCTCCCGCCCACTCAGGACAGGACGACTCCGTCCACCCGGCGTACGAGCCAAGCGTGGTTTTCGAGTGTAAGTACGAATTGGACAGCCTGGCCAACTTCCTCTCCCTCACCAACCAGTACTACGCCTCGACCGGTTCGACCGCCTTCCTATCTAACCGCTGGTACAAAGCTCTCGAAGCCCTGGTGCACGTCCTCCACGAACAGTCTCGCCCGACATTCGACACCGACTTTGGCACCTATGAACGCAACGAATATACATGGAACCGCTGGACGCGCATCGGCACGGAGACACTCGCTCTCGAGGGAACAGGCAATCCACAAGGAAATGGCACCGGCCTCGTCCGCTCCGCGTTTCGCCCCTCGGACGACGCCACTATCTTCGCCTTCCTCATCCCCGCAAACGCCATGATCTCCGTGGAGCTAGCACGCGCGGCGACAATGTTGAGGTCATCGATGAGCGAGTTTTCCACCGCTGATGCTGCAGGCATGGAGCGCGTCGCGGATATCCTTGATCGCCACGCCGAAAGCATCAAAGCAGGCATCTACAAGCACGCGGTCATCACGCACCCAGAATTCGGCGAAGTGTTCGCCTACGAAGTCGATGGGTACGGCTCACATCTGCTCATGGACGATGCGAACATCCCGTCGCTGCTTTCTCTGCCGCTTCTCGGCTTCGTCGACGCCTCGGACAAAATCTACCAAAACACGCGGCGCATGATCCTCACGCAGCGCGGCAACCCGTATTTCCTGACGGGGACGAAGTTCTCCGGCATCGGCGGCCCGCATATCGGCCTGCGCAACGCCTGGCCCATGTCTGTACTCGTGCAGGCCATGACGAGCACTGACGACGCCGAGATTGTCGAGTGCTTGGACAGAGTCAAGAAGGTGAGCATTTTCGGGTTGATCAACGAGAGTCTCGACGTGCATCGTGGCGTGAGGCAGAATGGTGATGGCATGACGCGCAGTTGGTTCGCGTGGGCGAATAGCGTGTTCGCGCAGACGGTGCTGTGGCTTGTCGAGAACAAGCCTGAGTTGATTCTCAAGGATGACGCAGAGAAGAAGAGGTATAAAGTCGGGGTGGGCTGGGTTGATTGAGCACGATAGCAACTGCCGAAAAGCAGCAGGTGATACAAAGTGATTGTTGTGCAAGGAGTTCGGGCGTCGCGGAGTGTCAATAGTGGATACATAGGTGTCAAAAGAGGACACACAGAACAAGGAATCAGTGACATGCATAAAGACCCTTGGATGAGTAGCACAGGTGATGCCGCCATGATATGTGTACAGTTTCATTCGTCCCGTCTATACCACTCTACGCTATGCATCCTCTGAATGTGCCATCGTGCATGAGAATGGCTCAATTCTTCTTGCCAAAGAAACTCATAATATTTCCCTTCTTCGGCGCCGCCTTGCCACCTCCTTTCTGACTTGCAGGCTGACTTTGCCCCTTATTCGACCCAAACGTACTCCGTGGCACCTCTTTCTTGGGCGGTTCGGGCTTGGGTTCGGGTTCGTCCTCGCTGTAACTCTCCCATACTGCCTCCTCTTTCGTGACGAGGTACCCATCCTCGTCCTTGGTTGTGCGCTTCTTCATCACTTTGCGCTTACCTCGACGACGTCCGCCCGAGGTCATCGTCGCGATCTGCTCGCCTTGTGAGTTGGTCGATGCGTCTTTCTTGGGTGCCGTCTGTCGCTTTTTCTCCGTGTCCGAGTCCGACCAGGCAACGGCCTCTGCATCGCCTTTGGCTTCTTCATTGTCTTGCACGGCGTCCGTACCCGCTTGCGCGGTGACGGGTTCGCCATTTACACCTGTCGCTTTCTCCACGCCGGGCACGGCAGGTTCGGCTTCATCGTCAGAATCCATCATCTTGCGCAGCTTGGCCGCCTTGTCCTCACGCTCCTTTCTTGCATCGCTAGGTCGTTTCTTGGCTGTGCGCATTCCCGTGTCCAGAAAGACTGCGTCGTCTTCAGATTCACCTTCGTCGTCATCTTTCATCTTGGTATCAGAGTCTTGCCTGATAGCAGCAGGTTTCGATTTCTGATGACTCTGCTTTGCAAAGGCCCGGAAAAGGTCCGAAGACTCACGTTTCATTGCTGACTGCTTGGCCGATCCAGTGGTCGAAGTGCTGTCGCGAGAGCTGGGTCGGGATGGTTCTTCGTTCTTGGTTGCCGGCGCCGTCTTGGGTGCTGCTTTGGACTGAGCTGTAGATTTGGCTGCAGATGCTTTGGGTTCCTCTTTGACCGCCTGGAATTTGGGTGCCGGCCCCTGAGGCACAACAGGGCGCTTTCTCTGCCGTCGCCTGACATGGGGATTCTGGATGATGCCGAATGTCTTATTGTGCTCCAAGGGATCTTGCTTTGCAAATACATCGGTAAATAGACCCCGGCTGATGTCGGTCAGAGTCAAAAGATCTCGTATATGCGCAGGCGATAAGCTGTAGACATGTATTGAACTGAGATGCTCGTATTGTTCTTTTAACGCTTCCAGATTTTCTTCTCTTACCAGCGTGATAGTGCGTACTTTTGTCTGTGGGCCTTTGTCTTCGGATGTTTGATTGCTCTCTTGACTTGGTTCCAACATAGAACTTGTAAAGGGTGGTGGACTGGAAGGGATGGGCTCGTCTTCGAATTCATGCTTATGGCCGTTTGTGGTTCCGTTGGACTGTGATGAAGCATGTTGTGCTTTTTTGACACCGGACAGGAGATATGTAGCATAGACAGATCCAGGTTTCTTTCCATTTTGAAATTCGTAGAAGTCGTAGAGCATACATTTGGCGGTATTGACGTGTACTTTCAGGGCTCGAGAGACATTGCGGTAGGATATAGTTCGCTGCTCGGACAGAACCTCTGTCGCCAGGTATTTCCTGAAGTCCTCAGACATGGCGCAATACAGTATGGGCTGAAGATGAACTGGGGCGGTTGTAGTTGTAGTGCGCCTAATTGTTTAAGTGGTTTTGACGCGTCGTGAGGGGAATGAATTGGTCGACGTGTTTGCGTCTTCTTTATTTTTACTTGACCGTACCTCTCCAGCGGAGCAGACAGTGTTGTTGCGAATAATATAACTCATCTTCTATCAATGTTCTTGAGGATAGCGTGGACGGAGACCTCCTCACTTGTCCCGGGATCGTTGCTCAATAGCATCGTATCGTCTAGCCTGGTCTTTCCCTGGTCGACCATGAACATCGCCAATTGCCAAAACTCAAGAGCCGCCATTCTGGGGAACCCATATCTTTCCAGTTCTTGAGCTGTCAAGATCGAATTCTGGTGGTCCCACGCAGTTTTCCACCTCATCAGCGCCTGCGAAACTCGGCATATGGTGTCTGCTTTGGTAGAATTATATGGCGATAGCCACAGGAATTGCAGGAGTGCTACGCATTGTGTTAGCATGAGCCTTATCGAGTTTGGAGTTCAGTTGCCCACCAAGCACAACGATGAACAGATCCAGTATTGTCAAATCCTTCAACTTGACAGACGTTTCTACCTCCAGGTCCTTCCGCATGAAAATATCGCACAGCGTCGCCAGGGTGAGGTGCTCAGACTTGCGCGACTCCGAAGCTGCTTGTTCAGCTTCGCCCGGACTGGTTGCGATGAATGCCTCAAGCGGTCCGGGCATGTCCACTTCCATTTCTTCTCCAAACAGGCGAGGCGACGAGTTGTATAGAATCGTGAAGCTCGCATCAAGGTTGAAAATCCCGCAAATTAGACTGGTACAGGTTCAGCCCCAGCGATCATACCACGGTGAAGTCCACCTTACCGAATCCTGGCCTCGCTGGCCGCGTACTCCTCCCAATGAAATGTCTCGTCCTTGTTGTGCCAAAACGAGTTCTTTGACTCCAAAAGTCTGAGTCCTCGACAAGCCTGATGGTTTCGTTAGCAATTTCACTACCTCTAGGGACTGACACCAACTAAGATTATCTGGTCAAATCGATCCTTGCGAATCTCCTTCCGCTTGCGTATAGGTGCTGTTCGAAGTTGAATTTGTGACATGAGAAAGACAGCCTGGAGCGCTTGCAAAGCTTCCTTCGCAGTGAAATTCTCGCTCTGGAGGCAGCCTGCTATAGTCTTCTGAAAAACCGGGTTGCGAAAGACGTAATCATCGGCGAGATCAATCATGTTATTAGCGAGGCAGGCTTCGTCTGTGGATGGCGATAAGGTTGCGGCGATGAGCATCATCGCCAGAAGCAGGTGCGGCATCGTATCATACGGACACCACGTTGCTTGATGGATAACAGGCGTATGTGGGCCCCATTCTCGGAAATATAGTCCTATAAGCCGTTCGAGACTTTGTGCGGAAAACAATGCAGAGCTCTTTGCAAGCTTCGCGTTTGGTGCTTTTTCCTGGTGGCCCGCTGGCAATGACAGAGTAAACTGGGTCAGCGAATCAATTAGTTTGTTGCAAGGGTGAACGTCCGGCCATGGTACTCCGGGCATAGGACTGTCTGTATCGTCCCAGGTATCCAGCCAGTCCTCGCTTTCCGGGGCAGTCTTGTCGATGTCGTGGTTCACCAAAGTCTGACGACGGAAGAGATCGTTCAAAGCCGCAGTTTCCAACGGAACAAATGTGTCAATATCGTGGAGACTCGGTGATGCAGGTTCCGGCACGTCTTCGCCGACGTCCTGACTCCCGCGAGCCGTCAAGCCAGGATAGAAAGCCTCTGATATTGTTGTATTCTTTGGATCCGCATAGTTCAGGAGGAACGACAGTGATATCTTGCGTTGGTCTGGTTGTGTATGGCTTACTGGAATCATGCTCGGTTCGTAGAGTTGACCGTCGATCCCGTAGTCAGCAACTGAAGCGTTCTGGAGTGGTATCTGCTGCCCTGGTAGGTGCGACACTCGAACATAGGTACATTCGTAGCCATGTGCAAGACAAGTCTCGCAAGGACACTCTAGATCACAACGTAGTTTCGACCGAGCACATGCATCACATGCTGTGGATTTCTTCCCTTTCTTGAGCCTTTCGGGGATGGGCTGCTGACCTCTGGACGAACAGCGAATATAATGTCGCCGGAGAACGTCACTACACGAGCAGCAAGGGTTAATTCTCACAAGAGGGTAGGCATCAAGACCGCAGAAGAGCACCTACGATCTGTGGTAAGATTTGCTACAGAAGCAGCACACCCATGGCTTCGTGGAAGTACTTGGTTCTTGTACTTCAGCGCTCATTGTGCATGCGTGAGAGTCTCCGTCAAGTTGCTTGGTCTAGAACACAATTCGATGAGCCTTGAGTGTTCATAGTGAGGTCGGTGCAGTTTCGCCCATTCGGAAAACAGTCATCCTGCAAAGCGATACTTGATATACGCCAGTTGTTCATTGCTTACGAACAACGTGTATTTGGACCTGCACGAAGCCCTAAAGGCGTCGGGATTGGGTTGGGGGCTGGTGCGCCTCGCTGATCGCTTATCATTTCCAAGTTGCTGGCTATACGCACTGTCCTCGCCTTGTCTGAGCATATCTGTGTTTCGCCGTGTATGTAGGGTGAAGGTCTCTGATAAGATGCGCAAATATCGGACTCGGACCTCGTCGAGCCTCGGCATCAACACCATGAACTCAATCGTCTCTCCCGCACACGGCATGATTGTACAAGGGAATTTGTGCTGCTATATACTTTTCTTTTGTTTGAGTTAACGGTATTGTACATAGGATTTTGCTAAGTATCCGATACTCCATCTCTTTCCTGCCTTCGCCCATCAAACATCTTTCGCTAGCTGTCATTCAGAATTCCAGCCATCACTAACCAAGGAGCTCAGTCGATTATCAGGCTGCCATCAAGGATTGACAACGGTTCAATCGTTGATATAGAGGTAGGCCTACTCCCTTCAGAGTGATGTTCCCCCTTGGTAGCAGTTCTCCTTTGCTAGGTAGTGATGGACTGCTTACTGTATCTGAAACTTCCTCGATATTGACATCCATTAGTATTTCGACTCATCCAGTATATATATAACGACACAGACAATCACAGCGCGACTGCGCGTGGCATCTGCGCGTGGCGACTGCGCCTGCAGCCGTGTCTAGGATCATCAAGCTATATAACTCAAGGACGACACAAATCTACCGGGCGTGCGAGTCTCAGCCTCTTACGATACGTCTGACGTACAAGCAGTAACATTCAAGCCCTAGAAGCGAGAAAGAACGTTTTCTCAAGTATCTAGCACCAGCAGTCATGGAAATCGCCGGCCCAGAACCCGAGCTACAGTCAGGAGAATATCTTCCCGATCCTTACTTGGCAGAATTTAGCGAACTTGGGCATCAAATCTTCTCGTACACACCAACCATCCCTGAACGCATTGAGACACCAGGGAAAGTGGTCCAGCCAGATCTAATTGTTATCTGCTCCTGGATGGGAGCTCAGTCTCGGTATATCAGAAAGTACCTCACCCCATATCAAACAATATTTCCGCGCTCGCCCATACTCCTGCTCCGACAGGATGGATCCGACCTATTCTGGCGGACAGAGCGTCAGCAGGTTAAGAACTTGGAACCTGCGATTTCCGTTATAAGGCAGCTAGTGGACCAGAAGCGACCGAACAAGCCAAACGTCCTGGTTCATATCTTCTCCAACGGCGGCTCCTATACGGCATGCCAGCTGGCGGACGCATATCAAGATTCATCACCCGATAAGGACGAATTATTGCCCATCTCGGCCTTGATTCTGGACAGCACGCCCAGCCTACCGTCAGTACAACGCGCACATACAGCTATATGCGAGTCGCTCCCCAAATCCGGTCCAGGTCGAGTCGTAGGCAGCGCAGCGGTGTGGGGATATATTGGTTTGGCCAAGGCGATTGAAACCGTCACTGGAAAGGAAGACATCACTACCTCATTGAGAAGGAGACTAAATGACCCCAACGGAGCCTTCACGCAGGGTATATTGAAAAGGGTATATATCTATTCACAAGCCGACGAACTGATCCCGGCGTCTGATGTGGAAGCACATGCTAGAGCGGCTAGCTCGACGATTGGATGGTTCAGAGTACAATTGGAAGACTTCGTGTCGAGTCGACATGTTGGTCATGTCATGCTGGATGGGCCTAGATACTGGATACTTATTGGAAATCTGTGGAAGGAATCTGTTGGATAACGAGCACAGGTCTGATGGTCAAGACATATTTCTGCTTATTCGAGCAACGTAGCAATTTTTTTGGATTTGAATTTTGAGTACATACATACAGACAATAAGATGAAATCGTAGGATATTAAAGCCATGCAATGATCAGCATGTATCAGCCTCGTCTGCACCCATAATCACCTCAGCCTTGCCGCCGAAAGCGCTTCTCCAACCCCAAACTGACGTAGTAATAAACAAACTCCCACACATGTGAAGTGCCTTTTCTTTCCAACCTTACCACATCTCTCACCCCAAGCCGCACCCGCCCTCATGTCCCCACTACTAGAATGGCTGGTCGAGAACGAACCCTCCTTCCGGAAAACACGTCTGCCCTCCCTCTACTCCGATCTGACCGTCCAGAAGTCAACCAACCCAGAAGGCTATGCGGCGAACGTGACGGCATGGGCGTCCGCACTGACACGTGCCTCATTGGCAGGCCAACTCCCTCTCGAACAGCGCCTCATCCTCCAGGCCTCAGATGACCTGTTAAACGCGCTAGCCAGCGCGCAGTACGGTCGGCCGTCAGGCCTAGGCAGCGTGCTGGACGACTGCGTGCGGCAAGGCAAGATGGTCGACCTGCACGACTTTCTGGCGAGTGAGAAGAGCATCTACACACGATCTTGGATCCCGAGTCCCTGGGCGGTTCTAAGATGGAGTCTGCGACAAGTCGGGATCGTGGGGACAGGCAGCTACGAAGTCAACGGTCATCTGAAGAAGGGCAGTCTAGTACTGGTCCCAGCACTGGAGGAAGTGTGGAAACATGTTCAACGCCTACGCGACCGGAGCGCGCAGGGTCTGACCGACAGGATCATGAGTCGCGAGACGTTCCTGAAAGAGTTGAACGATCTGATCCGGGGCACATTATCAGATCAAGACGTGACGGTCCTCCTGCGGTACCTGTCCCGCGACAAACATGCGCTCAGCTACGACGATGCCACCATAAAATTTAAAGCACCAGCATCCACAACCCCAGAACCCATAACGCATGAAGACCGCTCCATCGCAAACCTCAAATCCCTTATATCCAATCTCACCCTTCAAATCGCCAATCTAAACACCCGCATCGCAACACTACAATCCACAGCCCAAACGTTGGTCAAAAACGGCAACAAAGCCTCTGCCCTCTCGGCGCTACGCTCCAAGAAACTCGCCGAACAATCCCTGGCCTCCCGCACCGGCACCCTCCACCAACTCGAGCAAGTCTACGCCAAGCTCGAAGCCGCAGCCGACCAAGTCGAGATCGTCGCCGCCATGCAAGCCAGTGCCGGTGCATTGAAGACGTTGAACCACAAAGTCGGCGGCGTCGAGCGGGTCGAGGACGTCCTAGACACGCTGCGCGAGGAGATGGGCAAGACCGACGAAGTAAGCGGCGTGATTGCCGAGCCTCTAGACAACACCGCCGTCTTGGATGAAGGTGAAGTCGACGAGGAGCTCGAGAGTATGGAGCGCGAAGAACGATCCAAGCGGGAAGCACTGGAAAGAGCAGAGAAGGAACGCAGAGACGCGCAAGAGGCGGAAGCTACGAGACGGAGATTGGCCGACTTGGAAGGAATCGAAACAGAGGCAAGATCCAAAGAGCAGGCTGCAGACCCTGTCGAGCAAGGACTATCAAGGAGTATCGAGAAGATGCAGAAGCTGCACCTCGATGGGCGGCAACAACCCCAAGTCGCTGAAGGGGCTTCATGAAGAAACAATAATGACTGATGACAAACTTGGGAAGGGATTCGATTTCGCGGGCATGCACTTACAAGCTGTGTACCATAGACTTTTGTTTGGTATGGTCTGCTATAAGATCATAACGTGTGTGATACATGCTACGGCATAGCCTTTTGGATGGCTTCTTTGAACCATCTTGATGATTCGATTCCCGGCTATTTGAAGACCTGGTTTTGTTTACATGATGTGGGGATTCTCGTTCTGGGACCCTGGTACAGCTGCAATGTCCATCTACTGTTTTGGAGGCTCGGCAGCTGAATTGTGAAAAGGAGAATCGTTGGCGACCAGATGGGATGCAACTTCAAAGTTGTGGAATCCCAGATCGTCGTGTAGGTACGAAGACGTTGCTTCGGCTGTAGGCGGTATGGGGTTCGATCCTGCTTCTGTTTGATCATGTTCATGCTCCAATGACACTGTTCCTACGTCCTCTGCATCCGGCTCTCGTTCTGTTCCTTTCGGTAACGACACAGAGCCATCCTGCGGCAGCCCAGCTCCGGGATCGGTGTCAGTCGTTTCCGCAGCCTTTGGCGTTGCTGCAACCCTCCTTTCCCTTGCCTGCTGGATAAGGTCGTCGAAATTGCTCTTCTGTGCTTTGACATGCTGATCGCGGTCAAACTCCTTGGCCATAAAGCCCGTGTTCGATGCCCTATCCATCTGGCGTCCCAGAGTGTCCTCCCACACCTTGAGACTTTGCAGAAGTTGTCTTTTGGTCACCGGTTTGGTCGAGTCGCAGTTCGCATTCCATAAATTCACCCACTCCGTGTGCCTCCTACGCATCAGCTCCTTGGAACCATGGTTGGGTATGCCCAGATCCCGCAACTTCTTTCGGAGAGCATTGTCGCCTAATATTGAGTAGTTGATAAAGGGTAGGCGTTCATTGTCTTTCGAGGGTTTCTTCATGGTATATGCAATCGTGCCCGGTGGTGCAACCTGTGGTTTGGGAGGAGCGGGTGTGGAACCATCATCTATCGGCGTAGAGCTCTCGCCCGATATGCATTTATCCAGATGTGCATTGATCAATGTCTCTTTCATTCTGCGGTGACAACATGGACATGCCACTAAACCGTCATTCGGTTCCAAGTCGCCGTTCACGTGCGGAATTCGGGTATCCTGATCTTCGTAGACACTCCCTTCCTCGCTGTCATCTATCACTTCCTGCGTAGAAGGTGCGCTCTGTTGGCTCGCATCTCCAGCCGCTCTCTTGCTTTGATTGCGAGTGCTTCGCCTCACCACACCATTCGTTATAGGTTCTTCGGCCACGACTTTCCGCCTCTTCTTAGGTCTTTCTGATTCGGCATTCCCCTCGCTTTTGGCTGCAGCGTCTGTCGCAAAGGTAAGGAGATTCTTTCGTGACGCAGTAAAGTTCGCAACGAGTTCTTCAACGACCCAGTTCCGTCGGAGTTTAACCTCTTGGTCGGATTCGCGACATGCCGGACATCTGCCCTCCTGAGAGAGATATCTGCGTATACATAGGCTGCAGAAGGTGTGGGAACAACTCGTCATCATTGGTGTTGTAAAGAAATCTTTACAGACTTGACATCGCAGCGAAGAGTCGAGTGGCGCGAGGGCTGCCAAAGGCGTTGGGAGCCAGTCTGTGCTGTCGCTGAAGTCATTCTGGTCGGGCATAGTGAGGTGGATGACTCTAGAGGTGCGCAAAAGATCAAATTTTCTTCAGCCTCTATGAGTCGCACGATGCTTTGAGGCAGTCATCTACGCAATGCACATCACGAACCGTAGTGCAGTATTGACTCGACTTGGGCAGGCGCGATAGAATTAAGATTTAGCGTGAATTTCGGCACAGACGCGTAAAGTGAGTGCGCGACGTGAGGCGAAAAAGGGAAGTCAGCCTCGTGCTCAATTCATATTACACCATTAAGAACTCGATCTACTTGTGGCCATAGACGATCAATCTCTGTAACCTAATTTACAATCGTTTCATTCACTCATTCAAAATCATCGTCTCCTTGAGATAATGGATCTCGCCGGTTCAGGCGGACTGGACTCAGGGGTGTCGGCTCAAGAGGACCAACCACTGCACCACCTGCCACGCCCAGCAGACTTCTCCGGTTGATTCTACTGTCAGCGTTCTCTAGTGCATTCATCTCTTCCACGGTCTCGTCCTCAACCTCCTCTTGGCCCTCGATTGCACCATCCAATTCCAATTGTCGGGTGGCGCCACTGAAGCCTCTCTTTCGAGCCTCTCCCAACTTCATCCTCACAGCCAGACGTAATTGTTCTAGGTACTCTGCCAATTCGTGATATTGCTTGATTGATTGACTGTTCTTGGTTTCGTTGTAGAGTTCTTGTGCTTCATCTAGTTTCTCGGCAGCAACCTCAGCACGTCCCAATTTCATCCAGTCATCGGCCGCCATGACGTTCCAAAGTGCAGCTTTTCGCTTCCGCGTACCCCAGCTGGTATTGCCGAGCCCTGTACGGTCGGCGAAACATGACGCCACTCGCTCACTGACCAGGACGTGGCCTATACTCCCTACTAGACCGAGCTCGAGACTGCGTATACCCCATTTGGCTGCAAGCTCAGTTGCTGTTCGACCACGTACTTTGAGAAGTTCGACACCAAGAAGGAGCGCACGTAATGCCAGTGCAGGGTCAGAACAACGCGTCAAGTATGAATAACTCGCAGTCTCTAGCATCTGGTCAAAGTTTTCGACCTTGAACTTGGTGCTCCCACTGCTCGTCAATGGGTTCAATAAAGTAGAGATGCAGCACATTTCGTTGGCGCCGGCAAGATGCTTCCACGCTTTGTCGTTCGCATAGTCCGACCGAAGTAGCTCGTATGTCGAAGCGGCGAGTTTGTAGTCGCGCAGCATGAACGCATAATCTGCTAACTTCCGTAAAAGACTTTCCGGAACATCGTATCGATATGTGCCCTGCAAACTGTCATAGTTGCCGCTCGCTCCTGACCCGCCGAGGTTGGTGGCCGAAGATGAGTTCCGGGACGACGAGCCAATGCCAGTCCAGCGCTTAGACAGCGACATGAACCGGCCAGATATCCCCCGGCGTCGTGAAGCGATTTGTTCATTCCAGAGGGCAATTCTCTGCTCCATATGGTAGATTATAGACTGGGCGATGAGTTCGCGAACAAAGGTTCGGAGTGCCGATGCATCCGAGGAGAAGATGTAGGGCGAAGTCGGAATATTGAGGTCAATGAGTTGAGCTGTCTCGCGAAGTATGGATAGCTGCTCTGCGGGTGAAAGCCATTCGCAAACGGGCAGTTCTTCGCTGTCGTCATCGGATTGGGTGCACGGAGTAGACCTTAGTCTCAGCAGATGACAGTGGAGTCCGAAGTGGCGCTTCATCTGGTCGAACAGAGCCGACGACTTGCTGAAGTCATCTCTATCCTCATCGTGGACAAGGACATAATACCGGAGGTATTCCGGATTGGCGTATGGCGGTAGCGCTCTAGAGCCCTGAGCGGTCTGCTGGTAAAGACTTCGTAGTGTCTCAATAGGTTGTTTCGTGGAAGAGCTGATTGCAATGACTGCCCCTACCGGATGTCGGAAAGATTCATGCGGACTCATGGTCGTCGAGCAGAGCAACCGAGATAGAAACAATTTGTAGAAATGAGAGACCTCTCCTCTTGCAGGCACATCAGCCGTGTCGTCGAAGCCTTCTCCGATGAATTGTTCCATTAATTCTTCCACCTTTTCTAGGTGCTCGGCGTCTGCTGAGGACGTCCCATCCTCGACCAGTCGGCCAAGATCTGCGAAGTGCACACCAAAATCCTCCCATGCTCTGCTCGCGCCGCTGCTGTCTCGCACCACAACTTTCCCGCTGACTCTATTGCCAAAGGGCCGGATCAAACCCGTGAAACCATCTTTTATCCCTTTGCCCGTTGCAAGCTCGTCTACCTCGGGCGCAGCATAGATCGCGACTGTGGGTGAAAAGGCCCGAATGATTAGGGATCGTGTATCATCGTAGGTCTCCGATGAATTACCTAGTGGGCTGTTCACTTGCGAGCGACCGAATCGAGCGAATGACAATGACAATCTGCCATTGGGAGAGCTTGAACGTGAAAGCACACTAGACAGCGTGCTCGTCCGCGACCCTAGGGCCGAAGGGCTTGATGTGCGGATGGGAAGGCTGGTGGTGGAGGTCTCTGGTGACTCATCTCTCGCCAGAGTCCTCGTCTTGCGCACATCGAGGACTGGGATAGAAGGTGGGTTCTCCGGCTGCTGAAGAGGATCTCCATTACTCGGCGAGGTCATGGACAGCGTCGACTATGGGTGATTGTTGGATTAGGGCTGTCCTTTGGCGGCACATGGAGGTTAGGTGAGGAAGCCGAATCTTGTCAGTCAGCATGTCAAATCTCTATCGCTGTCCGACCATAAGAAAGAACAGATTCACTAGGATTTGGCTTTCAAGTAGGATGACAGTGGACTTGTCCACGCGAATTGCCAAAGATGATGCGGTTTGGAGGGAGTGGCCGATGTCTGGGAAAAAGAATGCGCCCACCGTACCTTTCTGGGGCTCGGCGGATCAGGAAGGCCGTGAACTGCCAATTCCCTTACGTGTTCCCCTTCACTTAGTACCCGGATACATTATGGTTGGTTCAAATATCTACCTACCTACATGCACAAAGAGTGCGCCTCAATGTGTCGCGCCCTCAACTCCCACTCTGAGCCATGTCAGGGAGACTCTGCTGCGGCATTTCTGCAAAGTACTGCTGCGGAAAGTCGGCGAAATTCTCAAAGTAGTTCTGGTCAAAAGGTTGCAGAAACAAATTCCAATCAGAGTCCTGGAAGTTCTGCACGTTCGGAGACGTTCCCGATGCCGCAGAGCCCGTCAAGGCATTTTCGAGACTCTGTGTGGCTTTTCGCCTCTGGTCCAATGCAGCCTTGACAAGGTCCTTTGCTGTTTGGACAGCTTCCCTGGCCATGTGAGTGTCCAGGTACTGTGCTAAGGCCTCTAGAGTCCGCACTGCCTCGGCCACCCTTTCGAGACTGCTATTAGAGTTGATCGAGAGCAAAACACAGATGAAGTGGAATACTGTCCCAAGAACATTCCACCAGGGGTGCCCCACGGCTGCAAGGCGACGTGCGGCCTCCAGGGCGGGCACACCCACTTCGATTATCTGATCTATCTTGTCTTCAGTCAAGATGTGCCCAAAGTGATGCAACCGACGGTATATGCAGAAAGCCAGTTCTGCCCTTGTCAAGACAATGAAATCATGTTCGGCTGGTGCACTGGACACTTTGTCCAGCAGTAAGAATAAATCTGTATTTTCAGAAATTGTGTCAGAGGCGGCATCATCTGCTGCAATGCCGCATACTAAGCCGCATATCTGGCTGGTAAAATCGTTCTGTCGGGACGTGAGGGGCCTCGGGTTGCTCGCTCCAAGGTTGATGAATGATCTGCCATAGTCGTACGAGATGAGCAGGTTCAAACTTCGTGCGACTTGGAATGTCCTCTCGCGAGTTTCGATGGTCTGTTCGAGGAGATTCGTATTCGAATTGGCTAAAATCGTTACTTCATCAGGGCTTCGATGTAGTCCCACGGCCTCGGCAACGTGCATTGTGGTGCAGGAGGACATCCAGGCGATGTGAGGCCGGCTTGTTGCTCGAAGATAGATGGTTCGTAGAATCCATGCCATGACCCAGTGTACAGATGGAGTACTGACCGGGTACGGGCTTTCGAGAAGGCCTTTGGCGTGCTCCACGATGATAGCTTCAACTTGTGGTGTGAGAAAGTTAGAAAAGAGCGACGCCAGGGTGATGAAACCACAAGCTATGACCTCGAAAGTTACTCCTTGGGCATTATTGTTCCAATGCGCATCGCATTGACGGCCAAGGGTTTCAACTTCTAGAAAGCCAAAGATCGGGTGAATGATTGACTCATATATATCGAGAAGACTTTTGACCTGAACCAGAGTGATCAGGTCGGTAAGATGATGTTGAGAGGAGAATGTAGGCTCGCCTCGAACACCAGCGTGGTAAGCGAAAGCGTGAAGACGAGGAAGGTCGGAGGTTTGCAGCTCGACCGCCAGAGACCGAGGAAAGGACACGGAGGACTCCTTATTCATATATCGAGATTTGAGGAGGTCGAGGAATCCACGAGTTCGGGCTGGAGATTGAGGAGATCGGTGGGTTCTCTCTTCCACATTCGTATGTGCCGGAGAGACCTGTGAGTTTGTTCCCACTGGCCTGGGCATAACATTGGAAGCCGGCATGGGCGATTCATCCAAGCTAAATTTGCGCGAAGCTGTCGGCTCATATACGCAGCGGTACTCGTAATCGCTGCAATTCCGGCATGGTACTTGACCATCGCATTTTCTCTTCCTCCGGCGGCATGGTACACAGGCTCTTCTTGCTCGTTGGCGCATGACCTAGGTTTGGTTGTCTCTCGCGGAAAAGTCGAGCCATGTGTGAGGTTTGTCAATGAGAGAAGATGGCCAGGGAGTCTGCTGTGAGTTTGAGGTGTAAGAAGGCTGGACACGCAAAGCATCTTACTAAGCTGGATGAATGGGAAGCATATGCGAGACGCTGCCCCAAGCTCTCATCATTCCCACTTCAGAGACTTCGAGCTGGCTTGCCTTCCTTTACAGGCTGTCGGCGGAGGAAGATTGCCAGCCTGATCGTCTTATTACATCCTCAGGGGATTGCTCTTCGAAAGATGCCGGTACCCGTTGACGTACTAGTCAGAGCATCCATCTTTCAGACACGGAAATATGCCGCCGCTGAGGCGAGGTTTGAGAGCTCCCCCAATACTCCAACTACTGACGTCTAGCACTATTCCATAGTTGCAACTAACCTTCTTCACTGTCTCTCATTTTCGTCAACACTTCTTCCGCAACATTGAACAGGACGCACATCGTTTTGTTGGTCGCCAGTCGTAGCAGGAAGCCACATCACCGACTTCCCGAAGTTCCACACTCAGCCTTTGAAATGGCAGCCAAAACAGTCGAGATCGACTCCATCTCATACTACACGGTGCTCGAGGGTCCGGCAGATGGAAAGCTGGTCGTCTTGATTCACGCGTTGATGGCTAACATGGAAATATGGGATTCAACTGTCCCTGCCCTGAACAAAGCAGGATACAAAACACTCCGTTACGATCATGTCGGGCACAACAAGACGCCCGCACCTTCTGATCCCAACCGATCATTTCACTTTGACGATTTCACCCGTCACATCCAGCACATCATTCAAACCCGTTGTCCTAACGATAAACCTTACGCGCTAGTGGGATGCAGTATTGGCGGGGTACTCGTCCTTCGCTACGCGCAGATGTATCCTGGCTCTGCTCAGAAGATTATCTCATGTGCAGCGCCTGGAGCGAAATCTCTCGAGGTATCGAAACCGAAATGGGCTTCACGTATTGAACAATTCAAAGCCGAAGGTACTGTGGATAACCTGGCAGTGGCCACGGTTGAGCGGTGGTTTCCTGAGCCTTGCGAGCCCAGCATCCGGGAAAAGGCACTTCAGATTACAAAGACGTGCACACTTCCGGGCTATGAGATCTGTGCAAAGTGTACGACGAATTATGACTATAGCGGCGAACTTGAACAGATCAAGAAGGAACAGGTGCTCATTCTAGCCGGCGAAAACGATTCAAACATTGGGCCTAAGGAGGTCCTTGTTGACGTGCATATGAAAATCAAAGGCTCGAGATATGTGCTCATGAAGGATACGGGGCATATCCCTCCTCAGCACCAGCCTGCCGATTTTGAGAAGATTCTGTTGGACTTTCTGCAAGAATAATTCGTATTCACCTCGGTGTGTAGCATACGGATGGAAACGATATACTGTATATACTTGAGTTGAGAAGAGCTTAAGAATCCCCCGTTCGTGGGGAATGCGCCTAAGCCAGAGACCCCGGGTCATAAATTAGCGTCTTCAGGGTCTGGAGCACAATTAGTTAGAAGCCAAGGCCCCTAAACGCGGCGCGTATATTGCTTAGAAATGAAAGCCGCACTCCCTGCTGCATCAAAAGGAGAAACGGGTTGTCCATATCTTGCTAAATACCTGCTTCACAACACCCATGAAGACGACAAAATGGATCTTCGAGCGAAGTATTTATCTTATATCTCACGCATCAACTCAGGCCAATCTGCCTCTGGTGGACTCTCCGAGTTCGTTAATGAGGGTGTCGTCCACAATGACTCAGCGCCAATGTCGGTGGACGAGTATGCAAAGATCATTACCGATTCTCAAAGAGACCTTCCAGGATTATTCTTCGAGGTCGACATGCTGGTAGTCGAGGACGATGCGAGCCATCAAGCAACAGAAGGTGACGGTTCTGTCGCTGCCATCATCAAGTTGACGTACAATCCTACGCCGACCACGTGGGAAACTTTTCGTGAACATGTCTTCTACCGGCTTGAGCATGGGAAGATCTCGAGGGTTTGGAGTGTCCTGGACGGTGCAGGCTTGAAGTGGAAGGAAAAAAGGGATGCATTGGAACAGTAATCCCGATCACTGAACACTCTTGAGGCATTTGCGATCTCTTCCGAATCAAGGCACCCAACGAGCCCGATCAGCTCTGGACGCCGCACCGCGAGTACAGTATCTAGCCTAGACGTCGTCATTTGTTGGTCTCTTATTGGGTCCAGTGCAACGCGTCGTTTGAGGTGCCAAAACGGGAAGGATATCTCGAAGATCATCCCCACGCCTCGTCGGTCAGGCCTCCATTGCTGCCACGTTCTTACATGTTATAAGTACGTCGACTTGGGGCCATGGACCAGATGGAAAGCTTTCCTTCCGACCACAAATCAATATCGACATTCTGCTCAAACAGCTCCCGAGAAAGATAGACATCCACAATGTCAACCACAGCGACGGAGACAACTGCATCTACATCGGTGACACTCAAGAATGACAGAACCGTCCGTGCAGCCTTCAACTACTGGGGTAAGACCTCACCGCCAGAGGTAGCGGAACTGCATCCAATCTTCTCAGGCACATCCCCCAACCTGAAAACCGTCACATGCACCGTCGCTGACATTCGCACATATGGGCTATCGACTTTCAACCTGTCGGACCACGCTTTTCAGATATTACAACACTCATCCTCTCTGCTCTCTCCTGTGTCCCAGTCAATTCCCGACTTCCACGATGACTTAACAATGAAGTCAACCTATTGGCCCGAAATCATCTCACTGGTTAAATCTCAACTGGGCGTCCGAAGTGCTGCTGCCATCAACACGACGGTCAGAGATGTCAGCGAGGTCAATAACATAAGTAGTTCCAATCCACGGGCCAATCCCAAGCAAAAGTTCTACCCCTTCACCTTTGTCCACGGTGACTATACGCCCGCTGGTGGGAGAGGGCATATGAGGGCCATGCTCCCCACCTTTTTCGAGGACAATGGGAATGTGAAGGGCACAACAGCAGAAGAGCAAGACCAGTTCCTACGTCTGAAGGATGAGATCCTCGCCGCGGAGCAGGAAGCGATGAAGGAAGAAGGCGTGAGCGACCCATGGCAATGGAGTGGAAAGAACTACAGCGGTCCACGCTGGGGCATGTTAAGTGTGTGGCGGCCTCTTCAAACTGTACATCGGGACCCTCTCGCCGTCATGGATCCCAGGTCACTTTTCGAGGGTGTTGAGAAGCCTTACGTCGCCTTGAAGAGGCCGTACAAGGACAGACCAGGCTTCGAGAAGGAGTACTTCAGTGAGAATCTGTTGCCGATTGCGCCAGAAGGAAAGGAGCACAAGTGGTATTGGATCAGCGAGCAGACGCCTGAGGAGCTGTATGCCTTGAAACTGTTCGATAGTGAGGCGCATAAACAGGGTAGTCGAGTCGCGCCGTGTGCTGCGCATAGTGCGTTTAGGTTGCCGGGACAAGAAGATCAGGAAGCGAGGAAGAGTGCTGAGATCAGAGTCATGGTCATCTGGTAGGAATGCGGAAAAGGGTGGACTACTTGAACTATTTCGTTCATCCTGTATGCATTCATACCTCCTATGTTACCTCGGTAATAGTCATTTCTCTGAAAGCCGCAGTGAGGATGTGGTGGGGCTACGCCTGAATGCACATCTCATTTGATGATTGGGGAAGCGGAACCACATCTGGGGCTTCCCCAGAATCGCACGTCTTCGTCACCGTTGTGGTAGGATACTAGAGGACCAATCTTCGATGGTCATGTAATGTGCGTTTGGAAAGAACAACAGGGATCTGAGAACCTATGTGCCCCAGAATGTCCACACCCACCACCACCGAAGCTTTGGTCCTCCCCAGCATAAACGGTTCCCTAGCATTACGACCCGTCCATCTCTCAGCCCTACAGCCCGATGAAGCGCTCATCGAAATCCACGCAACAGGAATATGTCACACCGATCTCTCATGCATGAATGGCACACTCCCGGTCTCAGCACCAGCCGTGCTGGGGCACGAGGGTGCTGGCGTCGTTTTGGCCATGGGCCCGGCAGTCACGCATGTTTCGGAAGGGGACAAAGTCCTCTTGAGCATTAATCACTGTCGAACATGCACGAATTGTGTGGCGGGTCACCCGAATTACTGCGCTGAGGGTATGCCGCGGAACTTTGGCGGGAAGAGGGTGAGCGATGGGAGCGCAACGCTTTCGCTGATGCATGATGGTAAGGACGATCAAGGCCAGGCGCAGGGGCACCGCGAAATTCAAGCATGTTTCAGCAACTTCTTTGGACAGAGCTCGTTCTCGCGACACGCCGTGGTAAATGGCTCTTGTATGGTCAAGGTGCCCAGTGACACGAAATTAGAATTGTTCGCGCCGCTGGGCTGTGGCATCTCAACTGGAGCGGGAAGCGTATTAAACACGTTGAATGTCCAGGAGGGATCGACCCTTGCGGTATTTGGTGTCGGGAGCGTCGGACTGAGTGCAATTATGGTGGGAAAAATAAGAAAAGCTGCCATTATTGTTGCCATTGATCTGAATGATGCGAGACTGGAGATCGCACGTAAGGTCGGTGCTACTCATGTCGTGAATGGTAAAGATGAGGATGTGGTCGAGCGTGTGAGACAATGTTGTCCAGAAGGCGTGGCGTATGCTGTTGATTGCACGGGTGCTGGCGCGGTTATTGAGACCATGATGGAGTGTTTGGCCATAAGAGGCCGCGCTGCTCAGGTTGGCATCCCACCACCAGACAAGACGGTGTCGATCAAGATCTTGCAGCATCTGCTCCGTGGGCAGGAGTATGTTGGCTGTGCCGGAGGGGATTGCGTTCCGGGTGAGATGTTGCCTTTCCTCATGGAGCAGCAGCAAGCTGGGAGATTTCCGCTGGAAGAGATCGTTTCGTATTATCCTATCCAGGATTTTGCTAGAGCTTTCGAGGATTCGAGGTCGGGAAGGGCTGTCAAGGCTGTTCTGACCTGGACTTGAAAGTGAGAAATCGGACCTTTCACAAGGATACGAGCAACCTAGTCAGGGGTGGACAATTTCGATTCATATCTCACGACTCGTATTTCCCTGGCATCAGTTTCAGCGTCTGGCTTGTTCTTCGATCCTGCCTGTCAGCCCTTAGACCATCGCAACACCTACTTCCTCTCTGGAGTCCTTCGTGCCCATGTTACTGGTATCGTAGCCGTGTTCTTCCAGATATCTCTTGAAGCGCTCGTCCCCCTCCTCGATCATATCTTGTCCAACCTTGGCTTCGAAGCCCGAAGAATGCCACAATGGCGCTGAAGATGCACACTCCACTGCTTACCCAGAATGGGTATTTTAGGGCTTGACCTTGTCGTTGCCGGCGTCGTCAATAAGCAACAAGTTGAAACGTTTGACGGCGATGCAGCTTCGAACGATTGTCCCAGAGCTAGTGTTTCCGGACCTTGGCGCCTTAGGGCCCGCTTACGGATGGCGTTTTGACCTATGTTCCGCTAGCAGCAGCATCAGTAGAGCATATTGCGGTCCTCGTACCATGGTGGATTAGCATCTTGTTGATGGAAGGTAGGTGGACGCTGGCGGTCATCAAGGAGAAATAAGTTGTCATCTTTCAGCCTCGTTACATGACAAGGCTGACCCCAGCACGTGAGCTCGAGCTTGGCGGCAGGTCTGGCGACTATCGACTCCATGCTCCAAAAATTGTACGACCGAAGGACGAGGCTCACTCCTACGACATCAGTCGTTCTCATCAATTGAGCGAGGCAGCTATGGCGCACACATCCGCGACCCATAGTCTGCTGAATCTCGCTCGAGGCTTCAGTCGTCTCAACGTCGCTGATCCGTTGACGGTAAGGAAAGGCTGATAGACTCTTTGCGCATGGCTGACTTTCCGTAGCGATGCCTTGCACCACAATTATCGCGGCAATTTGCTTCTCAGACCAGTCTTCCCATCTCAGATATCACTAGATCGATCGACTCTGGAATTGACTTGTCTGGCGATTCGCCTTCGTCTCTCGAGCAACCTCACTCCGCCTCACAGTCCTCGTCCGCAAACACGAATACATATACCCTAGAGTCACCAATACTGAAGACGTTATACTCTTGGCCGAACCTTGAGCCTCAAACTTTTGCGTGGTATGGCCCCCGATATCTAGATGCACCAATGCGACGAGACATACTACACCGAGCGGTCATATTCGAAGCCGATGCGACACGACAAGGAACGGCGAGCACAAAATGGAGGTTTGACGTCCACGGTAGCAACCGAAAGCTCTATCGGCAGAAGGGAACTGGTAAGGCCCGTGTCCGTGACAAGAAATCACCCATCAGAAGAGGCGGCGGTGTTGCGTTTGGTCCAAAACCCCGGGACTTTTCGACGGAGCTACAAAAGAAAGTCTACAGCCAGGCCTTCAGGATCGCCCTGAGCTACCGACACCGGAAGGGAGAGCTAGTGGTGTTGAACAACGAGGTTTCAATGCCAGAAGAGAATGGATCGAGGTGGTTGAACAACATCTTTGAAGGAAATCACTGGGGCAAGGAGCATGGAAGGAGCTTGCTCGTCACAGGGACCCTCGAAGAGCAGGACCCTAGACTCTTTGATGCGATGGATGCGATCGGCGAACACGGGCTTCTCAAGGACACCCAAGACGTGGACGTAAAGGACCTTCTTGAGACTGGGAGGATTGTGATTGAGAAGCGGGCTCTTTTCAGATTGCTGACCAAGGATATCCGGTTTGAGCCTGAAGCACTGGACAAGCGCGGGAGAGAAGATGTTGTACAATATGTATAGTTGGATTCTTAATTGTGTTGACTCAAGCAATTTGTTGTGGTCCTTATTATTGTGCTCGGTATCTCGAACTAATGATATTGAGCTTGATAAATCAGTAATGGTGATGGGATGAACAGGTTGTAGGGTCTGCAGCGTCAAATACCATTGCACAGCGTCCATGACAAAGGCTTGCCAGCAATTAGTTTTCATTATCTCTATACTCATGCAGTGATATTGTAGCAGTTGCTGCAGGGGTCAGGATGAGGCTCGTATTTGTAAGGGAAGGGTCTGGATCGGATCGCTGCAGAAGTGTGGGATGCTTTTTAGGCTCAATTGCTCCGTGAACCTGCAGGAAGTGCCAGGTCAAACATTTCCATTCTTAGGCTGGACTCTAGGCCTTGTGAAGTTCTGATGTCACTTCTTCCTCTTTACAGGCTCTCGTATGGCCAAGTTCTGGCGGTTTTTCAACCCCACCAGAGAACAGCCCACGTTTCTATTGGGGTTCTCGCCCGTCGACGACGCATGTCCAATGCACTGCCATCAGTGACCAATGCCACTTGGCCGCGCAATACTTGGTACTGCCATGACTTCTAACCTGAGACAGTGACATATCGTTTGCTTCTCTATCCTTAGGTATTGTTAAGCAATACACCACACTCGTTTGTTATGCGGAGGACCTCGAATGCACGTAGACCAAGAGATTCGCCGCCTTTCCAACATACCAATTCGAACCCTTGAGATGAAGAACCACCGATGAAGCGCTTGCTCGAGTCGCTGCCTCCTGGCTCCCCAACTTTTAGGAACGGCCATCATGGCTTCGGATCCGCCCAGAAATTCCGAAGGGAAAAGCGGAAGTGATGATGGCGCCGGATCATTGGGCGCAGGGGATAATGGCATTGAGGGTCATGCGACGGACTCTGCAAAAGACGGTTTGCCCCAAGACACTTCTCCCACTGAAACGTCCAGAGTCCGCTTCTCTGTCGAGACATCTCGCGAGCCGCAGGATGGCCGTCCTCAAGACCCTGGCGCTGCCTCTCAGAAGCCCGCAGGCATCCTCAAGGCATCTTCGTATGGCCGGCGCCGAGGTTATTCGCTGAGGCGCACGCTCTTTTCACAGAATATCCAGAAACAGGACGCCGAAAATGAAAGTGACTATGAAATGGGATCCTCGACTGCCTCCATTGACGGCGACAGACCTGACACACCTGGATCTCCCAAACGCCATGCGAGACCGACCGTTGTCAGCATACAGGAAACGGAATCTGTCACAAATCCCGTACACCTGTCAGATACTGATCTAGAACTGCCCCTCTACCATCGGTGGTTGTCCAAACAACACTCGCGCATGACACTGCTGCAACGAGTGACGAAGCCTTATAAGCAACTGCGCGAGAGAATCGCGCAAGCAAACACCATTCGTCCTAGCGCCGATGGCAGACATGTCCGGGTAAGGGTTCTGCAATCGGAGGATGCCCTTGACGAGAGAACCGGCAAGCCCTATATCAACAACTTAATCCGCTCTTGTCGCTACACACCACTAAATTTCATTCCGCGACAGTTAATGGCTCAATTTGGGAAGCTCGCCAATTTCTATTTCCTCTGCGTTTCAGTTCTTCAAATGATACCTGGCTTTAGTACGACTGGTACCTACACAACGATCATTCCTCTGCTGGTTTTTGTCGCGATCTCTATGGCAAAAGAAGGCTACGACGATGTCAGACGACATCGTCTGGACAAGGAAGAGAACGAAAGGACAACCAAAGTCCTGAGTCTTGGCAACCTCTCGCAAGACAACGGGTTTTGCTCCGGTAGCGTGGTCTGGCAGGAAAAGAGATGGCGTGAGGTCCGAGTTGGCGATGTCGTGCTTCTGAAGAGGGACAGCGCGGTACCTGCAGACATTGTCCTCCTTCAGACCGATGAATCATCCAATACAGCCTTTGTCGAAACGAAAAGCTTGGATGGGGAGACCAATCTGAAGTCTAAAAAGCCCTTGGCTGATGTGAGTGCGACCTGTGATGCTCCAGATGACGTTGCAAAACTGGACGCCGAGTTCGTTGTACAAGACCCCAACCTAGATCTCTACAAATTCGACGGGAGAGTAACAATCGATAGCAAGACACTGCCCCTGACGAATTCGGAAATTCTCTATCGTGGCAGCGTGCTACGCAACACACCATCCGCCATGGGTCTTGTTATCTACTCTGGCGAAGAGTGCAAGATCAGAATGAACGCAAACAAAAATCCCCGGGTCAAGGCGCCGACTCTACAGTTCAAGGTGAACCGAGTCGTTGTGGTGGTTGCCTCCCTCGTCATCTTCATGGCCATTATCTTGACTGTGGCATACAAAATCTGGAGTCGAACGACAGCAGCCAAGGCTTGGTATCTTCAGTCTGCGGGTGTTGCCCTCGGCCATGTCCTGTCATCCTTCCTGATCATGATGAACACCATGTTGCCTCTGAGTTTGTACGTCTCGCTCGAGATAGTAAAGGTGGCTCAGATGTTCTTGATGAATGATGTGGACATGTATGATCCTGAAACCGACATACCCATGGAGCCACATACTTCGACGATCAACGAAGAATTGGGCCAAGTCAGCTACATCTTCTCCGACAAGACCGGGACTCTCACAAACAACACAATGAAATTCCGAAAAATGAGCATTGCTGGCACTGCATGGCTCCATGACCTTGACATTCAAGAGGAAGCAGCCGATGAAGCAGGCCGCGCGAAATTGAGGCATAAGAAGCGTGGTGGCAAGGGGAAGAATGTCCTAGGCCGCAAAAGCAAACAATCCGTCTCCAGACTCTCTCGCAAGTCCGGAGCCTCGAGTAGAGCTGCGGTCGAAAGGTCTGTAGTCCCCACCAACTATCCCGAAGATGTGCAATGGAAGGCTTCCAGCGGCATCGATATGACTTTGGAAACCGGCAAGACACAGGACTTGTTGGACTATATCTATCATCGCCCCCAAACCCTGTTTGCGCGAAAAGCCAGATTCTTCCTGTTGTCTTTAGCGCTCTGTCATACGTGCAATCCTGAAAAAGGCGACGACGGGGACATTAACTACCAGGCTGCTTCACCCGATGAAGCCGCCTTGGTACTGGCAGCAAAAGAACTTGGATATATCGTCACCGACCGACAATCCGGAAGCGTCACGGTGAAAACGTACTCGGACAATGACGAGGAGAACCCGGTCTTTGAGACTTATGAAGTCTTGGATGTCATTGAGTTCTCGAGTGCCAGAAAGCGGATGTCCATCATTGTGCGTTTCCCGGATCAAAGGATATGTCTTCTGAGCAAAGGTGCAGACAGTACTATTCGGAAGCTACTTCGACTCGCCGATCTGGCTGCCACGAGTGTGCAAGCAGTTGAAGAACGGGCGACGAATAGGAAGAGTGTGGAGGCACAAGAAGCCCTGCGACGAAAGAGCACGCAGTTAAGTCGCACTTCAAATTCGATTCATGCAGGTGATGTGTCCCCACGGCCAAGCAATGCCACCCTTGGTAGATCCCGCACCGCCAGAGACAGTATTGACCAGTGGTTGAGACATCGGGAGAACGATCCAGGGATGTCACGACCTCGTCATAGTTCACAATTCTACTCATCACGACCATCGGCTCAATTTGGTGCGCGAGGATCGGAGAGTTTTGGGGGAAGAGCACAAGTATCGCCTCAGACCAGTCCACGTCCGTCAATGCAAGACGACGATAATGATGATGAAGAGCTTGTAGAAGACAGCCTCGTTATCAATGACAAAACTGTCTTTGAGCGTTGCTTTCAACACGTCGATGATTTCGCGACCGAAGGTCTACGAACTCTGCTTTATGGCTGTAGATTCCTGGCCGAGGATGAGTATAAAAAGTGGAAAGACATCTACATGTCCGCGACGACGAGCATTGCGGATCGACAAGAAAAGATTGAGCGGGCTGCGGAACTGGTCGAGACTAAAATGGAACTTGTGGGAGCCACAGCCATCGAAGACAAACTACAAAAAGGTGTTCCAGACGCGATCGATCGCTTGCGCCGCGCAGGCATCAAGATGTGGATGTTGACTGGTGACAAGAGGGAAACCGCAATCAACATCGGGCATTCTTGCCGGCTTATCAAGGACTATTCGACAATTGTTGTACTTGACCATGAGCTTGGGAATCTCCATACCCGTATGGCCACGGCCTTTGCCGACATCAACGGTGACAAGACGGCGCATTCTGTCCTTGTTGTGGACGGTCAAACATTGACCATTATCGATGCTGACCGGGCTTCAAAGGCGCTTTTCACGGATGTGGCAATCCGAGCCGACTCGGTAATTTGCTGTCGCGCATCCCCTAGTCAAAAAGCATCACTTGTCAAGACGATAAGGAAGAAAGTCAAAGGGTCTGTGACACTGGCTATCGGCGATGGAGCAAATGATATTGCCATGATTCAGGAAGCACATCTGGGTATTGGCATCGCCGGCAAAGAAGGCCTTCAAGCGGCACGAACCTCCGACTACTCGATCGGTCAGTTCCGGTTTCTCCTGAAGCTGCTGTTGGTCCATGGTCGATGGAACTACATCCGCATTTGCAAGTATATCCTGGGCACCTTCTGGAAAGAAATGATGTTCTATCTTGTGCAAGCCATCTACCAACGGTGGACTGGCTATACCGGCACCAGTTTATATGAGCCGTGGAGCTTGTCCATGTTCAACACCTTATTCACCAGCCTGCCGGTCATCTTTATGGGAGTTTTCGAGAAGGACCTGGCGGCATCGACCTTGCTGGCTGTTCCTGAACTGTACAACATAGGTCAGAAGGATCGAGGGTTCAATCTCATATTGTACTTCTGGTGGGCAAGTCTCGCTGTCTGTGAAGCTACCATCATCTTCTTTATCGTGTATAGCATCTACGGGATGGCGCTATTTGGACAGGGTCAAGATTTGTTCTCACTGGGTGCGGTTGCCTTTAGTGGATGTGTTGTCGTTATCTCGCTGAAGCTGCAGTTCATCGAATTGCACAACAAGTCGGTGGCTGCTGCGATTGCGATCTTTCTGTCCGTGGGAGGTTGGTGCCTGTGGAATTTGATACTCTCGGTCATTTACCCCTACCAAGTGCTTTACACCGTGCATAACGGGTTTACGCGGCGCTTTGGTCGCGATCTGTTATGGTGGTTGACGTTGCTCCTCATCATACTTTCTGTATGCCTGCTGGAAGTGACGATCAAAGCCATCAGATCGGCAGTCTGGCCGACGGACGTGGACATCTTCCAGGGTCTCGAACAGGACCGGGAAGTGCGCAAACGCTTTGAAGAGGCGGCTGCCGACCTTCTTCAGCAGGGCTGGGATCGTGGCAGCAAGAAGTCAAGCCTGGAACTGGCCAGGGAAGTGGAGATACAGGCTGAAAGGGAGGCGCAGGTTCAAGAACTGCTGGACAGACCACGTGAGATGCACATGCGGAAACCATACCGGAGAGAAAATTCTGCCATGGACGTCAAGGACACCAGCGCTCAACAGGCAGAAGAGTCTCGAGAGATGGAAGAAGTGCCGAAGAAGTCACTGGACATTGGTGAGCTCTTCAGTAAAGGATTTGGCGCAGTCCGCAAGGGCCAGGAGTTACGATAAGCATGATCATGAAAAGAATACCCCATCAGTTAGTCCAGGATCCCATGATATATGATTTTTGGATGAGAAAACGAAAGCTACGGAATACAAAAAGGGACGGTTCGTCATCTGGAAAATATTATAATTTCTTCCCCGAAATTCGTCTCATGACAAATCAAGGACCTTCTTTCACCAGTGTTCATCTAGGGATTCTTTCTAATGGTGTATTTCTTTCCGCATGGTGCTACGACTTATAAGTCGACCGAAGCTACTGCAGGGACGGAAAATAATATTCCGCCAGTGCAGTGTACGCTTATGCATTATGCAGGTAAGCAATAGTGACGATGCAGGTCTCGCAGCTACTACAGTAGGTACATGGCAAACGATGGCCAAGGGACGGCAAGAAGACCTATTTCCACCTTTTCGAGTGAGACAATGCAGGTCTCCAGGGGAAAAGAGACAGAAACTGTCTGCACGTACCTCTTTCGCGTCTACTTGGTGGCAGCAGCACAGGCCTACTATAGCAAGTCTTTACTACAAACCACTTCTGCTTCGTACGCGAGTCATGCATACTCAGATGGCAAGTCACCTTGTATTGACTGGATCTGCAAGAGACTTTTCTCGAATTTGGGAACGGAGAATATTCGAGCCAAAAGAAAGAAGAAAACGCACGGCAAACCAGCCACCTCCTCAGGGGGTGTACAACGGTATAGTGAGGAAGATTATTCCCCATGGTGACACACTTTGTTGCATACGCGAGTTACACGATTCCGCAGTTTCAAAGGTTGCCGCTGTGTGTGGCACAAGGTTGTGCAGATCAGCATTGGATATGCCGACTTCCTGTCTGGCCGTTTTTGATGGAGAAATATCATCACTGTCTGATGGATGTCGATCGAGATTCGATGAGGTAAGTGAGTACTATCATACTATGGTATGATCCCAAGGCTTGGTAAGGTATAACCATATGCAAAGCTTCGTTTTAAATGACGGCTCGGCAAGCAGTGGCATGTGGCATGTCAATGAGATCAGACAGCATGTTCTGCAGGCGGACGCAACGTCGATGACAGCAGAATGACAGCTGTTCGTTCATTTCCCGGAGACGAACCTTTTGAGGGGAAGGTTGCAGAGCCTCGTGAACGAAGAATATCGAATGCGTTGCACACAGTATCATGAGCACATTATACGATTTGCAGTTTGCACCTATTCGCATTCGCAGAAGGCGAGTCGGCAACTTGTTTCGTCCCTTGCTCAGCCCCTGAATATGCCCGATGCGGCGATGAACAGTCTTGAAAGGCTCATCACGCGTCGTGTTGTGCTCACGCTGGTGGATCACAGCCAAGACTGTCCAGGGATCGTGCTTGTTTCTTGATGGCGTCAAGCCTCTGAAGGATCTCTCCAATGACACTTGATCGGGACCTGACGATGCCGCTTGTACCTGGAGCCTTACTCGGATTGTTCTAGTCGCCAGACCAGGGGAAATGCAAGCCACCCCGGCATCGGTCGCACGCCGTTGCAACTCTCAGGACAAGCTGCAAAGATCCTCGTCCTTCTCATGAAGATAATTCCACCGACAGGACAGAAAGGTGCCACAATTTCTCAGTCCCTGTCGCAGACTCGCCGCCGGCGGAAGACATGCGGCGCTATTCCAGGTCAGCAACAACCAAAGACTAGGTGCCGTGCTCTCCACCTCTCATCCCTCGAACACCTCCACTATGGAAGCCCTTCTTCCATTTCTACCGCGTCGCTCTCTTTGCGGCTTTTGCTCGAGAGAAATTACGCAAAGACCCGTTCGGTTTTGATCCATGCATTGGCCTCTCTACTCCTATCTGTCCCTATCGGTGTAGCTTGCACTATGACTGCAGCGTCAATGCTCAAGCTGCCTCGTGCTTAATTTGCTGCCATCCCTGCCAATTATCCTGTCGCGTCCGAATGCCATTCGACAACAGACCCCATTAGCACGGTGTGCAATGATGGAAAACCCGACATCATCGGATAGGCGATAACCATTGTGATAGTAGGGGTTCATCGTGCCTCTCAGGAGTCTCAGCAGCAGTGGCGAGCTCCATCCTTTGGAGGCTGGTAGCGCCATCCATCTATGCACGGCATGCCTTCGCCGGTCAAACTGTCGTGCTCGCTTCGACCTTCAGGCAAACAGGCGACTTACAGTAGTACGGAGTGCGGTAGAAACGATGAATCTCAAACATGTGCAATGTTCGAGGCACGAAAAGACACAAAACAACCTTTACGTTCGTGAGACATTGCTTTTTCGACACGCAACTGGCTACTATGGTGTTTAGAGGCGCACCAGGCTGCCCAATGCCGTCCGTGAGACACTACTCGTAAGGGCGTCAAGAAGCTCACCGTTAACCGACTCTCTTCCCAACTGCGCCTGGAATCGCGTTGGTTGGGCGAATCATAACCGCCGTCATTCTTGTTATGACGGAGGATCTGACGGCTGTTTCTCGAGGCTGTCCAATCCGTCGCGCTCCCTTGCAAGTTGCCACAACACCATGGGAAGATCTCGAGTTTTTCTATATCATTGGTGATGGCGTACCAGATTCAAAATTGAAGCGGTTGTAAGAGCATTGTTATACGAGGCTCTGCACAGCCCGATTTCCAGAAGCATCTTGTTGCACTGGTCCATGGTAAATGGTCGGGTGCAGTGATGGTCGCGGCGTCCCTTTTACGGGGTAAAACACGAGACGCGATTCAAGTGGTCGGTGCACTGATGATTCTGCAAAGCCCAAAGCTCCTACCCCCAACGTTAACGGGCTCTAACAGATTGTGGCTGTGAACCTTGAAAATAGGTGCTGGCGGCTGCAGATAAGCGTGACTTTGTGTCTCGGACGCGTGCCAGAACCATGGTCAAAGGGCAAATCCTATTACCATGGTACTGTACGGAGTATATCAGAAATGATTCTATACCGTCGACCAAGTCCTCTGCTATTGTATTCTGCTCAATGGCAAATCGTCTTTGCCAGAAGAGGGCTGGGTCCGGTCAGGGATCTTTGTTTTTGTTGCAAAAGCGCGTGGTGGGTGAGACCGGACAGGCTCTCACCCATGTTGTGACATGGGGTGTTTTGACTTGGTGGTCAGTCGTGTGGTAGAGGGCGTTTTGGCGCGTCAGGCCTTTGTGGAAGCTCCCCTAGGTTGTGGCCGGTGCGTAGGAGCCTCATGGTCGGAACCCCATTCATTGGATGGATGTCCACGCTTAGAGACCATCCCTTTAACTAGACACGGCTAAAAAGGCCACCCAGCTCCACCTTGACTAGGAGGCTTGTGCTTTGACTTTTAGGCTTGACTCGGTGGTACCTGCATTAACTCACCCAGCGGCCAGAGGCCAGACGCCCGCCCATTCAGGATCCCTCCTGCTCACTCCACCCGATGGTCCCTAAGCTTCTCCCTTATTGTACTCTCCGTCTCCTCTCGTGCCTCTTGTCTCTCTCTTTTTCCATCCTCACTGTCGCCCTTGACCAGGTATTCCAATCTTTTTTTTCTTTCGTTATACCTCTCTCACCACAATTCTTTCTTTACTTGTTGCTTCATAGCCTCGCCTTCGAGCGTGCCTTTCACTCTTTCAAGGCCCTCGAACCACATTCCTTAGGCTTTTGCTTTTCAACAAACCACATTTTCAACTATCTACGGTCTTTACCACCCCTTTACCAACACAATCTACAAACCAAGTCGACACGACGAAGTAATTCTCCATCTGGCTGCCTGGATCAGCTATTCGAAGAACTCCTTTCCATATACCACCGTACAACACCGACGATTGCCTACAATTCGAGACCCAACTTCCAACGTAGAGCATATTCGAAACCACACCCCGTCACGATGGATCTCTCATCAGATCCCACCGACTTCATTGACTCTCCGGAGTCAACTCCCTCGCCCATGGCCACCCAAACCACACCAGATACTGAAGGCAGCTCCACCTCGGCCAACACTGGAGGTCCCAACTCCGCAGCTCGTCGTCCTCCACGAAAGAGCACCCTGACGCAGCAACAGAAAAACCAGAAGAGACAAAGGGCAACACAAGACCAATTGGTGCTTCTGGAAGCAGAGTTCAACAAGAACGCTACTCCCACTGCCGCCACCCGTGAACGTATTGCTTCGGAGATCAACATGACCGAACGGTCAGTTCAGATCTGGTTCCAAAACAGGTATGCCCTCCCTTAGAAAGACCTTCTAAGCAGCTGCTAACCGATGTGCAGCCGCCGTCGCGCGAAGATCAAGATGATTGCCAAGAAGAGCATAGAAAACGGCGAAGACTGCGACAACCTCCCCGAACCCCTGAGACAGCTGCTTGCCATGCAGGCCATGGAAGCTGGCAGACCCTTCCCCGGACAGCTCCTCCGTCGTCCAGGTGGCCCAATGGCACAATATGGGAGTGGCGGCATGATGATGAACGGTGATCCTACTGCTCAGGGCAAAGTCGTCATCCAACACTTCACATGTCGATCCTTGAGCATTGGTACGTGGAGACGTGTTGGTCAAAACGCCATGGATTTGGTCATCTTCTACTCTCCCGACAAAGCATGCATCACCTACTACATCAACAACGACTCGGCTGGTTACAAGATCGAATTTCCCTTCGCTTACATCAAGAGCATTCAGTTGGAAGCTGGTGACACGGCTCCAAATGCAAATGGATCTCCACCCCGACCCGGTGGCCTTGTCATTGAATTGACCCGACCACCCAACTTCTTCATGGACTCGTCCAACTCTGGAGGCTTCTATCAATGTGGTGACTTTACAGAAGATCAACAGGCATCCCACGTCTTGACTCATCATCTTGGAGGACATCCCAAAGTGCTAAGCGGGCAACTTGCCAAACTGGTTTCTCTCGAGTCATTCCAGAACAGACATAACCCCTTCGACATCCACGCCATGCCAGCATCAGCGCCAGTCTCGCCTAACATGGGCATTGCACGACCTGCGTCACAACCTCAAGTTCAATTCGCCAGACCTCATCCTCCCCATGTCGGTATGTTCCAAGAACAGTTCGGCATCAACCATAACCTTCACCCGGGCCGTATGCACCCTGGTCACAAACGCCAACGAAGTCGATCCGTACCCATCGCCCTCGACTTCTCAATGCTCCACGGGCCGATGCCTACTTTCCATATTCAGCAACCTTCTCCTCAGCTGACTCCTGGTCCTCATGACCTTTTCCACTCTATGCCACAACAACATATGCAAACTCCAATCGGACCAACGCTACAGATCGACACTTCTGCCGGTTACGGCATGGACTTCCGCCAAATGCCCATGTCGGCGACAGCAACTTCACCCTCGGAATTTGCCAGCCCCGGTTTCTTCCCTTCCAATTCAGCTCACGGCCCTATGACTGCTTCTGATTTTGGCACCCCACAGCAGTTTAACATGCCATTCCTCTCACCTTCACCCATGGTCGACGCTCACCTGATGTCATCGTCCATGTCTCCAATGCCACATATGGGTCATGCTGATCCTGTCATTGCTGATCAGTCTCCGCCATTAAATGCACTGCACCGTAGTGCATCGGCTGACATGTTCAGCCGGGGCCATGATCACCACGGATTGATGGACGAGACATTGATGCTTCGCGAGATGTACTCGAAACAAAATCTCAACATGCCCATGCCCAGTCCTGGAATCGACGAGCATGGCATGATGATGATGCACGACATGTCCGAGTTCCATACCCCGATGGAGCATATGGACATGTTCATGACGCCTTCTGGCACAATCGATCCCAACAACCTACAAGCTGGTCTACACCACTAAAGTTGACGGAACGAACTTCCTGTAACAGTTTGAATGACCTTGATGCCTTCCCTAGAAATCTTTCCTGTTTCGCTACAAATTGGAATTATCAGATTTCAATTCAGTCAGCACTGTCCGGACGGCGCCAACCCTGTTATATATATCGATCAACTTTCCTGTTAGTGTGCGCGGCCATGGTTGCCCGCTGTGAGATGGCGTGGATAGCTGTCCACTTCTGTTCTTGCCTTTTTTCCAGTTTGTCTAGTCACGCGGTTATGCATCAGAAACGACTTTGGTTCGCGCTGGTTTTTGGTTCTGGTAGTCTGTTGGTGGTAGATTGCAATTTTGGCGAGTACAAAAAAAGCATCGAGGGAGAACTTGTCCATATGGGTCCAAAGGGCTTTTGATGACCTGCGCCTGAGAAGCAATTTCCTGGTGAAGCATGCTTTGTGGAATTGTCCTCGCGGCATGGGCAGAAATTCTGGGTGGTTGATAGCAGCACAGGGCAGGTTAATTTATTTCCAGCCAAACCATCATTTCCAAACTGTTGAAGTGGGCACTTTTCGGCTTCTCATCATTATTGAAGACCTCGAGGCGGTTGTGCTCGACGGCTTCGTGTCGAGGTGAATGTTGTTGCTGGTGCGTGGGAAGCATGTCTCTGCCTGAGCAGTGAGGCTGCCATGGACTGATTTGCATGAATCTTGAGCCTTGTTGAGCCTGCCGACGACATGTGATGTGAAGGAAGGTAACAAGCAACAAAAGGATGGAAGGGATTCATGGAGCAGCAAGGGCGAGATGTTGGACTAAATGTGTTTTCTTACAGCTTTCAGCTCTCAATGGACTAGTACCATTTGTTTACCATAGCGGAGAGGAGTCAATTTGATAGTGAAATTTGTTACTGCTCTCTCAAAGATTGGTGTAGCCCCAAACAATCTGTTGCACGAGATTGAGGCAAGCCACTGCCTAAGTAGCCCTGGGGCACTGTGTAGGTGGCATAAGGGAAGGGCTCCCTAGGCCCTCTTTGAACATTCCAGAGATCCACAGTGTTAAGATTTCAGCCTCGTTGAGGAAATTAACGAGGGGAAAAGCTATGCCAGCTCTGGACCTCTGGTATAATCTGTAGATTGCTAGTCTCCTGTAAGTTATGATTACTGGGTGGGAACAACTTCGTGTAACTGAGTGATCCGTGGACCGTGGACCGTGTGAGAGAGGCTATCTAACTAGTTACTGCTGTTGCTGTTGCTGTCGCTGTCGTGCGAGAATGGCTTCCAATCTGTTTCCATTCCTGTCGTGTCGTGTTAGTTACTTGAGTTCTCTGGCAGAGATACTGATGGACAAGGACACACGAATCTCCTATCGCCCCATCAACCAGCACTCACCTAACCTGGAGCGAAGAGAGGAGATCAAAAAAAACCCATTCTCATTGCGTGTGCTACATTGCGAGATTTGTTGCTGAACACCGCCACGCCACGTTGGATTCGTAATCTCAAACCCCATCTTTCAGGCGCAAATCTCGCAAAGTCCAGCTCATGTTGGGACGCAGCCTGCGCCTCTGGTCCAAGGCTCTAATGGTCTGGTTGATGGGTTTTGTTAGAGTTGTTGATTACGTGTCATCTACGACTGTACTAGTACGAGGTGTTAAACAGGTGAGTACCGTCGGTCGTTGTTGCGAAGAGCACTGGCAGGAGGACATTGCACGGCTCTCAGCACTCTTCTTCGCTGCCACAACCTGCCGGTTTTCTTGCACTATGGGAGCATTTCTCTGGGTTTCCAGCATCATGACGACCGCCTGCGATGGTTGACTGGCTTGTAGTCCGGTCCATGCGGCGGATGGAATTCATCGGGGCTGGCGTTGCTCTGCAGTCTCCTTTGCGAGGGGACCTCAGTGAAGAATTCATCGGCTTCTGCCTCATCTTCAGAAGCCCTTCTGCGCTCCCGGACTCTGTGCTCCTTCGAATATCGTCCACCAAAAAAGTGATGCAAAAACTCTGCCATGAACCCCCGACGAACAGGGGTCATGGTGAGGTAAAGTCGGGTTCGCAGGCCTGCCGCCTCATTCACACTGGTTCGCTTCGACTCGATCGATCATCGGACCCGGGTTCGCAGGGTCGAGGAGAACGTCGAGATGTCAACGCATTCTAGCCCGATGCTAGTTTGATGGCTTCCAGAAGAAAGCCCAGATAAGACCCAGGACTTGTTGCACTGCGACGAAAGATGCGCGGGCTGGACATATCAACGGTTGAAAAGGGGCGGTATCACAGAGATGCTCTATGGTTGCGTGGTCGACGACGGTGCGGCAAGGTTGAATTTGTGATGAGGCCAATGCCGGCTCGGGAGCTTGCTATCTTCTGGACGGCTGGTTCATCTGAGGCCTGATGTTTTCTTCCTCGAAACCCAAAGTGAGTCGCCCCGATGTCTCCTGAATGTTTCAGCAGTTTCTCTCTCGTTCGAGTCCGGAATCCAGACAATCTTGCAGAACCTCCGAGGATCAAAGTCACCGCATACCGCGAAGTTGGGGCCAGTCAATCCGGGTCCTGACCAGATTAGGCCGGCATCTAAAATTCTTCCTCCTTCGCCTCCTCGATGTCAACTACGACACCAAGCTCTTCGGCCAATGTCTTGTCAATAGCATCCATCAACGTCCGAATCACCCTGTCATCATGGTACGCAGCATTCCACACAACGTGAATATTCAACCTCCCTCTGAACGTCCACAGTCTCAACACGATCCCTGGAGCAAGCGGATCAGCCCACCCGTCAAGATCCTTGACCGTGATGGCCCCGTCTCCGTGCTCGGCAACGATGATCTCTCCGTCCAACAGGCCCAGACCCGTGAACCATGGCACCGAAGCAGGTTGGTCTGGCGGCGTTTTGACGTCCATTTGAACGACCTGGGCACTGATTTCCCACGCGTCTTCGTAAAGCCATCTCTCTTGATCGGCGAGCTGGTATTGGCCGCGCAGATTCTGGGCGCGGGTCAAGAAGTCTTGACCTGGAGGTAGGGTCAACATGAGCATCTGAGCGGCGCTCCAGCAGCCTTGATCACGGAACGGCGATGCATTGGGAAGCCGCGTGCGGACCTGTGCCGGCATCAGGGATGCGTAGTTGCGTTTGCGCTTGGCAGGGTCGTCGGCCAAAGCCCATACGGCGCCGAGGTAAGCCGAGTGGATTGCCGATGTGATTGAGATACCCTTCGCTTTGCAGCCACGTATGAGGCTCGATGTCGAGGATGGAATGTACAGGCGTCTGTGCACCTTGACGGTTGAAAAAGGGTCGGACTCGTCGCCTTGCATGGGAAAGTCGATGCACGGGAGTTTGGAGTAGTAATTGTCAAAGTGCTTTTCGACGCGAGCTTTGGACTCGGGCGTGGTGGTTGCAGTTGGCATGAGCATGTCCTCGACCGCGGGTGTCAGAAGGGGCACCTCGCTTCCAGGCGTGTAGTCGGACAAAGCCTCGCGGGTTTTCGTGCCCGTCAAAAGGTCTGCCGCGTAGTCGAAGACGTGATTGACAATTTTGAAGGCGCCGGCAGCTTCGGTCCGCCAGTGGCTGATGTATAGAATCAGGGTACCGTTGAAGGTTTCGTCATTTGTAGAGTAAGACAGGACCTGGCATATTGGCAATAATTCCAGATGCTGTTGCATGGCTCGGATAGCGCTTTGTACGGATGCTCCTGATGGAGAGACGATGAAGGTACGGTCCAGCCATGCTTCGAGATCCGCGGGAGAAGGGATCTGGTATTGCTTGACCTCATTGGTCACTGTAGTGGCTATGTCCGGAGACTTGAGCAATCGTAAAGCGATCCAGGCATCTTTGAGAGCCTGTATGACTTTATGAGGTGCATGCCGCGCAGTGAGCTGGGCGATGGCATGGATTTTGATCGGCTCGCGAGCGAATGGTCGTTCACTTGTGACAATAGAAGCTAAGCCCGCTTCCGAGCCCCTTAGTGGACGTTGGTAGAGGCCGGGTGTGCTCTGTGTCCATGACATTTTGATGGACTTCTGCAAGGAAAGTATCTCGAGCAGGGCTACAGGTGACCTGGTGTGTAAAGTCCTCAATGCCGTGGGGGAAGACGAAAGACGATTATAACATTGAGTTTGGGGAGATGGGAATTGTATTTATAAACCGCAACAGATGCAACGCGGACCAACTCGTTCCAATTCGAGTTGCCTAAAAGGGGTATTCGAGACTGCAACGCTCATAAGAAAGCATCAAGGTCAAAATTTGGTCAAGATTCCGATGATCCCATGGACTCTGCAGCAACGACAATAAATATCTGTTCCGGTGCGCTCAAAGCAATGAATCTAGTGTTTGCTCGATTGAGCAGATTGGATTTGGAGGAAATCCATCTTTTTCAAGTATTTGCCTTCTCCAGCCTTCGTGACTCTTTGGTCATCACATGAGTACATCGACCTAGAACAGATGCATCATGTGCATCCAGTCTTCATCGTCATCACCTCGCTCTAACATGCATGCCGCTTTCCTGGCCTGTGGAATCTTCAGCTCCTTGTCGATGAAATCCAATCGGTCAATCACGAATGGACGTATAGGGCTTGACAAGCTGACGCTACAAGCAGAGTTGAACAGCGGCCAAATGAGGAAATAGGCAGATGCGATAGAAGGTCTGGACTGCGTCCGGCTGAGAAGCTCTCCCTGTGGGACGAGAAACTGAGAGGACGACTGGCAGATTTCGACCGCTGTTGACTCGATGGCCTGTGAGTACCGCTCACACTGGGCTTTCAGCTCTGACTCTTGTGCCGCATAACGGTGCATGATCTCATAAAGACTGATCCTTGTCATGCGAACAGTATTCCACGTCTGCGCAATTCGGTGGTTTGGATAGATATGATATTTGTTCTTGTAGACACCGCGGATGTCGCGAGTGGTGGTGACAACGTCATATTTCCAGGCCAGGAGATCGAGCTCTTTCCACATCGACATGATTTGGCCATCGACGGCGCTCGCCCATCGGATTATTTCGGACGGATCGGTCAGCGAACCTTCCCGTATCGATGCTCGGAGCTCAGCGTATGCTGCAAGGAGCAATGAAAAGCGGTTGCGGGCAGTATACTGCTCGACAGGGAAGCCACCTGATGAGTCGAACATTAGGACACTGTTATGTATCCGGGTATGCTGTTGTACACAGAGAGCACTGATGATACTCGTGATATGATGATTAAGCCGGCCACTGAGTGGTGAGCTGCTTGTATGCCTAGGACGGGTGGTGAACAGGACCAACGCGCCTTCCACGTGACGAGTCCACGTCAGGGACGGTGAGTATGTCGATACGGCATTGGCATGAGGCCTGCCGTAGCCTTCGACTATATCTGCACTGGAAAGTGCTTCGAAATGAGCGAGGAGGAGTATCGCCGCGAGCACGTCGTCTCTGGGTGAGGCATCAGGACTTGCCAGCGTGAGCTTGGTGTCTTTGAGACTTATCGAGTATTGTTCTCGGGCAAGCATCATGAAGTCGGGATTGCGCGTTTCATGACTGAGACTAGCAATTGCAACCGCCTTGATGGCGCTGAATAGGAGTGAGTCAGCCGAGCTTTGGCTGTAAAGAGAAGGTAGATAGTCAAAGTGACTTCCTGGGATGTATTGTGCCAGGAAGAAACTGGTAGCGAAGTCCGAAAGCGGCTGGGTGGGTTGGGTGGACAATAGGCAGAGATCACTGGTCGAAGTCATAGTCTGCTCCTGTCCAGGCAGAGTAGCCAAGGCTTTGTAGTCAGGCTTGGCCGGCGTGCGGCTGACCGACAACGAGGAAGACGAGCGCGAGATTGAGTCGCCGACACTGCTTTGTGGGGTGCAGCTGGAGCCACGACTATCCCCGGGTTTGCTGCGGGTGGTCACCTCGTACTTTTGTTGCACGCGCTCGCTCTCGTCTCGGAACATGAGGTCAACTTCGTTGCGATAGCCGGGGCACGATCGAGATGCATTCCGGCATTGACCGCAGCTGGGTGTCTTCCGATCGCACTGTTTCGTTGGTTAGTATGGTCTTGTCCCAGGCCCTTGATCGTGTTCAAATCACCTTTAATCTCTTCTTCCTGCAATGACCACATCCTTTCGAAGGCTTTCCGCAGTAGACCATTTTTAAGTTCGATTTCCTAGAAGACTGGAGTGTTGCAGCAGTTTTAAAGGGACAATCACGAAATCAGTGCGGTTTTGGTGTCCTGTCCTTCCAGGCCTGAGGATCCCACGGTAGGTATTTTGCTCGTTTGGCGTTAGGCACTCAGCGGCGCAGCGCATTCTCCATGAGACGGTAGCACTCAGTTGATCGTGTATGGTAAGTGACTAAGCGATATCCTGTATCATCCGGCATTCTTCAAGGCTGTTAAGTGGGGAGGGGTCTTCTCCGTATCACCGTACCTCGTATCAGTGACAATCAGACGAAAGGCGTGATCGTACTTCGGCCACACCGTAGCTCCATCATGAGGAGCGCGCGATATATTTGCCAGGTTGAGTTGATGGGCAATGAAGGCAGAGGGAGCGGCAGAGAAAGGGCGCAAGAGTGACGTGGATGGTCATTATAACCGGCATACTGACTAGGCCGAATGCAGTATGCAACTCGCCATTTCGTCTCCACTGTAGTGATTTAAGGCCTCCCTCTGTTCTATCGTCATTCCTACGATTGGCCATGACTTGCAGGGCATCGATACCGTAGACCTAATGACCATGATGCGAGATGATTACCTTGTCCGAGTACGACATTAGGGGAAGAAAGCGATTGCGGGATCTGAGCCGCCGTCGCGGGTCCGGGTCGGCTGCAGCGACGTTGAGGTAGGGGACTGAAAGAGCCTTTTAAGCTTCCTGTAGCTACACCACGAGGCTGATGATACATGTGTAATAAATCAGAACATTAAGTAAGTACATATCGAGATCTAATCCATTGCGCCCATGCCCCATTACCAACCGGATCCAACATCGTTGTCGCTCAAATGAGATTTGCCCAGAACATAGAAATCCTACCCAGACACCCCCTGTTAGTACAGTCAACATCAGACCAAAAGCTGTTCCCCATGCTTCACACCCCAGGCTGTTCATGCCTTTGCTGCTCGCTTAGAGCATAGTGTTGCTGGGGGGCTCCGTCTCTTCCATGCCATGATCGTTGATTTTCCCTACCGAAATCCCCTGTGGGTTTCGGAACCATCAGTCCAGCTGCTAAGTAAACAAGCACGACGACCGCCTCCTGCAAGGTTTCCATCACAAGTGCAATTGTCGTTGAGCTGGCAGAGCCGGTCGAAGGATTGAACTTCGCATCGTGCGAAAAAGCGGCGAGTAGTGAATAGAGGACTCGAACGGCCAAGAATGGGAGCGTGACACAGACTGCAATGATCAGACGCGACTCGCCGAGACCAGTGAGTCTCCACTGGCGAAGCGCGTAGCCAGTGAGCAGGACCAATAATCCATAGACCACGGCAAACAGGATGATGCCGATATGAACTGTTGATTCTGAGAGGATGTCTGCCGGACTCTTTGCGTCTGCGGCGCCCACAATGCAAAGTATCAAAGCGACCGTCGCAGGTATCTGTATCGCTCGGACCACAAATGAGAACTTTGTTCTCGCAGTTTGGTCCAATATTGAGTGGTATCTATACATGATTCGATTAGCAGACGTAAAATCTCGGGGAGAAAGAGATCATACACTCTGGTCAGGATTCCGAGAGTTGACAACAGAAGGGGTGATAGTCCGAGGACAGTGCAGATAAGAGCGATAGTCTCCGGAGTCTTGGGGTTGTTGTTGTTGATTGTGTCGAGCTGGGCGGCCGATCCAATAATGCGAATGAGACAAAATAAGGTCAAGAAGATCCATCCAAAAGATCTTCTGGCGCCATGCTTGGCTATAACGACAACAGACACAAATAGAGCTGGGACATAGTATGCCAGTCTTCCGATGGAAACACCGTCGGAGTAAGTGATGTGAACCATTATGCTTTAGAAAGGACTTTTTAAGATGATGAAAGACTCTGTATGAGTTTGCGGTGCTGCTGTGATGATAGTGAGGTCCATAGTTGAAGCAAAGCATTGTCCTTCTTATACTTCAAAACCATGTCGACCAGATGGTATTTCAAGATCAATGACTTACCTGAGAACGGCGCATCTCGCGAGAGCGCTGCCCAGAGCCTCAGCTGAGTCAAAAAATGGCCGCATACCAACTGAGGGCAAGCCAAAAGTTTGGTGCGAACGACCATCTCAAAGACTATGAAACTGAGGGAAGCTCGCGGTCCTCACCGATTTGGGAGCGCACCTCGGCGCTGCGTCTGCCGCAGATTTGGCAGGTGCACATTGAGATGTCGAAACAATCGGGGGCAGAGCAGCGCTGCCCAGTTAGGAGACAAAATTGTCTTTCCAGATCGACAACCAACGTTCCACCCAGCGGGCTGGACGGCGCGTGATGGGAGGCGCAGAAGCTGGCGACAGACGATTGCTGGTCAGTAGTAGGTACGAGTTATCACTCGTACAAGACTCTAAGCCTCCGAAGTGCATGCCGGGAAGAGTAAAGCGTCAATGTATGAGGTGGCTGTACTCCGTACAATCGGTTTCGGGATGGGGAATCGTTCTTCCAGTGCTGACAAAGAATGCAGGTCAAGTCGCTTTTCCCCTCTTGCTTCAGCCTTCTGTCTCCTTGTACAGTACTTATGCTCACGAGCAGATTGCTGAAATCAGAGACGTACCTCGATGGTGGCTCGCCTTACCCCATGGAGGTTCCATAGTCACCGTGAAACGGAGCCTGCCACAATACGTGGCCAACCAGTTGCTGCGGTAAGCCCGATTGATGCTTTAAACTGTCTGCCTGCTGCAACATTCCCGTCACAGAGTCCGAGCAGGCACCCAAGAATCCGACGCAGCAAATTGGGGTTACGCCAACCCCTAGAATATCACCCCTCGGGTCGCCTAGCTGAAGTCGGTATCGTTCTCGTTTTCGCTGTTGAGTGAGTGGGTCGTTTAGCGTAGCTGGCTATGCAATGTTTATGTGACCTTGAAGAAGCCCTCTCAACATCAGATATATAAAAGCACTCTCCAGGTCGTGGAATCATGGCTCATCAGCATCTTCTATCCAGCAAGAGAACACAGTCAAGAAGCATCAGTCAAACCAACCCTGTCACTCCACCAACAAAACCATCTGACATACGGAAACCATCTTTCACCATGGGTCTCATCAAAACAGCAATGATCTCGGGAGCTGCTATATACGGCATCAACAAGCTCGCCAAGACAGCCGAACACCGACGTGAACACCCAATGCCTTCCCAGAGCGAGTATCGTGATGCTCGTTCCCAGTCTTTCGCCGCACCTGAACAACGTGGTTCCCACTACCCTGAGCAACAGTCATATGGCCAAGGACAAGAGAAAGGCCAAGCTCAGGGGCTGCAGTTCGAAGACCGAGGAATACATCAGCAACAGTCTCAGCAACAGTCTCAGCCACTGTCTCTGGAGAACAATCCTACCTCTGCACTTCCTTGGGGCTACAGTGACAGAGAGTATGCATATGCTGCTGAAAACCGTCGAGCATCACCCACGGGTTATAATGAAGCACCACCTCATTATCAGAACAGCTATATCCCTGCTAGATCACAACGACAGTCAGGCTTTGTTCAGTCCGAGGAGCTTTCCGATTCAGACTTGTATAATCAGGGCAAGTCTAGTGGGGGAGCCGCGTTGCTGAGTACCCTTGCACAACAATTCATGGGGAGTGATGGCGGGAACCACAAGGGAAAAGACGTGATGAAGATGTTCTCTAAATAGATACTCGTCGGACGCGCAGGACGGGGAAAACTATGTTGGAGTGGACAGATTGGAGCTGGCAGCTCTTTCGATTTCGGCTTGAGGATGCGACCTGCTTTTGTGTGGCGTTCGGACATTGCTTTTCTGCGAGGGCGGCGATGGCTTTTGTTTCTGGGATACAATAAATGTACTGACCTTTGGCATGGAGGTTGCTTAGATTTCCAAAAGACTGTAGTCATTACCAATCGTCGAACTTGCGCGACTTGTGACCGGTCGTGTCTCTAGCCAACTCCCCATATCCCGAAGGGGTCTTCCGCTGCGCCTTCTCGGGTCTGTGCTCTCTCGCTCTGAAGTCGCTTGGCCCTTTTGGCAAGGAAGCCCAGGCTCACGGGCCCTATGATCGTGCAAAGGAGAATTGCCCAGGTCACAATTAGATAGATATCTGATGTCGAACTTGCACCTTCAGTCGAATCCTCCTTGTCGTCCCTTGAGTTTGCCGTGGAGAAGATACCATTAGTTGCAGCAACGGCCGAGATCAAGAAGCCAATCTCGCCACGAGCAACCATTGCACATCCAAGGATGGCCGCAGGATACAGGGACTTTGGACGAGGCCATGATTTTTGTCTCGTGCTTTTCGTCTTGTCCTTGTTCTTGGTGGAGGGTGTCCCCATCTGCGGACTGAAACGAACGAGCCAAAATCCACAGCACACTTTTCCAACGCACATCAAAATGGCGTAAATCAACCCCCGCCACACGATGGACGCTCGAAACATCCTTGATATTGGGATGGAAAAGCCAATTGAAGCCTATCACCAAGAGTCAGCGGTGCTGTTCGAACAGAGTCTCAGCATAGCAACACTGACGAAGAAGAGAGGTTTCAGTATATGCTCAACTGCTGGGGCATAATATCGGCTGTACATGCATATGCTGCTACGCTCGGGTTCCGTAGAGTTCGAGACGTCTACCGATGTGGTCGGTGCTGCGTGCTCTTCCGCATCGGTAACCTTCTCTGGTGGTGGGGTGGGCAGTCGGGAAGAGTCGACCGGATCAACTGCTAGGTCCTCATATTCGTTCGCAACCGTGGTGCCTGGTCCATGTGGCAGTGCAGACCTGTCGACTGCGCTGCTGTCGGAACCTGCTAGAGGCGCAGGTTCGTGACTGCTGGATTTGAGATTGGGATGTGGCTGGCTGAACTGCTTTTGGGCCGGCAAAGTGGCTGCCATTTCATCAACCCAGGAGATAGCAGCACCAGCAAGGTACGCCGCAAAGAGGGTCGATGTCCCGGCATAGCTAGCCGCAGATACAAGACCAACCAGAAGGGTAGTTGAAAGGAGGAAAGATAGCGTAGATGCATTTACCACCCTCTCGAGCAACTTGGACGTCCTCACTTTGCCAAGCGCTGGACGTACCATGATGGGCTTAAGCACGAATTTGCAGAAGACCGGAACGACGATTGCAAAGCCAGCAGACACCAAGATCGGTCGCAAGATATTCGAGGCATGGATCGCACTGTCACCAGAGCCTAGATTGGCTATTACCTGAACCATGACTAGCCCAACCACATCATCAAGCATAGCAGCGGTCGTCAACACTGTACCCAGCCTGCTTGTAGTCAGACCAGTGGACTTCAAAAGGCTGAAAGTCGTTCCCAAACTGGTAGAACACAAAGCCGCTCCTGCAGCAAAGGCTTCGAGCTTGGTCGAATTGACGAGCCTCAGCAGAGAAAAGGAGAATGCAATGGGCAGCAGGATGCCAGTGATTGCGACACCAATGGAGAGCCATAGTGTCTTCTGTACGGAGCTGATGGAAGTAGACAAACCTCCCTCGAATACAATGGCGATCAGGCCGAGATAACCAAGCTGGGTGGCTATATCCTCGAAAGACTCTGACAACAGCTTCGCACCAGGTGTCCCCCATGCCATACCAAGGAGGACCTGGCCGACCAGGCCACAGTAGAGCACATGATCGAGGACCGAGTTGATCACATTGGAAAGTAAAAAGAATGACGATTGGGCGAGGATGGTGACAATGCCAGGTTCTGCATAGGAAACAGCAGCGTCTACCATGTTGCTCTATCAATATCCATCATGAGTCTTGGAAAGGCATACTGTCGCCACGAAGGGGACGATGTGCGAGAAAGATAATGCCACTCTCGAAAGAGACGGAACATGTGAAAAGAAATCGTACTATATATGCTGTGGTCCGTGGTTGATGTTTTGCTGCTTGGGATTCAGTTCCCTGACAGTGCCAAGCCTTGGGAGCAATGACAATTGCTATTGGCTGACGGTGAATTCAAGTCCCGGCGGTTTGAACTTTTTGTTCACTTTGGAGATCGCAAAGAATACAACGAGTGCTCCTCTTCTCACTTGCGACTTGCACACTCTTCCGCGTCTAAGTAGGACAGAGCTGCTTCGTCAAAATGCTGTGCGCAAGTGAGTCTGCCCCAAACATCGTCAAAAAGGACTAGGACTTGGACTAATGAATACTTGTACAGTCTCTGGTGAACCACCCCAGGTCCCGGTGGTGTCGCGAAAGAGTGGTAGGTCAACGGATGCAGTCGCACGATATGAAACTAACGAGGTACAGGCAAGGTCTATGAGAAGCGCCTTATCGAGGCATACATCACCGAAAATGGCAAAGAACCAGTCAACGACCAAGTCCTCTCAGTGGAAGATCTTATTGAGCTTGACACCCAACCTACTGTCTATCCTCGCCCACCACAATTGACCTCTATTCCGTCGTTGCTATCGATGTTCCAGAATGAGTGGGATGCGCTGGCTCTCCAATACTACGACCTCAAGAGAAGCCTGAAGGAGACCGAACAAAAACTGAGCGTGGCATTGTACCAGAACGACGCTGCTGTGAGGGTCATCGCACGACTTCAAAAAGAACGAGACGAAGCGAGAGCATCTCTGGCCAAGATTGACGTCGGTCGAGGAGCAGCAGGCCCCAGCACCAACGGAGACGCAATGCAGGTTGACAGTGCACCACTGCCTGCACCCATACTGGAGAAGATTGACAGTGTCCAAGAGAGGTATGAAGAATGTCAACACAGGCTGCCATGCTCTGCTGACTCAAAAATACAGTTTGTCAAGAACAAGACGGAAGAGACCAGTGCCAGAAGACTGGGCGACTCCGGACGCGATATCAGCCTATACTGCGCAGTCCACTTCCGAACCTCTATATCCTGGTGGAACATTGTTGGCTGTGCATGATTCTAGCGACTTGGCGCTTGTCGCAGGAAACGGTGCCAAGGCAGGGGTGTATTCGCTGTCTAACAACCAATTACTGCGTGCACTCGATGGTGAGACAGGCTCGATCACCAGTGGACTCTGGGCTCAGGATAAAGCCGTTATTGCGACATCATCTGGTGTGGTCAAGGTCTTTGGTGCAGACGAATCGGATACTTCTTCATTCTCGGTCCATGCTGGGTCTGTCAATGGGGTGACTTTGCATGCTAGTGGCAGCATCGTGGCATCCGTTGGCGAGGACAAGACATACGTTCTCTATGACCTTCAAACCATGCAGACGCTGACGCAGGTCCAGACCGACTCAGGTGAGTTGCTCCTATCTCGAAAGACACTGCCGGTTAGTTGCTAACATGGACGCAGCCCTGAACTGTGCACAATTTCACCCTGACGGCCACCTTTTGGCTGCTGGCGCCGTAGACGGACAGATCAAGATCTTTGACGTCAAATCTGGCACGCTCGCCGCGGCTTTTGATCTGGCGGCTCCGGTCAAATGCGTCTTTTTCTCGGAGAACGGCACGTGGCTGGCGGGTGTAACAGAAGGCTCAACAACGATCTCGATCTGGGATTTGAGGAAAGCCGCTCAGATCAAGAGCATTGAAACCGGTAGTCAAGTGCAATCCATCAGCTGGGATTATACGGGGCAGTTCCTGGCAGCTGCAGGGACCGGTGGTGTTACTGTCGAGCAGTACTCCAAGGCGTCCAAGGAATGGTCGGAAATCTCGAAGTCCGCCACGCCTTCGACGAGAATTGCATGGGGCAAAGGAGCGCACAACCTGTTCAGTCTGAGCGAGCAAGGAGTCATTACGACGTTTGGGAGATGAATCAGCAATGGGATGGCTGAAACTTGACTTGTACAACGACATAAAAGGCTGCTCTTGATACCCATACTTGGAAGAGAACTTGGAAGATGTGAATGCCGGTCTGCCTTCACTGGTGGTCGATATCACGAGGAGGCACATAGTCTGGTGACCTGAAAGTGAAGAACGCAATCTTCACCTCGGGAGCAGGTAATGCATAAACAAAGCGAATTGGTCTCAAGCGTCTCATTCTTTTCCGTCTTTGTCTTTTCTGTCCTTTTCGGGATTAATCCACGGGCTTAATAAGTCGGGGAAGAGACATACAGATACCTGCAAAGTTATTTGACGGTGGTGGTGGCGACATCATTTGCCCGCCCGCACTAACACCGGCATTCCTTCTTTGGCCGACATTGCAATCACCAACTACACACTTCCCAAACGTCCTCAACAACTTCTCCTCCTCCCCATTACTCGAACGACTACCACAAGATCAATTGGATCCGGAGCCGGCTCCTCTTCAATCCACATCGACTGGGCCGGCAACAATATCGCTAGTAACATGCCTCAGGCTCCCAATCTCTCCTTGAGCAGCTTTCTCAATCCCGCATCATCCTCCTCTAGTCGAAAGGTACGTTCAGTCGCCATTCCGTGCGCCTCCGCGAGTATTCCGCGAATGCAACTGACCTTGTGTGCAGAGATCTCACGCAGAGATCACTCGGTCCCAAAGTCGAAGTGCCACTCCCGATCTACCCTCGAAGCGCCCTCGCATTAGCCCTCCCTACGCCTTAGTACCATCCTCAGGATTTGTCTCGGGCTCACCCACTCCTGCGCCTCCAACGACACGATTTGAGCGAGACGGGTTCGATTACCGCAGACCCATTATGTCTACACGAACACAGCAATCCTCACATGGTCCTGACGACGTCACCATCGATCTTACTGCTGATAGCGACGTCTCTACTGTTTCCGACGCCTCCCCTCGACCTGCACCGAGACGCCATGCGAGACCACAGTCTGAGACCAACAGAAACCTCCGGGCTCCGCCTTTCAGCAGAAGGCAACAACAACACGATCATGAAGTGATAGATCTGTCAGAGGAGGATTCCGACTTCCATATTGATGACTTTGAGGTGCACAGCGACACTGAATCGGAACGGTCTGCGCATACTCTTGCTTCAAGTCCAGAGGTTCAATTCTTGCACGAGAGACCTGCTTCGCCAGGCAGCCGGCGGCCGGACCCCCCAAGACCTTCTATTCATGTGGGCACATTGGGTGCGGACAGGCAAGGACCATTCAATCTAATACCAGATCTTTTCAGAAGGGGCACGCAGTTCATGTTTGGAAATATGCAGCATGCCTATGATGAAATGTTCGCCGACCGTTTTGAGCAGGCGAGGGCTCGTGGCAATGATGCGAGACCTAATGCTGGCGCGCAAGGGAACGACGCTGATCCCGAGCTTGTCATCAATCTGAACTACAGACGGCCAGCATTTGCTCTCGGTGGACTGGAGATGTATGATCGCACGTCAGAAACACCTCAAGTCGTGCAAGAACCATACAAAGCTCCTCCCACAGCCAAAGAAGGGTTCATCCGGACTTTTGGTGAAGAAGATGTGATATTATGTCCCCGTTGCGGTGATGAGTTGGCCGTCGGGAAAGACGATACGAAGCAGCAGGTGTGGGTTGTCAAGGCATGTGGCCATGTAAGTCACCATATATCTCACAGGGTTTGCTTACCAGTTCTAACACATGTACAGGTTTTCTGCGGAGAATGTGCGGCGAGTCGGTCCACCACCACGAGAGGACCGAAAAAGCCCGACAAGAAACGAGCGCCGCCCAAGCCTGCTCAGCCATTCAAGGAATGCAAAGTCGATGGCTGCAATTCGAAGCTGACTGGGAAGAATGCTATGTTCCCAATTTACCTATGATGAAACATGGAGAAGTCCTGCAGCAGCAATTGATCCCATGCATAGGTCACAATGGTCGCTTCTGTCTCCTGCCTGCAGCACGATATTTGCACAATTTAGAAGACTGGCAAAGATGAACCACGATGAATTATGGATACTCACGGTCACTGTTTGATTAGGGCCTCAAGCTCCTTGCGAATTCCTGCAATGTACATTGAAGCGCGGCGTTGGCGGCAGGGAACACTGAATAACCTGCCAATTTCAATGCTAATATGGCAAGCTGGCAGACCCAAGCTTGCCGCTTCTCAACATGTCTCTCATGTTTTCTCATCTCCAGTTCAGACCTTTGCGCTTCGTTTATGTTGTCGCTCAATAGCAGTCCATCATGGAGGCAAATTGCATCGTCGCCTCCACAGGCAGACGTCGGATCGATCGCACTTGGCGCGCCTTGTTAGTGGCCCAGCGATCATATGGAAGTCGCTGGTTATCTGTCCATTGACATAATCTCTGCACTTCAGCATCTGTACAGTGTTGCGATCCCAGAAGGGCGCACCATGCATTGGACGCCCGAAATACCATTTCATCAACCCCAGACGCTGGAAGATGGCCGCTCCTCTGCTCCAGTGCACCGTTCAAATGTTCGAACGAATACTTCCCAGTGTCCTGTACACTGTTCCGATCTCATATAGTCTTGATCCCGCCATGCATAGGACTCCACATTCCTCTAACATTCTCATTCACACTAACCACATTTTTGCCTCTGATCAACTCGTTCTTCTTGCCGCTGTTCGTGACCAAAACCTCGACCTTCTTCAGAATCTGTTCCTTCTCGAGGTTGCGCAGACACACGGCCTTCTCACGGCCGTTGATAAAATACGCCTTGACGATGGGGTGTTTATTCGGACGAGGCGATATCCGGAACTCGGTGCCTGGGTATTTTTGCGTGAAGGACGCGAGGAGAGGGGATGTCAGGAACGATTTCATGCCGCGTGAAGAGCCGGCCCAGTCGCAGTAGTGGAAGTCGAGGCGTTTGCATTGGAGGATGAAGGCGCCGAGGCCGTTCTGCTCGTCTGTTAGAATCAAGGCGCAAGACTGCGATAGGAAGGGAAGGGAGTGGTGGATGGTAGGCTTACCCGTGATGTGGAGACGGTTTTGAGACCTTGCACAACCATGATTGCGGCGATGTGGTTGTGCAGGTGAGATAACGTGGTGTTCGCTGGTCGGCGATGTGATGGTGGACTGTGGAATGGGCTGTTTTATGAAGAGCGCACTTGCGATGCAGCTGCAAGGCAAATCTCGCTGCGCAAGGCTGTGCTAGTTTGTAAAGAGGATAGTATGGATTTCTAATGACACGGATAGGTTAGACTGTGGTCATTTGAAGTGAGGATGGCTTGGTGGCAGTGCATCTGCAAGTCTGCCGCACGAGGCGCCTTCTTCTCTCGTATTCCTGGCGACCGAGCAGCTTGAACATCATGGGCTGGCAAGTGATCGGGATGGACTGCCCATGGGGGCTTAGACCCCGCTCGTACAGTTCTCTCCGAAGTCTCTGGTTTGTTGAGCATCCCGCCAGACATAAAGTCAGGAACGTGCCTCCATGACTTGCCTTGTCCTTCCAGCCTGTCGTGTCGTTCTTGATATCCCGCTCCACTGGTGCTAAATGGCCGACTTCGTTTCATAGCTATCTTAGGCAGGACCCATACTTACCATACATCTAACATCCCTAGAGTCACCGTTGCCGCACTGGTGGCTTGTCACGACACCATTGATGGGCCACGACTGACATGGCTGAGGCTGCCGCTGTCGCATCAATTCTTGGTATCGCGAGCTTTGGCATTCAACTCACACAAACCCTGTACACTTTTGGCTGTAATGTATCAAGTGCCAGAGAAGAGACTAATTACATTGCACGTCACGTTGACCTCTACTCTAATGTCCTGGATATCTTAACGGATCGACTTGAGGACGACGAACCCATTCTTTCCGGCGCGGCTTTTGATCTGATCGACGAGCTACAATACCAATCGCAGGAATTGTTCAAAAAGATCGAGCACTCGCTCCCGAATCCCAAGGATGGCAAAGACGACATCTCGTTCCTGCAGAAGGTGAAATGGAACTTCACAAAGTCAAGAGTGGCTCTTCTGGTAGGAGAGCTTGACTACTTACGAAGTACTGTCCACCTCCTAGTCACAATCATATTTACCGGCAGGAGAATCCGATCTCGAAGGTTAGTCTTGTCTAGCTGGTTGCCTATATCGATATGTTTGCTGACTTTTTGTAATATACAGAAAGAGGAAAGCAAGATCTGACAAGGAAGGCGCCGCAGATCCTGATAACGAACTTGGGAAGCAAGGCGTCAAGGCTCAAAATGCGCTTCTCGCCCAGCAAGAAGCCCAAGATAAGCTACCAGAGCTCGAAAAAGAAGCAACGAGACAGGAAAGCCTTGGCCGCAACGGCGCCATCCAACCGTACACTCAGCGTCCTGATACACGAACAGATGTCATTCGAGCGAAGGCCCCAGCCTTACACAATTTACAACAATCACTTACGACATGCGCCGACCCAGCAGAGCGGCAGCGTCTTGTCCTTCAGCATTCTGCTCGCGTGCTGCGCCAACTGCTGGAGCAGTGGACGACTGTCGGCCTTGAAAGGCCCCTTGGGCGTGATGATGAGGCCCATGCTCGACCAGGGGGTCAACAGCAGCCTACAGCGGAACTAGCTCGCAATAAAACGACTCCGTCCCCTCCACCAAGATTCCCTTGCGCCACAAGCTTCCCCGACCACACCAAGGCTCACACTTTCGAGGGGCCGAAGGTCAGTCCCGGAGTGCATTCGACGCCTGAGTCCGCAGTATCCTTGCCCGATCAGTGGAGGGGAATGTCTACTTGTGCGCCCAAGATGTTCAAAGATTGGCTGGCAACTCTGCCGGAAGCTGATGAAGCTCCACCACCAGAGTGGACGAAGGCGCTGAATAAGGATAATGGTCTGCCCGACTATTACGGTTCTAAAAGCTCCAACTCTCAATGGGAGAGTCATGCCCCTGAGGCCCCAAATTGGAATGCAGGAGAACGTTTTGCACAATTCTTTAGTGATGGTTTTGATACTCGTGCAGAAAATGCTTGCGCACAGTCTTCCGGGGTCGGTGCTTTCGGTACCAACATTTTGTACTACAGCACAGAAGATGGAAAGCAGAAGAGATCAGGAAGACGACACGGCGACAAGTCCACATCTAAAGATGGGGACCTTAACAAGGGCTCCCGCAGCCTCCGGCGCCCGCGGACACAGGACAACGCGTGCCGGTCTTGCGAAGGACGTGGTGGTAGAGTAGACAAGGCGAAGAAATGCCAAGAATGCGTTGGTTTTGGTTATTTATTGGACCAACATTTCGGGAGCGATCTGGCTGTCTCATGTCGAGGCTGTAATGGTGAAGGCTCCACGATTCCAGTGAGGTATCAGTGTCAGGTGTGCATTGGGACAGGCATCCTACCTCGGAGCGACTTGTCCGAGCACAAGAGTGGTTTATATGGAGAGGTCAATCGCAAAGAGCGACCAGCTTGAAGGCTATTCGGGAGGATCAACTGAAATGACTTCAACGATCACATTCTCGATACATACGTAGTGATACTCACCAGCGCTTGTACGAACGTCCGCGTTTACGCGGAGACGGGTTTCGTCCCACTGTTCGTGTAGGCGAAAGTACGAGATCTTCAGCGGAAAAAGCCCGAAGCGATGGAAATCGTACAAGTAAGGTCAATGCGACCAGTTGTACATCCAGACAATATGGCGTGGTCCCGACAGCCTCGAACAGGTCGAATGATCTAAGACTTCCTTTTGCATGGCGTAACAATGCCATCATCCTTCCCTGACGCCATCTATCCAGGCCTTGGCAGATCCGACCTGGGGTCTGCCCGATCCCACCTTCAATGCTAGAATTACTCTCCACAGCCCACTCACTGTGTCCGACACATGGAATGCACCAGAAGACGCTGGTAGGATCCCAGTAGTTCTTCAGCTGCAGTAGCCGTGGATAATTCGCGCCCCAGAATGCCTGCTGCCAGTTGGGCTCTGTCGGATCGGCTTCATTAACGTACGCTCCCGAGTCTGGTGCAAGTAGGCGAAGAGCAGCAACTTCCACATTGCGAAGCTGGTTGGTCGTGGCAATCTTTGCTGTTTCGTTCAAGAACGGCCAAACACGTGGGAGGACTGTACTTGTCAGCTGGCACGTCTCAAGGAATGGCGTACTGAGTCCGAAGAAACGTACTGAAGTGAATATATGCATCGCGCCAAGCAGGAAGGACTGCATTGCTACCACCGGGTATCTTCACATTCTTGACACCTTGACCGGCGACCAGAGAGCCCAAAATGGCGTTTTGCGGGTTGGTGGTCGTCTGCTTAAGAAGCTTCTTGAGGGTGGCAGGGTCAGTCTCAAGTGCTCGACGGCCAAGCAGTCTCGATCCAAGTCGTAGATTCTCTCCAACACTCTCTGGTGTGTTGAGCATCCAAGCAGACGTAAAGTCAGGAAGATAGAGCGTGGAATTCCCATAACCACTTGGTCGTCCCAGCCGAAGGTGTTGTCATTGATGGTCTGCTCCATTGGAGCTATGATAGACTTGGATTCTTGTATAGACTTCTCGGGTACGATCCATATACCGTAAATGATACCTTGGGGGGTTGGCGTTGCCGCGCTGGAGTCCGGAATTGCATAATAGTAACCCATGACCCCCTGATCCGATAGAGTTGGAAGTTGTCCATGGAGAAGGTGAGCAAGGACCAGAAGGTATCAGTGTCGGCGGTTGTATTGTAGCTGTACGTGTACCACGTTGCTCCGATGCTGGGATAAGCTCGGACAGTGAAAGAGACCATGACGGCGAAAGTGGAACCGCCGCCCTACATACAATAGTAAGAGTCCTATTTGAGACTTGCTTCGGGAAAAGCCCATCACGGACGGCAGGGTACTTACACCTCTCATAGCCCAGAAAAGCCCAGGATGGGAAGTCTCGTTGATGGTCAGATGCGAGCCGTTGGCCGTGACGACTTCCATCTCTAGCACTTGATCTGCACCGAGACCATATTTGCTGCTAAGAGGGCTGTGACCACCTCCAGTGATCCATCCACCTATACCCACATCAACGTCTCCGCCACCGACAATGGTGATATTGTGTTCAGCTGCTGCCGCATATATCTCACGCATACGCATTCCAGCTGCAATGGTGACAGCAGCCACGCCTCCGTGACTCTTTGCACAAGAACCATTCAAGGTGACGTTGATGCCTCGGATGTTGTGCATCCAGATAGAGAGTGCCTGGGGCCTGGACGACCTAAGTCAAGTGTCAATGACTGCCCGGTCAAGGGTGCTTTGGTCATACCGTCCTGAGATGTCATGGCCTGTCCCTTTCACGATCAATCGTACGCCCGTCTCCTTGGCAAACCTAATCCCAGCCTGTACATGACTTACCTGGGCGGCATTGATCACATATGCAGGATATGCTTTCGCCGAACAAGGTGCCAGGTTACTGGGCAGGCAAGCTTCGTCATTGTAATCTGAAGTGAATGGATCGGAAGCATGCCACGACGAATTAGACCATTCCTGGTAAACATCTTCGCATGCAGCAGCATTGTAGAAGGAGCTGTTGTGCTGACATACTTGACCAGGAGGTACAGGTACTATGAGACGACCTGAAATGGAGGCATTCAATGCTTGCCAGGCCGACTGTGAAGGCCATTCCGCAGAGCCTGGCATCGGTTTGCAGTATGGTTGGGGACCAGGATGTATAGTTTGAGGGGCGAACAGCGCCATGAAGATGGCACATATCCAGGTTGCGACCATCATGGCTTCTTTGGTCGGCAGGCGAATTTCGAGACTCGCGTTGATAAAAACTTGGACATTGTCTGCCGTGAATATATACCATTGCAAGGCCCGTCTTATTGTATCCGTATAGCGAAGTGGAAAGGGGGACCAACAGAGTCGTCAGATGATGCATGTCGATGGCCGTAGGTGTGCCTTGGCAATCAAGCAATATCAGTGGTTGGAGAGCGAGGCCACGCCCGAATAGGAGCATTCTGCGCAAACGTTAGGGAACAAGAGAACAAGAATTATGAGACTTGGGGCAGATCGGTAGATGGCTGGAATTGTACACGACTTGAACACGAGCTGGCGCGACGCAAGGCAGTCCTGAGGCTTTTCCGATCAGAAGGCATCTGGGGGGCCAAAAGTCTGCAAGAAGTTTTGCTGGTAGTCAAAATACTAATACGTGATATCTTATTGATGCCACTGAGATATCGTGGCTTTCGACTTCTCGTGGCAGTGGCCGTGCAAAGCATCATACTGTAACTTAGCTCGAAGCTGCACAAGCAGTACTGTTCAGCCATGTATTTCTCAGTCGAGTTGCTGGCAGCTCAACTGTTCACGACTACCTTACCAGAATCCGGATCAAGTCAGACACTGGAAGCTTGGATTGTTGCTCTCCTCCGAAGAGGCAGCGGGCAAAGTGAAAGCGATCTCCCAAAATACCCCGGTTGTAGGCCTTTGATCCTCAGTGACGGTTCGCTCTTCTTTGAGAGCATGTTTGGAACAGTACGGCCTGCCAGGTGTTGTCTGGTCGTGACGAGAAGCGGAAGGAGACGAAACCCGATACCATGGAAAAAGGCGCTAAGCTGTTTTGAGGTTGCTTGCTGCCCTGGAACTTTGTTGAAGTGCAACAGACATCGCGTGGACAGATGTTGCACACTTCTTGCACACTACCTGGGTCGGCCATACTGCCACTTCCTTGTAATATATCTCGTTCGTTACTTTCTCTTTCCTTCGAAATTGATTCTGGGTCAATGACAGCTTTGTCTCTCGCACACCAGCCTTCTTGTATCAGTAAATCAAGATGACAGACAAACTCCCTCCCAATCTCCTCGCCCTTTTCCAACCACGACCCCCTCTACGCTACATTCCTCCTCAAGACACCGCTCCTGATGAAAGAGCAACGAGACCATCGCAGCTTTCTGGCCTAGCCGCCTTTCTTCCACAACTTGACGAATATCGACAGACAGATGAATATGAGCCCACAGAGTCATGGCTGCAAAAGCGCGAGCGCAAACGACTGGAGAAGAAACAGCGTGCAGAGGAAATGCAAAAGCCTGAATTTGATGGTTACAAGCCAAATGACGATCCCAAGATCAAGGGTGATGCCGTCAAGACTCTGTTCGTTGGCCGCCTGAGTTTCGAGGTCAAAGAATCCGACTTGGAACGTGAATTCGGAAGATTCGGCCCCATCGAGAGAATACGAATCGTCAAGGACGAGTCCAACCCGAAACCCAAGAAACCACATCGAGGTTACGCCTTCATCGTGTATGAACGAGAAAAAGATATGAGAGGTAAATTTCTCCGCGCATTTCCCCTTTTCCCAACATCCTCCTCCCTGTCCGTAACGCAGATGGTAAGATATCCTGAAACTGACCTTGACGTCTCGTCCCTCTCTACAGCTGCCTACAAAGAAAGCGAAGGTCTGCGAATCAAGGATCGTAGAGTTGTCGTTGATGTCGAACGTGGCCGAATGGTGCCTGGTTGGAGACCACGAAGGTTTGGCGGAGGTCTCGGTGGACGTGGCTATACCAAACAAGCACCTGCAAGACCAACATTCGGAGCTCCGCAGACCGGATTTGGAGATGGATTCAGAGGTGGCTTCGGTGGTCGCGGCGGGTTCCGTGGAGGCTTTCGTGGCGACAGAGGAGGTTTCGGCGACCGAGGTGGCTTTCGAGGTCGTGGCGGCATTGGCTACCAAGATCGTGGTGGCTTTGGCGGACGACAAGGCGGCTACCAGAGCGGGCCTCCACCACCTAATGCACCCAGCGGACCCGGCGGTCGAGGTGGGTTTGGAGGAGGGTATGAAGATCGGCGCAACGGCTTTGGAGGTGACCGCGGTGGAACAGGAAGCAATAAAGATCCGATCGGTGGCCGAGATCGTGGGTATGAACGAGATCGTGGCGACAGAGATCGAGACAGAGATCGTGATCGAGACCGTGACCGATATGGCGGAGGCAGACGCGACGACGACTACAGCTCGAGAAAACGGTACCATGAGAACGATGGGAACGATGACCCGAGACAGAGACGGCGATACTGATTTCGAGTCTGTCATACGCATTGGTCGGTGTTTACTACAGCTTTGGACCACGGTTGGTTGGTGGGTATCCTTCTATCATCCGTGCATTCAAACCATCTTTTCCGGTTCTGTCATGGTCCTCTACACGACATGGTAAGGAACCAGCGTTTTTTCGGTTCATCCAAATCGACCTCATCATAGGTGAAGCAAAAGTACCTTGATACTCCAGCATGATTGGAGCGCCACTTTCAATACCTGCTGCACACGTCTACGCCACTGTGATTGATAAGAAGCTTTTATGGGTGGGCTCTCTTCTTCTACAGACTGATTCCTGTAGAGGTCAGGAAGTCGACATCAGACCGGCAGCTCAGCTGAAGCGGACGCAGCTTTCTGCTGTCTTGTGAAATGTATGCAAGAAATCACCTAGGTAGGATTAGGAGCAATTGCTCTATGGGCATTGAACAACAGCAGTAGGGAAGCTGTTTGTGTGAGTCTGGGTTTGTATGAAAACACATGCCTGTTTTTAGCAGAATCACCTCGAACTTTATTTTGTGAATAGCATCATTGGACATGAAGAATTGGGTCGAGACTGAGGAGCTCCGCCAGCAAAACGTTGAGTGCTGGCCTATACCCATCACGTGTCTCTCCAAGCAGGTCCTCTGTTTCATCCAGAAGGGCTGTAATGATCAATAACCACATGACGACGTCACACGTGTTGTCAAAGAGGTGATTATGGCAGTTGTCAATGCGACATGATCATTGTCGTCAATCGAAAGGTGACATCTGAGTGGCCCACGGCACGTTGCCGTTAGAGGTGTTAGTTTAGCAAATTTTCTAGCAGAATTTTCAGCGATGTGGTTGGCCTTGACACATTGGAACCGCTAAAAGCAGGTTCACACGCGCCTTGACAAACGACTTCCGCTAAAGACAATTGTACACGCCTATTCCACGACACGGTCCCTTTGATTGGTGTCTTCTGTTTATACTCCTCCGAAACAATAATGTCATAGCACTTCGACAGTGCAACCAGGGCGTGGTATGAGTTCCATGTCCTCAATTACCATGGACTTAGGGATGAAAATTTGCCATGAGTCAGGAGTATATAAGACTGTGCCCCAGGAACAGGTAGGTGATCTTCATTCCTCGTCGGCCAAAACAAGACAAAAGTACCATCATCTCCATAATCCATACCTACCAAGCCAGCCTCGTCAGAAGCCATACCAGCAGCACGTCCTCACCACTTACCTCAATCGATTCCACACATACCTACCACACCCACCACCACCAACATGCCTTCAACTTATGCTGCATACTACAACATCGTCGAGGCTGAGAAGTCCTCCGCAGCACCATCTCGAAGGATGTCCAACGAGTCCGTTGAATCCGTCTCATCGGCCAAGAGCAATTCCTTCTTCAAGCGGGCTCTTGAGCAACTCCGACCCACAGAGGAGAAGTTGACTCCGAGTGGCATCTATGCACCCATCATCAAGAAGAAGTCTCTCTTCAGCAAACATTGAACCACCATAACATGCAAACAAACGAATTTCTTTCTGTTTCGACGAAAAGCATTGGGAGACGGAGTTCGGGATGATATAACATGGGAATTTCAATGACAGGGAACTGGGTAGCATGAGAGCTTGGGACGCATTGCCGGAATCTCGCCTTAGTGCTTGAGATATGATACCTTGAATAGAAAGATGACAAGACGAATGGCATTGTAATGATATTTGAATCCAAAATGCCACTCAAATGGTGTCTGCATTCGGTATTTCAATAGTAGTCAGGGTGCGCCTATACTGCATCGTCAACGACATCTTATGTGGTTGATGACCTCGTAAGCATGTGACGAATTGAACAGAGACAGTAGATGCAGGTCACTCCCTGAGAACACTGTTGCTGTGGTCATCCTCCCGAAAGTATACAACACCAAAGAGGAACATACCGAAAGTGGTAGGAAGTCAGATGAACCACAGTCAATGATGGAGATAATATGGACGCGACGGCAGACTTGGGTTTTATGTTGTTGATCTAGGGCATCATTTTCGCGAGAATACGAGATGGACACGGGAGGTGCCTTTGTTCGGCTCGCTACCTGCATCGACTTCCTCCAGTCATAAGCGCCGCCGAGGCCTAAGTGATCACGTCTAACTCGATGCTCAACCAGTCAGCGGTGACCTGTTGACGTTTTACAGGTGGATTGCAGCCTAGAAAACAAAAACATGTGCACTCAGCACCTAAACTTGGGCTTGGGCTTGGGCGAACCCGCGTCAAGAATCCACACGTGTATTTCCGGGCTAAAGCGCAGGACTGCAGCTTTCCACTAATCCACACCACATCATCGTCGCCCGACGTCGACATCTTTGGTCACCGCGGTCTAGCCTGTGGGATCATTCTACAATCTCAGTCATCCTCCATTCCACCTTCCACGACTGCAGCCGCGGATCGTGCAGACGGCCTTCTTTGATCGTTGCTTCCCTCGGAAGACTTCGAGTCGTGATCGTGCCTGTCGCCTGGTAGATCGGTCGTCCTCCAATCGACACGCATTTCGAGTCTTGTTGAGCTTTCCACATCTTCTTCCACAACGCCGTATAGTCCCGCCAGCATACAACAATTCTGCATCACAAGTGCAATTCAGCATCAGATGAACTGCTCGCACCTAGCTCTTCGGTGTCCCGCTGCAACACCCGCATAAATTCCCGACGTTTGCGCTACCTTCACCGTCAACAAAACCACCACCCCGATCCTGTCCCTACGGGGCTCAACGCCTCGACATGGGGAACTCTCTCTCAACACTATCCTCCTGCTGCAGAGGTAGGTGGTCTTCCCCGCTTTCGACTCGAGACTGGAGTACTAACTGCACTCTCTGCAGGTCGACCGAAGGATAATCTCTACGAGCCCGCCCTTGCAGACAGTGAACGCGAAGCTGTTGCAGACCTTTTACAATACCTCGAAAACGTATGCTCCTTCCTCCCGACAAACTGCTTGAATATCCTAACGGTTGTAGCGAGGCGAAACAGATTTCTTCTCCGGAGAACCCCTACGAGCCCTATGTACTCTCGTCTATTCCGACAATGTCGACCTTCAACGGAGCGCCAGTCTCACGTTTGCTGAGATCACAGAGCGAGGTATGCAGCTTACATAAAGGAAGAGCCACATTATTGACTGGGATACAGACGTAAGAGAAGTCGACCGGGATGTCCTGGAGCCGATCTTGTTCCTGCTGCAGAATCCAGACATTGAGGTCCAAAGAGCTGCGAGTGCTGCGTTAGGGAATCTTGCAGTAAACAGTATGTCGTATCACCATATGGCCTGATCGGCCACAACTAACAATCTGCAGCTGAAAACAAGGTGGCTATTGTCCAGCTCGGTGGCCTGCCTCCCCTCATCCGACAAATGATGTCGCCGAATGTCGAAGTTCAATGCAACGCAGTCGGGTGCATCACCAACCTTGCCACTCATGAAGACAACAAGGCCAAGATTGCAAGATCGGGAGCTTTGGGGCCGTTGACGAGGCTGGCCAAATCGAAAGATATGCGAGTGCAAAGGAATGCTACAGGCGCACTACTGAATATGACACATTCTGGTAAGGCCAGACAACTACTCTTCTTTTGATTTTTCTGACGGCCATCAGATGACAACAGACAACAGCTTGTCAATGCTGGCGCCATCCCTGTGCTCGTCCAGCTCTTGTCTTCCCCCGATATGGACGTTCAGTACTACTGCACCACAGCTTTGAGCAACATCGCCGTTGATGCATCAAACCGAAAGAAGCTGGCTCAGACGGAGTCGAGACTTGTCCAATCCCTGGTCCAATTGATGGACTCCGGTACACCTAAAGTTCAATGTCAAGCCGCACTGGCACTTCGAAACCTTGCATCGGACGAGAAGTACCAGTTGGAAATTGTCCGAGCTAGAGGCTTACAACCACTCCTTCGCCTTTTGCAATCCTCGTACTTGCCACTCATTCTCTCCGCTGTTGCCTGTATTCGAAACATTTCCATCCATCCTCTGAACGAGTCCCCGATTATTGACGCTGGGTTTCTCAAGCCGCTGGTAGATCTTCTTGGGTCTACCGACAACGAGGAGATTCAATGCCATGCAATCTCAACACTGCGAAACCTCGCTGCAAGCTCGGACCGGAACAAGCAGCTGGTATTGGAAGCTGGTGCCGTCCAGAAATGCAAAGAGCTGGTTCTGTCTGTGCCGCTGAGTGTACAATCCGAGATGACGGCGGCTATTGCGGTTTTGGCTCTTAGTGATGAACTCAAGCCACATCTTCTCAACTTGGGAGTTTTCGATGTTCTCATTCCTTTGACTGACTCTGAGAGCATCGAAGTACAAGGCAACAGCGCTGCCGCTCTTGGCAACTTGTCTTCAAAAGTGGGCGACTACTCGATCTTTGTTCGAGACTGGACAGAGCCAAACGGTGGCATTCATGGTTACCTCAAGCGTTTCCTGGCCAGCGGCGACCCTACCTTTCAACACATTGCGATCTGGACTTTGCTCCAGCTCCTGGAATCGGACGATAAAAAGCTGGTCAGTCTGGTGGCCAAATCCGAGGACATTATACAAATGGTGAAGACAATTGCCGATAAGCATGTCGAATCTGACGATGAAGAGGGTGAAGAAGGCGAGGGCGAGGTCATTGCACTTGCTCAAAGATCGCTCGAATTACTCGGGAAGGGACCGAAACAAACCCTGGTGGAAGGATGAAGCAGACCGTTTGGGTCTTCTAAATCCCGGCATTTTTCTGGCATCATTATATACCCCTGCACACATGAAGACCCAATATGCGTGTATGAAGGTGCAGCGGCATAGCGAGGCGTTTAGGAGCGATACTGCTTGGTTGCACCGCGGGTCACATGGAAAAGGCAATGGAAATGAGAAAAACACAGGAGATGGTCCTGCAAAGAACAACTATATCTTTGTCTCGACGAGTGTGCGGGTGTAGCCTTTTTTGTTTGCTGCGCAAGCATGCATATGGCTTTTTTATACCTAGCCTGGGTTGCATTAATTATACGATTTTGAACTCGACTTGTGTTTTGTAGATTGAATACAGTGACTGTGTCCTCCCTAAGAATACTTGCCGACATTCCTGTTGGTGGAATATGCCAGACCTGGATAGTAGGAGGAAGCCAACGAATCCAGAGAAACCAAGTGAATGGCTTCTCGGGTCGAGGCTCGGGTTCTTCTCCCTCCCGTGACGAACACAGCCTGACATTGCAAAGGTCCTGACCATGGATACTAGAGAGGTTGCGTGTGATATGTTGGGTGTGGACAAGGGGAGAGGATAAGGTTGCGACGGTGGGCGGTCTTTCTTGGACCGTAAACTTGGCAGTGTCAAGCCGAGACACTGGCAATTCTGGTATCGAGGACTACCTGCAGATAGAGACGCCGAAGTAAGAGGATTACCACCCCCTTCAGATGAAGGGCCTGGTGGCCACACAGGACTGGCCCATCATGCAGACCGACGAGAAAGGTCTTGAGTGCAACGCGTCGTTGTGCAGGACAGGTTGTTTCCCGGTGAGCTCACAAGTTTTCCTCCATCTTAAGCGGCTCATGGGCCTTTTCTGCCGGGCAACGCCAACATCGCGACATGACTCGATGTGCTGGTTGGTCCACGGCATCTCTGGTTCAAGCAGTATTCATGTCAAGGTACCAGTGGTCCTTTAGAGAAGTGCAGAGGCTTTCCTGTACTTGGAGCGATGCCGTCCACTTTTGACCTGCCAACATATCGGCGCATGGCCTGCCGTGCCCATCCAAGTGACTTTGGCGAGTGGTGAAGATATTCAAACTTTATCGTTTGACAATCTCTTCGTCAAGCAAAAGCTCATGACGGCTTTGCGACTTTTCTGCTCTCCGCCTGGCCAGTAACCACATCACGCATCTCCTTCCAACTCGCCGGGACCATGGCATTGCCCACATCGCTCGTGGCGACCACCACACCAAAGTCATTACCCGCAGTGCTGATGTAGTAGCTCCTCTCGTCGCCGAGACTGATCACCGTGGCCCGCACGATGTCCCCGACACGGTACATATCGTTCATCACGACTTTATCTTTCTCGTGGGTGCGGACGTCCTCGCGGCGCAGGACCGCTTGGAATTGTAGATCGTCGTTGGTGGTCTGGGTGTAGGAAAGGACGTCTTCTGGACGTGGATCGACCAGGAGAATTGAGGCGGAGAGTTGGCGTTGTTGGACTCTGGTTACGCGGACGAGGACTGTGGAAGATACTTTGGGGAGAGAGCTGTCGCTGCTCAATTGTTGACGGGGGACGGAGATCGTAGGTTTGCTGGCAGTGGAGGTCTTTGAGAGTGTTGATGTGCCGATTATAGAGGCGAGTATGTTGCTCTCGTAGACGTGTGTGCCTGGGCCGGGGATGTGTGTTGATGTGCTGGCGAGGATTTGTCCGGGGACTACGAACGAAGTCATGATTTTGATGATGCTGAAAGGTTAGGCGGGATGAAGAGGAACAGAGGAACGACAGAAGACGGAAACGAGGAGAGCTCAGACAGAAATACCTATTCAGACGAGACTTGTGAATTGTGGCATTATTGCGAGGTGCGTCCAGGATTGATGGAGGGTGTTTTGTTTTGATGGAAATTCTTCCGAACGACAGTGAATGTGGATTTTGTGGAAGCGCTTCAGACGATCCTTCTGCTTAGTCAGCTTGCTTCAGCCTGGTTTGGCAATGCGGCATAGAACAGGTTTCAAGCCGAAGTATTAATTAAGAAAAGCAGACCACTTCTCTTTACCGATTATATTATATCATTATCATATGCTTTTCCTCCGGCCTTCTGGTCAATATCAATAGCCGTCCCCAGGCCGCAAGTCATGAACAGCTCCTGAACACCTCCAGAGCCTCTCATCTCCTCCTTTCCTTCGGATTTCAGCAGGGCCAAACTCTCCTTACAGCTGGCTAATACCATCGAAGAGCAGACCCCTGGAAAAATGATGATTCGAAAGCCCAATTCTTTGGCTTCCTCGACAGTCAAGTCTGGCGAGCCCGCCCCTATACACATATTGAACATAACGGGAGTATTTCCCATGATTTCACACGCCTTTTTACATTCCTCCTTGGTTTTGATAGCATCAATAAACACAACGTCAATACCAATCCTGACTGCTTCGTTCAAGCGTTCGATGCATTCGTCAAAGCCGAGATTTTGGCGAGCGTCCGTCCGTCCAATGATGATGATATCCGAACCCATTTGTTTTCTAGCATTGACAGCAGCACGGAGACGACTGTACCACACTTCACGCGGTACTACTTCTTTTCCCTTCAGGAAGCCACACCGCTTTTCGTGAATCTGAACACTGAAATCAGATATCAGAAGACATAACCGCAGGCCTATACTTACTTGGTCTTCTATGTGAAGAGCAGCGACACCCGCTCGGGCATAATTTGCGACTGTTCTGGAAACCATGACAGGTCCGCCGTAACCAGTATCGGCATCCGCAATAAGAGGTACGGATGTGTCCAAGTTTGCAATCATTTCAGCATTGGCCGTCATGTCATTGAGAGTGGCTATTCCGATATCTGCCCAGCCGAGCCTGGACATGGAGGTACCAGATCCTGTCTATGAAGAGTTCTCGTCAGCCGCTAGACCCTGTGGTATTCAGATTTAGTTACCATATACAGAGCATCAAACCCCATCGAGAGAGCAATTCGAGATGTCAGTCCATCGTATACCCCTGGGCAAACGACGATTTTGTTAGGGTCTTTCAACATTTCTCTGAGGCGCTCTGCGCCAGTCTATCAAGCCGGAGTGATCTCAATGTCGTGGCCCTCTGCAAGTTGCGCAGCTCGCCGTTCCTTTTCAAACTCGTGATTGATCTGCTCTTCCGTGACCATTCCCCCAAGTTTGGCCATCTCCTCGACTTGGTGTGGAACAACGACGGATTCCTCACTAAAATAGTTTGTATCTGGGATGTACAACTTCGTCACAACGACCATTCCAATGATGCCAATGGTGTAAAGCCTTTGACATAATTATGTTAGTTGTCGCAACACATATCGGGAGGCAGGGGTTGAACTCACACAAACTGCAACGTAAGCTGCCAGATATAAGGGACCGTTCGCGAGTCCAGCAGGAAAGAGACCATTATCCCCAAGCTGCCCTTTCCCTTGAATAAGCCCGAATATCGCGCCAGAACGGCAGGGTCGTTAGTTAGCGCAGCAAGGACCCACTCAACAACGATTTGATAGCCACTGTAGACCATCCCCCAGAACAAATAGATGACAAAGGCTTTCGCAAAGCCAGGGTCTGACCAGTCGTTTCCTCGTGCTTTTGGGCTGGTATGTTTATTGAGGCCGTTCTCCACGATGAAGGCTGTGAGTCCAGCACATGAACACAGAGTGATAGTTCCGATAAAAGCAATACCAAGGTAGCCACGAGTGCGCCGGTGCTTGACGAACTTGGTGTCAAGGAAAAACGACAAGACGAATGGAATTATGATCTGGATGATTTGGTATATGGCGTTATTGAGGCATCGGGTCCGGAGATTGAAGTAGTAGCCTGGAAGGAAGTCCGTAAGCTTGAATCCCTGAACAAACGGAAACACGTACTGTTGATACTGCTAACGAGAGCAGAGGCCATCTCACCGCAGAAGATTGCAGGAGTAAGAAGTAGAATCCTTTTGTCAACAAAGACCTTCAACATCTCCATGAGTTCCTTTCCAGGTTTTTCTTTTTTGAAGATGGCAATGTGCGTGCCATCATCACGAACGACCTTCCGGGGATCGACGATGAATATACCTCCAATAAGAATGGCACAGCACATGATGACAATGAAGGTGATATAGACACCGTCAGATACACCTTTGGTGGAGGTTTCGTGAACGTTCCCGCCAAAGGCACAAAGGCTCCCACTGTTGAGCCCAAAGAATGAAGCATGTACTGAATCACAATGTACTTTCTCCATGTCAGCTTAAACGCACATGATATGCCAGGTGCAAAAAACATACTGTGCCCTTCTCCTTTTCCTGGGGATAGACATACGAGACGTATCCTGTGGTGGTCCAGAGACAGCCAGCGGTCATGCCCAGCATGGCACCGGCAAATAGTACAAACCATGGGTGTTCTGTTCGATCGTAGTACCATAGCCCACCGATATATAATGGATAGCCAATAGCACCAAACACGGCAGTAATTTTTGGTCTGAAAATGTTCAAGATGGAACCGCCTAGCCAACCAAAGAGTGTGAACATCCCGTAAAGGATGGTATTGGCATCAGAAGATGTGACTTGAGAAGTTGACTTCCCACCACCGGCTCCGAGACCAGTGATGGCCACATAGATGCCGGGCAGGCAGAACAACATACTGTCGAAGATCAGTATAACGTTCCTCAAGTCGATCAGCCTCTGTCTCACCATCCCATGATGAAGTTTTGAAAGACAGGAGAGTTTCGGCGAATCCCCTTCATCTTGACAAGAACTATAGCAATGTTGCTTCAGGTAGCTAAGTAGTTGGCTGGATACAAAACGTGTGATGAGTGCAAGATCAGTTTGGTGAAGGACATGAGGTATATATAATCTGTCGGGAAGAGGTAGAATAACTAAGGGGGCCAGCTCTCGTCCTCTATATCGTAAGACTTCACTTGGTGTCAGTCCGTCTAGACGGTGTATCTACTAATGGTAGCAAGCATCAACACTAATACGACCGAATGTACTACTAGAAGTCGGGTTCGTTAATAGCCCCGGTTCCGGGAAACGCTAGCACAGTTAACCTCTAAACCCTTAGATAAGAAGATACCACTAAATACCGGAGCCGGAACGAGTAGATAAACCTGGTCAAGATCAAGATAAGCTCCTTGCCGACATCCGAAACTTTCTTGTTGCTTGTTCAGCACACTGATGATCTCTCCCTTTCAGTTGACCGAGTAATGATTCATCTATCGTCACAGGCATTCCGCTACATTGGCCCCCACAACAGCACGGCCAGTCTGTCCGTGTCTACCGCAGGTCATTTTTATCTTGCACGGAACCGACAGCTGATACCACTAACCTTCGGAGAGTGTTCCTGAAAACTCCTCCACAATGGAAGGAGGAACCTCAAACACTAATGAAGCATTTTTTTGCTGGCCCATCAAGTAGAGGCGCCAAGCGAGCGAGACAATTCTGACTCTGCTTCTGCTGACCACAAAAGGGGCTTACAGGAAAGCCGTGAGTTGATCATCTTGCAGGACTCCCAGTTTTCATTCTTTTCTTCCTGCATCGGCGAAGAACACTGTTCATCATGGCGCCCTCTGCGACGCTCGTTGATGAGCCTCTGAGCATACAACCAAAGAAAGCTATCAAAGGACCTCATCCGCTTGACCCGCTGTCCCCAGCCGAGATAGCTTCTGTGCGTACACACCTAGCATTCCGAAGGAATCTTCTGATGATGGAGATCGTAGGTGTCACAGATCTTGCGTGCAGGCTTCCCGGACCACAAAGTCATCTTTCGTGTTATTACGCTGGCTGAGCCACCCAAAGCACTATTAGCTCCATATCTCCAAGCGGAGCGGGCCAACCAGATCCGACCAAAGATTCCACGAAAGGCATTCTGCCAGTATTATCTGAACGATCGCCAACAATTCCATCAAGTAGAGGTCGACATCGACACAGGAAAGTTGTCGAGCAGAGAGGAGCTCCCCGGAAAGCATTCATATACTGATGCAGAGGAAGGCACCAAGGCCGAAGCTGGCTGCCTCGCTGAACCCACAGTACAAGCCGCACTCAAGCAGCTTGATCTCCCTGAAAATGCTGTGGTTGTTGTAGAGCCGTGGACCTATGCGCCCGATGGTCTGGAGGACATGTCCCAACGCATCATAATGGTACGTGACCGCTACATGGACCCCGTTGGTAGTAAATGCAACTAAACTAATCCTCGTGTAGTGTTATCTGCACATGCGGTTATCTCCTCACAAGGACGCAAATCATTTCGCGTACCCGCTTGATATCTGTGCCCAGATGAACGCTGAATATCAGGTGACAAAGGTTTTCACATTACCATCAGCAGAGTCCGACCGCATGGTAGAGTGGACCGGCACGGGGAAGAAGTTTGACCGTCGGAAGATACACTCTTCCAGTGAATATCACCCTGACTTACAGAAAGAGCGAAGAACAACTACGACTCCATATCAGGTAGTGCAACCGGAAGGGCCCTCATTCCACATCGAGGGGAATCTGATAAACTGGGAGAAGTGGAGATTGAAAGTCGGATTTAACTATGTACGCCTCAAAATCTGCCTTGACCTGTGGTGCGGGAAGATACTGACATGAACAGCGCGAGGGTCTCACCATCCATGACGTTACCTACGATGGCCGGGAGCTTTTCTACAGGCTCTCCCTCTCTGAGATGTTCGTCCCTTATGGTGATCCTCGGAGTCCATATCCACGCAAGGCGGCTTTCGACCTCGGTAACAACGGTGCAGGAGTCAATGCCAACAATCTCCAGCTAGGTGAGGGATCATGAAGTCCGTATTGTCTGCATTAGCCTGGTTATCTGATACTCTGACAGGGTGCGATTGCCTCGGCACCATCAAATACTTTGACGCCTATCACCATACACTCTCGGGTGATCCTTTCTGTCTACCAAATGTGGTCTGTTGCCACGAGCAGGACGATGGCATCCTATGGAAACATACGAACTTTCGGACCAACAACGCGGTTGTGACTCACTCTCGAATACTCGTCCTCCAAACTATAATTACCGTCAACAATTACGAGTACATTTTTGCGTTCCACTTCAACCAAGCTGCCGAGATCAGTTACGAAGTTCAAGCCACCGGAATCGTGAGCACGAATCTTATCGACATTGGTGATTCGGCGACATCTGGAACAGTCGTAGCTCTCGGGGTTCTGGCACCGTTTCATCAACATCTCTTCAGCTTACGTATCGATCCAGCAATCGATGGTCACAAGAACTCGCTTCTCGTCGAAGAATCCTACGCGATCCCTTACAAAGATCCCGTGTTTCATAACCCGGCGGGCATTGGCTACACGACACAAAAGACCTTCATCGAACATGAGATGCCCCTTGACACAGACGTCACCAAGGCTCGTGTGTTCAAAATGGTCAACGAAAATGTCTTGAGCCCCGTCAACGGCGCACCAGTCGGCTATAAGCTCGTGCCGCACAATTCGCAAATGTTGCTCGCACATCCGGATTCTCTACATGCAAAACGTTCCGAGTTCGGCGCTCACGCAGTGTGGGTGACCAGGTATCATGACAAGGAGCTGTATGCATCAGGCCAGCATACCATGCAGTCTCCTGGAGGCGAGGACGGTGTGAGGTCGCTTATCCAGAGCAGGAAAGAGGGTGTTAGAGATGAAGATATCGTCATCTGGCACACCTTCGGTACTACCCACAACCCGAGGACCGAGGAATCGCCTGTGATGCCCACAGAGAAGATGATGGTCTCACTAAAGCCGGTCAATTTCTTCACGAGGAACCCGGCCATTGACGTTGCAATCAGTAATCAGCTAACCAACAAAAGCGTTTTGGTCACAGATGTTTCTTGTACTGGATGTACTTAGTAGATTTGTTATGTGTTGGAATATCACTGGCCACGGAAGGTGAAAACTAGGGAGTATTTTCTGATTGTAGCATCCTCCCCAGAGGACAAGGAAGTCGTCGTTTGTTTCGATCGGGCTTCCAGTAGAGTGATGCCGCAGTTGCGCGTGCAGTCCGGAGATCAGATCAGATACCAGAGCAGTGTCACCGGATATCTGGTGCTGGGTGGCATCACCCTCGTCCGAAGGAGAGGTGAGCGGGCTGCGAGTTCACCACAGCTAGGCTTCAAGTTCTGGCAGCGAGATGGTGGTTGCCGCTCTGGGATGGAAATCAAGGTCAAGAAACGGAGACTTCGATCACGATGTGATATGATGCGATCACTGCTCAAGGTGAATGACTACTAGACAGAAATTTGAACAAGCATGTTTGGTCTATCCCAATTCTTGCATTATTCTCGCAATCTCTCTCCTTGCGAACTTCTCTCGGTCAGCCTGGGACATTTCGCTTCCAGCCTCACGGATGCCAATGACTCGCTCCATCAGACCTTGCAACTGCTCGACCTGCACGTCCTCGTCTTCCGGGGCCGTTCTTTCTGCTGGGCTCGTATCCTGTGCACTATCATCGACCTCCTGCTCATCCTCGAGCGACATTTTCAATTCCATCATCTCGCGTTGTAGTTCGTGATCCAAGCCAGAAAGCCTGGCGTTACCGAGTATATTTGTTGGGAAGCGCCCATCATCGTCGTCGTCGTAGTTGTCGTCCAAATCATCAACACCAAACTCGCCGTCGTCCGCCCCAGGGTCGGGGAAAGCTGACCAATCGACTCCTTCGAGAACTTCAACGACTCGTGGAATACCAGTCTTTTCGCCGTACTCATTGCGCTCACTATCGCGCTCAGCCGGGTTGCTGTCTCCATCCCAGGACACAAAGTCCCATCCTAGCATGCCCCTGTCGGACAGACAGGTTTCTTCCAAGTCCTCCAAGGCTTTGGCGAGTTTCTCTGGTTTGACGTTGGATGATGTGGATTGCAAGACCACGATTGAAGCGATATCCCGACCGTAGCTGTCGTCCTCGACTGCCTCCCGGAAGGAGTGGACTGCTTCGACAAGCGACACGTAAGAATCTGGGATTGCAGGATTTGCCGATATTGGTAGGATGAGAATGATACCGCCGATTACAGCGCGGACTTCGGCAGCGGCGGGCGAGAGCATTTGAGACTTCCACCCGTCGAGTGTCGAAGAAGAGTCGTTATTTGCACCATCCCCAGGGGAGTCATCCTCCGACTCCTTTCTCGCCTTTGTATCTGGCTGCCGGGCTTCGCGCTGGGTTGCTCCTGTGGTTTCGATGGGCAACTTATCGCACCATATACTTACATCGGCGTTGTAATATTTTGTTCTCAGCTCCAGTGGCGGGTGGGAGGTATACCCCGCAAACACTGTGACTTCATCTGAGGGTTTTGTGCCAGTAATGGCTTCCAAGAGACTGGCAAAAGGTGGTACTGATGTTGATGGGGTTGCTGGTGCAAGTATCAGCAGACGAAAAGAGGATGGTTTGGCGGTTGTCATCTCGGAAGCAATGTCAGTGACTATGCTTTGGCGATTATGTCGCACATTGGTGATTCTGATGATTCTGACAAAGCGGTCTTGTCATAGGCAAGAAACGACCTTGTACATCCATATCCTAGGACCTCGAGAGTTATGGACTACAAGTAGGAAAGATTAAAGATATGGTATTTGAACCTCGACTCGTTTTATATCTGGCCTTGGCGGACGACTTTCCAGGCGCCAAAAGAGTCGCCTAATATCAAAGCCACTTCAACAAGATCATTCCTATTGCACGGCCACCTACTTCGAATGCAGGTGCATCGCAACTCATGGGCGTGTTCAGCTGTCCATCACCTCCCGCAAAACACGCTTCTGGTTCCATCTTGTAGGGTCTCGCCTGCTGTCCATGTCCTCCTTTGGACTTTTCACCGCCATTCGAACCCATCGTGGCAACGCCGTCCCTCCTGAGTAAGTAACGTTCTACCAGGTAGATGTGATCCCAGCCCGCCACTGTTTGTGATTTTTTTCCTCAAAGCAACAAAACTTCCACATCCTGATCTAGCCTCTTCTTCCAGCTCTTGCCCTGTTGACAGTGGCTCTTCCTCTGGCCAAACCAACACCACGTCCTCTTGTACCTCGTGATCTGAACATGGGCGCATTCCTCAACATGTCTGGAACAATGAAAAATCGCACGTGGCTGCCTCGAATGTAGACTTGATCAAGATGTGATACTCGGCCGTCGCGTGCCGTGGCTGTAATGTCTTTAAGTTGGACGTTCATGTTGTCTTCGGCTGTAGAGGAGAACAGTCAGCATTACCAGTCAAAGGCAACGGATTTGTGGTGAAAGAGCAGGATATGCACGCTTAGGCGCAAGGGACATGTATGCGTACCTTCGAGCAGTTTTCCTCGATAAACCTGGCCGGAAGTGAGCTCTATCGTAACAACGTGGCCCTGCGCGAGAATTGTTAGCCGATGCGCTTATTGTAGAGGACGCTCCTCAATGTATTGACGCACCTGGGCCTCGTTGAGCAGCTTGATGGGGATGCCGATTGTGGATGTGAGTTTGCCCATGATTGGCAAAGGCGCTCTGGTTGTCTTGGGCGGAAAGAGGGAGGCTCGATCAAACGATTGTGTCTCAGTGTATCGTTCGAAATACGTTGCCGGAGTGTGCGACAAGTGATTGCGCTGTTGGTTGAAGTTGTAGATGTTTTGGTGGTTACTGGGAATGAAGCGCAACGCACGAAAAAGCAGCATTTGCACCTGCATTTCTAAAATCCGGGGCCACCAGGCTAAGTTATCTCCGCACTCGGAAATGTTGTTATGCGCATCACATCACAAGTCCATCTCTCTACTCGCTTTTATATATCATCGTCACTCTACTACTCGACATCTTACCTGGACATGCCGCTCCTTTCCAATGTGCCAGCCCTTCGATTGACGCTTGCTTACGCCCTTCATGACCCTTCGTGCCTCTTGCCACACAGAACCATCCCAACTCTACTCTCACTTCCACTGCCGGTCGGTCCTTGCCTCCCAACGAACCCCACGATTCGGGCTATCGTCTTAGACAAAGACAATACTATTTGTCCACCCGAGACAGCTAAGCTACATTCATCATTCGTCAATAAGATTGAGAAGATCAAACAGTCGTCAGAGTTCTCCCACAACGCCCACAGCATATTGATAGTATCGAATACAGCAGGCAGTTCTGCAACTCCAGAGCACGAAGCAGAAGCCAAGCTGCTCGAAGCCGAGCTTGGTCTTCCTGTCCTGAGACAGCATCCAGACCGTAGGAAGCCTCTCTGCGGACCGGACATACTTGAGTACTTCAAACAACATGGTGTCACAGACAACCCAAGGGAGATAGTTGTAGTGGGAGACCGACTTGCTACCGATGTTCTTGTGGCTCACCAGATGGGCAGCTGGAGTGTTTGGTGCAGGAACGGCTGGAGAAATCCCGAGATACCCGGAAGGGACTACAGAGGCTTCTTAAGCAAGATGGAAAATCGATTCGAGCGAATCATGAGGGGTGGTCTCCAGAAAACTGCACCTCTACCAAGGACGACGTTACCTATGAAAGAGCCTTGAAGTCGCTGAAACGGCACACACAAAGTTCAGTATTGACACCAGCTTCCATGAGCACCATACCAATATCCCGGGGATTTGAGACCGCAGTACATGCTCCTGGCACGCCTGCACGCCATGCCCGGTTCTTGTGAATTTGCCATCAGCAAGCATTCCATCCTCTCCGTCTGGCAAGAGCACTGAAGACACCGGCTCTGTACAATTCACAGCGTATGGCGTGTGGTCACCATAGCTGTCCGGCTTCGGCCAGAGAGGCGGCCATTCAGTAGAAACTATGATTTTTCCTGTGGCTCACTGGAAGATCCAGACATAAGTGTCGGGCTTCCATTTGAGATATCGACATCCTTGGAGGGACTGTTGTATGCAGGTAGAGTCTCGTCGGCTTTGTGCGACGTGGTACGTATGGCAGGAAGTTCGGACGCTGATGGGAAATTGTATCGACTGGTAGACGGCTGTGAATTCGAGGATGATGTCTCCGCTGCCGGGCTTGAAGGCGTCTCTCTCGGGCTGAACGGCGTTTCTGCTGGGCTGAGCGGCATGGTTGACATCCGCTGCACGCCTCTTCTGACCAGTTGACTGGCATCCGAAGTCATTCTTCGGCTCGTAATTTGGGCGATGGCATCTTTCATCTTGAATCTGTTTTCTTTGATCTTCACTTCTATCCGTCCGGAAATGGGGACCTTGGTCCAGTCGGAGTCGCCTTCCATCAACATGAACCTCGCTGCTTCGAAGAAGACTGTATGACTAGAACCGGAGTTCTCAATGCACCAGGCGTGTTTCAGGTCGATTTGGTGCTTTATACACGTCGTTCTGGCCGAGACTATAGCGTCTACAGTCTCTTCGCGGCCAACGTTTCTGTCGCTGCCATTTGTGTTATCCTGGAAATCTGGTGCCAGAAGGTGGTTTAGTTCCATGCGACTGGGATTGGGGCTGTCATATTGAAAGAACAAGGACTTTAGACATTGGAGGCCTTGTGGAGACTTGTTCGAAATGGAAGTGTATGAGAGGGTGTGCTCTGTGACATAGACTTTGTTCCCCATGGTGTACGAGAGGTTAGCTGTCTTGGACGTGTCATCTGCTAGTTGTGAGAGACTGTCGCAATGCGCGGGGAGCTTTGTGGACGACGATAACGTGTAGTGTATATATAAATGAAGTCGACAGTGCCTGATCGACAGTGACCTTTGGTGGCTGTGGTTGATTCAAAGGGTCTTCATCACGAAACAACCAATCTCCACCTTGACCTTGCGGCCAGGCTCCCATTTCATGTAGCCTAACTCAATAGGGCACATTTGGTGGTGATTAAGGCGTCCTACTGACGAAAACTCGAAACTTGGGGATGAGTGGGTAGGCACGTAGGATAGAGACTACCTAAGCTTAGATAATTGAGCCCTAATTCCCTCCCCCACGATGAGAAGAAAACACAATGCTCGGCGTTGATCGTCTTCAATTTGGACAACTCTCGTCCCTTCAGCCCCAACATTCACGCGACCATGTCCTCAGGCAGCAGCATTATGGACGAGGAGAACAGTATCTCCACCATTGTCAGCTAGGGGAGCTCTTCATAAGCTATGTGACACGTCCTTCCGCAACAGCTCTCATTGTCTTTCATCAGCCAGAGCTCTTGCACCGATTGGTTTCTTCATCATTTGGTTGACATTGGTCGACATTGGTCGTGGTGAACAGTAACCACAGGATCCGCAAAACAATCACTGCCATAGCGACTTTTCATCTTTCCCTTGCATAAACACCATCGATTGTCATTGATTCAATTTGACAGTCATGTCCGGCGTTGTTGCCAAATCACTTCCATTCACTCGTCACCAGAGCCTGCTGCGGGATGTGTGTTTCATCGCCGAAACGCGCGAATATTCTTTGAACAAGCAAGTCGTGGACCTTACCAAAGGCCGACATCATCTCTCGGTTGGCTTCGCGAGATTTGATATACATCTCAGGGGTACGAAAGGATCCAGGGATCGCCTTGTATACGTTCACCCAGTTTTTCAAGGTTTCCACCTCCATCCTCAGTTGTGTGTCGATGGGTGTGAGACTGCCCACGACTGATTCAACACACCACAGTCGTTCTCTTTGCAAGTCTGGGAAACGGGACAAGAGAACAATGCATTGTGCCTCGAGTCTCAATTTCCATCCTTCGTCCGGGAAAAAGCTGGGTAATGAAAGGGCTCGATTTGCACACCAGAGCTGCCATCTCGCCGTCGCCTGATCCAGCGCAGGCTTCCCGGCCGCGGTGTACATCTCAAACCCGAGCATACAGTCGAGCTTGTGTTTCATTGCGGGATATGCATGGTTTCCATCTGTCTGTTTGTGCGCACGAGCAAGACACAGAATCTTGTCCTTGATGTCCAAGAATGTCCCATCACCTGCGGATGTTGCGTACGCCTCTCTGAATTCGTTTCCCATTCTCTTTACCCGCGGCGCAAATCTCTTCTGTGCAGTCATGTCCTTCAATTTTTGATTGTATGCGGCTATCGAGCTCGTCAAGCTGGATTTCCCATTCTCATCTGCGCCTTCGATTGAGGTGCCAAAGCCGTTGACTCCGTGGCCAATCCAGAAGAGGAGGTCGTTCTCCAGTCGTCTCAGCAGTGCTTCTCGGTCTTTGCATTGGAGTATGTTACACATTCTTCTCTCCGACGCAAACTGCAGAAGAACAGTCCCGAGATGCCACGGTCCGCCTTGAGCCCCCTCAAGGAGATGAAGGGCAGGTCCCAGCATGTGGAGGTCGACTGCAGGGATGACTATTGTCTCGGAATTATCATGGCCTGCCACACTAACAATGACCTGAATCACAGGCTGACACGGAGGGTTCACCGTGTTCCAGCGTTGGAGATCTGGAAAGTGCTGTCGAAGGAGCTTGAAATGCCCAGAGTCCACTCGAATTGTGATGAAGCCGTTGACTTTGAAGAACAGGTCGCTTGCCTCCAGATGCAATTGCTTGCATACGCGAAAGATCTCGTTGTGCTTGTGCGGCGCCCGTTGGAGCGGAAATATGTTGCTCATGGGGTCATCTTCACAGCGAATGCCAAACCACCGCAGGCGCATCGGAGACCTAATTTCCATCGTGTGTCGCAAGATGTTCCACGCCACAGCAGGAAACCCTTGGGATTGAGCTACGACTTCGCGGTCGGGTTCAAAGGCAAGAGCACGACAAAGGATCTCGCGACGGACGTCTCCATGAACGTTCAACAGAGTTGGACGCTCGGCCGACGCCATCTTTGTCTTGGTCGAAGGTGTTTGTTGTCAGGATATTCAATAGTCGCGAAAAAACCAATACAAACTGCGCCCAGGCAGTGAAGCAAAAGAACGCTAGGACAAGTCGAGCGATCACCGATGTGTGTCTAGAGCCCGACATCAAGAGAGAACAAAGCTGGTGTGGTGAAGCATGGGCGGTCTCTGTCATCACCGGTGATTGCATTGTTCTATCTACGCCTGACGGCGACCGCTCTCATGCTGATACCAACCGACGATGGATGTCTCAATCCTCCTGAGCTCCATAGCTTGATAAGATCGCAAGACTCATCGTTGGTTGCTCGCCAAAATCTTCTTCCACCTCCTTTGTCCACAACAATAGAGACTATGGCGCTTCCAGACACCGCCAAAGTGCGAAGTCTAAAATCCTCGCTTAGCTATGCTCACGCGGTCCCGCTGTGTGAGCAATCAACACTGACAACCGTCCAGACCGAAGAAAAGATCAAGCACATTGCTTGCAACAGAAGTGACGAGTTCACAGCTTCCCTCATAGAGTCCCTCATCCGTGACGACGCAGACGATGAATGGCAGCCGCCGAAGAAGAGGAAGGAGAAGGACGAGAACAAGGACGAGGACGAGGACCAGGACGATATGACAGGGGGACGTCCGGCCTATCTGTTCCTCGTTGCCATTGTTACACTCCTCTTCGTCATTGCTGCGAGTTGAAGAGGAGTACTACTACCATATCACAACATAATGATCCTGCACAGACCTCCAGGCCTATCGTGCCGTTCTATCTTCGTCAGGGAGAGTCCCCTTGGTCAAGTATCGGGCCGTTTGTTGGGCGTCGAATGTGCCGTGGCGATATTGTTGAGCCGTTACGAGGAATTGACTTTGAGACCACGCCTTTCGTCATTTCCCTTCCCAGCACATGTTTGAGATTTAGCACTCCTGCTTACCTTGAGTCAGTGCTGGATGAACGGATGCGAAGACCCCTACGCGCGTGAGGTGAGTGGAAGTTGAGTGGGAGGTAACTTAGTATCTGGGCAAAGGCACATCTAGGAAGTCCCCCTGGCTGGCACAGCCTTACAAGCCCGGTGCTGTGATTGGCTCTTGGTGGGATGTCAGTAGTCAGCCCCAACCTTGTAAGGAGGTTATGTAATAATGAGAACGATGACAAAGACTACGATGGCCATCTGGCAGAGAAATGCACACTGTGTGCGGTCTCGCAAGACATGTCATTGTCGTAACTAAGCAGATCTGCCTTCCCTTTCCATGAGAGAAGCTACCTAAAACCAGCCAGCACGTTACCTACTGACGACCTAACTCCACGCTGTTCAACCATGCAAATTACCATCAAGTAAAAGTGTCAGATCGAAGACACCTTCAGCACTTCGTGATCGTCATGTTCTCATATCTCCCATCATTAAGCATTATGACGTCGTACTCTCGTCTCGGTACCAGAGTGGTATGCTGCAACCGAATATCGCCGTACGAGCGGCCTGCGATTAGGAAAGACCCCATTGCGACCTTCCCTACGGCGGCGCCCATCGAAAAGTCCAAATCAACCCGGTATAGCCCTTCTTCGGCTTCAAACGCGGTCCCAACAGTGCCGTGACAACCTGCTGACATCGATCGGCAACGGCCAAAAGGGTTTCTTTGTTAGTGCCTCGCTGTATTGGTTTGAGCAGGTCGGCGCTCAAGTCTCCTAGTGCCTGCCATTGTGGCGACTTTGCTTTGCCCTTCTCTTTTGCTTCTTTCCAGAAGATACTGCAAGTACCTTGGAGTCGGCGAATGCTGTAGGCTGCATTGAGGACATCATCCCGCTCAGCAAAAAGCCGTAGAAGCATAATCTCTAGTCGGATATTCCATTCCGGCAATGGCGTAGCACATGGCAACCGCAAGGCAAGCAGGCCGCTCGTGATGGCAAGTTCTCGAGCCAGGCGTGGCTCGAGACGGGTAGTGGTAGGGGCACATGTACTCGAAGCTTGCTGTTGAAGCAGAGTCTCGGTGACGTGATTAGGATCAGGCCCGCCACCATTTTGCTTAACATTGCTTTCTCCGTGGTTGCTTTTCTGGTCCGGGTCTTCAGCAGGTAAGCAGGGAGATGCTGGCGTTATTGGAGACGTGGGTGCCATTGGTGTCACCGGCGTTGCGGACCTTGCAGGCAATAAGGGGTCTGCTGGCGGCGTAGGCATTGTCGGCAAATCATTGAATACTTCGCTGGTCCCTTCGTCCGTTTGCTTCGGATTGATTGTGGCACTTTTCACGGGCGGGTGATCTGCGGATACCTTTCTCTCGGCCTGGACGGCCGGAGCACTGGTCAAAGCGATGCGCTGTAGTGAATCGCCTCGGAGCTCACACAGTCTGTAGGAGCTGAGAGCGATCAATTTGCAGACACGGTTGATACCATCCTTGGTTTTAGATGACACATCAACCAATTCACCAGTCCTGGTGCGAACTAAACTGCAGGCTTCGAAGCAGACTCTTTCGTAGAGCAGCTCCGCCCCCAGATAATTCGCTTGAGAGACGCAAACGTCGGCGTGAGCCATTATCTGCTCAAGGTAGGCGCAAATAGCACTGTAGGAATGGAGATTCGCGTCCGTATTACTAGCTTTCATGTGTTTGCTCAGCTCAAGACGTATTGACTCCAAGCGCTCCTCGGATAGTCCCTTGGTAGCAGACGCCTCTCTCCTGGATCCAGTGAGACTGTGGAACTCTACCGAATTGATCTGCCGGTGTAGCCATGGCAGAACGGCGAATTTGACGAAGGAATCTGTTCTGTTCGCATGTTTGTATCGGGGATGAGCTGATATGGTGAGATTGTATCGCATTCCGTGCGCAAACGGGCCCTTGTTCATGATCCACAGTGCATGCGTGAAGTCTGCAGCGTCCTTGTAGCTGCATATGTACACCGGAGTACTTGGCTTGACATTCTGACCACTGAATAGCATCACAGGCTCAAATGCCGAACCGCCGCTTGACAACCGGGTTGAAGGAAGAGGGCCCCAAACCGATATGCCATAATTTCTGAATTTTGCTCCCAGCCCTTTGATACCGGACTGTAAGGCAATCACCTTGTTCTCCGCATACAGCACCGTCTTGCCTTCACAGTAGAGCTTCCTGCATGTTTGCAATAGGGCCACATCGAGGCGACAATTGTTGATGACGGGCGGAAAGCCATCAATTTCTTGATTCCCCCTATGTCTGAAAGGTGCAGCTTCCAGTATCCGGCGTGGTTCTAGTCGGAGGAGTTCGCTGATGGTACGAGGATGTGCCCGGCGAGTGTATGATTTGCGATTGCGATCGATGCGTAAGAGATAGCGGAGGATCTTGAGACGTATCTCAACAGGTAGGCGCAGCAGATGCGATGTCGTTGGGGAGGGTTCGTTCGCGAAGGCTTCCTCCTCTTCACAATCAAGTATCAAACGCAGGGTGACAATCTCTCGCGATTGCAGAGGCATGTTCTCGGCATGGCACCGATCAAGCACAATAAGGTCGCACTCCAGTCAACCTGCGACACGTTGTTTGACTTGTTTGACCATCTATCTTCGGCACATAGAATGACAGAACGGAGTAGTGGGATTCACGCTTTGAAGGTTACGACAGGGCTGAAGTTCAAGGATGGAATGAGATTCATTTTCTTTCCCGGTGAAGTGAGCACAAAGTAAACGGTGAGGCATCACAGGCAGATCAAAGGAACCTTGGCTCTCGCCGCCTTCCTTCTACGGGAGGATGCCTGAAGAAGCCGATCAAACCACAGCCAAATGAATGGCGCCCAACAAGGCTGCTGGAAGTGTCATGATTAACGAGGCGACCATGAAGAACATGGGCAGTGGATGAATGCGGCAGGACGATCATATGACAGCACGTCACGTGCAGTATCAGCGCCGACAAGGTCGATAATATCTCACGTTCCCCTTGCTAATTGGATGCGATATACTCGACTCGACTTCTGTCTCAGAGTATCTGAGAATAGCTTCCCGTCTGTGACAATCCTCGATGTTCATATCTTCCAGGTCACCGTTTCCGGATCGCGTATCGTTTGGAAAAAAACATGCTCCAATATTAGCATTTGGGGCAGTCTCAGAGGGACACCTCAACTCGTATCCATCGTATCGCCATCCGACTTTCTCTTCTCTTTCACATATGCAACGAAGTCGTCGATCGCCATCGGCCAAGCACCATCTTCCTTCCACCATTCCAAGGACTCGCCGCCGGATTCTCGGGTCTTAGTGACGAGTTCGCCAACCATGTTCCACAAATCCTTGTTCACTGGTCTCTTGGTGTGAGATTCATAGAAGGCACACCACAGATCCAGCCATTTCGTTGATGCTGTACTCCACTCGATACCACCTTTACCAGATCGGAAGAACATATTCCAGAAGTCGATTGCCGAGTCCATCGGGACGCTTTTTTGGCCCTCTGGTTTGGCCAGCTTGAACGCGTTGCGGTATACTTGCTTGAAATAGGCAGGGTCCGAGGTGACTTTCTTCCGAAGAATGTCAAGGTACTGCGCTTGAGTAGCCGTTGAGTCGTATTGTTTGCTGCCGGAGGATACGCTGCGCCAGCCAGAGATGAAAGGTTCTCGCTCGAATTCGCCGATAGATGGGCATTGTAACAGGTTGCATATGGCCAAGTGAGCGACCTCGTCGAGTTCGACATTGAGATCGGTCAAGTACTTTTGAGCACCTTCTATCTCGAATCTGTCCGGGGCCTCTTTAGGTTTGTCTTCTCAACCATTAGCTACCGTCTAGGAGATGCAAGGATGGCCCTTACCTCGATATTGATCGAATAGTTTATTTAGGTTCTGCTGGGTTGGTGGTGTTGATGCATTGCCGGAACCACTCTGATAGAACCTGGAATGTAAAAGCCATGTCAGCATGTTCAACTTGATCGCTGTAACAACACGGACCGTCCAGACTGAGAACGACGACTTTTTCCAACTTTGCCTGACTTTGCTCTAGCTGGTGGACTGATGTTGGACACGCCTGAAGTAGACCCTGTTGTTCCAGGTATCGCCGACGTCTTAGCTTTCTTTGCAACCGCAGCCGATGGTGACATGTTGGTTGTCTTGCGTTTCTTTGGTGGCATAGCGAATGAAAAAATAACAAAGAAATGACCAAAAGAAACGATAGATGGACGCTCTTCTTTGACGTTTCGAGTTGTTGAAGGATTTGGGTGTTGAGAAGGAGCAGCCTGGCCCATCGAGGTCGAACGGCATCTGCAGTTTGAGGCAGTTGGTCTTGGCAGGGGACAACGCAATACCAGTGAGGAAGCAATCGACTGTCTTCAAGCAGTGCGGCCTACAGAGAACGCTGCCTGGAATAGTACGGATCATCTGGGCTAAAGTGCCTGTTGTGGCTTTGTCTTCACCTGGCATCTGGACGAAAGGCTTGACAACGCAGACGTCCAGACATTGACTCCAGCCGACGGATTCTCCCAATCTCGCGCCCCGACATCTCAGACTGAACGTGCGAAGGAACAATGGAGAAAGCAGATTGAGTGGCACTTACGAATCCAGAGCCCGTTCGACGTTCCAGTCATGATTCTTGAGAAACTGTGAGAAGGCTGTCTTAGTTACCAGATCTCCGTTTCCACACATTGCTCAAAATACCTTCGCCGCTATACTTTCCTTTGCCTGGGTAAAACTGACGAATTGTGTTATCGCCGACCTCTGGGATGAGGTATAGCTGGGCATGCTGTCGACGCCAACCGTCCAAAACGGCTGGCGCAGGGATTGACTTTGAGATCGATGGTCCGGGGTGTTGCGCAACCCGGGATCGATCAACAGTGTCCGATGCGTTCAGTATTCGCGTTGTTCAAGGGATGTCAATGATGAGATTGATCAATAATGAGCGCTTAAGGCGAAATGTATACGAGGTCGTGTGAAGAGACCTGGACGTGTCTCGTCTCGAATCGTTCACAAATTATTGATGACATAGGAGAGCGAACAGAAGCACTCGTAAAGATGCGGGCAACTTACGCGAGACCTATCTAATCTAATCTAATCTACCTGAGACTGCCATGTGGGGTATGACAGATGGTTGGTTTGTGCATGAGGGATATTTGTGTATCCGTACTGATCCCGATACTTCATGGCCGACGATAAGTGACCTATACCCGTGGCTATGCTTTCGCGTGGCTAGATCCAGCTCTTCGCTTCCCCGGTTCGTCGATCCCAAAAGGCCCATTATGGCAAATGGAAGTTGCTGCGGCACTCGAATGATTTACCCAAAGCAACTTCATGTACAGGCCCAGCGGAAGTTGTTGGTTATTTAATGCGGGTCGATCGACGATCAGGTACCGACCAAATTAGCGGGGGATATTGTGGCTGAATAAGGCCTCAATTTCTCTGGCCCAATCAAATCTAAGATGTGCAGATATAACGCCACCTATTGTGGCTGTAGCAGTTTCAGGTGCTTCGTCATATTCAACGAGGCGCAGTTGCGAACATTGGCAAGAAGTGAAATACATCTCTTGAAGCAGTCTCTCTACTTTGAGTCGGATCATTACTTGATCGATTTTCACTGCACCTTACACAGCCTGCACCATCACCTTGATCAACAGCAAAGTCGTCACTTTCTTCGGCTGTGATCCTTGCTCATCCGAAGGTACCCTGTAAGCTGTGGCCTCACTGCCTACTACCAAGACACGCAACTAACTCTTTTCAAAGAAAGAGCCTTGGCCTGCATACGAGATCATATACCACAGTATATCAGGCCTCAACAGTCTTTCACCTCTTCTCAACATCTTCCAAAAACCACTGAGATAGATTCTCAGCAGAACGAGACAACTCCCGAACCGACATCAGAAATGGGTGTAAGTTCTATCGCCGCAAAGGCCTGTTTACCCCTCGCTCGCCTTTCAAATCTGCCCCGCAAGAAGCCCAAATCACCCCTCCGAAAACTTGCCACAGAGCCTTCTGGGTACCTATACTGATGACGCGTATAGCTAGCTTCTAAGCTTGCCGCAGCACAGGGTGGGCAGTCTGCCTATCCCGGTGGTCCTCCCCAGAGTCTGCAGCCTGGTCAAGGTGCTCAAGGCCAAGGCGGATACGTAAGTAAAACTTGAAAAGATGCCATCATCAGAAGATAAGACGAGTGGGCAAACTGACGCATGAGACATCATCTAGAGCCCGGCTCCAGGCGGAGGTCAACAGCAGCAGCAGCAACAGTATCAGGCATATCCAGGTGGTCCGCCCACCGGTGGTGCTTCGGTAAGTTCCTGATCTCAACTTTTTGTCCGTCTCTTGGCCAGCACTCTTGCGTCACTCCTCTGTCCGTTGCGAACATCATTCACATATCCACTCGTTGTCGTGAGTGCAAACCAACAACGGATCTATTTTTACAACTTGGGCTGCACGACACCTCTGGGTCAATTCTGTCCCAGCAAACATACAATGAGTAAATTCTCTCGCTTGGCTACAGCTGCGCCGGCAGCAGCATCAGGTACTACGCCATATCCCCAAGCGCAACAACCCTACTCTTCGCAACCTCCAACGAGCCCATACCCGCAACAAGCATCTTCACCTTACAATCAACCAGTAGTACCACCGCGACCGAGCGCTTCACCTCAACCATATCAACAGCCATCATGGCAAGCGCCGCCACCGCAGCAACAACCACAATATGGGCAGCAACTCGGCGTGCCGCAACAGGGAGGGTATCAGTCTCCGCAGCCACAAGCCGCATACACCTCATATCAATCACAATACCAGCCGCCTAACCAGTATGGCCAGCCACCGTATCAGCAGCAGCAACCGCCCAGCAGTGGATATGGATATGTTCGTCACAGCGCGTTGCTTTTTCTTGTACATTCACTGCTATCAATGGCCATAACTAACCTTTTCTCTTTATACAGGGCGGTCCTCCAGGTCAAGGTCAAGGCCAGTCCCCCTATCCCGGCGTTCCACAAGGCGGTCCCCAAGGCGGTCCCCAAGGCGGTCCCCAAGGCGGCGCACCTCAACAATATGGCGGCCAACCCTCTTACGGCGGCGGAGCTCCTGCGGCACCAGTGGGCAATGCAGGCGCATACAAACAGCTTCTCCAAGGCACAATTCAAGAGAAAGGACTCCAGAATTTCTACCCACCAGGCCATCCATTGCTGGACCAGATAGCCAACCGAGCTGGCCAACAAGTCGCATCACTCGCTCAAACATGGCGCATCAATCCTGAGATCGCGTCTGATATTGTCAAGCTTGCCTTGTACGATGTGATCCTTTATATCGACGACAGCGGAAGCATGCAATTCGAGGAGAATGGCGAGCGTATCGATGATCTCAAGCTGATATTGTCACGAGTCGCCCATGCAACCTCTCTGTTTGACGAGGACGGCATCCAAGTCCGCTTCATGAACTCGCCGGAACAAGGTAACAACATTCGCAGCGAGCAGCAAGTAAACGACATGGTTGCCCGCACCCGGTTCTCTGGCTTGACACCCATGGGACGAGAATTGCAAAACAAGATCCTTGGTCCCTTGGTTCTCGGGGCTGCTCGTAGTGGTGCCCTGCGGAAACCCGTGCTGGTCATCACCATCACGGATGGACAGCCAACCGGTGAGAGCTCTGGCGACGTTGCCAAGATCATTAGAAACGCGTCGGACGAGTTGTCAAGGAACCCTCGTTATGGGAAGGGCGCAGTGGCATTCCAATTCGCGCAAGTCGGCAATGACCTCAAGGCCCGGGAGTTCTTGAGCAAGTTGGACGAGGAGCCGTCGATCGGAGACATTATTGACTGCACATCCAGTGAGTTTGGTCACGAGCCTAGCTGACGAGGTTACTAACCAGCTGAACAGACTACGAAGTCGAGGCCGACGAGATGTCTCGCGCCAACCCGCCAGTCAACCTCACGCCTGAATTGTGGCTGATCAAACTGCTCTTGGGAGCCATCGATTCATCATACGACACCAAGGACGAGAAGAGCAGTGCTCCGCGACCTCCGCAAGGAGGATATGGCGGTCCACCTCCCCAGCAAGGCGGATATCCACCGCAAGGTGGCTACGGTGGTGGTCCTCCTCAACAAGGTGGTTACGGTCAACAACAGGGTGGCTATGGTCAACAGCAGGGCGGGTATAACAGACCACCTCCTCCACCACAGCAAGGCGGTTATGGACAGCAGCAGGGTGGTTATCCAGGACAACAGGGAGGCTACGGAGCACCTCCTCCACCACCTCGCTATTAGGTTGGGCATGCAGCAGCGAAAGCATGGCATGACGGGCACAGTGGTGTCGAGGACGGGCATACGATGCGCTAAGCTTGTGCTAGGTCTAACAACGTCAAGCATCAATGTTCCAGAAGCAAACGTCATCAATAACGTAGTACATGCTGCAGCGACTCGGGCTGAGCGATATTTGTACGATGCGAACAGTATGAGAGCTGACGGAAAGCGGACATTCGTGACTTCGCAATCATCTTTAGCTGAGAGCATACTCCGTCGAGCAACCAGGCTAGCTGGCTACGAATGATTGACAAAAGCATTAATTTCAACATCTCCTGTCGGAATTTCCTATGTTTGATCACCGATTCGCTACGTTATGTGCGGAAAGGGGATATAGACAGATGAAGTATTGATTCCCTGGTTGTCAGCTTGACTTCGTAAACGCCAGCCTGACTTAACGTTGATCACCCCGAGATGCGGTGCGACAATAAGTATACGAAGACAGCGAGCGCGACGCAGAATCGGTGATTTCAATATGGACGGTTCCTGGCTGGATCCGAAAGTTGAGATATGCAGCATACGATCATGTCGTGCCATTTTCGGGTCAGGCCCATGCGGCGCATATGCATTGTAGATCGGAACTTGCCCTTGCATTGTGTCGCCCGTCGTCGATGGAAAGAAAACAGATGACGCGACGCAATAGAAAGGCTCCCAGGTGGTGATTTCTCCACGCTCTGAGTCATTCGTGGTCTATCGCGGTCTTGATGCGCTATTTCTTGATTTGATGCTTCGCTACAAGACCCTGGTGGCGACACAGGTGGCATGACCTGATTTTCTCGGTTGACGCTGCGCCGAAACGCGCGCTACCTGTGAGACAGACATTCCTCATGCCGTCGTCATATCTCAGGGCGACATGACAGTCGACGTCGAGTTGGGGAGCAAAAGCAAACTTGAGCAAGTTTCAGAATTGCGGGAAGTATCATCCTCTGCAGGTGGACATGCTTGAGAGATTTTCTCTGATCAATGAGAACCTGCTCATCGGTACTACATATGACATGGTCAGCGATGAGTGTGGCAAGCACGACGGATCCTGAGCACAAGACCAGGAGGACAGCAATGTTCCTTGGCTCTGGCGTTATGATCATCTGGGAGCAAGTTTTCCTCAAGAATCATGCCCGCGTCCCGTTGCCAAGGGGACTCAAGACTTCTCCAGTCCCTGCAGTATTGTCGTGGCTATACTTGGTAAGACTGGGTTGTTTTTGCCTCAAAGCCAAAGCGGTCCGACAGGAAAGATCTGTGATGTTACATGAGATGAGGCAACGGAAAAAAACTTCTTGACCCTTCGACTGCGAGATGGGGCGTGTGCACGTATACCTGGGGTAGACCTTCCAAAAGAAACGGTCAATGCGCTACAGGCCAAGTGTTTCAGGATATTTTTGTGTGAATTTTTCTTCAGCATTCGCGGACGCGTTCTAGGTCTGTGCCGTGAAGACGACGTTGCAACATTCTTCAAAATGTCTGGGTTACAAGGGTGCAACTGAGATGACGGTAGCCGGCAGAACAACGGCTGGTAAAGCTGGTCGATGAGGTCTAGCCGTGATTGTTGATGTGTTTAGGAGTAGCTTTTTGGCATGCGAGATGTTTTTCTTGCGAATACCTCTTTTTGGCAGTTCAAGCAGAGGCTGAAGCGGTGTGGAGGTGGTTTTTTCTCCGCGGTTCGCAATGAAACGGCAAGGGATTGGCTGAGGAAGCGAAACCCAAAGCAAGAAGAAAAGACAGGGGTTAACAAAAGTCAAGATGGCTGAACTGTGGCAGCATGACGGAGAGTAAGGTTTCGGTATCAGTTTGGGTCGGATGGTGGTAAACGACGGGAGGTTTTTGTGGTCTGGGAAACGTCAGGAAGGTGAATTTCGATATTGACGGAGCGGAGCAACATTATTGTAGCATGGATTGATTGAGGCTGTTTAACGGATGAGGGCCGGGTGACAGCTGACAATAACTGAGTGAGTGAGTGAGTCAGTCCAATTGAGAATCATGATGATGTGCGTAGATACAGAAAGAAAACGTATAATCGATGACTCTGATTAATTGATTCAATTGTTACAATAATGAGTTTGAAGCTTGATGGACGATGACTAACAACAGCGGTTACAAAGAAAGTGTAAGATGAGACGGAGATGGATAAGATGGAGATGGCAGTTGGAGCGAGAGTCGCAGGTGCAGCTGCATGTGCAAGTGCAAGTGCATCCCGCCCGTAGCAGTGGATTTGGGCTGAACGAGTCTGAGTGACTCTGACAAGCCCAGGTAGTGAACCCTTAGAAAAACACACCGACTTGGAGGACTTTTGGTACAGTGATAGGGACAGTTAGTGGGGAATTCGTCTTTGCTGCACGTCACATTAGCATGCGAGGCACAGCAGATGCCCTGTGGCCCCTGTGGATTGCCCTTGTAACCCTGGAACTCTCCAGCCAATCGAATGGGCAAATCTGCTCAAAGGGCCCAATACCACTTTCTCTCTTGGTTCTGTCCTTTTGACTCTCTTTTTTCGCTTGAAACCCATGAAACAGATCACGAGCAATGGCCTGATTATCCAGGCACCCTGGGAACTGAGCGCAACAATGGATCTTGACCCTCAAAATGCAACCCTGGTCAAACCACTCAGACCGTCTCTGGCAGGCCTTCCCAAATTGGGGGCTTCACAAGGCGGACCAGGGTCAACTCGGTCACTGACACCAGGGGTCTCACGTATTAAACGGTGAAGGAAGAATATTACTTGCATATTTGCTGACTCTGACTCTACCAGCTACAAACTGACTATCGACTGAATAAATATTCATATATCTTTCGGGAATCCGCCTCTTCTAGACTCACATCTACTTTCCCAATCCATCAAGTCATCTTACCACTAGATGAAGCAGAAAGTGTCTGTGCTCAGCACTCTCCCTCAAATTTATCGGCAAGATTAAGATTTATCGAATACAATACATACCAACCCCTCACCTCACCTCATACTTCATATCTACAAAAGAATTCACTTGGATATAAACTACACATCATGTCCATGCAAGTTCCAACCATTCGAATTCAACGCCCATCAATCACCACAATGCCTTCCACCTGTGCATCCAAGGCTGCCCTGCTCAAGGGTCTCCGACCTGTCTTCGCCAGCCAGCAACAAGTCGCTGCCACTCAAAAGGTCCTCTCCATGGCATGCCAGACATCTTGCATCTACTGCGACATCTGGCAGTTGGCTGCTCTCACCGCCACACATATGCCCTTGGCTGCCCGATACAACCTCCGCTCCAATTCACCAACGAGCTCACCAACATCCTCAACTCCGTCAAGCCCGACGTTCTCTCCAATGTCGAGAACAACATCAGAATCAACACTATACCCACACATCTCGTCTGCCGCAAAGAGGATCGAAGCTCAAATGCAAACTCAACGGTCACAACTCTCATCCATCCTCAGCTTCTGCACGGTATCCGGAGTGGAGGGGTGTGAAGGTCTCCGAGTCGCTCATGACAGATGCTCGGCAGCCGTTGAGGACCTTCTTGACCAAGAAGAAGACCTGGAAGAAGAACTTCTCGAAGAGCTTCAGGACCAGTACGACTACGACTACGGTTATGCTTCGCAGTACGCTTACTCCGACGACAAAACATACGAATACCCCCAGCAGAGACGGCCGAGCTTGGTCGACGTGGCAATATAGACTCATGGTCTTGTTGTGGTGGAATTATTTGGGCAGCGTTCTAGCGACACAAAAGCAAGCGAACAACAGTCTTTACTATTTGGAAACTTCAGAACCCAGCTTGAAGATATGGGGGTTTTGAGCAGCAGCCTGCTCTGACCAACAGAGGCCTTATGACATGACATACCTACGAGATGATTCAGTGTATCACAAATGATAAGATACTAATTCTTAATCACATCCACTCTGACCTGCTATCTTCCTGTGCAACTTCTTCCCTTTCCGTCCGCCTATCTCGACGTTCATCGTCAAAGTGGCATGATACTCGCGATAAATCATTATCAGACGCGTTCCAGACACTTACAGAAAGCCTTTTTGCGCGTCGATAGTGAAGCAAACTATGGGCATACTACGCTGTCAATAGATCAGCATACAGTTTCCCGTCCCGGTCATTCACGGACGCCCGACCATGCCTATTCCGTGCTAGAATCACCCAGGATGTGCTTCCGACTTTTGAAGGCTGGCTCAGGCGGTCCGAGCTGAGAGTCCGTGCGATTGGGTGACAGCACTATGACAGCGTTGAGTGGTGCCGGGCAGCGCCACGGATGCGCATCTTTGGAGATCACAAATTCACCAATGCTCAAATGCTGCCGTAACGTGAACAGTGCGCTTCAGCCTTTTTTTTTCTCCCAGACAGCCACCGACCACCGTAAATGGTTCGTTTGGCAACTATCGACTTTCTGGAAATTCTCTTTCCCATGGTTGACATGTCGGATCATGCTGTCATGAACGAGGCCAGACCTGATGATCGACACTCCGCGAAATACAACGAGTATCGTATGACTTGCGAGCTCTGATTCTGGGTGACCTGATGCTGGCTATGGGAGGCTTATGGTGACCGCAAATTGCTAGTTAAGCGATTAAGCGAATACTGGCCGCAATAATTCCCGACTCGAGTTCGACAAGTGGACAGCCCTACAGTAGTAGATGCCCCCTGTAGTCATCTTTCACCCGGGCTAATGCATGCAGGCGGTAAGCGGTCAGGGTCTTGTTGGCATGGTGTGTTGCACAACGAAGCCCGAAAGCCCGGGTAGCGGCTCTTTTGGGGGCTGTCGCAAGGGTAAGCTCTTCACGGGTCAATATCCCGACCCGGCGCCCGTATGCTACAGACTTGTTGCTGGGATACTGCGTAAGAGGAGTTCCGGTCAGCTGGTTTGCCAATCGAAAATTGCCTGAAGCGGTGACTTTGCATATTTAATGTGTGGAGGAACACGAGTTACGCGATGGTGTATGCACCTAGTTGGCGAAAGTGCGAGATACGGATATCGGACTTGCACAGTGGTACAACACCTCGTTCATTGAATACATGGTGCTGTGCACGATCAGGCTCCGAAGGAACATTTCCGGTAGTGCTTGCGCACAGCACCTGATGCAGTTATATTGACGACCACGTCAAGGCGTGATGTTATTCAGTGTGTTGATGAACAACATGCCTAGTAGATGACCCGGCCGTAGAAGACTACTGAGAAGCCTGTTCGCGAGTTGACTTAGCGCACGAACGACCCAATAAAGCCATCAACATCAGGGCGGGTCACTTCGCGGGGCTCGATACTGTGATGTTCCTGATTGCTTCGATATGCTCGATCAACGAAACCCAAAGCAATGATACTGTATGTCTCGCAAATTGACTGCACTAAATTATGTCTGATTACAAACGATAGTTCGTTAGGCGACACTGTCAGCTTAAGTGATACGAGAAAACAGGACCCATTATTTGGAAGGGCTTGCAAAGACGGGGGCGCTCAATAATCGTCCGGGCCGCACCTGGTAATTCGTCAAAGCCCTTAGACGAGAGGGCCGAGCGAGATCGACACCTGCGGGAACGACGGTCTTCCTCCGAAATCAATGTTCTTGCTGATGAGATCAGACGGCGACTTGGGGTCGGTTTCATTCCTGAGTCCTACTGTTATTTTCTGATAAGACCGATCAATGGCGTGCATCCAGCCAGTAGTAGGGCATCAACGTCCTGCTTGATACAGTGATGGAGATGCATTCATCAACGGTTCAAACGGGCAGCCAACACCATCAAGCGGACTAATGGCTACTTGTTGAACGACTTTATAGAGATCAGATGCCCAATCTGGAGGTGTTGAAGAACGAATCAGGGAGACTCATGTCGTAGACCTGACTCTCTGCTTCCGTGACTATGATTACTGATTGGACCACTTGTCTAGGTGTACCTGTACCTGTACCGAGGAGGTCGACCTCAGATTATCAGCTCCTCGTTTTCCCAGCTAGATCCTGATGGATCACAGATCAGGATTATGAAATCCTCTTTGGGGCCGAGGGAAAGAAAAGGCAGGTCTAGATCAGGGACAAAATCCGAAAGCAGCCTGTAATAAAGGTCGATAAAGTCCATATGTGGTCATACAGGTAGTAGATGGTGAGAAAGAACCTGTGGTCCAAGCTTCTGACCTTATGGATCAATAGAGTAGAAGCTTGGATCACCGCCTTGTGGACTGTGGCCAGCGATACTTACCTGATGTTCAGACCGCTTCAAGGGATACCACAGTAGGACATGATGGATCAATAAAGTGCTGTGAAATGGTGGACAAAAAGTCCCCTAAGCCGAACCCAAGGCACCCGAGGCAGTACCCCTGCTTCAAGGCAGATCTGTTGCTGACCGCCATTCCCAACCTGTCAAACGGACTTTTGGTAGAGCTGTGGCGGGGTGCATGTGGGCTGTTGCAGTACAGTGGTTGACTGATAAGAGGGCTGTGTGGTGTGGCGCTTTTTCGCGGCAAGCCACATCGAGCATCGGACACCGACCTGAGCTCCTTTTGCTGTAAGTCGTGATAGCGTCATCTGTAAGCTTTCTTCGAGATGTTGGTGACAATCGTGAAGCGTCAATGTTCTTGCGCATCGCTCGTGGTCTTTAACGCATCTCAACCCACTCGACAATGATTGAGAGTTCATCTGTAGGTCCACAGTACCACAGTAATCGTGATCTGAAAAACTGCTGATCAAATGCGGAGATGGTATCCTGCTCGTCGTATCATCTCGCAGTTGCTTCGAGAAAGAGTTTGCAATCCCGGATTGACCCGAATGTACACGTGACCCCCACTTTTGACTCCTGCCTTCAAGAGATGCAGACTTCTAACCAATACCAAGGTGAACTTAGGTATTCTTCTTCTCATCTGTCTACAAAGCTCATCGGAAAGTGGACCGAAAGATGGCATCGATCAGTCAAGCAAGATTGTATTGTGCACATGACCCTCGTGCAGCGCTGATCACTGCTGGAACAGCGAGAGCCGCTTCGTATCTTGAACCGTGGCGCAAAATATGTCCATCGACCTTTCTATCCTATCCAGCCTCGAGGCCAAGGTGGAAGCTCGGAAACTCGTTTCTCGGCTGTTGAGACACAAGATAACATCCATTTCCACGGAAAGGGACCCAATTATGCAGGGCCGAGGTGTTGAAATTCAGATCCCTCCTTTTTTCGAGATCTTGAACCCTCGAAAACAGGATTCTAGAAACTTTGGGGATGCCACCAGAAAGCACGTCGACAAGACAACCACCACCTTCAACCACCGCTAAGACTCCACCTGACTAACGCAAGGCTCCTTGCTACTGAACGAAACAATTCGATTTATCCAGGTTTTCACGATCAGAAGGACTCTTCTTGACGCCGACCAGGTATCACAGTAGTCGGTAAGTCCCACAATCCGGACGCTGCCGGACTCACATGTCCAAAAGAACGAGGGCCGGAAATCCAAACCACCAAAATATCGAATCTGATTCAAGCACCCAGTATCATGCCCCTCTTGGCCCCATGTCCATGATCTTCCACAGACGGTTTCCATTTGTCCCTTTTTCTCTATCACTTTGGGCTTCTATCTACTTTCAGTCCGCAGTGTCGCTGTTAATTTCCTGTCAACCCACTCAGCGGATGGCAAGCTAAACCATCGTCCCATTCCGCTGTAGGTGGAATGCCAATCTAGGTCTATATCTGTGGCTGTTCCCTCTGGTCTTTTTCGCGCCGATCGCACGTGCACCATAAACCTGGAAGCTCGTCTAGATAAACAGCCAACTTTGGACGGTTGATCTGCAACCCCAGCTCCTTTTAAGCTTTGCCTGGCTTTATCTCGCATCTATGGACCCCCCTCGTCCTACCCTCGGTGTTTTTGGCAGCGAAGAGTCCAATGTTCTTCCAGAGGGTGGCGAGGGTGGCGAGCCATCCCTGGCCGAGGAGGCAGATCCCGCCGCGGACGCCGCCACCGCCACATCAGATTCGGGACTACAAGAGCCGTCCGATAGATCGCGAGCGCGAGCCTCTCTGGCTTGTTATATGTGTCAAAGGAAAAAGATCCGATGTACAGGAACGTTTCCCTGCGCAAATTGTCAGCGACGAAACTGGTCTTGCAGGTTCGATGCACAGGCTGATGGGAGAAGAAAAGCCAACAACCGCCGCACTGTCCAAGACTTGAACGAGGCTACCGAACAACTGAGACGACAGAGGCAAATGATCTCTGGTATGCTAGCAATCATGAAAGTAGGCGATCGAGACACCATCAGCCATCTAGTACAACGCGTCAGTCAGACTCAAAATCTAGGTGAGATTGCCGAATACATCCGTACTGAAGTGGAAAAGGATGGCAAACTTCAAGAGTCCTTCTTAGCAGTCGACTGGGCAGCTGCTGGATCTCAGCTTTGATCGGCGAGAAGTCGAGGACGGTCCGAACGCTCTACACAACGCGCTATGAGCGCAATCATTGTCCTCGCGCGACCATCGAGCTTCCACAGAAACCGCGCACACAAACCTGTTACGGTATGCCAACATATGACACCAGTAGGCAGAGCAGATACAGTTCGAGAGACGACCGGAAAGGTGTTCGAAAGAGAGGAGGATGCGACACGCACGCATGCATCGTCTAATACAACATCACCTTCGACGAACCCGAGCATTGGAGCAGGCTGCTCATAATCCACACAAAACGAGCTGCTGGAACATCAATCACCTCCTCAGCGAACCGCAGCCGCTCGGCTTATTTCGCTCACACTCTCAGTTCGTCACAATTGTAATGAGAATCCGAGCTCTCCAAGCAAGAACGCCTGTTCCTACTGAATGCTTGTATCGGACATACAATACATCACACGCACCCGATCCGCGCAACCTTCTGGGGGCCTAAGGCACGTGGTATCCGGCTTATACACATTGAGCGAGGTTCGTGTCAGCACTGCCAGGCCGAAGCTCTCCTTCTCAAAACTCCCCACGCAGACGACCGGAAGTTGTGAACAAGCCTGAAGCACAGCATTTTTGAAAGAGGTGGAAGGGATATCTCTGTGTAGTCGCACGGACCTTTGATCCAGGCTTGCGTGCAATGGATGGTCGATCGATATCGCGCTGAAGAGAAGGTTAGACTCGGCTGAATACAAGATAGGTAAGAATGGCTTCACTGGCGCAGGGTGTGAAACCTGCATGCAAACGAGCAACCGACATCTAATGTCCAAGAGGCTCGCAGTGTGCTGTGGCACACACCTGGAAGACGCGTTCAGGTGTGGCCGCCATTAGAACGAACCACGAAGCACGATCACGAAATTACGAAGTATGATGTAGCGTAGGGTAGTCTGGAGACGTGAGTATAAATTTTCCTCATGCTAATCCCCGTAAGTTCTCCTCATACAAATCAAAAGCTCGGCACGCACAGGGATGGAGATATGAGCCATCGATTTTAGAGATAGCTTCGAACCAAATATCGACCCTTTTCTGCAAGTCGAAATGTTTTTTTGATGACGCCGAAGCTTTCTCCAGCAAGGTCGTCATCCTGACTACCGTACCTGCTAGTAGATAACATACCCCCAAACATACTGCAGAGCACGAGGGCCTTGCAGATTAGCGGAGAATCATTTAGGTACCCGGCTAATCAAGCTTGCCTCAGGCTCCATACCCTGACCTCCGCTTCTGGTTGAAAGCACAGGCGCCGACAATCCAGCTCTCGTGGTATTATACTGGGCGAAATGAGCCCAGCCACTCCACAAAACCTTGCCGTACATGGACGGCAAAATTGCGGCAGTGCCCAAGCCAACTGCGTTCAGCTTTTGTGTAGGAGAAATGGCGGAACCTCAACGGCATCGGAGGCGGCTATCTGATGGGACTGCCAAATTGCACTGCTGTCCCGTGCCTGGCTACCAGCATGATAGCATTTTTAAGAAGCCAAGTCCTCTTTCGGTGATGATATCAAGTCACCCATCTCCGGCGGTCGAAGGCATTGCTCTCGGGAGAGCGATACCCTCTGCCCGTTCGCCAGGCGGTAGTCAGGTCAGCATGATAGGTCAAGCTGGACCATACAACCCCAGTGTGTTGATAGTATTGCATTGCTGCAGGCCAAGCAACATGGGCAATAAGCAGCCTGCTCCTCCGGCCCCAGGTTGACCAGGGAATGTTGACATATCTTCACCCGAGTATTGGCTCCATGTCGTCAATCATCAATCGTGAACAGCGAAACATCCTTCGCCAGCATTCTTATGATGCTGCCCCATCAACTTCCATTCCGCCCACCTGGCGCACAGCGCCCTCGTTCTTGTCAAAGACAGCGATCAATTCAATCTTAAACTCTGACATGCGCACGCCGAAGATCTTGAGTATGGACGTTTGTCTCGAGTCTAGCGTGTCTCCCTCTTTACAGACGAGATAGCCCTCCTCATCGTCCATCGAGCCTTCAGGATGTTCCTCCAGTACCACTTTCCCCTTGACAAGGCGCGTCGGCACGCCAAGTTTTCGGAGCATGGGCTCGATTTGAAGCGGTAGTGGATCTTCTTCACCTCCTGGCACACCGTACATGGTGTGCAATTCACCGGGCGGGATTCTGATCTCTTGTGTTGCTGTCGTCCCACTTCTTGCGTAGTCCAGGTTGAGATAGTCGTCGAAGTATTCTTCAATCTCGGAAGGCTCGCGGCTGGTGAATAGTAGTCCAACCTCGCCCTTCAAGTACGGTCCCAGTGCGCTAACGCCAGGTACACACTCTGTTTCGGCGTTGTGACCCAGACTGACCATCATGACTTTTGTCTTGCCCATCATTATTCTTGAATCATCGAAGTCGGTTCGGACTTTTTTAAGGAAATTGTTCCGCACATTTTCGACGCTGAAGACCCAGATGTAGTTGTAGTTTTCCGCGGCTTCCTGCACATTTGCGCCCAGTCGACGGACAAGTTCTTTGCGGTTCTTGTGGGTCTTGGAGGTATGGACGACACGAGCTCGCTTGGAGTTGGCCATCTTGGAGCTTGTATGGACGAGTCGATCAACTTCTCCTCGATCAGTGGTGGCTTGGGAACGGAGTAGGATGTTGAAAACTGCGGTGTCGAAAAAATAATTATCTCGATTAAACTGCGCCGAAGATCAGCCGGCGCGGAGTTGCAGGTCGGACAACTCAGCACTAACTAAGGTTGCTCAACCTGCCCAACGCCCTACTCAGCTCATCTTGCGGCACGACCTCATACAAGACCACACCTGTTGTTCACTCTTTTCGTCCTTTTAGCCCTGTTGCGCTTTTGCTTGCTTTAAGAACTGAAAAGCACTCTCGAAAAGATGGAGAATCAGACGCCGCGACGACCTACTACGTCCACCCCAACACAAAAGTACCTCATAGCATATAATGCGGTCTGCCTCGGACTATGGTCAATCGTTACCCTCCGCGCATTGATTCTGATACCGACACTGGCCACCTTCGGAAAGCTCGAGGGGCTTTTTGAAGCGCTGTTCCCGATGCTCAAATGGACTCAAACAATAGCCCTCCTCGAGGTTGTACACGCTGTGGTGGGCCTCGTCAGAGCTAGCCCGATCACCACGGCAATGCAGGTGGCTTCGAGAATACTGGTGGTGTGGGTAGTGCTTGAAATGTACCCCGAGATTGTCGTCAGTACCAACATCTACGGACGCCAGGTACCGGGGTCAACAACGGGTCCGATTGCGTTTTCTGGGATCCTTACGGCATGGGGAATCACAGAGATTATTCGCTACGGATTCTTTGTGTGGAAAGCGGCCGTTAGTGAGAGGGTGCCCGCAGCTTTGACGTGGTTACGATACAACACCTTTTTCGTCCTATATCCCGTTGGCATTACCAGCGAATGTTTGCTCATGTACTTGGCTTTGGCACCGGCTGCGAAGCAAGGGAAGAGCGTTGACCTGCTTTTGAAGATCGTGCTTGGGATTTATGTCCCTGGAAGCTATATCTTATACACGCATATGATGACACAGCGACGAAAGTCTTGAAAGGAAAAGGAAAGTCGGCTTAAATGTATTGGTGGGCGATCTTGGAAAGGAATAGCTACGAGCAACCAATCGGCCCTGAGAGTCTGTTTTTGGAGGCTGAGCGAACCAGGGGCACATCCAGTGGAGAGGGACCAGCAAGCAAAGGGAGCCCGGACATGCTCTACATAGATATCAGCAAGGAAGGTGGAACAACACGAGTATCCAAGGTAGTGAAAACATCTCATCCGTCGGATTTGTATGGGCATATCCCAGTTTCCTTATTAAGAGAGTGTTTGCGGAGTAAATGTTTTGTCCGACGATAGTGCGTCATTGCCTCGACATTTTTTGAGCGTATTGAAACCGCTCCGACTGCGCCCAAACGTCCGTCTTTTGTAAACAATAAAGTCGCCATTCATTTCTACGTGGAGCCTGGCGCTCCCTGTTCTGCACGAGAAGTCACAGCCTTTCCCGCACCTCCCAATCTTGCGCTTGATCGAGAATGCCGTCCATACCGCCCTCAAAACTCATTGCCCTACAGTCAAACGCGCAGAACATTCGCAACATATGCATCCTCGCCCATGTTGACCATGGCAAGACTTCCCTCTCAGACTCCCTCATTGCCACAAATGGAATCATATCACCAAAGATGGCGGGCAAAGTCCGTTATCTGGACTCTAGACCGGACGAGCAAGTACGAGGCATCACAATGGAGAGTAGCGCCATTAGTCTATATTTCAGTATGATGCGGAGGCAGCAGGAGAACGTGGAGTCCAAGAAAGAGGAATACTTGATAAACCTGATAGACAGTCCCGGACATATCGATTTCTCCTCAGAAGTCAGTACCGCTTCACGACTATGCGATGCCGCAGTGGTTCTGGTCGACGCTGTGGAAGGTGTGTGCTCGCAGACAGTCACGGTGCTGCGGCAGGTATGGATAGAAAAACTGAAGCCCCTACTGGTCATCAACAAGATCGATCGCTTGATCACCGAATTGAAGATGAGTCCCGCCGAAGCATATTCACATCTCGAAAGAATCCTGGAAGGTGTCAATGCTGTTATTGGCGGCTTCTTTCAAGGCGAAAGAATGGAGGAGGATTTAGAGTGGAGAGAAAAGATGGACCAGAAAAGAGCGGCGAAAGACCAGCAGAAACAGGATGCCTTGGACGAAAATGCCAGTGAGGCCGATTTGGACCAACAGTACGAGGAGCGAGACGACGAGGACTTGTACTTTGCGCCGGAGAACAATAATGTCATCTTCGGAAGTGCCATTGATGGGTGGGCTTTTACAATACGACAGTTCGCGGGCATCTATGAGAAAAAATTGGGCATAAAAAGATCAGTACTAGAGAAAGTGCTATGGGGAGAGTTCTACCTGGATCCGAAGACCAAGAAAGTTCTAGGAGCAAAGCATCTCAAAGGCCGGAGTCTCAAACCCATTTTTGTTCAGCTTGTCCTGGAACCTATATGGCAAGCCTACGATGCTACAGTGGGAGTCAGTAGTGGGCGTGGTGATCCCGCCCTACTGGAAAAGATCACGAAATCATTATCGATCAACCTACCAGCTCACATTGCCAGATCCAGAGACTCCAAAGCGATATTGCAGGCCGTCTTCTCGTCGTGGCTCCCACTATCGACGGCTCTTCTTGTCTCTGTAATCGAATACCTTCCGAGCCCACCGAGCGCACAGGCAACACGATTACCAGAAATGATCGACGATCTAGTCAGTGCAAAGTACATTGATCAAAATCTAAAAGAGTCAATGATCAACTTCAACACGACCAAAACGGCACCCGTCGTCGCATATGTCAGCAAAATGGTGGCCATACCCGAAAGCGAGCTCCCTTCTAAGAGAAGAAAGCTTGGAACCACACTGACAGCAGATGAAGCCAGAGAGCTTGCAAGGCAGAAGCGCGCCGAAATAGCAAAGGCGCAAACCGATGCTGAAGGTGCAGCTAGCGCCAACGGGATCACGAATGGCTTGAACAATACAAGGATAGGCGAAGAGGACGGAGAGGATGTTACACAGGAACAGCCTGAAGATCCGGAGCACCTAATTGGCTTTGCAAGGTTGTTCTCGGGAAGTTTATCTGTAGGCGATGAAGTCTATGTTCTGCCACCCAAGTTCAATCCTGCGTTCCCACACGCATCTCCGGAGCCAAAGAAAGTTCCTATAACAGCTCTCTATCTTCTTATGGGCCGCGCGCTGGAGCCTCTGGACAAGGTTCCGGCAGGAGTGGTTTTCGGAATCGAAGGACTGGAAGGACATGTCCTAAAGACTGGCACGCTATGTTCGCAACTAGAAGGAAGCGTCAACATGGCCGGCATAACCAGTCTGAGTCAACCCATTGTCAGAGTTGCCCTGGAACCGACGAACCCTATGGACCTTAACAAGATGATCAAAGGCTTGAAAATGCTGGAGCAAAGCGATCCCTGCGCCGTATACGAGCAAATGGAAAGTGGTGAGCACGTCATCCTCACGGCTGGAGAACTGCATCTGGAACGGTGTCTCAAAGACCTGCGGGAGCGCTTTGCGCGTTGCGATATCCAGCCAGGTGAACCGATCGTGCCGTATCGCGAGACCATTGTCAAAGCCGAGGAGATGGAGCCTCCGAAGAATAAGGATCTTCCGCGAGGTACGGCCATTGCCGTGACGGCTTCAAAGACAGTGTCGGTGAGATTACGAGTGCGGCCGTTACCGCGCAATGTCACAGATTTCCTCATCAAGACTGGACCCTCGATCAGGCGACTCTACGCTGAGAAACAGAGTCAAGAAGATGCACAGAAGGACGGGGACGGAGCGGAAACGGAAAACAGCGAGACGGTGGCTGATTTCAGCAACGATGCCGGCCATGATAGGGGCATCCTCTCTTTACAGGAGTTTCGGAAGCAACTTCAAGTGGCGTTTGACGAAGCTAAGGAAGAAAAGGAAGTATGGCAGAAGGTAATACCTAGAATCTGTGGGTTCGGTCCTCGGCGAGTAGGCCCCAATGTTCTCATTGACGCTACTGGTACGGATACCTGCAAGCGTTTCTTGTTCGAGCAGCACGAACTCGAAGACGTCGAGGAAAGCAATGGTACGACGAATGGCCATAAAGCAGAAGATTCTTCTCCGACAAAACCCACGCAAGACTTCTCGGACACCATCGCATATGCTTTTCAACTTGCCACGTCGCAGGGTCCTCTGTGCAGAGAAACTACGCAAGGCGTGGCCGTCTTTCTGGAGGAGATCATTCAGCAGGAGGCCACCGACAATTCAGATCCGGCTGGTGAGTCGGGCCGCTTGACTGGTGAGCTCATAACATCTGTTCGTGAGAGTATCCGGGCAGGGTTCTTGGACTGGTCACCACGTATCTTGCTTGCCATGTACAGCTGTACAATCCAAGCCACTCCCGAGGTTCTTGGAAAAGTGTACAGCGTACTGACTCGACGACGTGGTGCAATTCTGTCCGAGTCTCTGCTCGAGGGGACGCCGTATTTCACCATCGAAGCAACATTGCCTGTTGCCGAGAGTTTCGGTTTCAGCGAGGAGATCCGGAAACGAACTTCAGGGCTGGCACAGCCAATGCTGAAATTCGTGGGTTTCGAGGTGCTTGATGATGTTGATCCATTCTGGGTGCCGAAGACTGAGGAAGAGCTTGAGGATCTCGGTGTCCATGGTGAGAGGGAGAATGTGGCGAAGAAGTATGTCGATGCCGTCAGGAGGAGGAAGGGCTTGCTGGTCAGAGGTGCCAGGGGTGGACGTGAAGCTGAGAAGCAGAAGACGTTGAAGACGAACTAAATAGCGTTCTTCATTGAGAAATTCATCATCTTGACGATGGAAACCTCCGTCATTCTGGCTCGTCGAAAGACAATTTGATCTTCTTGCCTTTCTTTTTCGCAGCCCCGGCATCCTTCTTCTTTGCGACCTTGACTTCTCCATTCGTCTCTTCCTTTCCGATTGCCGAAACGACTTTGTCTCCATCGTCGTCTTCGGCGCCAACCACTCTCACAGCTTTGCGTTTCTTCATGCCTCCAATCTCTGTGACTTTCTGCCTGTCGCTTGGTTGCTCTTTTCCTGGTGCCTCGTCGTCATTTTTCACCTCTTCGGGGCCGGTTTGTTGATCGTGGTCTTCGCCTTGCTTCTGTCTCCGCTCGAATTCTGATTTCTCTACCAGCTCACCCTGTTCGTCCACTATGACCGGATCGTCATCATCATCGCCAGTCTTCAGTCTGTCCTTCTTTGGCCGGGCGATCTGGACATTGTGTCTCCCATCCAGGCCACCGTACTCTCCCCGCATTCTCCGCAAGAATGCTGGTTCATGTTTGTCATACTCAAGATCCTTCGCCTTGAATGCCATGTTGAGATCCACTGAAAAACATGGGTTGGGATTTATGCCATATGGTAAATCGCTGTCTAAGGTTAACATCGTCAAGTTTGAACAAAAAGCATAATCACGTGAACAATCACGTGGTGATAAGGACTAATCTATGACTTTATGATTATTGGAAAGTGCAAAACCCCTGCCACCTGCGTTCGCAGCCTTGCCTCCTGAATGGCTGACCATCCTTGACAACCTGCACATTCATATTCCTAGACCATGGCGGCCTATACATGGCCAACTTGATGCAATCTTCCAGTCGCATACATGCTCTGGGCCCCTACGCCCGCGCAATGCGCGCGTGGCTACATTAGAACTTCGCAAAAATGCAGGTTACGCCAACCATATGCCTTGCGGGCGACCGCCATCCTACGACGACACTATGCCAGCGACATTGCTCCTTCCAACACCACTTCTCAGACCGATCGCAAGGACGGCCTTGCGCAATCGGCAACGTCCAGATATAATGACATTGGTGTACAACAGCTGAGCGACTACATCCACCCTCAAATCTTCCCTGCAGGCGCCACGCGACCACGAACGGATCTCGTTGAATTGTCCAAAGACCATCTTCGACGTCATGAGCTATTGGGAAAGAACCAAGACAACACTTCCGCCATTGGTTTTGACACTCCGCCAATCCATGGCACCAGCTTGGACGAACACTTCACGAGGTTGGGCATGTATGCCGCGGAACCCTACCTTTCCTATGGCAAAGCCTTTGTACGCGCAAACACCCCTCAAAGGCCTCGAAAATGGGTCATCAGAAGCGGGTGGACAAAGTACAACTCCGACATGACGACGGAAGAGGTGGGCGCGCCTGATGAGACCATGTTGTCATTCGATGTTGAGACCTTGTGGAGGGAATCACCATTTGCCGTCATGGCTACAGCTGCAAGTCCTGATGCTTGGTACGCCTGGATTTCACCCTATCTGCTTGGCGAGACAGACAATCCGAGACAACTTGTTCCCTTGGGTGACCCCACGAAGCCTCGAATCGTGATAGGACATAACGTGGGATATGACCGAGCACGGGTGAAAGAGGAGTACGATCTTCAGCAATCAAAAAACTTTTTCATCGATACCATGTCTCTGCACGTCGCGGTCAATGGTATGTGCTCAAGGCAAAGACCGACTTGGATGAAGCATCAGAAGAACAGGGCCTTGAGAGACAAGATGGCGGGCGATCACAATTCGCTTGAACTGGAACGGATGCTTGAAAGTAAGATGCTGAGCGAGGAAGAGGAGGAACTGTGGGTCGGCCGAAGCTCCATCAACTCACTGCGCGATGTTGCAAAGTTCCACTGCGGTGTAACTATCGACAAGAGCCAGCGAGACTATTTTGGTGAACTCGATCGGGATGGCATTCGGGAAAGGATCGAAGAACTGCTTGATTACTGTGCTGCAGATGTGTCCATCACTCATCGCGTCTTCCAAAAAGTCTTTCCAAACTTCCTGGAGACTTGCCCCCACCCAGTCAGCTTCGGCGCTCTACGGCATCTTTCGTCCGTCATCTTACCAGTTGACAAATCTTGGGATGAGTATCTCGAAAGAGCGGAGAACACGTTTCAGCAAAGGTTGAAAGATGTCGAGGAAAGACTTCTACGACTGTCCGAGGAAGCGCTGGCGGTCAAGGGCCAGCCAGATGTGTATAACAATGATCCCTGGCTCAGCCAGCTGGACTGGGCTGGTCAAGAGATCAGATACAAAAAGGCCAAGAAGAAGGGCGAGGAGCCTGTGCCGGTTGCCCGACAGAAAATGCCAGGAGCGCCGAATTGGTACAGAGACTTATTCATGTCGAGTACATCACCCATTAGTTTGACTGTGCGGACACGAATTGCCCCGCTCTTGCTGAAGCTCTCCTGGGATGGATATCCGTTGGTTTGGTCCGACAAACATGGATGGACATTTCGTGTACCGAACAAGGAGGCTGCGAAGTATGAACACAGCAACGTGGTCAGCTGCGACATGGACGAAGAGACAAATGAGACTCTCAAGTTGGATACTAAGCACATCTATTTCAAATTACCGCACAAGGATGGTCCGACTGCTCGCTGTGCTACACCTCTCGCGAAGGGGTTTTTGCAGTACTTCGAAGCAGGGACCTTGTCTTCACAGTTCGCCCTTGCAAAGGAGGCTTTGGAGATGAACGCTTCATGCTCATACTGGATCTCCGCCCGAGATCGGATCACCTCTCAAATGGTCGTCAAGGAGGCCGATCGAGATTCGTCACTGGCCGGAAAGTCTGAGCAAGGGTTCATACTGCCTCAAATCATTCCGATGGGCACAATCACACGGCGTGCAGTGGAAAATACCTGGCTGACTGCCTCGAACGCCAAAGCCAATCGTGTCGGGTCAGAACTGAAGGCCATGATTAAGGCTCCTCCGGGATACTGCTTTGTTGGTGCCGACGTCGACAGTCAAGAGCTGTGGATTGCATCGCTTGTGGGCGACGCTCAATTCCAACTTCATGGTGGCAATGCTATCGGATTTATGACATTGGAAGGAACGAAAGCTGCAGGCACCGATTTGCACTCTAAGACGGCGAAGATCCTTGGTATTTCCCGTAATGACGCGAAAGTGTTCAACTATGGTCGCATTTACGGTGCTGGTCTCAAGTTTGCTGCCACCCTGCTCCGACAATTCAATCCTTCTTTATCGGAGAAAGAAACAAACGACATTGCATCCAAGCTTTATAAGGAGACGAAGGGTACTCGCACCAGACGGAAAGCGCTCGGCAGTGGTACCTTCTGGCGTGGAGGCACGGAGTCATTCGTCTTCAACAGGCTGGAAGAGTTCGCCGAGCAAGAACGTCCGCGCACTCCTGTTCTTGGTGCTGGCATAACTGAGGCTCTCATGCGACGATTCATCAATCAAGGCTCCTTCATGACCTCTCGTATTAATTGGGCTATTCAGTCCTCGGGTGTCGACTATTTGCATCTCTTGATTGTCAGTATGGACTACTTGATCAAGCGTTTCAATCTAGACGCACGCTTGGCAATTACCGTGCATGACGAAATTCGATATCTCGTCAAGCATGAAGACCGATATCGAGCAGCTCTAGCACTCCAGATCAGCAATCTCTGGACCAGAGCCATGTTCAGCCAGCAGATGGGCATCGAGGATCTTCCGCAATCATGTGCGTTCTTCTCAGCCGTCGACCTTGACCATGTCCTACGTAAAGAGGTGGATATGGACTGCGTCACGCCCAGTCATCCCGAGAAGATCCCACATGGCGAGAGCCTGGATATCAATCAGCTTCTTGCCAGAGGTGAAGAAGCCTTCCTGGACCCTGGGATTGTCCCAAAGACAGGCCCGATCGATCTGAGTCAGTACTCCTATACTCCTCGACAGAGCGTCATGTCTAGTCTCAGCGGCTCGAATGACGTGGCATATATCCGCGCACAGATCACCGACGACGAAAAGGAATTGAAGTCTATCATTCGGGACGTCGAGAATGAGTCATCATCGACCAACGACGGCAACAAGGACGACGGGTCTAAGGGTTCGGGCTTGCCACGAGGCCGACGGCCGAAACCCAAAGTGCCTGTCCCTCCGCACGCGCAGCCTCAACGTGCCATGCTCATGGAAGTCGAAGACCGGTGGAGCATGGGATACAATAAAGCACTGAACGGCGCGAATCATAAACCCTGGTTGACAGAGCGCAAAGCCCCATTGACGAATCGCTGGGCGAACGATGGGTGGGAAGTGTAAGACTACATGGACCTGGATTGTATGAAGTTATGCCCAAAATGTTGTTGCGGTTCTACAGTACGGTATTCCACAGTGTACCTATGTTTGGCTGATCTAGCGCTGGCGTCTTGTTTAGTAGTTGGCCTTACTGGGAGATGACTTGAGTCAATCAATGTACATCTATATCTGTACTGCTAATTGTACGATGGTGTTGAATGAATATCAAATGAAAGCTGAACCAGAGATAACGCTCAACCGCCTGCTCGCTGTAAAACAGAAACCCCGAACTTTTCCACCTATTCACACAGAAAACAAACATCTGAAACAAGTGTCAAAGACACAAAGTAGAAGTTCAAAGGTTGACAGAAGTGTACGCTATTCCGCGACAACCCAGAGTATTCCTTGACAGAAACTGCCTATGCGTACGCAGCCCATCCACAATACAGGACAGCAAGATTCCTCTCATCCGTGGCCTGACGAATGAGTTCATTTACCGTGGCCTCCACGCTCAGTGCCTTCCCAAGCTTCTTCGCGACGATAGTCAGCGCGCGATTAGCCTCGCTCGGCTCATTGGCATCTCTCCGGCTTGCGATACCGATAGGGTCGCCCCCTGCGAACCCGACGCCCGAAACCACAGAGGCACCGGCCGCAGCTTCAGCTTGCTCGTTGTTCTCCTGCATCTTCGCCAGACGCAGTGGTGAGATGGACCACGAATGCAGAGGGTCATACCTCAGCACGTCAAGGATGGTCATGATAGCCTCCTGCTCGCGACGGAGAGCTTCGAGAGTAAAATTGCAGCAGCGTCGGAACACGCCTTCGACACCGGTCAGGCCCATTCCGTCGACTAGGTCGCGCGTCAGCCGGAAAGGGACGACTTCTGGGATTGGTAAGATCCGGCCTGCTTCGAAAGCCACGCCGAGGTCGATGTGTACCACTTCGCCGGACTTTTCGTCGAGGAGGATATTGTGGCCGTGCCGGTCGCCCAGGCCCAGAACATGGCCGAGAATACTGATGGCGGCTGTCGACCGACTGTAGTTCAGACGCTTGTAGAACCAGTCGTCAGGGTCTTGAAAATTCTCCATGAAGAAAAAGCGCATAACTGGGTGGAAGTTGGCGGTGACCTGACGGTATGCGCGAATGCGTTGATCTAGTGGTTTGGTCTGTGCGTCGCCAACATCCTTCCTGCATTTGGCTGGCTTGAAGTCCTTGGGAAAGTATCGTGCATGGGCTGGCAGGAGGTAGTCATGAAGTGGTATAGTATCCTTGACGAACTCGATGATACCAGTGTTGGTTGTCAATGGGATCACCTTGTAAGTCCGTATTCCCAGATTCCGCTGTCGTGTGGCGCGGTGGTCTTTCAGCAAGTCCGATACTTGTTGAAAGACTTGCTCCATGATAGCGTCCTGACGGAGATCGTCATTACCACCTTTGAGAAGCATTTTGTGTCGAGAACCGTCTGAAGCGATTGTGGTGACGATCTTGGGGGCCGATATACCACCTGCAATGGAAATTTGCTGGTCAAAGTGGCTGAATGTAGGCAGGTGTGAATAGTTTCGATCAGTTCGGAGCGGCGTGTTCAGCGTCGGTGGAGGAATTTTTATGGTCGACTCATTCAAGGCGCGCTCGAGTTTCTGTGCCGACGGCAATTGGCGCAGCTGAATCTTTGCTCCTGTCTTGACATCTTTCTCAGACACTCGATCCAAAGCAACACGATGATACGCGATGGATGAATTGTGAATCGCGATCCAGATCGCAGCAGACGGGCTTTTCTTGTTCACCAGTTCGGCGAGTTTGAGCGCCGCAGCGTTTCTGGACACTGCCACTTCATCCTGCTTCTGTCCCTTGCTCTTGCTTGCCGCGAAGAGCTGGTACAGACTGTGATATGGATGATCAGAGCAAATGCGAAACATCAGACCCATCAGGAGCTTCTGGAAGCTGTCTTTGGTGTCCTGTAACCGAGAAGAGAGCTGGTTGACAAGATTGGCAAATTTGACTGACGGGACCGAAGGAAGATGCTTCCCTACAATCTCGTTCGCCGTCACGCTTTCAGCTTGATTAAGCCAGAGAGCGACAAAGCGGAGGGTGTCACTAGCGTAGTCATCCGAGGCTCTCATCGAGAGCATGTAGTTCTCCAAACAATTGAGAATGAGGTCTTCCCGGTTCTTTTGAACGCGCTGCCACTCCTGCTCGTCGAGTTTGAACCATGTCTTGGCTCTTTGCAGATGGTTCAACAGTGTTTTGCTTTCATCTTTACCGCGGTTTTTGATCAATTGCTCGAGGTCGTGAACCTCAGCAAGTTTGCGGTCTCTAATTTTGCTGATTCGAGTGAAATCATCAAGGTTGTCAGTGTCCTGCAGCTGGGTATCGCAGAAAGCAGCAAAATTGTGGAACACTCTGCCAGCGTCCGAGCCCGAGCCGCGGCCGTGTAGTTCTTTGTAGGAAGGTACGAAGTATTTCGCTATGATCTCGTCAGGCTTTTCAAGGCGAGCTTCGGCGACCTTATGACCCAAGTCAGTCAATATCTCAGCCTTGGTGACCGCAATGGCTTGTTTCGCAGTGTCATCTCGGGCTTTCAATTTCTGCAAAATGCCAATGCACGCAGATGCTTCGTCTTGAGCCCATAAAGTCCTGGCGAGATCGTACTGGACGGCAACGTCGATCTTTAGTCCTGACTGGATAGCGACTTGGTTGAGTTCAGACAGGTACATAGTCCGATTTAAGCAGAATTGAGGCGCATCATAATGTGACGCAATGTCGAGGGATCCGCGTACAGCTCGGACTTCGTTCAGCAGCGCTTGATGCGAGTTCAGAGAGACCATAGTTTGCAGGTTGTTGTTTCGACGGATAGCAGCGAAAGTGGCTTCTCTGCCAACCAGTATGGGCGACAGTCTTCCAAACTCTGTAAGCTTGGTTCGCTTGTTTCTTTCCTCGATGGCCGCCCATGCCAACCCTGACCCCTCCAGGGTCGTTGCTTGAATGATCTGCTTGGATTCTGCAAACACAGCCAAGTGTGAGAGGACGTCGCCAGTACGTTTCTTGTCAGAAAGCCCATGCTTGATTGCCGCTCCAAGGGCGAGGAATGAGTCATCCATTTCGCCGATCAGGATCTCTCTGTTCAAGTTGCCGTTTAGGCTTCGAAGAAAGGACGCCATGCTCGACGAAGACAAAGTGTGATCTTCAACAGGTTGTACGTCCCATTCCTGGCCCGACAAGCTTGAATCCTGATTTTCCATGTTATTTGCGACGTAGTCCACATATCCGTAATGTTTCTTGACGGCCTCTGATAAACCTTGCATATTGGCTGCACTCAAGCTCGACGCGGTCAACCGTGCGACATGGGTCAGTGATTCCGCCTGCTCACTAATCCTGAGCTGTGAGTCGAGCATTGCACTGTGGAAGGAAAGTGACTTCTGACTTGCGCCCTCGTGGCTCATCTTGCTTATGACTGCTGTTAGATCGAGGTCCTCACGCTTCCCATAGAAAAAGTCGGGGTCGTCCACATTCTCGTAGATCCTCGACACGACATCGTCTGGCATAGCATTTGTTATTGCGAACGACTTCCGGGAAGAGCGTCCCGACTGGAGCTGGGTCTGAGTCTGCTGCAATTCTGAGAGTAAGAGGGCTTCATGCCACATCTGACACTCAGCTGCGGCGACAGCGGCATCACCAAAGTCTATCTCGAGCCAAGCGTTTCTCTGGGCTAGATTGGACTCGTTAGGATGTCGGCATCTTTGCAGGTATAATAGCGTCTTGAGCGATAGCCGACAAGCTACTCTCGTGGAGTTTGTGTTGATGCTCATAACTCGGGAAAATTCCTGGGCAAGCTTGTCTTTCCACACTTGTTGACCATTGACCTCATGGAGTAAGATTAAATGCACAGTATAGGGCAGCAATATACCGGCTGAAGACGGTACCGCAGCCAGCAGAGGCTTGAGAAAACTCAATACAGGGTCGTGGGTGGCTGTTCCACACATCTTCTTGAGTAGGTCCGCCGCCCAAGGCTCATATGCTTCAGCGGAGGTGGAGGAAATCTTCAAGTCGTGAGAATGTCGGGTAGGAGGGCAAGGGAACTTCTTGAACCTCAGCTCTTGGACGAACGCTCTGTTGAAGTCGGGTTGCAGAACAGCATCTTGGCTCCTCTTATCAAGGGCACTGAAGATGAGCTGTAACGTTCTCTCAGCAGAAGCCGATTCAGCCGGACTGAACTTCCAGACCATATCAGCCAAGTACTGCAGGATGCTTGTGTAGGAATGTATGGCTTCCTGATCTTGCCCAGCCGGCTCAATCTCCGCTGGGTACTCGGCGGACTTTTCGCTGCTCGCGTTGAAGACCAAGCCTTGCATGACATGACCCCTACCGATTGCTTCGGTGGCCCACAGGAGAAATGACGGGTTCAAATCAAGTCTCCTGATCAGAGTCTTGAGTATTCTCGAGAAGTTTTCTGCATCACGGTCATCCCCGAGAATATCATCTGTGGGGTCCGTGGCTGGGACGAAATCTCGACATAAGATCTCGATGGCAAGGTCAAAATGAAGATCAGCCAAAAGCGGAGATTTTGTGCTGCGGTCTGAAAGAAGGACGTAGAGCAGGCTCCCTTCGCTTGTACTCTTTGAACTGTTGCCTGCGGCAGTGATGGCCTTTGCGTGTTGCACCAGCGAACCGAAAGTTGTCTGTGGCTCTTCAGATGCTTCCGGGTGGTTCAGTGACTCCAGGTAACCACCGAGAAAAGCTCTGAAGTCTTGCGCTTTCGTCATCGTTGACAAGAAATGACTCTCTTGTGTGGTACTGTCTTGTGAAGAACTGATGAAGCCGACAAGAGAGGCGAAGACAGCCACTCCCAAGCCAGCTACAAACGACAAGTTGCCACCGAGGAATGGCTTACCATGATTGAGGAGGTATTTGTAGATGCCCATTGTATCTTCAGCACAATCAAACATAGTCAGGTAAGGGCGGAGGTTGTGGAGAAGCATTTCCAGAGGGTAACCCTGTAAAGCTATGGGGCCAGCCAAGCTGATGGCAATGCGAATCTTCCGGATGATGCTGCAGATATGCAATGGACCTAGGGCTGGTTCTGCATTATCGAGTAGCTGTCTGTAGACATGTATCAGCAAGGCAGAGGTCCATACTTCGCTTGCTTGTAGTTCGAGGCGCTGATACAAGTAGTTCAATTCGTCAAGGAGGCATCTGGCGCGAAAAGATGGTTGTTGTGCCAAAGGAGGTTGAGTGTTGGAAGTGGAAGCACTGTGCATTTCGTTCCAGGCCTCAAAACCTCCCATATGTTGATTCTTCTCGAGCATCTTGTCGATCCCTCGATCGTCTTGGAGTGATATAATGAGACGCGAGATTATCTCAGGCAGGTTCTGGCCGAGTAATTTCACGTAAAGGTCAGACCCGACTTCCTTGCGGATCAACTTTTCAGACCCATCGTACAGTCGCTCCTGTTTGGGCAAACTCGATTCTGAGGAAAGCGCGTATGCTTCGGCAAACGAGAATTCTTCCACCAGCAAGGATTTCCAGTCTTGCTTGACCACCTCTGTCAGCTCTGCAGCATGGCTGAAACCACGAAGAGATATCTGCCCGGTAAGCTCCGCAATGTTGTCAAAGATCAAGTCTTGCAGAGATGCGTACTTGAAGGCACGGTATGGAATCTTGGACAAAGTCTCCTTCGACAACCAGGTATAGAATATCTGCGGAGCGAACAGATTGAAGAGTTGTCTCGGTTGTCTGAGCTCAAGTGCTCCGCATGTCTTCTCAATGCAGACAGCCGCCAGTGGAGTAATCGAAGGTACGTTGGCAACAGTTTCAAACAAATGATAAGTTGCCTGCCGCAGCACTGTGTGCCAACGAGCACCCAGCGCCGCTACAACATAAAGTCGCACAGCAATTCCCTCTTTCTTGTCAGGATCGGACGGTAGATTCTCAACAATGTCATCAAAGATCGCTTGGTGTTGTGTGGAGACATACTTTTCAAATATTCGTGACAGCTTTCCTGCAACCTGGTACTTCTTCGCCGCATTGCTGAATTGCAGGATTTGAAGTAGTGTTGTTCTAGGCGAGGGAAGGTCTTCCCCTCGGAAGGAAACATTCTTTTGCAAAAGAACGTCGACCAGTTCAGCCATGACAGACAGCACTCGCGGCCCTGCGATACCTTTACCGAGTGCAATGTTGAGGAACCAATAGTAGATGTCGAGGGCGATTCCGGTGAGATCGTCGTCTTCTTCCGGAGATGACCAAAGTTCCATTAGGCCACGCATGGTAGTGAGGCAAAAGACGAGAGCTGCTTCGCATCTTTCATAAGCCTCATCCTGCAAGAATTTCTGCGCAATGTTGCTGAGTAGACTCTGTGCGTCGCCACGAGCAATGCCGGGATTGAGACCGAGGAAATCTTGCACAGCTCCACGGGCTGCAAGAAGAGAGGTAGCATCCAATGACAATATCTCGTTCACAATCACGGAACTAGGCGCAGGATCGAGCGCACCGCGCGATTTTACACTTTGCAAGGCCGTGATCAGCTCCAATCTAAACTTCGCCAACAACGCCGAGGAGTCTGGGCAGAGCCGTAGGTCAAGTCTCATCGCGTTGAAGGTGATTGAGGTCTGGCTGCGTTGACTATTTTGTGAGTCCCATACTTCCGCATCCAAGAAGTCAAAGTCTGACGGGTCATTGGTCTTGCTTGATGGTTGACCCTCGACGGTCAGCCTCAGAGCTGATTCAATGACCGACTGATACTCTTCGCAAGAGACCTCGGGATCCGTGTGAGAAAGCTGGGTATGAAGCCCGATCACGCAGTCACAGATGCGAGTCGCAATGTTGCGGAATGAATCACCACTCTGGCTGCGCACAAACCGTTCGAGAATGTCGCGGCTTCTCGGATAGAGTCGATCAGGGCGAGATTCGTGGACCAGTTTGCTACAACGGGTCCAGACAGCAGACGCCACTGTTGACGCCACGGCAAGGATAGCCACAACATCATTTGTAATGTTTGAGCTTCTTTCGGCATGAATAATTTCCCATGCTTGGATGAACTCTGTCAATCGGCCAGAAAGGAACTCGAGCACAGATCGAGTCAACCTAGAACGGACAAGTGGGTCAACATGGTGGAGGTCAGATCGACTCCGTTGGACACTTTGGTCTTCTTGTGAAGGTAGACCAAGGAGAAAATGGAGAAATCCAGCGTCGTCGGAAGGTATCAGGGACATCCTCCATAAAGAATGAGCTGGCGACCAATCTGGTCTGCTACTGGTTGAGTCAAAAGTCCCACAAATGGAGACCAACAGTGAATACAACAACTCGGGTTGAGCATGCGAGGCAACGTGCGCATTGTGGAGGCGATCCAGACTGGAGGCTGGCATCGATTAGCACTGCTTCAGAAGCGAAGACAAAACAACTTACGCAGGGTCCACTGCACACTCAACCAGCCGAGTACTTTGAGGCAGAACGTTTCAAAGCGCTTGTCATCGTCGAACATGTTCAACCGCAGGGTGGTGGCGACCATGTCAAGCGCGGTGTCGGTGAGAATGCACGGTCCGTTGTTGCCGCCACCGAACAATGCTATGTCCACCAGGCCACCGGTCGTTGCCGGACCAAGGATGCGAGTCTGAAGAATGACGTTCATAGTGTGGCATGCCGCCCTGACACATGCAGGGATAGACAATGCTCTACGAGCGGATTCCCAGACCTCAAGCCAGACACTGGAAGCGACCTTGATACCAGGTGCGTTGTGGAGCAATAATCTGTATAGTATGGTTAGCGATGATATATGCAACCCCGAGCTCTTACCTACCGAGAGAACACCAAGAACGTCCAGGACTGAATGTTGCCATCTTCGTGCCGCAGGTCATGCAACAGGCTCGAAAGTCCACGGAGTGACTCCGCTTTTGTAGGTTGAGGCTGATCAAAGAGAAAGAGAATAATCTGCAAAGCCACCAGCTTTTCTTGTCCTGACCCAAGCCGCGCGATCTCCAAGACCTCGTCGAAAGGGTCTTGAATCTTTTGTCTCTTGCGGGGTATCTCTACTGGCAATTCCGCAGGTGGCGTAGCTTGATTTTGATTACTCACCCTCAGGATAAGACAAGCTATGATCGACAATGTCATCCAGCATGACAGAGCCTTGCAAGAGTCTCGTAGGGGCATAAATTGCCTCAGTTGCAGGGGGAGAAGCTGTCCTGGCCTTGACATCTGCATGTCGTCAAATTGCAGAATGTCTCTTTCGCTTCTCGCTCGATACTCCGACCACAGTTTGTCCAGGAGCGCTTGCAGACTTTCCTTATCAATTGACAGCCATGGGTCTCCCGTAGTAAGGAAGAGGTACCGACAAGTAAACAACGTGACAAGCATCTGTTCTCGTAATAAAGATGATCGTGTGGACCATAATCGCCGCGTGATAGGGATCAGCCTGGAAAGCAGGCTTTGGGTGAAGGCGACATTCTCTGTCAAAGAAACAAAAATGATGTTGTTCAAAGTTTCGAAAATTACTTCTTGAGCTCTGGTAGCAGATTGCAGGAGAGTCAGAAGTGTCTCGGCAATGGCTTCTGAGCGTGACATGACGGGAGCGTTTGTCGTAGAAGTCAGGCTTCTCAGAGCAGCAACGATATCGGAGGCGTGCGATGCAACATCTCTTCCAGCACTTCTGGCAGTTCTTTGGCTCAATCGTACTGACTGCTGGTGGCCATTCCGTGAAGCCGTGCTAGTGTCCCGACTCGAGATGAAATCATCAGTACCTGGTTCATCCTCCAGACCTGTGGAAAGTGAAGACAGAGTGAAGTCGACGTAGCTTTGCCATTGTTTGGACCGCAGATGTTCGGTATGCGGAGCGTATTCCAGGATTGTTCTGAAGCTCTTGAGATAGTCGGTCTTCAATGGTTCGCAGAACGTCCCATCAGCCGAGGGAAGCGTGTCTGCAATATGGTCCAACACGGAAAGAGCAGTCTTGAAGCTGAGTCTGGGGGTGCCGGCCTCCACCACAAGGCGGAAGGCAGCGGCTGCAACTTCCAGTCGAGATGCTGCATTGTTCTTGGTCGTTGGCTTCGTGGCTCGGAAAAATGCTGGCTTCTCCTTGTAGACAATCTTGTATAGCAGTTCAAGAATCTTGTGGAAGATATCGTCCTCAAGTACATCGCTAGACAAAAGTCAGTCTCAGCGTCCTGCGATTTTGGGGAGTGATAAGATCTGATGATTACATTTTTGAGGCGACCTTCTCTTGCCCCAGGACGCGTTTCAGATCTGGTTCGTCAGTATAGGATAAGAGGGACAAGAAGCTAATCGGTATACCTTCAAGACCTTCTCCTCTCACGTGTTGTGTGTCTGCCTCGAGCTTGGCTGTGATGGAGACGTTAGTTTGACAAGGCTGAACAATTAGGTGATCTCGGCAAAGCCAACACGTACCAACAGCTGCCACAATGACGCTGACCTCCGCCATCTCTCCGGCGAGGAATTATGTCTCGAACTCAAGCACATGTTTGAGCCCACGAGATTGGGAGATTGTGAACGACTTTATAAGCATGGAATTGTTTGCTACAGGGCAGTGCTTGAGGCAGGAGCATCTGCTTGAAGTTGTACCTGGCCTTGGCGTGTCGAGCAGTGAATCAGCCACGAGATTCGATCAAACATCACGTGGCTGGCGCCGAGGTCTTGGCGCTTATTTAAGCAAGATCTTTTAGTACAGCCTTTGGTAGACCTCAACCCTTTTGATATCTTACGGCATCTCACATCCAGTCGAGACCGATCAGGGGCGCCAGAATACTGGTCCACTCACGTTCAGACCGCGACAATCGAAAAAACTTCTTTCCACTTCAACCCAAATCGTTTGTGTAGTAAGTACGCCATTGTCGTAGTTAAATTAACAGATGTTCTGCACTTATTGCTCCGAAGTAATAATGCCAGCCATTCCCATGCCCGTGCCGACACACATCGAAGTGACTGCAAGTGGTCTGCCCTGCCTTTTCAACTCGGACAGTGCCGTCACCACCTGTCTGACCCCTGTGCAGCCGAGAGGATGCCCCAATGCTCTAGAAACGTTTGTTAGCAAGCAAAGAATGACTTGGTGCGGAGAGAAAACACATACATGGCGCCACCTCTCGGATTGACTTTGCTTCGTTCAAGATGGAGCTTTTCCACGCAATAGACAGCCTGGGATGGAGCGTTAGTGAGTGTGCACGACTCGGGAAGGGTGATTCTCAGCCTACCATGGATGAAAATGCCTCGTTGATCTCAAACAAGTCGATATCTGAGGTGCTTAGCTGGAATCGGTCCAGGATTTTGGGGATGGCGATGCTGGGGCCAATGCCCATGATGCGCGGCTCCAAACCGACGACGGTGGCGCCGACAAAGCGTCCCAGGATTGGAAGGCCTAATTCTTCCGCCTTGGAGCGCTTCATCAGTAGCACGCCAGCAGCGCCGTCCGTGATCTGGCTAGCGTTACCACCGGTCGTGTGGCTTGGGGCCCACTGGGGAAAAGCACTTCGGATCTTGGCCAGGGATTCCACCGTCGTGCCGGAACGGATACCATCGTCGGCGGTGATGACACGGCTTTCAACAGTACCCGTCTTAGGATTCTTGAAGGACACAGCGACGGGCGTGATTTCATCGGTGGACCATCCTCCTTTCTGGGCCTTCTCAGCGAATTGAAAGCTTTCTGCGGCGTATTGATCCATTTTTGCACGGGAGATGTTGAATTGACCGGCTACATTCTCACTCGTCTGGCCCATTGGCTGTTGGGTTTGGCCTGCCAGCGGGTGGGAGGTGATCTTTTCGTTCATGGCCGGAGCGCCGTTGTCCGGTGTGGTCGACATGCTCTCGGCGCCGACGGCGATGCCAACTTCGATGGCGCCAGTCATGATTTGGCCAGCGATGGATTGAATAGCCAGCAGACCTGAAGAGCAGAAGCGGTTGCATACCGACGATGCGGTCGTCGCAGGGAATCCGGCAGTCAAAACGGCGGCGCGAGCTAGATACGCCTGGTCCGATGCCAGGACATTCCCTACACAGATATCTTGCACCAAGGCTGGATCGATGCCGCTCTTTTCGCGCACTGCGGAGAGGACTGCGATGAGCAGCTCCTCGAGCGGTGTGTCTTTCAGGCCCCCTTTTCTGGCTTTCGTGAGGGGAGTTCGCGTCGCAACGGTGATCACTACATCGGACGGGCCCCGTTGCAGAATCACTTTCTTCGCGTCAGGCACCGGGCCCAGTTGATTCATAATGATGTCCAGACGTTGCTTGCCTCTCGAGGTTGAAGATGACATCTTGATGGCTCACAGGAGTCTTGCCCGAACAAAGAGAAGGACTAGAAGGCAGTTTACCGTTTTCACGTTGACCGTGCAAGAGCAAAGGTGCTTATTTCTACAACACAGGTTGCTGACGACAACGGGTGAATGATTGCCTCGGTATAACATGTGGGCTTCAATCACCATGGAGCATCAGACTCTAGTCGGCAGGATTCCTCATTTTACCGCGGCCGTGTGTGGCGTACAATTGCTGATGTTGGGCGTGGCTCGATTAGGTCGTCTATCCGTCAGTGCTTGACGTCCCGGAGGTCGTGCATCTCCGGACTCCGAACCGACCAAACACGACCTCGGCCAGCCCTGCCGTTCACTATTTTCGGTCTTCACGTTGCAGCAACCCGACAAAGGTCTCTTTAGGGCGTTAGGAAACGCGTTTCGCGCGCCGAGGTCCAAGCAGTGCCAAGGACTCTCGCTTCTTGCGTGGCACTCAAAGTTGATTACAATGTAAGTGTGCATCACTCGCCGCAAGATAGTCAAGCTGGGTACGATAGCTGAGCGCAAGTTGTTCGCGACTAGCCACTATGGATACGAACAGTCTGGCAGCAACCGCTGCTAAAGTGGCAGTTGCCTCTGTCGCCGGTCTTGCTAGCTACGCATATCTGGATGCCAAAGTGGGCATTGGGGCGGACGTGAAGCAGCTGCGTCACGATCGCAGTTGGCGGCGGCGGCTGGACCAAAGAATCAAGGACTTGGGAGGTGACTGCAGCTTGTACCGCCTCTTCGAACAAGCGGATCAGGCAGCAGACGCTCTCTGGTTTGAGAACCAGTCTTGGACCTACGGGCAATTAAGAGACGATGCAGATCGCGTGGCCACCATTCTGGATCGCCATAACGTCGGGCCAGGTCGGTGCGTGGCGGTCTTCACCACAAACACACCCGAGATGGTCATCACTTGTCTTGCTCTGTCCAAACTCGGGAGTGTTATGGCATTGATCAACACCAATCTACGAGATGCCACGCTGCAGCACTGTCTCAATGTGGCCAACGCAGATTTGATCATTGTGACTCCCGATCTGGCAGCCTTTGCCCCAACTGGGATCAGCCGACTGGTCCTGAATCTCTATTCCTTCAATGAACCAGGCCCAGCCACCGGGCACGGAGACGACGATCATGACAAAACCGTGATACGAGTGACGTTGGACGAGCTGTGTCGGACCGAACCATTCTTCTCGACCAGAAACCAGCGACTCGCCGATGTGGCAATCTTGATATATACTTCTGGAACGACAGGCAAGCCCAAAGCATGTGCGATCCGCAATATGCAGATCATGGTCACATCCAACCCGTTGACGTCCGACGTGGAGAACTCCAAGCTCTACTATCCGTTGCGAACCTATTCTCCGCTGCCTCTGTTCCACGGCACGGCATTTTTCACAGGATTTACGTACGTGGTCGGATGCTCGGGCACCTTGTGCCTGCGGCGCAAGTTCTCGGTGACGCATTTCTTCGAAGACATGGTCCTGGCAAAAGCAACCCGTATGCTGTACATCGGCGAGCTATGCCGATACTTGATAGCTGCGCCGGCTTCCCAGTACGATAGACTGCACAAGTGCATCGTGGCGCATGGGAATGGCATGAGAAAGGACATCTGGCAACCATTCATGGAGAGGTACAACATCCCAGAGATCCGCGAATTCTACCGGTCGACAGAGGGATTGGCCAAGTTTGACAACCACGGCCGCGGTGTCTGGGGCGCCGGGAGTATAGGATTTTCAGGGCCCCTCGGACGGCTTTTCGAAGATCAGACATTCCTAGTCAAAGTCGATCCGGAAACACAAGAGCCTGTCCGAGATGCCCGCACCGGCTTCTGCCAAAAAGCTGGCTTGGGAGAGCCCGGAGAAGCCATCGGACGGTGCAGGGATCGAAGTTTGCTAACCGAATACTTTGGAAACACAGAAGCCACCGAGGGCAAAATGCTGGCCAACGTGTTCCAGAAGGGAGACCTGTTTCAACGCATGGGAGACTTTTTAACCCAAGATGCCTCTGGCTGGGTCCAATTCTCCGACCGCATGGGGGATACTTTTCGCTGGAAGGGCGAAAATGTCAGCACCGCCGAAGTCAGGGACTTTATCTGTGGCATGAAAGAGGTTCAAGACGCTGTGGTATACGGTGTCAAACTTGACAAGTTGAGTGTTTCTTGACTCTTGTTATGGCGATATGTACACTAACCTGCTGTTGCGAGCATAGGTACGATGGTCAAGCCGGCGGCGCTGCGATAGTGCTAAAGACCAACGACGCCGCGATCGAAAAGCTTTTCACGAGTAACCTGAGGGCGAGTCTCCGCGACAAAGGTCTTCCCGACTACGCCGTGCCGCGACTGGTGCGCATCACTGCCAGCATCGCGGCCGGAGACACGTACAAACAAGCAAAGAACGATGTCGCGCGACGAGATTGGTCGCCTCGAGGGAACACTCATGGAGATAATCTGTACATCCTACAGAACTCCACTTTCAAGCCGTTGACCGACTCCTCGTGGGAACAAGTTGAACAAGGCAAAGAGAAGTTATAGAGGCGATGGATGACAGATGAGTGTGTGATGATGTGTTTGTGAATATGATATACCCCAACAGGTAGATGGATATAAATTCGTCTGCGTGAGAACCTCAGTCTGAAGGTTCAAATAAGCCGTAAAGTACTTGGGAGTCTTCCACGTAGGCTGGGTTCATGAGCCACTGCATGGCATCATCGTCAGATGTCTGCAAGTAACCTAGATCTTCGAGCCACGTCAAATCCAGACCACTCATTGATTTGTTTCCGAGTGGATCGTTCAGAAGAGGAGCATCATTGGCCGGCGGCAACCCCGGCGTTGAATTCTCTTCGCCCTCTTTCCGGAGTTGCTGGTTGAGGCTTTGTGTGGCGGCCGTGATGGTGCGCGTGTCGACGCCGACCCGTTCCATCAGATCGCGGATGATCATCAACGGCTTCGAGAGACCGAAGTTGGCGCCATTTTGGATCCGTGTCAGGGCGAGGAACAGATACATCATCAGTTCGCTGTCGCTCTCGTGGCGCGTTATCACAGTGGCGGCCGAAAAGAGTGCGTACGAAAACAGATACGGCGCGTGGTGCAGGCCAAAAGCCTCCTCGTACGCCTTGGCCAGGCGACAAATCTGTCGTGCGGCCACCAGGCACGTCTTCTCGAACGAGACCCCGTCAATGCTCACGTTGAGGGATGTCAAGTGACCCTCCTGCAGGAAGGGTCGGTGAACGAGGATCCGGAGCGTGTGGAAGGTCGTGTGAAGGCTCAGGTGATTCGGTGGGGGTGTTGGGTCTTCGAGCGGCCGAAAAAGCAGGCACGCAGGCAGACTTTCGTGCCAGTCATCGAGGCGTTTGCGCAGGTGCTCCAGGCATTCGGTCGCCTGATCCCTGGACATCTGCACCCTCGATGGCATGTAGAACTCGCTGATTATGTCGTTGGTGATCTCGGCCAGCCCGAGCAGGGCGCGCATCGTGGGCACGACCTGCTGCGGTCGCGGGGTATAGGGACGAAAGGGTTCATTTGCCTCTGGGGATGCGTCCGCGTACGGTGCCCAGAGCTCCAAGTCCTCGTACGTGTCGAGAAAGATCTGAGGGGGTTCGGTTCCGATCATGGGCAGAGCCGGAGTCCGTCCAAAGTAGAGCGATTGAAACTTGTCCACAATGTACGCCCCGTAGAAGATGCGCCGACGCATTTCCTGCTCGGCTTCGGTAAAGCTGATCATGGTGTGACTTTTGGAGGACATGGGCTGAGAAGGTCGAGTCTTGCGGGAATCCAGATGCAAACCCATGTCGATGATCATGCGGTATGCTAGGCCACAGTAGTTCCAGCCTGCCGTGGGCGAACCGCTTGCCACAAGGCTGTTTCCCATGAGCAGAAGGGCGCTGATGGTTGGGGTGGTCGACTCCTCCAGCGCATCGGCGAGTAACTGCTTGAAGCGGCGCCGAAACCGATCTCTGAGACTCTCTCCGTCTCCAGGACGTGGCTCATTGACGTGCGGCCTTGTGCTGTGCAAGGCGGATGCATAAAATATCGCATTCCACAAGAGCTTGTTAGCATACGCTCCGTCTCTTGCTCCGTCTTTCATGAGCAAAGGCCGATAGGTCAGTGGGAACAATACGTGGTGGCGGTTCCAATGAATTTGGAGGAGGTGTTGGGCAGTATCGGAGTCCAGTCCATCAAAATCATACCTGCCGAGTAGTAGCGCGGAGGACTCCTTTTGTCGCTCGAGCGCGGCGTGTGCGATCAGCTGTACACGGATGTCCTCGTTGTTGTAGGGATCTGCCACGTCGAACGTCGACGCCGGCGCCAGTTTACTGCCTCGTCCTGCTCCATCGTCCGGGTGGTCGCCGGCATCACAGGAAGATTTGTCCTGGTAGTGATATGCCGACGATGGCCCATGCGCGGAGATGGAGCCCTGGTTGTCCACCATAAAATTGGCCACGGCTGGCAATGTCAACTCATCGCGTGAGCGGCCCAAGCCTTGGGCAGTGACAGACCCGAGCTCGTATTCTCCGGACAGGTGACCGTGGAAAGAAAAACCGTCCACCGCGGTGGCAGGGGGTGCTCTGGACGGGCTCGCCGCAGTTTGACCCGCTTGCAGGGCAACATCCGGTGTTGCTATGCCAGCACTGTCTTGGGAAGGCCCCGGTGTCTGGTCATCGTCGCGGTCCGTTGAGGACTGCTCGAGAGGTAGACGACGGTCATGCTCGGGGAGGAGTCTTTGGTCCAGTCCTTTCAACAGACTTTCCAAGGTCGACAGCTTGTTAGCCACGGAGGCCATGGAGTCTCTCTTCGTACGAGTGTAACGTCGGCCATCATTCCCATAGGCACATTCCCCGACGGGAAGAGCCTGGCACTGGCCACACCGGGGCTGTTTGCCATCACATTTGATCTAGAGGATCACGTATTAGCGACTTGGCTGATTATGGACCATCTCCAGCACAATGCAAACTCACTTTCTTGCGGCGACAGGCATTACAAGCCTTACATTTCGCGAGACCTAATTGGTTAGGCTTGGGGAATCCTTCGATACGCGACCGATGATGGAAATCGGACATGGTGGGAGCGAAGACCTCCGGGAAAGGAGGAAAAACAGCGCCACCTCAGAAATTGGGCGGGCCAGTCTGAGCTTTAAGAAGAGGTCGGGGAACCCACGGCTGAGAGCGGGGGATTAAACGCCACTCAACGCGGGATACCTTGGGACCCCCATCCAACTATTTGTCCTAGACCCTTTGCCTAGCCGGGCCCTTAAACTTTTAGGATACGCATGATTGGGGAAGATATTAACGACGGGCTAGGAAGAATTGATGGTTAGGGACCCGTCTTAGCTGCCCGATAGGGGGCATGATTTGATCAATTGCCCTTGTGAACGTTTCCTCGAAGAAACCCGACAGAAGATGTTCGCCAGAGATCGCAAGTCACCGACACCCCTATCTCTCTCGTCCTGTGAGACCTCATCAGCAAAAGGCATGAAGTGAATCCTCACTATGACATACCTGGACTCTTCTGCTTCCATCTTAGCTACCAAGACGGCTGTCTCGGTCGAGCGCACGATTTGCACCGTGACAACATCGTGGCAGTCAGGCGTGGTGGCCACGATGCGTGTTGCGGCCGTGGTTTGAGACCTCCCATGTGCCGAACCCAACTCTTTCAGTAATGCGTCCCGTCTCTCAGAGGTGTCTAAGTGGTACTTGCTCACCAGGAAAGTCAACGGAGTGTCTTCACCGTGAGACTTGGTCAACTCTTGAAGGGTGCCTGGCACGGGATACCAAAATCTCAGGTCGTCGGGGGAGGGAGGCGGTGCCAATCTCTCGTTCTTGAGAGCATCTTTGAACCTTCCGTAAGCAGAGCCGGCTCGATGAGTCTCTGTCAAGGCCGATGGATTGGAATACATCTCGAAGCCACAGACGCGCAGGTCTGCTGGCGAGGCGGATCTCAGCCAGCAGTAGCCCAGACAGTCTGGTTCTTCCTTCCATGTTTCTTCTGCCACACTATGAAGAAGGGAGAGAAACTGCAGTCAAAGGAGCTCCGTTAGCAGGAAACACCACGCAACAAGAGGCTCAGTAAAAGGCTCACCCGCTGCTGGTTTTTCTCGGTCCCAATAGGGACCACGGGCAGGAGAAGAACGGCCATTTCTAAAACTGTACTTTGGCAAATTCTTGGACACAGGATGGTTGAAACCGTGGAACAGTAGTTTCGACCAAATCAATGCGCTCGGGGCAGGTCTGGGGGACCCTAATTTAGGCACTGCGGAGGTAACTTAGCGGCATGGGACCCCCGGAGGTGCACCTCCGACGCAAGTGAAAGGTGTCATTTCGTTCTTCCACGTAGAGTTGAAATGGCTATGCATATCGAATCCCATACTTTCTGATTTGTTGACTTTGGACAAGAAGGGAGTTCATCGCATTCGGGCAGCATCGCAGCCTCCTCGACCATGGCCACTACCAGACGTTTGTCCCGAGAGGAATTCTACGCTACCCTCGCCAAACAGAGTCGACCTAGCCATCGTCCCTCCTGGTATTTATCGGCCTTCGCATGTCTCGCCGCGCTGAACCATTCGGAAGAAGTTGCTTCACTTTACACGCTCCTCCTCGAGTCTTATATTGCCGAAAACGAGCGCATGCACCAAACAAGAATGATTCGAGAGGCATTGACCACCTTGGTGGGGATCCTTGGGGCAGCGAAGGTAAAGAAGAGCAGGACACATGATTCAAGATCCAAGTCACTGACCTTGGGCACGTTGAATCAGGTTGGCAACGCGCTGAGAAGCCTGTCCGACGTGACACCCGATGACTTGCGGGATGACAAATGCTATCGGTGAGTTAGGAACCCCATCGGCATGGAAAATATCCTTGTAGCACACGCGTTCTCTACACTTCGGAAAGGTCAACAGGACTAAAAGTCCCTCAGGAAAGATGACGACCACGAACTGGCTGTGGCCCGTGGAAAGAAGTTCATCGAGAGCGTGTACGGTAAGAGTAGCGAAAACAAAAGGGGCGCAAAATCTCAGAAAGCCTGTCCGGACTACGATTTTATTATGACAGGTACGAATATCGACTCTCACCCGCCGTCGAGTGAATTGTGTCTATTCTGTGTAGTTGCCTACTGATCCTGTCTTTCATAGAACTTCTTTACTCACACGTCTTCTCATTTCCGGACATTCTGCCTGTTTTTGAGACTGGCCAGATCATTGTGTCGGCCGTGTTGGCCAGCGACTGTCCACTTCAAGCTTCAGGCCACATGTTGGGGATGATGAGGAATGGAGCCACCAGGGAAGAAGTAAATTACATTCGCGACATTTGTGTGAAGATGGTCGATTACTGGGGAGTCAAGCCTTTTGCGGATTTTGTCGCCGTACCAGCCTTTGACCCACCAGTTGAAGCCACGGTCCAAACTTGAAGATCACAGAAGAAGTTTTATTATACAAGTTACAGCCACGGTCTTGCCTTCAGACCGTAGGTGTAGCTACGGTCAGCCACTGCGGCGAAATGGTCTGCTCTGGGAAACCGTGCATTGACTGATGCTCTTCCGATCGCGCACGAGTCAAGCCCGTGGCGACGGTCCCCACCAGAGCGTCATCACATCCTTCAAGCTGCCTTTGGTATCGAGCGCCCAGGATTTTTACGGCCTGTATGAGCGTTTTCAGGCCTTGCATGGCTTTGATGCTGTGTCGACTCGATGTCGTGCCCTGGGGATGGTGTAACCTAACCGCAGTATTGAGGAAACCAGCCGCTTGAGGCGGGAGATAAAGCAAAAGGTCTTTCCGGAAGAGCTCACCAAGTAAACGAGACAACGATACTATAGACTGCGCTCGCGCTCTGCCTGGTGTCTTTTTGACGCTCTTCTCTTGTTGGTAGTCATGGTTGGTGATATTCGCGTTGCTGTCATTGGGCCAGTTGCACGCAACACACAGACAAACGCCACAGATTATGCGCGAGAATGATGACTGGATGAGCTGGAGTCTGCCACTTGTACAGGGAATACAGATCAAGGTTTTGAGCTCTTTTTCATCCTCAACCGTCAAGGCTCGTTTGCACTGAATCACTTCTGCCCCGGAGACAGGGGAGACTCCCTTCTTGGAATTGCTGGTTCTTGAGACTCGGCCGCGCCGACCTTTCCGTAGTAGGGAAGCAGTGATTGGAAACGTTTCGACGACCCTACCAAGCACGATGCAAAGCCTTGCCAGTTGGACGGAACCCTGAACAAGAGCATTGTATTCATCAACAAAGTCCTCGGCCACGATCCGGATCTTGGGATGGTAGATAGCTTCTGCGAAATCTTGAGATTTGAGGGGAGGAATATCATATTCCGTGTCCATGATTCGCGATCGTTCCAGATGGGGGAATGAAGAAAGCCGATCCTTAGTGTAGCACGACCACCAGAGACGTCTCTGGAGTTTGTCTCGGCTCGATTCACTTCGGCAATCTGGGTTTCGCTTGTGAAGACCCATTCGGAAAGCCAATGACACCGCTTGGTCGATCCAGTACCGGTGGTTCGTCTCTTCTTCTCCAGTGTCGTATGGCCAGTCACTCATCACAAGACATGCCGAGATGTTCGAAAATGCATTCGTGTCGATTCCCAGGCATTGAATAATCTATCAGAGGTCAACTACGTCGGACACACGGGGTCGGGGTTCTCTACTCTGACGTTCTCACGGAAGTGCTGACAGGCCTCTCGCCTAGTGTCAAAACCAAGCTCTTGAAAGGTCGAAAGATCGGTAAACTGCGATCCAGCATATAAAATGGCTTGTGTCAGCAAAAGGCTACCATCCACGGGCCGCATGCTTTCGCCATCCATGTTTCGAGTGTAGAAATCGTCAATGTCGAGGAATGGAGTCAAAGGATAAACATAGCGCAAGAAGTTGGCGAAGAGCTCGTCTCGGATATGAGAGCATGGCAAGGACAATGCTTTCCTCCGAATCAGATAGTCTAAATCATTGACTAGCATCTGCTCGCCGAGGACATGAGTATAGTGAGAAAGCAAGTGCCACTTGCCATCATCGTGGACGCAGTGGACTTCGGGATGACTGTCTTGGAGAGTGCTGAGCAAGAAGTCATGCTCCGAGTCGGTCATGCGGCCGAGGAGACGAATCGTTGATTCCCTGCAGAAGTCAGTGAGGTTTAGAGACAGTCGCCGCGACGGGACGGGGAGTTTACAATGGCCCTCTATCCATGGCGCCTCAATTTTCGAATTTCACTGAGACAGCAAAAGCACCTTCGCGAGATTGAAGCGGCAAGCAAGCTACTGAGTGGCCTGACGGATCCTGCGGTGAAACACTGTCCAGACTCAGGTCTGCGAATCCAGATCCGTGGTCTGATACGTCCGGAGATCGCGGACCTTGTCATCTCCGCCCCGACTTCACGCTCTCCACGATATCTCCACACGATATGAAAGCACATGACAAGTCTATCAAAGACATTGAAATAGCCGCTTCAGAAGTAGGTCTTACAAACTGCAGAGCCTTGATCAACATCAGTCAAGATTTAGACGCAGACATTCACAATGGGAGACATAGGCCAAGAGTCGTACTCATACCCGGATGCGCCTATTGGGACACCAAGGGCGCTCCGCGTTGTGTGCATGGGGATGGGATACTCGGGACTAATGATGGCCATGATTGTCAGATCGAAGATGGCAGACGCAAATCTCGAGTTCCAAATTTACGAGAAGAACTCCGACCAGGGTGGAACATGGCTCGTGAATAGGTTGACTCCCTCACCGTGAGCGTGGCGCCTTTTTGCTGACTGTGGATAGATATCCAGGCTGCCAGTGCGATATTCCCGCCCACAACTACGAGTACAGCTTCGAGACATTTCCTGAATGGCCCAATTACTATGCAACGGCAGAACAGATTCACGAGTACATGAAGAAGACCTTTGATAAGTACCGGTGCAATGAGTTTGTGAAATTCAAGCACGAGATCAAACGTGCCGAATGGCACGGCGATGCAGGAAAATGGCAACTTACTGTCGAGCGTGATGGTGAACAATTTATCGATGTCTGCGACGTCTTCATCAACGCCGGTGGTGTCCTTGACAACTGGAAGTGGCCGGCCATCCCTGGGATCGAAAATTTCAAAGGGAAGTTGATGCACTCCGCAGCCTGGGACCAGACCTACGACTTTACGGATAAAAAGGTCGCCGTCATTGGCATCGGTTCTTCCGGTATTCAAATCCTGCCCCAGGTTGCTAAGAAAGCCCGCGAAACCGCTCTCTTTGCCAGATCCGAGACCTGGATCACCCCAAGTGTAGGAATCAGTGAGCCTGGACCAGACGACCCGGATGTCGACGAAGCCCTCAACTACGCGCACAAAGAGCTCGAAAGATTCAAGTCGGATCCTGAATACCTCCTCAAACATCGCAGGAAACTCCAAGATGGTCGTATTCAAGGTTTCAAGCAGTTCATCTTAGGGTCTCCTGATCAGGTAAAAGCAATGGACATGTTCTCCGAGTCGATGAAAGAGCGCCTGGGCACCTCGGAAAAGGGGCGACAGATGGCTCAGCAACTCGTGCCCAAATTTCCCGTGGGGTGTCGGCGACTGACTCCCGGACAGGGCTTCTTGGAAGCCTTGTTGGAAGACAATGTAAGCTTGGAATGGAAAAACCTGGACCACATCACAGAAAAGGGCATTGTCACCAAAGACGGCCGTTTGATCGAATGCGACGCAATCTGTTGCGCTACCGGATTTGACAACTCCTTCAAACCGCGATTCCCTATCGTCGGCAAGAGGAACGTTGACCTCACCGACCAGTGGGGCAACGCGCCGGAGGGATACTTTGGAATCACGATTGCCGGGTTCCCCAACTACTTCAGTATGTCCCAATTCCCAAACACTGAGAAGGTTCCTGCTGACGAGTGACTCTAGCGTTCATCGGGCCCAATTCACCTATTTCCAATGGATCATTGGTTCAAGCGATCCAAATCACGGGGATTTACATCGCCAAATGTATCGCCAAGCTGCAAAAGCAGGGGGTCAAGTCAATGGACGTGACCGCAGCCGCCCAGGACGACTTCAACCAACACTGTGGGGCTTATCTTGCCAACACAGTCTGGTCGTCATCCTGCAGCAGTTGGTATAAACAAGGTACGACATGCGGCAAAGTTGTGGCCATCTACTGTGGTAGCTCGTACCATTTCATCGAAGCGTTGAAAGAGCCTCGGTGGGAAGACTATCACTTTGAGTACGTGGGCGATGCCCGACCCAATCGCTTTGCATACTTGGGAAATGGGATGACACTCGCTGAAACCAGGGCCAAGAGCGTCGGGGCGACGCAGACATTGAACTTTGACGAGTACTGGAACTTGTTCAATCTGCCTGCCATCCTAGAATAGTTAAAAGACGAGCTATGTGCCTTCAATGTGTTTATGATTTTCCTGTCCATTATACCACGGATCGGGGTTAGATATGTACACTATCGTCGATGGACAAGACGCTTTTCTCGTGATAGTTCATATAATGCGAATATCATCTAATACAATGTGCATCGATCAATCTTGAAAACTCTTCTGTGAGGGCGCTTTGCCATTCTCTTGTCAATCTTCTTGGTCCAGTCCGATAGTACCGATTTCAGGAATTCTGGGCCCCCAAGGCCGTTTTCACGATCGTACTGATGGACAGCCATGAAAGGGCCGACATATTCGGCACACTCTCCACGTCGGTCCAGCAACTGATATCGACTTCCAGTACGCCACCCAGGAATCTGCATCAACTTATGGATGTGTTCGTCTCGGTACCATGCATGATAGTCCTCCAAAACGTCCGGGTCGTTTTCGGGAGTCAGCGAATTCGCCACGATTACGCCATCCTCTGGAGGGATTTCCTTGCCATCGTGTGCGGCAAAGTCCATTCGTTTGTAGAGGACCAGAGTGATGGTGGCCACGGGCGATGACCATTCTTGCAGTAATTTGTCTAGGTCCAGTTTGGTGATATCCTCGATGTCGTACACAACCTCCGAGCGGTACGGTTTGGCAGGATCGGGATCATCGGTTGCCGTGAGGAATTTCTGCTGGGTCGTCCCTGGTATCTGCTGGAAGGTTTTGAGCCTCCAGGCATCGAAATCCTCCACGCTGCCCGTCGGGCTCAGTTGGACTCGAAGATAACCCACTTGGCTCATCTTGTCGGATCGGATTGGTCTTTGGCTTCTCGAGGAAAGATCGGATCTCCTGGTACTGTTCAGAGATGCTGGCTAGCAGCGTCTTGACTCTGCTGCATTATAGGCTGTCACATATACTGATGCGCCGGGTATCTCCACCCCAAATTGAACCTCCGGAGTTCGCGGACACAGAGAATCCGGCTGCCTCCCCACAATCTCCAGATAGCCTGGAACCGAATTTGCGGGCTCCAACACGAGGTAGTCGTGGAAAGGAGTTATTCGCATCTTACCGTTGTGCTTGCTCCTCTGTTCATCGAAAAATCATGAATCGCGAAACGCTTCCACAATTCGAGGAACTGCCTCTGTCACCAGGAGACCCCCCCTTTTCAGCTTGGGGCTTATGGAAGAAATCATCCCTGGGATCACTCAATCATTTGACAGCAGAAAAAGTTCTGCAAGGGGCAAGAAATGAAATCACTACAGGCACCCGAGTGTGTCTAAAGTGAGTCTAGACAACCCACCCCGAAGTCTGCCTATTCGCCGCTGACCGACACCCTTGCCAGCCTCCCACTAGACACGATCAACCCTGGATTGTTTGGACGCCCGAACTTTGAGCAAAAGCTGATCAATAAGGCACCTCGTACTATCAACGATGACAGTGTATGTGAATTCAGTCGTGAAAAGAATGGATCTAATGCTCTTGCTTCCACCAGATCAATTTCAACACCCAAGGCAGCTCTCAATGGGACAGCTTCCGACACTTTGGCTATCAAAAAGAGCAGGTGTTCTACAATGGGTAAGGAAGCCTCCCACTTCGAAAGGTATAGCCTGATCTGTGCAGTGTCACTCAAGATCTCATCCATGGGCCCGAAAAATCCGGCGCGAATGGAATCGGAGAGTGGGCTGAACAGGCTATCGCTGGAAGAGGAGTCTTGATTGATTTCTACGACTGGGCTCAGACCAACGCGCACGAGTTCGACCCCTTGGGAACTTCGCCTATTACAGTCGAGCACGTCAAGAAAATAATGACCGAGAAGAAAATTGAGCTCATGACAGGGGATGTTCTCATCATTCGAACCGGTAGGTTATTCTTTCCCTCGGCGCGCACTTTATCAGCCATTCTCTTCGTGACTGATGGACACCACAGGTTACGTCCCCGCATATCTTCAGCTTTCTGCGGATCAGAGAAAAGAAGTATCGACCAAGTTCGCTTTTCCAGGGCTAGCCCAGTCCGAAGAGACTACTCGATGGCTCTGGGAGAGGCAGTTTGCCGCAGTAGCAGCGGACTCGCCAGCATTTGAGTGCACACGTAGGTTCTCCATCTTGTCCCTGCGATGTCTTCTTTCTCTACTCACTATCACCACAGCACCGACGGATCCCGAGTGGTTTCTTCACCCAGTTCTCCTTGCGGGCTGGGGAACTCCCATTGGAGAGTTGTTCGACTTGGAAAAGCTATCAGAGACATGTAAAGAGCTAGGACGTTGGACATTCTTCCTCTGCAGCGTTCCCTTGAATTATAGCGGTGCGGTGGCAAGTCCGCCCAATGCCATGGCTATCTTCTAAAAAGCACACAAAACTTGAACAACTTTTTGGATCTCATATCTTTACTGTATCCATTCTACAATTTATGGTGAGACTGCAGTAGCCACTGTAACCCTTCGTCCATATCGTTATCCCAGGCCTTGTTGCTCTTCAGACCATTTATCCTTCCGAACCCGTGAGGGAGTCCAGGGTAGATCTCCGATCGAACTGGGACGCTGTGTGGGAAGTCATGAATCAGCCGCCGCGTTCTAAGTGTTAGAGTCTTACATACCCTGCAGAATCTAATTTGTCCGCAAAGAGCATCCCATGGTCCCTTAGCGGGTCGTTGCCACAGACCAGGATATGTGTCGGTGGCATTCGCTCCAGCACTGTGCCGCTGCAGAGTAAGGGGTTGACGATCATGTCACTGATACCATTCTCGTCGACCTGGAGCATCTCGGCGAAAGCCTGGACCAAAGAATATGAAAGCAGCGGAGCGTCTCTGCATTGGATTGGGGATGATTTCTCGGGGCTGACGATTGCGTGTGTTGGGAAACTGTCGGGATGACACAGCCATGGCATCCACAACGCCTGGCCCTTGATCTTGACATCGTCCGTCTTTGAACAGTTACTCAGCATCATATTCCCCTTCTTCGAGCGACGATTAACTCACAATCCTCTCTCGTACCGTGAGACTTGCCGCCAGATTGGCACCGCTGCTGATACCAGCCACGTACAAGGCGATATTTGGGGGCAGTCCTAGGGTCTGTGGTTCATGAAGAATCTGGCATCTGGCAGCCCAGGCGTCGTCAAATTGGGTTGGATACGTCCACTCAGGGGTGTGCCTGTAGTTGACCGAGATCACCACGACATTGCCATGGTTGGCCAGCTGCACGCATACCGCGTCCTCGGTCGACAAGCTGCCGCTGAGGAAGCCACCGCCATGAAAATAGAGCAAGACTTTGCACGAGTCTCCATCCTGGAGTGAAGCAGCTGTCGTCTCTCGACTGCTCGCGCTCGGAGAAGGCCGATAAATGCGGGCGCCGATCTCTTGAAAGTCACGACAGAGAATGGACACCGTCTGTATGCTGACACCAAGCCCGCCTAGCTTTGACAATGCCTCTTTGCTTGCTCTGTATCGAGCCTCATTGCCCGCGGCACGAAAGGCTCGAGACTGTTCTCTAGTCTGAAGCAACGGCACAGGTGGTACAATGGCGTTGTCCCGGGTTAGATTGAGCCAATCCTCGCAGGGGCTTCCGAAATCACTGTAGTCTGCCATTCCGATTGCGGCTGCAGCACTGCCTGCCGCGTAAACCGGGGTAAAAGCGCTTCGACCTACATGATAAAGAGGGAGTGGGGCTTGCAACCTGCATTTCGCAGTTCGTGAATCTCCGGATCTCCGGGGGTCGCTTAGAAAAAACTGGGGCTTTCTCCGCTTAGCGAAACGACCTGCCTTCTCAAGAGGACGATTCCGGGGGAAGAGCACGACCGCCCATGGGGTCTCATCTGTTCAGGATATATATATTTGTACCCCTGCCTGGCCCCAGGTCTTGTCTCCTGCACAGCGCTCGAACTCGCATGACCTCGAGACCCGCAACCTCTGTCCCCATTCGCCGAGAGATTGTCTTCTTCATTCCCACTCTTAATTGACGCTCGAGCCAGCTGGCCGCCTGTGACCATGGCCACCAAAGAGCACATTCCTGCGCACCAGTTCAACTGGCGAAATTTCATGATATGCTTCGTCATATGCATGGGCAACTGCGCGTTCGGCTATCCTGCCGGTGAGAACATCTTGATCCGAGAATCAGAGGGACATAGGTGCTGACATTCCCACAGCCATCATTGGCACTACACTGTCCCAGCCAGGCTTCCTGACATACATGGGCTTGATCACCGAACATGGGTTGACGGCCAACGCTAACGGTCTGATCGGGGCCATGAATGGAGTTTTCCAAGTACGAGAACTCCTCTTTGAGCCACCCCTTCATCTTTGCTAACCGTGTTCTCTCTTTCAGGCTGGAGCTCTCTTCGGAATTTTCACCGCCGAATGGGTAATGGACAAATGGGGGCGAAAGATGGGCGTCCTGTACACTGCCATCTTGTCCCTCGCTGGAGCGGCGCTGGTGACGGCCAGTCAGAATGTCTCCATGTTTATTGCTTTCCGATTTATTGCTGGGGCCGGGTCAGGATTGATACAAGTCTGTAAGTAAACGAAACTGATTAACTCCGGCGAGGATTATACGTGTTCTGACAATATCTCCTTATGCAGGCCCGGTTTATAGCGCGGAACTGGCCCCTCCCCACTGGCGAGGGTTCTTCGTGGGCATGAACGGCATGCTCATCGCCACGGGCTATGCCTTTGCCGCCTACATGGGATTGGCTTTCAACTCGATCAAGGACAATCCCGAAGCGCAATGGCGCGGCCCGTTGGGCATGGCCGTCCTCTTCCCAGCGTTCATGCTTGTGATCCTCCCTTTTATTCCCGAATCGCCACGGTGGCTGTTGATGAAAGACAACCCTGACAAGGCGTGGGTCGTTGTGAACGATCTACACCATGCGCACACCGACGCCGGCCACGAGTTCGCACGCCGCGAGTTCTATCAGATCCGGAAGCAGATTGAAATGGACCGCACGCTCGACAACTCCTGGGGGCACATGTTCAAGAAGCCATCATACCGCAAGCGAAGCCTGCTGGCCATCGGATACGCTTTTCTCGGAGAGAGCACGGCGGTGCTGGTCATTACAAACTACGCGTCTATACTGTACAAGCAGCTGGGATACAACAGCCACCAGCAGATCTGTCTGCAAGCCGGGTACCACACGGTCCCTATCCTCGGGAATCTCGTTGGAGCGCTACTCATCGACAGGATCGGCCGGCGTCCACTGATGCTGGCGGGGCTTGGGGGCTGCGCGGTAATGCTGTCGATCGAAGCGGCGATCGTCGCGACGTTCACGGGAGAGGGAAAGGTGCACAATACGGCGGGGCTGAATATGGGCGTGGCGGCGCTATACATGTTCATCTTCATGTACGCTATTGGCGTCGACGTGGCCGGGATCGTCTTCTTCGGAGAGATGTTTCCCAATCACATCCGCGGCAAGGGTTTCTCGCTCACCGTGGCCACAAAGGCCCTCACCGACCTGGTGTACCTGGAAGCTGCCTCCACGGCCTTTGCCAACATCGGCTGGCGCTTTTTCCTGCTATTCATCAGCATCACCACCGTCGGCTTCGTCGTCATGTGGATCTACCTACCAGAAACCAAAGGTCTTCCGCTCGAGGAGGTTGCCGCCATCTTTGGCGACCAGGACGAGGTCATGCTCTATCTCAAGGACATCAAGGTAGACCACGGCTCCGATAAACTCGAGATCCACCACTTCGAGGACGGGAACGAAATCCACAGGGTGGCCACGGAGGCGGCTCCAAAGCCGATGACGACGCTGAAAGACGTGTGAGGATAAAATAGAAGTGGAGGGCTGTTGGGAGGCCGAGAAGGAGTGGTAGCGGACGCAGAGTGCCGGGACAGAGAATGGGAGTGTAAATTCCTTGGGTGCTCACGAATGAAGTGAAAGCCTCCCTTCCTTGAGAGCACCCTCGGTGTGGCATAGGGAAAGTTCGTACTCAGGGGCGGAAGTAGCCTTTTGGTCGCAAAGGACACGAGACAAGGTGCTCTCATGCCCGACACCTAAGTTTGCCGTGATCAAAGACAAGATAATGAGTTCGCGTAATTATTATGCGCTAGCATTTCATTTCACAGACTGCTACACCTCTTCCTTTGAGTGAGTTTACCGTATCACCGAGTAGTGAGTAGTGCTTGTTTCGACCTGGCCAGCGAGTTTTCATCAGCGGAGTCACAGCTCGTTGCGTGAAATATAAAGATGGAAGTTCACTGGCAGTTGCTCTTGAATGTCACTCCTTGGCATCTAAAATAACGCTAGCTGTTTTGGGCCAACTGCCTCGCTGCGCTGCGGGCAAACCATCTTTACAATGCAGATTTGGAGACGTGACTATAGGCTGAGAGTGAGTCTCTCACGCGTTTTCTCTCGGTCGTTGAGGGCGTCCTTGCACGTATGCCATGATGGACAGCCTCATCCGTCTACAAGGTCTACACGCCGACCTTGTAGCTTTCACCGAAACACGTCTTGCAAATATCGATCGCTTGTGGTTGGAGTTGGAGGAAAGCATTCATGATTTCCGAAGGCTGCTCGACAAGGCTACACCTTCTGCCTGCGACAAGGAGGTCTACAACAATGGTATGGCACCGTACTGCCTTGGGGTGTTTGTCTACTAACCTGCTCTACATAGGCAAAATCTCTGTGGGTGATCAACAGTATAGCATCAACGAAGACTTCAAGCACATCAGCCGTGCAATCGCTACAACCCTCGACCTGGACGAGATCGAAGCTGGTCGGCTGCTCATCGAGAACCAAGCGGACACAAGTACCGGCGCAGAGTCACTCGTAATCGACGCTGTGAGCAATTACCACAATCGCCGCGATCTATTGCTCCAATGCCTACGAATCACCCTCCAGCATTCCCTTTCCCTGGAAGCAGATGGCAACATCAAGCAATTATTCGAAACAATTGTTACAAAAGTGTTGGAAGTCGATGGTGGCGTGACCAACAATGGCTCGCTGTTTGCGAGAAAATGCTTGAATACATTGGAAGACATTGAGAAGTTACAAAACAAGGTTGTAGATGCACTGCAGAGCAAGGCGGTGCTGGGCGGACCTCGTGGCCCAGAGTTCTATGCTACGCTCGAATTTCAAAGAGACAGCCTCTTCAAGCAGCACGAGGCTTTGGCTAGTATACTTGCATACTTGTTTCAGGGCGATTATCCCAACCAGGAGGATCTTCGAAAGCTCCACGCTGCTGCCAAACGTTGGAATCATGTTGACTTCAATCTCATACATTACCTTCCGGCCTTCTCGGCAGCCTTTCGCCAATTTGGTTCACCTGGGAGTCAGCTATCCCCGGACAGTACGCACTCATTGGACAATCTCTTTGCGCCTCTGACACAGAACTCCGGCTCGGCTTTGGTTCGCCCCTTTCATGCCACGCTGAGCCTGTGGTGGACTGTCGAGTACAGTGGCCAGTTTAGAGAGTTGACTGATCAGGATGCCGCAAGCGAGAAGAGGGGCAACACCGTCAACGCTGCTCTGAAAGAAGACTCTCTCGAATTCATGCTTGCTATCTGCACAAGCACGAACCTGGATGTGTGGCGCCACCCTGCGCGGCAGGAGTTGGTGACCTTATTGCTCAGCGAGAGCTCGAGCATTGTTCTTGAAGGTGGTGATCAGACATCTTCATACTTTCGCCTACAATTCATGGAGTGTTTGGAGAATTTTGTGGAGGCATTCATCTCGAACATGCCTGATTCCATTCGCAAACTCCGAACTGAAGAGGACGACCAACGGCTGAATCACCTGATGGCAATGCAAGAGGACCTCCCGCCAGAGCACCGGGGAGGTAGCGTGAGCAAGCTACATCTTGAGTGTTTTCTGGTCCTCGTCTCTTTCGCTTTTGAACAGCGGCCAGAAGCTGCAGAGCAATGGTGGGAAGACCCCGATAGCAATCTATATGGGTTCCTCCAGTGGGCTTCCCGACGACAGACTGTGCCCCGCGTCAGTGCTTTCTGTGAACTTTTGTGTTCTATTTCCGAGGACCAGGAATGCGCCGAAGCTGCTCACAAGTTCCTGTTGGACGACAGTTTGCCTAGCACGAGGGGTCGGCGTAACCCTTCGATGAACTACCAGCAAATCTTTGCGGAGCTCGAGCTATACGCGCACAAAGTCCATGAGCGCTCTAATCCTTCGTCGCAGCTGCCAAATATGCGCAAGGTCCCACCGACCGAAATGAATGAGCTTGAAAGTCCAGTTATGCTGTCCTGCTACCTTCGACTTTTAGCTCATCTAAGCCGGCAACCCAGTGGCACGCGCTTCTACATCCTGCAGACAGCGTTCCCTTCTTTCCCACAGGCCCTCCTGTTACTGAGTTCCGGCCCGGTGCCCAGTTATCTGAGAGCAAGCATCTTTGCGACCTTGGACGCGTTGCTTACTGACAAGTCCGTACAAACTGCTACCACCTTGTGGCAGACTCTGGATAATTGGGCTGCCAATGGTCAGGAGATGGTCCAATCTGCTGTTAACAAGACAGCTCAGCCTCCCAGACCAACCTTGACCGACCTGCAGGCAAATCTGAATGCCATCACGTTGTCGTTCGACCAGTGCGATTCGTTCGTGGTCTTACTGCGTGATTTGGTCACCACTTCGCCCTCAACGGGCTTGGGAACAGACATGTTACCATTTCCTGGTGACCTGGGCTCAGCATACAGAAGTCCTGGCATTGACCCTTATATTGATCTCGTATGTGGTCAGGTCTTCGTCAAGCGTCTTTCGGAAGTGGGCGATGAAGTTCAACGTGCAATCGGCGCTTTCCATTGCCTCGAATTTGTGGCTGTGGGACTGGAAGGGTTCAATGAGGACTATGTGGTCATGATGGATCGTGCAAATCCGCAACGCGATGCCTCTCAGGAGACATCCATGGCAACTGCATACGCTCAACGCAGTGCGTTTGCTAGACTCATGCAGTGGATCTTGAGCACAGACATGAACAAAGCACTGATGGAGTCCCTACGGGTGCGTCTCGAATTGGTCGAGACCGCCATCCCCGATTCGCCGCTCCTCTTGAGCCTCCAGCGCTCAATTGATATAGTCAACCGAGTTCTCGACCTGCAGCCAACTTACTTCGACATAGTGAGGCCGATGGTGCAGTCCCAGGCCCATCAACAGGGACCCTTCAATCGATCGAGCGTCAATTCCATCGAAGATACTCTCGCGGCTCATCCTGAGGTCGTGCTGAACCTTTGTCAATTCGCTGCAACTGATCTTTCTGATTTGGCACTACGGGCTTTGTCATTACTGCAAAAGCTATCCAGCTCTCCGAAACTCAACAATCACTTCTTGACGTCAGATCCTGTTCGTGGCCGTACGAGAAGAATCATTGATATGCTGGGTCCGAATGCTAGCGTGGAACTTGAGCCGGTCGCGAAAAATCTAGCTGCCAGACTGCAGTTCGACATTAGAGATCTCGAGGATGGCTTTGAGTCGGTCAACTATCTTACGAAAGATGGTATATTGGCATTTCTGAATGCTTGCCTCGAGACACAGCCAGATCTCCCGAATATCGCACATCTCCTACTCGGCTTCAGCAGGCTTGAAGAGCGTTTGACGATCTCCAACTCGATCGACGCTGGAATTTCTGTCTTCAACTCCATCGTTGATCTTGTGCAGAACTATCCTGACGAGGAAGATGGAGTTGTGGTATCTTGGTTGGTGCACATCAAAGCTGCGGCCTTAAGAGTTTTGAGGCAGCTGTGGTCCTCAAGCCTGTCACAGAGCATTGTCATCGGCCAACTTCGTCGGCTGCAATTCCTGCAGTCCCAGTACCTGAGCCAGCCTGTCATATACCAGCAGACTCTATGGGATGGCAATACCGGTTTTAATCCCGCTTTCTGGTACAGTACCTCCGCTGAAGCACTTGCTGAATTTCTCGCGTATCGAGCCTCGTTGTTCAATTATACCACAGCGGAATTAAGAGCGGCTGCTGCCGAAGGCCTCTCTACTACTCTGCGACAAGCTTTCTCAATACTTCAGGGGAAGACTGTCAACGTCGATGGCACCGTTACCCCTAACCCCGATGTCTTCGCCTTCTTCGATTTTCTGGAGCTCGATCTGTCCGCGTCTTTCGATCTGGATCCAAAGTACTATATGGGCATTGATTTCGATATGTACCTGACGGATGCGTCTGACCGGCTACCTCCACTTTACGACATCAAATTGATTCGTGAACATCTCTATGCCTACAGAATAGATCTGTTGCGCAAGCAATTGGACTCTCAGAGCAGCCACAAAATTGACGAACAGGATCTTATCGCCGAAGCCGACTCAATCATTGCTACGATAGAAGCTCGGAACAGATCTATCGTGGCGCACAAGGCTAGAAGCGACGCTCTGCATGAGTACGTCGAGATGATCATCGCCATCATCGAAAGCTGTCCCATGGATTCATCGGCAAAGTTGCAATTCATCCTGCATGTCCTTCAGATCATGCTTCCTAAACTGGATGTCCTGATCTCGGATGAGTCTCAAGATGTTCTAGAGCTGGCAAGAGCAGCTGATGCACTGCTATTCTCCCTTTCCGAGACCGCGCCAACAAATACTCAAATGGACAACGTCATTACCGAGAAGTTGTTCCAGCTATTCCGAGCTTCGATCGAAGGGATCCCCGTATCAAACTCCAATTCCGCACTGCGTACGATATTCTACAGTATCTGCTCGCAATACCTGACTCGTATCGCTCTACCAGACGAGAGCGCCTTGGACACACTTGCGAAGGCCCGCAGGAACAGCATGGACTGCGTTCGATCAGCAAGCCAACGATTGATTCCAATTATCTCCGACGACGCAGAGGATGGTCTCGACTCTTGTCGCTTGAATGCACTGAATCTACTTGCGCTCCTTACATCACTTGCAAGAACAGAAAAGTCCAACTATATCGTCCAGTCTTTTGTAAAGGCGAACGTTCTCGAGATTCTGTTGGAATCCTTGAAGCATGTCGCGGTAGAATTCCAGGAGCGTGAACCTGCTCGTGAGTATTCATTTCTTTTCATGCTTTGTGTTTGACAAAAGTGCTGACATTAGCTCAACTTCTAGATCGGTTTTACCTCCTTTCCGCGTTTGAGTCGCGTATGGTTCTTCTGCTGCAGATTTCGCGCACCCGGGATGGTGCAGGGGCCTTACTTGACGCTGGCTTGATGAACGCAGTACGAGATTCGCTCCTCTTCCGCGCGGATCCAGATCTAGGCATCTCTTTCCACGACCTGCCAAGCAACGAAGCCGGTGCTGGCGCCACGGATTATGACCCTGTCACATCAGCATTGCGAACATATTACGCCTTGCTGTCTTCCACGTTAAGAGTCCTCCTATCGACCTTCTTCTCTCGTGGCGCACAGAACGAGCAGATTCAGTATCTCGCCCGCTCGTTCCTAACCGAATATCGCCCCAACATGGTTGGCATTTTCAAGAAGTACGCCGGTATCAATGGGAAGGTCGATGAGAAGCTTCGGCCTCTGATTGCAGAGTCTGTGAGGTGCTACACTGGTTTCGTGACATTGTGTGGATTTGTGGATGTAAGTCTCAAAGTGCGCTGTGTTAAAGGACCATCAACTAACAGTATTTAGTTTGAAGACGAGTCCGGCTTAGATGCCACACAATACGGCAGATTTTCGTGAACACCCGACGATAAAATGGGACATGAATTTGACTTTGTGTTAGCGTGAGCATTGAATGGCATGGCTCCAACGAGGGTCGAAAAGCAATTTTGACATGGAACGAAACATCGCAGGCGGTCAACAGAACAGGCAATGGTTCATAGTGCTTGATACTGTACAGAATCAGCGCTTATGACACAATATTAACTTCAAGAGATTTGATGCACGCCGCGATCCACCTCCTCAAGCCCACAATCCTATAAAGAAACTTCAAAGCTGCGCTTTAACATGCTCCGCCCCACCACCTAGACCCGAACTGCTCTGAGTGTCGGTACTTTCATTTGTAAAGCCCTTGAAATAGCCCTCGAGCGCCTCAACTGTGCCCTTTCCTGGTACCAACCGCACAGCAACACCGACATGCCCATCAGGACGGATGACGACGACAGCGCCCTCATCACCAGTAAGTCCGACTTTCGCATGCGCCGCAGCCTTTGCGTCCAGCACCCTTATATCCCTCTTGTCATCCGCATAGATACGCGCACTGTAATCCTGGAACAGAGCCGGTAAATCTGATATTTCGATCTCAGGCCTCTTTGCCGCGAGTGTCAGCGCAAGCGAGAAAAAGCGCGAATGCGGGTTATTGCTATCGTGGTGGTTGTCGCGCTGGAGGTCCTCGGAGCCAAATCTTGCATAGAACGATCCTGGGGCGGTCAGACCCTCAGCTAAATCAACCAGCGCTTGATGTCCGCCCTTCTTCGGTGATTGTCCTAGACCGGCGAATACGAACAACCTGAACGCGCCGTTAAAGGGGATTTCGTTCTCGAGGTGCACGACGTTCGCGTCGACTACCCTTGTCACGTTCGACGGCGGCATGATCCGGCCCGGTCGCAACTTGGGCGAGTCCTTGATGAACAGCTCGTGCTGGAACGGGTGGTCGGCAGAGTGATTGAAGATGTTGCCGTTGTACGCGACGCCGAAACCCGCGGTGAATTCACAATTTGCTTTGAACATTTCCACGAAATCGTTCTTGGTCTCGGACTCGGCCTTGTCGTCACCCTTATGTGCGCTGTCGACTTCACTGGCTGAAGGTGGGCGTTTGGAGAACAGCGCGGCGTACTGGTTGTCGAAGTTTAGTAGGGTTTCTGCGATGAATTTGCGCTCGACTTCGTATGTTCCCAAAATGTCGCGGGACGCGAAGCCCGACTCGACAAGGTGCATTTTCCAGGCGAAATTGATGGCGTCGTGAAACGCTGTGTTCATACCCTGACCAGCTTTAGGACTGTGCGTATGGCAGACGTCGCCGCCCATGAAGACGCGGTGGTCGAGCGTGTACTTGTCGGCGATGCCCTGGCCGATCGGGTAGACTGAGTACCACTCCACGCGGTCCCACTCGCAATAGTATGGCTGAAAGATACTCTTGGCTGCAGCTTGCACTTCTTCCACGGTGGCGGTCTTGCGCGCCGAAAAGTCCTTGTCGGTCGAACTGGCGATCTGGATGTATAGTCTGACCATGTTGTCTTCGCGGGGGATGACCATGATACTGCCGTGATCGGAGTGGATGGTGCATTTCATCTTGATGTCGGGGAAATTTGTGCGGACCACGCCGTCCATGACGCCCCATACGTGCGATATGGGATCTTTGTGTCGAATTTGCACGCCTAATTGTTCGCGGACGAAACTCCGCGCGCCTTCTCCGCTGAAGAGATATTTGGCGCGGACGGTCTCGGTAACGTTGCTGTCGAGATTCTTCAGATCGACTTCGACTGGGTATGCGGGGTTTGTGTGGTTGGTCTCGAAGCGGGTGATGGTCCACGGCCGGAGGACTCTGGTGCCATTTTTCGCAAGGTCATCGATGAGGACTCTTTCTATGTGCCCTTGGTGGAGAAGCGCTGTGAAAGGGTATCTGGCATCGAGGAAATCTGGACAACTTGCCCATGTGCCAGTTCTGACTATCTTGCCCTGTGGCGCGGGATCCCAGAAGGCTACTTCGAAAACTCTGGCGGGATCATAGGCCATGATCTTTCGTTTTAGGCCCATATTTCTCAAGATCTCAAGAGATCGTGGTTGGATACCGTCGGCTCGCCCTGTTGCCGTCGGGACTGGCCGATTGTCGATGTGTCGTACTTTGTAACCCCATCTTGAAAGCGAGACTGAAAGGAGAAGACCTACTGGTCCGGCTCCGATAATCACTATATCGTACAGGGGTATCTCTGAAGGCATGCTGGATAATGTTGGAGGCAGATGAGTAAAGAAATGCGTTATCGTGGCTGGGGGAAGTATAGACACAGCTCACAAGATCCACGGTTTGTAGAGAGCAGCGCAAAGAGAATCGTAATTCAAGCAGCAAGGATTGGAAACTTATAAAGTGGGCAGAACAAGACGTCAAGATGTCGGATCTGAATCATGGCAGATCTCTCAGACCTCGGTGTAGGGGCAAGGCGAGGGTCCTAAGGCCCAGCTACGATCCGACAGCCTTAGCTGTGTGAGATCGGGGGGGTTATCCCGCGCCCTTTTCTGTCCGCTCGGCTCCACGAGCCATTCTTACCATCATCTCGGCCGTGGAGGGCCCAGTGAGCGAGAGTCTTTGCAGTCCGGAGGGTGGAGGGGACAAGAACCATGGCACTGGGGGATGATGAACGGTAGACACCCCGCAAGTCGGATCTGAAGAACGGCATATGAAGATGGAGATGGTGCTTAGTCATAGAGGTGCTCCAACAAGGGACTAGCGTACTTGGCATGACATTGGTCTTTTTCAACATCAATCTTTCGTCGTCTCCTTTGTTCTCAATCGTTGTCGTCCAAATTGCGAGACGAGTTGCAGCCTTGTGCATTCAAAGGGGGGAATTGCTGTGGTGTTGACGATGCAAGCATACTGATGTACCGATCCTGTACATAGTCTGCTTGTTATACCAGCCATTTGAAATTCGGGAAGCGTGTCTGGATGCACAGCTGTTGGATACAGCAATGATGTGCTTCCATTCTGTCTCATGTGGGTGTATTGACATGGAAGAATGCCTTTCTGTGCTGCTCGGTGCGGATGGATCACTTGACAGAGTCTTGTTGGGGACATGGCTTTGACGACAGGATTGATTCATCGAATGCAATGCTGTCAATGTCAGCCTTGTCTCCTTGTCGTCTTCTGCTGGCATCAAAGGATCAAGCAACCCTCCTCCTCCTTCCATGATCTGTCCTTCTGGTCCTGCAGAACTTGTCACCGCCCTCGGCATCAGTTGGCGCCGGTATCGGCTTCGGCGAAAGTTGTCTCCGGTGTCGCCAAGGCATGAAAGAGGTTCACTCACAATTAGGTACCAACGATGAGAAAGGTGATTTCGACTGAATTCGCAGCTTCGTCCTTCTTTCTCACCACCTTGTCGATCTATCTCAACCCTCTGGTAGGGCGTGGGAACACTCTCCTTCATCGTTTGCCTCTTGTTTGACGTCTTCATAACTGTCAGAGTATCAGATTCTCACTCCTTTTCGTCACGCTCAAGACCTCGTTTTGTTAATGTGCACATTTCACTCCTTACCTTTCACTGCGCTCATACTCATGCCAAAACACCATGCCTGACCTCGCACGACGTCATGTCGTGTCGGCAATACCACCCTCCCTCACCATCAACAACCCCAACCACATCAGAGACCTTGGGTGCTTTGATGAAGACACTTGTCGTTACTTTCTTCGGGAGGTTGGCACAAGGGTCGTTCCTTTTTACCCCTTCTCATTCGGAATGGAAGAAGTGTACAGCTTGATATTAGAAAGATATGGATATGATGGAATCCCTGATGCCACAAGCGTACTTCAAGATCTTCTCGAAAGTGAAGGAGAGGCAGGTGGTTTTGGTGACGATGGCGACATTTGGCGTTCCTGGCGTCATAACTGGAGGCATCGAAACGTTAGTCATTCTCACCCTTCGATACTTCACTGGATCCTGCTGACCCTTCATGATAAGGATGACTCTCTCAACCCATTCATCCCTAAGGTGGGCAACTTCGTTTTGCAATCACCAACTCCACCACATATTCGACGCTTGAAGGCACAGAACTTCATCCGCAAAACACAAGCCCTTGATGCTCAGACACAGCGAACACCGTTAGCACCAGTATCGGGTAACGGAACCATGACCAGACCTTTCGCTCCCAGCGACTTTAAGGGCAACACCATACTTCAAGACGACTCATATGAGCTGCCTGCAACAACATACTCTCATCAGAGATGCAGGGCACTGCTAGCATCCGAGCACGGCTCACCCTCTTCCAACCTTGAAAGAGCTGGTCGACCAAGCATGGCAACACGATCAGACACAACAGATCATTCTTCTCAGCAAGACTTTGCCGAGGTCACTGATCCAATGCTGGAGACTGATATTGATCCTTCGCTCTTGCTTGCGTTCGATATGCTCTCAACACCATCGTCCCCAACCTCTGAGCAAATACCAGGCTTAAGAGGCGGGCAAGGCGTTATATATAGATTGAAACAGGTCGACACCTCCAAGCTATCCCCTCAGAAGACTGAAGAAGGGCAACCAACTGTTTCAATCGATTCATCACCAGAAAACATCTCCTCGCATGACGTACGGTGTGGACCAAACTCCCATCGATTGTCATCCTTGACGAACACACAAACCCCAGAGCGTCTGGAAAGAGCAAACTTAGCCGAGAATTCAAGTGAGGCATCTCAAAATGTCAAATCTCCTGATCAAATCCCTGCAGCCGACAAACAGGAGCCAAGCAAGCGCAGACATGCAATAAAGCGAGAGGCTAGACTCATTGATGGTCACATCATCACTCCAGGAGCTCGCAAAAGACTGTCATCGCAAGACAGACCCCAAGTTGATCGTGTCGCCAACGTTGATGAGACAAAACCTCAGATCACTCGCCGCAGTTGGACACCGGTCCGGCAGAATCGCGATTCACCACGCCATAGCTGGCTACATTCTGTCCGATCAATCTTCCATTCCAAGGGCGGTGAGAAGAGCGCCAAGTCGTCATCCCACAAGGCCTCAGTCTCCAAAGGAGCAAAGGACTCTCGAAATCCAGCTGCGAACAGTGATCCTCCCTCTCATCATCCACACACTGTTGCAAGCTCGTCTCCTTTCTCGCAGGGCCTCGACGGTACTTTCGACAGCAACGAAGCTCTTTTCTCAAGACACTCTTCCTTACGCTCAAGGCTTTCACTGAACCTCAATAAACTTCTGACACTCAACTCCCCAGAGATCGACTGGTTGTCTACCGCCACGATCCTCACCTTTCCAAGCAACCTCGCGCTACAACCAAACCTTCATCCACTGACGTATTGATCTCGAATTCTATCGAAAAGACATCAGAGAAAATCTCGATTTCGACCACGGTCTATCGCGAGTCTCATCACAGACAGAATACAGATACAATCGAGCTTTCGTCTCAAATTCTATCGCAAAATCTTCAGGGAACTTCTTGACTCGACCACGGTCTATTAGGAGTCTCAACACGGATAGAATACGGACACAATCAAACCTGCACCCACTGACACATTGATCTCGAAATTCTTCCGGAAACATCATCCATCTCGATTCGACCACGGTCTATTGCGAGTCTCATCACAAAAAAGAATTCGAAGTTGTGCAGTCAGCCTTAAAATACCAGGAAACATCTCGATCCGATTGTGATCCATTGAGAGTTTCATCAGAACAGAATACGGATACACCCAAACCTCCACACACTGACACATTGATCTCGAATTCTATCGGAATAATCATTAGGAACAATCTCGATTCGACCACGGTCTATTGAGTTGTCTCATCACGAACTGAATACGGATACGATCAAATCTTTTCCCACAGACACACTTATCTCGAATTCTACCAGAAATCATCAAGAACATCTCGATTCGACTGCAGTTCATTGAGTGTCTCATCACAAACAGAATTCGAAGTTGTCCAGTCAGTCAGGTTTGGAGTTGGTAGCGCAGTTGCAACAGAGCTTCAGAAGTTTTACTACATCAACACGAAAGCCTTGTATGTACATTCCCATGCTAGGTAGGTAGTTGCTAACCGGTTCATAGTTCTAATCGTCAAGCGAGGTATTCTCTCGTTGAATCACTATTGAAACAGACGCTCTTCTTTCCTTCCATCGTCTCGTCGTCTCTTCTTCAATCATCACAGAAATCAAACCACCTTATTAAGACCATCCAGATCAGAAAGGATGCCTCGTCAACAAGCCTCCTACAAGGCGAAGTGGGCAAAGAAAGGTCTTTCGGTCAGCACCACTATCCCATCCATTCCGTTCCTCCTGGGCGTCAAGGCAGTCGGAAAACAGGAACCCTCTTACAAGGCCAAATGGGCAAAGAAAGGTCTTTCAATCTCCACTAAATTTCCATCCATTCCGTTCTTGCTGGGAGTCAAGGCGGTCCGAAAACAATCCTACAAGGAGAAATGGGCAAAGAAAGGCCTCTCTGTGGTGACGAGCTTTCCGTTCGTGCCGGTTGAAAAGGCATACGGACCTGACCAAATTGAAGAGAACGACGAAATCGACACCGCGGAGCTTTTGGAGCGGGGGAACGCAGTCCAGCAGGAGTACAATGACTTCGTCAACAAGCAACAGAACACGGTGTACGACACCACCTGGGGTGGGTCGATTTCCTTCGACCCCCCACTTCAAGTACGCATCTGGAGCGAGTTGGGAATCATGTTGGCCACAGCGACCAACGAGTGGCTGCTGCGACAAGCCCACGCGGGCAGACTCGACGTTCTGCTCGTCACGAGAGCCATGATCGCCCACGAAGACAAGTACCAGAGCCCGGCGTTCGAGTTCTGGGTCGATCTCGAGACACAACTGCAAATCGTGACAGCAAACTACGAGACTGTCCTGTTCCACCCAGCGTTCGAGATGAGCGCGAGTTCCATCGAGTTGAAGGTGTTCACGGATTGGCCATACCTCGTGCGCAACATCATGGCAGCCAACTACCAATATCCGAACAGCGTTGTCCTAGGATCTGTCCAGGATATCAAGCCAATTCTCCAGATGTTGAGTGCGCCAGTACCAATCCTTGAAGCCTGGCACGTACTGCACTGCAAGGTCCACCAAGCTTTGGACGACAACACGCGCGCGGGGCGCGTCAGTGCAGTACTGCCACAGTACTACGGCCGAATTGGAACCTACGTGTACCGACCACGTGAAGCCCCGAGCCGCCACTACGGTGGCCTCGCCGATGCTGAAGAGCGCATGAGGTTGCGTCGCGGAAGTGTCTTGGGGAACGAGGCTTACAACCTCCCCCCAAGACCAGCCGCGCCAATCCAGCGCCAGCGACGCGAGGTCCCCGAGGGCCGCCGTGGAATTTAGCCTTTCGGGGCACCAACAGCAATGTTGGAAATTCAGACACGGGCGAGCCGGCGTGGTGTGCTGGGAGGGCTGTGGGAGAGTTGGAACTCGTGCTTCTCGGAACGAATAGATAGTCGATAACACAAACTCAAGCAGAGACTCGAGCAAAGAGCCACAAAAGAGCTCAATTTGTCCCCCCAAACCGTTGTCCTACCAATCGTGCTTCGTAGAAATTTTCTTCTCGTCGTGAACAACCTATCTACCTGTTATGTACTCGCCTATCTGTGCATGATGCCGTGCTTGACCTGGGGTCATAACCATCGACCTCGAACATGCAAGATGCCCTTTTCAATCATAGCACTGGGATCTCTAATCCTCTCCCTTCAATTTCTCCTCGATGCTTTCCAAGTCCTCGCTCTCCTGGATTTCCAGCACGCGATTGACCTCAGCCGTACTCCGCATCAACTCGACCGCACCGGCATAACTCATGCGCATGTTCGGATTGCAGTTGACGGGCAGGTAGTACAGCAACACGTACGGTACGGACAAGCGTCCTGAGGGCTGAACGTCCACATCGTTAGCACGCCAGGACCACGGGTAAGTACTATGGGCTTCAAGACGTACCAAAGTCAGAGGGTAACTCAGCAAGACAAATCGCGGTGACGAGTCCGGTAGATCGTCTGCCAACTCGAGGACATCGGTGTACGTCTCGTCGGAGGAGGGTTTGATTTCTTGGGTTTTGATGTCGATTTGGTCTAGAGGGCAGAGAGTATCAGCTTCAGCTTCTGGGTACTTGGTACGCTCCTCCGGCTGAACACACAAGTACACTGCAAGGCAGGTCGATGTTCCTGCATGTGGTGCTGTCGTTTGGAGGAAGTCCACTCACATATTTTGGCCATGGGCGTTTTCGCCCGTGATGTGCCTAGGCGGAATTTGCGGAGTTGCTCTTTCGTCTCTTGCGAGAAAGTGTAGAGTCGGGAGTCTGACTGTTTTGTGGGTTTCGTTAATTTCATGGTCTGAAGGCGGACTCCCTCATAGCAAATGTCGGGTGGGAAATCGTATGCTGAATATATGACCTATGCACGGAGAGCGAGGAGATTGGACTTACCATCTTGGACTCAGCGATGGGTCTTTGCTTCCGTCACGACAAATGTACTTGCAGCAAGGAGACTTCGAGAATGATTGAATGGGACCTCTTGTATTCGTGCTCAAGGAGGCAGGATGTTCTTCGCGCGGTTGAGCGTCGAAGAGTTCAGCCTTGATAGTCTCAGCCTTGTCCACAACCTGTTCTCAAGAGCTGTCGAATTATTCGGCCAGAAGCGTCGTCAGTCCTGATATATAAGGATTATGGTCAGAGTGATGTCGTTTTCCAACGTGGGTGTCTCGAGGCTACAACAGAAGTTGGTTCGATTTCTTTGGACTTGCGAAATGTAGAAGCTACGTTGTCGTTGACCTGTCAGCGCCCAGGACCTTGATAAGCAGTGCTGTGGAGATCCCATTATCGGCAATTTAGCGGGGCTGCTTAACTAACGTACAGTACCTCCTCCATCTCCAATCCAGGCATCTTCTCCGTCCTGTCCTCGCAGCCAGCACACGCGCCCATCCTCCTCCCACACTTGCTTCAGTTTCCTTCAGCTTCTGGCCTCTCTTCAATGTACTCTCGCCTCTCCCAACTAGCAAGACACCTCTCTAGACCTCTACCCAACTACGCGCACCGCTCGGCCGCGGCCGTCAACGCCTCGGTTTCCTCAATAATGACATCATCACTCAATGGCGAGGCCAGCGCGACATCACAGAAGAGAATGATACATACGGCGGGCTGTATAATTATAGGCGATGAGGTGCTCGGTGGAAAGGCATGTCTCCTCTGTGCATTACCGGGCCTGGCCATGGAACACTATTCTTCAAGCAGTACCAGCTAATGCGCATACCAATATAGACTGTCGACACCAACTCCGCATATTTCGCCAAATTTTGTTTCTCCCTGGGCATAAACTTAAAGAGGATTGAAGTCATAGCGGACGATGAAGACGAGATAGTAGAAGCGGCGAGACGCATGTCCAAGAACTACGACTTTGTGGTGACTAGTGGTGGAATTGGGCCGACGTATGTTGATATTCCCCCCCCTGATGCATGGCCTGACACAAGAACGGCAGACACGACGATATAACCTACCAGTCAATAGCAAAAGCATTCGACCTCCCGCTCCAACTGCACGAAATCACAGTCGCCAAGATGAAGAAGTTCTCAAGACCTCACAAGTCGCAACCAACATTTGACTGGAACGTGCCGTCGCCGGCTCTGACCGCCAAACTACGCATGGCACAGCTGCCCACGGACCCAAATATCCCGGACGAGGAGCAAGTGCTGTACGTGAAGGAAGACTTATGGGTGCCCATCTCGGTAGTGAACGGGAATATCCACATCCTGCCGGGTGTACCCAGGCTATTCGAGGCCCTCATAGAGGGCATGAAGCCTCGCATTTTGCCTCGTCTGAAGGACCCCGAAGGAAGAGGAATGTATCGTGTGCTTTTCAGCACGCCGTTGGCCGAAAGTGCGGTGGCGGAATACCTAACCAGCCTCGCCGCCAAGGTCGAACCGAAGGGCGTCAAGGTGGGAAGTTATCCTCGATGGGGCAAGAACAGGAACATTGTGACGTTGGTGGGAAATGATAGAGAGTTTATGGACTCTTTGGAGGCGGAGGTGGCCCAGGGTGTGCAAGGGGTGCGAGTGCAAAAAGAAGGTGAAGATGATACTGATGATGAGACCGATGTCAAGAAGGACAAGGATGCTTGAGGGACCAAAACAGTAAACAATCAATGAACGTCACTTACCTGACCACGCACGCATCCACGCACCCATCATTTCCAATGTTCTTTCTTCTGGCCCTTAGGGGAGTAAAACCGCTCGATTTGGTTGTTGTATGCGAATGTGTATCAGGATGTCCACGTTTTCTGAAATCATGCTTTCGGCATGGAACTCACGAATCCTTTGGATCCAAGCAGGATCGTCATGCAATGCAGGCTTATCGGGCCCTTGATCTTAAACAAAGCGCCACATGCCTTGTACTGCATACACGTGGGCAGAAGGTTTGCAGTGAGCATCTCCTTGCATGTGTGGCGGCGACCGCCTGTATCGGAATTGAGATGCCCTTTTGTTCTCGGTTTCACATCATCCTAGCACGTTAGCCCGAGATATGGGGACGGGGTAAATTTCCAGAATGTTACCTGCTGAAGAACAAGGTGGGTACGGAGTATTGTGTTTGATGTCAAGGGGGGAGGAGCCGCTACCACCGCCCGATTCCGTTCTCTTTCCTCCGATCGCTGCTGATCCTTCGTATTGAGTTCTTGGGCAGCTCTCATTTTCATGGTCGCATGTTGACATTGCACACCTTCACGTAAGAGGCTAGAACATGAATGGCGTGACGCTTCAGAGGCCAAGTACGTGGTCGAATGAGTTAGTGCTTGAACGGGCGCCAAAGTGGTTCGAGCGTGAAGTGGTGTCAGGTCGGCACTTTCTGCGCATGGACGTTGGCATCCCAAAAGTTCGGATAACGACCTGCAGTGATGAGTACGTGCTGGAGATGCTTATCTCAATTGTCCACCTCTTCATATTGCTTCTGTGTCGGCTCCATTAGAGACTGCATCGGCGGCAGCCACGGCGTAGTTGCATCAATGTTGCTGGTCGATTTTCCATGGCTAGAGAATTTAAGCGCGAAACTAGGTTGGGAATAGGTAGGGACGGCCTGGGTGCGGATGTGATGGGCGTGGATGGCCGCGGAGGCATCGAATCAAAGGTCGAAGGAGGCTTCTCTGTCGGGCATCGCTCGAATGAAATCGGTTGTGCACAGAAGATAACCGCTTCCCCGTTTGTCTTGTTGATGGAGCGGCGTCTGAAAGAAGATGACTGTATGCTGCTTATCGAAATAACAAAACATCTGGCTGAAATGAGCATAAGAGGGTACGTTCGGTACGTACTTACTTACATGTGGTCGGCAGGTCTGCGAAACTCATGTACCCCGTACTCGTATATCTTGCCCGGCGTGGCGTCTGAAATGCTGCAGCAATGGGGAGGTCACAACACTTTTGCGGGCAGGGGTTAGGGACCTTAGGGTAGATGCATACGGCCTGTCTTTCAAGCCGCCAAAAATCATGTCAAATGAGGAGAATGGATTTTGACTGGAAGGAGAATAGAGGGCACAGGCTAGAAAGGAGTAACATACTACTACTACGGATAGTATGCCCCGTCGCAATGGGTGGATTTGATGGATGGATGGTCTGGTCGTGTCTGGTCCAAAGATCACTTAGTAGATACTCCATCTTCCTGCAGCCTTTCAACTGACAGACGCCCACAGTTAATTGATTGACATGGTGGTTGGGCGAAAGCAATAGTAGTTATGTCTCCTTCGCAACGCAAACTCGTCCAGATCTGTCAATTCTCTCTCTTTTTCAGGTGATTGAGATATTCTTCTCTATGCGCGTCTGTGTGCTTCTTCTTGTTCTGTAAAGAGACGTGCTTCAGATATACTTGCTATCAACACCTAAACGCTTGTCTCCTGGTCCGACCAACTGGAGAATTGATTCCGTATCGCTGGACCCGACGCTAAATAATTGTTACCTTTACCACCTGCACTATTTCTTCCCCTTGACGTCCCGCACCGCCTCGATCTGCGCAGTTGCCAGTACAGCTCACGATTGTTGCTCCTTACCAACCTCAAGTTTCCAAACAGACAGACACAAGTCAGCATTAACACCTTGCTCCTTCCCTAACCTTAGTCGCAACCTTCTCAAGCGCAAAGCTCCTTCCGAAGAAACCTCGAACTTCACGGCGTTGCCCTTGATCGACCTCACGACTGCGGTGCGAAACTGATCCGAGTCGACTCTGCATTCCATAACAAATCGCCTTGCAACGTCCACACGATCGCCCTCCTATCATTATTACCCTCTGTCACAACCTACGGCGGAACAAATACGGAGCTCGCCTATAAACCACTAGCTATTGTCCATTCTCTCCTGACAAGGCCTCCCGTTCCGCATTGGAGCCCCAAAATCTGCGAAACGCCGATTGACCTCATTGGGACAACCGATCACTAGCGAGATTTGACCCGAGACAACGTCTTGCACTTCCCATTGCGGGTATTAGGTGATCAAGGATGGCTTCAAAGGTTGGTTGACCCCAACTCTCTACAATTCCCCTCTCCATACACAACCATGGCCGGACTGACGTCGACGTTACAGTTTTTGCGCGAATACAAACTGGTGGTAGTAGGAGGTGGCGGTGTAGGAAAGTCATGCCTGACTATACAACTCATTCAAAGTCATTTTGTCGACGAGTATGACCCTACAATCGAAGGTGAGCTCAGTTGGACCAAAACGCCAACAAACAACTGACGTTTCCAGATTCGTACCGTAAGCAATGCATGATCGATGATGAAGTTGCCCTCCTCGACGTCCTAGACACAGCCGGTCAAGAAGAATATTCTGCCATGAGAGAACAGTACATGCGGACAGGCGAAGGCTTCTTACTCGTTTACTCGATAACATCCCGGCAATCGTTCGAAGAGATCATGACATTCCAAAAACAGATTCTGCGGGTCAAGGATAAAGATTATTTTCCCATCATATTGGTCGGCAACAAGTGCGACTTGGAAGGGGAAAGAGCAGTGTCCAAAGAGGAGGGTGCTCAACTAGCTCGAGAATTCGGCTGCAACTTTATTGAAACATCTGCAAAGTCACGAATAAATGTCGAAAATGCATTCTACGACCTCGTCCGAGAGATTCGACGGTACAACCGAGAAATGTCAGGATATTCTGGGGGTGCACCTCCTCTAGGCTCACACGCTCCGGGACAAAAATTTGAGATGGATCACAACGCAGACAATGCAGGATGCTGCAGCAGGTGTGTGGTGATGTAAAGAGATGGGAGTTTCGATATGCCAAAAAGCACGGATTTCTTGCAGAGTCTTTCCACGGCACGGCGTTGGTATTCATGTCTCTGGGGCTCGACATGCGTATGGACTTGATTGGGTTTGGCCTCGCATTTTGGGAATGGTGCCGGGCAAGCAAATGTTCCAAGATTTCTACCGGCTTGCGCCACCAAAAGAATGGGAGGGAGTCGTCGTCTTCGTTTGGTGTTGGAACAGGCGGCGATAAAAGGCTTTCAGATATTTGCCTCAGTTTGGTGTGCCAGTCTTACTCCAGGTTCAGAGGCTTCGGCGTCGGAAAAAGTCCTATGTCAGGCATGGGCGCTGTCTTGAAGGAAAGACAATGATAAACTCGTACATTCTCAAGTGTACAAGGGATTTAGAATCTCACTTCATATCCATCGCAGAAGGAGATGTTGCATCTGTAGTGCCCAAGTGTGGCCTGGGACGATCTGGTCTGCTGATCACGATGCACAATAAAGATTCGAAAATGACAAATTGTATTCCCTCGAATCGCTGTCTGTTGATTTTCAAGTGTACCTGGTATGGCTTCACAGCCTTGCGAGATCTGTCACACCATCAATTCACGGCTTGCATGATGTAAAAGAATAACCGATCAAAACCGGCTACCTTGTCTGCAAATCCACTGTCACCACGTTACACGACACTCTCCTGTATGATTACACGCATATCAGCATTTCTGAAAGAAAACCCTTCTCAACAATGGCGACCAAAGTTGACGGGACAGAAGCTGACAAGGCTTCCGAAGCAGTTGCAACGTCTAACAAGCGCAATGCCTTTTCGGAACTCATGTCGCCCAAAGCGAAGCAGCCAAAAGCAGAGTCTCCAAAGCACATTGGAAAGTTGAGCAATCCGAATGATCCTCGCAATGGACTTCTTGCCTACATCCTCGAGCCTACAAAGTATCACCCAAACATCGTCATCAAGTATAATGACCGCTTCGTCCTTATCCGCGACGCCTTCCCAAAAGCCACGATCCATCTACTGTTGCTCCCGAGAGATGCATCCAAAAGAGATCTTCACCCTCGCGTTGCTCTGAACGACCAGGAGTTCCTCAACGAGGTACGAAGTGAGGCCGCGGCAGCCATTGACTTGGCAGCATCTGAACTCTCCCGCCAGATCAGTCGTTATTCAGAATCATGCAAAGCTCACATTGCAGCCATGGAAAGTGAGGAGCTTGTCGATGAGCTACCGCCTAGTCGGGACTTTTCCAAAGAGTTTCGAGTGGGCATTCATGCACACCCATCAATGAACCATCTCCACGTTCATATCATCAGCCGCGACATGCACTCGGATCGATTGAAGCATCAAAAGCACTACAACAGCTTTAACACGGACTTCTTCATCCCCCTTGAGGACTTCCCGCTTGCAGAAAATGACATAAAACGGGACACCAGCTACCAGAACGGTAATCTCAAACAGGAGTACAAATGTTGGCGATGCGGGAAGATGTTTGGGAACAAATTCAAACAGCTCAAAGAACATTTGGAGGAAGAGTTTCAGGTGTGGAAGCGGGAATAGAATGCATTGACTCGTTGCTGGTCATCATCATTCCCTTCTGCGCTCGCGACTTGGGCCTCTCGATGCAGCCGTACTCCCTTCGACTATATATCGATCCCTGAATCCGCTGTCTCGGCGAGCCCGGCTCGCACCTCGCACAGGTACCTCATATCCTACATCGACCTTCCGTCCAGGTCTGCCATCATCGACATCAACGTATATTCTTCCCGGCTGGACAACCTCATATTCATATCGAGGCTGCGGACTTCTTTCCCTTCGTCGTCGTCCAGTGTTCGTGGCTTCAGGCCGAGATCCTGTTTGCGGACGGACTCTGACGGTTTCCCTTTCTCTAGTCTCTCTAAAACGGCTTCCGGTTCCACTAGACCGTCGATTCGAGGGTCTCACACTACCACGTCTTGACCCAACTCTTGATCCCGCACTACGCCGCCGAAGTCCTCCGGATTTGCCATCATCGCCTCCTCCACTACCACCATCGCCCTCAGAGCTACTATCGTCACTTTCGCTCCGCCCACCTTTCAATATATTGTAGCAACGTTTCACCAGTTCGTCACTCTCAAAGACGTCCCGCTCAATTCTTCGGATCTGGATTCTTTGGACCTGATCAAGCATGTTGATCACGGACGACTGGCTTTGCCACCTGGGATTGGGTTCAGCCTGGGACTTGAGTGGTAGTATGGACTACCTACCAGATGAAGCGATGGACCATATCTGTACGGTAATATCTCTGTTCGTCGGAAGACAAGCCCGCCTCGGCCATACCCATACGGTCTTTGATCTTCCTATCTTTCGACCCTCGGCTGGTTTTGGCGTACGGCTTTTCGTCGATGTCGCTTTCGCCCCAGTAGTCCCCGCGTTGGACTGCTTCTGCTCGGGCAGGGCTTTTGATCAGGAAAGGCCGTTCCACGTTTTTGAACTCCTGCCACAGATTGTTGAGAGTGTTCTCCAGAAGTTGCGATGCCTGACGATATCTGCGCGATCGTGGGTTTCGTCTCCTTGACTTGGGAAACACTGCATATGGGTCGCCTTCTTGAGCACGATATCGAAGTAACACTCTTTCCGCTTCGATTTCTTGACGCAAATTACCCAACATGATGGGTATGAGTGTGTCTGCATTTCGCATTGTCGATATCAGATCTCGGTAAACTCCTGTCGAGAAATGAGATGTGCACTTGGGGGATTGTACCCGAGGACGTACCAAGTAAAGTAGCCAGGGTGATTGCAAAGGATATGAAGCCTATCACTTGCGAGGCTATTGTGAGGGTCGTCATATTGTTGGAATGACAGCCTCGGGTCGGGTATCTACAGCCTTGTGGCAGTCATTGGTAGGACAGAGCCTGGCACGGACGTGGAGCTTTCAGGGGGATGACTCGCGGCGAATTCATTGGACGCGTCAGAACATGGCCTCTGAAGAATCAAAACTGGAGCTGATTTCCTGCAACCCTCTGCTGATCATGGAGTCGCGTGAATCCTCAAGAAATTCAGAGCCAAGCAAAGTCGCCCCCGAATGATTATGTGAGGTACTTCCATGGCGGGATGTTTTGTTGATGGTGCTGGGAACAATTCCGCTTGGTGCCGGAGATCGGGAACGCGATGATCCATCCATAAATAAAGATCAATTTCCCCCACAATTTGTTACCTTTCTTCTCTATCTTAACGGAGTCCTGGATCTATCATGACTGATCAGGGACGCCTTGGTATCATCTGCAGAAGCTGAGCAGGCTTCAGGGCAAATGGATTTTCCAAGCACGGTAGGCACCTGATATTGGCCGTCCTTCAAGCATGGTATGGGCTAGTGGTAGGTCGACGGATTTCATATGCGCTGCTGGTCGAGTCTCCAATGACGCATTCAACTTCCATCATCCGTCTTGATGTCATATCGGACCTCAGCATCAACAACACAAAAAGATGATAACCAGGCTCTATGGCTGCTGAATTGTTCACTTCTTCCCATCTACAAATTCGACCTCTTGAAATCGAACTCCTCAAACATTGATCCCTTCTCACATCGTCAAAATGCCCGAAGCTCCTCCTACAGCATATCCGTCCACCTCACTCAAAGCTCAAAATCAAGAAGGAACCAAGGGACTCGATGCCAAACTCGAGCCAGGCGCCAACTGGACTCAGCTCGAATTCTGGGACGATGAAGGCAAGTCTCCATATCTAAAGGACTATGAAGGTCGCAGCCTGCTCAAGGACAAGGCCGTCCTCATCACTGGTGGTGACTCGGGTACGTTTTACGCCCTTATCTAATTGAGGTTACACGTGTTGATTCTCCAAGGCATTGGCCGATCCGTCGCTGTCCTCATGGCTCGCGAAGGCGCCGACGTGACAATAGTGTATCTCCCCGAGGAAGAAGAGGACGCGCAATGGACAGCAAAGGCAATCAAAAATTCTGGCCGCCAAGTGCAACTGCTCAGCCTGGACATCACCGACGAGAACAACTGCAAAAAGGCGATCGAGTCGCACATGCAGAAATTCGGTAAACTGTCGGTTCTTGTCAACAATGCTGCGATGCAGGAGATATGCGAGGACTTTGCGGAGATTGATCTGAAAGTCGTCGAGAAGACTTACCGGACTAATATCTTGAGTATGTTCGCCATGACCAAGTTTGCGCTACCGCACATGAAGCGTGGAAGTGTCATTGTCAATTCGTGCAGTGTTGCAGCGTACATGGGAAACCCGAAGTTGGTGGATTACAGTTCGACAAAGGGTGCTATCTCGACTTTCACGAGGAGTTTGGCACAGCAGTTGGCACCCAAGGGAATCCGGGTGAATGCTGTCGCGCCGGGAATCATGTGAGTACAACTTCCTTTCTACTGGTTCAACAGGCATGTATATGTTTGTGGGAATTGTGGCTAATGTGTACATGTAGTTGGACACCTCTCCAGCCTGCGACGAAGAACAACCCAGATGATGCGATGGATTCGTTGGGTGTGGAGGAGGCGCCACTACAGAGGCCCGGTATGCCGATTGAGGTTGCCACAGCGTATGTCTTCCTGGCGTCGCCTCTGGGGTCTTACTTTACCGGTGAAGTTATCCATGGGACAGGAGGCATTGAGATGCAAGGCTGATCTTGTGCCTGGTCGATATTCTGAGGACACAGCGAGTCAGGAGAGGAGAGTTAGGTCTTTCGAAAGAGTTTCAAAGGAGCGAGAGTAAACAACGCTCAATTTTATGCCTCCGTCTTCAAGTGACATGCTACAATGCCACTCTAACTATCCATATCTACCTATGCTAGCACGATAAAAGCCATTGCTGCCTGCAGCTGCCTGGATCCTTGATGCTATAATTGATCCACTTCCGAGGTCCGCAATATGTGAGCTGCATCTTAACGTGGATTATTGGGAATAGGTGTTCAATTCAAAAAAATCATCTTGCATTACATTCACATACCATTACTTACAGGTCACATTCTCGGCTAACCTACTGTATCTAGATATTACGTGTGATATATTATCTAGGCGCCGCGTTAGGCGCGACGAGTATACCCGCATAGAATTCTTTTAGGTATCTCGTTAGGCGTAACGGGTACCCCAATAGGTACGCTTAATAAAAAACCACTTTAAGGGTGACGGGCACCCTAATAGGTACGCCTAATAAAAAACCACTTTAGGGGTAACCGGGCACCCTAATAGGTACGCCTAATAAAAAACCACTTTAGGGGTGACGGGCACCCTAATAGGTATACTTAGTCCGATTAGTATTAGCGGAGACGTACTCCGCCGTATGCTTTACCGTAGTGAATCACGCCTGTCTCGCTGTCAAGACATGCTATTACCGGTGAAATTTTGAATTGAACACCTATTCCCAATAATCAACGTTAACGTGAGCTGCATCTTCCCCACCACGAGACACCTCAAAAAATATTACTGCTCGGTGTACATTGCGCCATGGGGTATAGCGTCAACGCCTTGCGACAGTATGCTAAGACCACTATCACAAGGCTGAATTGCCGTGCCATGCTTTTTGTTCTTTCTGCGTTCGAAAAGTGAGTCATTCTCTTTATGTATTGACGAGAATTGCTTGTCCTCCTTGTGCTCTAACCGAGCTCGTTACATGAGAGTATATATGTTCTTTTTACGTTCTGTTCTATTCAAACCTTCCCAGCTTTTGTTCTTCCAAATAAGCTACCGCAACTCAGTGTTACTGGTCCAACAAGGTTCCGCATCTAGAAAGGAGTGGTTTATGAGAGTCTTGCTCCACCAGGTGTTGAACATTTCTCGGTCGATCCAAGCATCATATTGATGTCTAAACCGGCATCTTCCGGCCTGACACCAGGCATTCATACCATAACAACTTCTACAACACAGTTGACAACCATAACATCAGGCATGGTCCACCTCCACGCCAGCTGTATACTGTACGACGGCACACTCGCCACATTTCTGCCTCCACTGAATTACGACACGCTGTACGAGTGGTGGGAAGAGCAAGTCAAGGAGATCGAACTTGGAAGACGACACATAATAGTCTCAGTGAGCGAAGTCTCTGAGCGCACCGGTCATTTGCAAGCCCCGTGGCATGGTGAGAGTATAGACTGGCCTATACTCGAGCGTGGCCTCGAAGTATCCGGCGTAGTCATGCTCGCTACGCCATTCAGCCAGACCGGTCCGTTCCGCGCGACGGTCGAGAAACTGCTTGTCTCCCCACTGCATAGACGGAGAGGCGTTGCGAGAGCATTGATGACCAAGTTGGAGGATGTGGCGCTGCAGAATGGACGGTGGAATCTAATGCTTGATACGATTGTTGGGACGGAGGCCGAGGGTGTTTATCCAAAGCTTGGGTATACGAGGTTTGGGGTTGTGGAGGAGTATGGGTATTCACCTCGGGACGGGAGTTTGGTGGATGAGGTTTGGTTTTGGAAGGATTTGAGGAAGACGAGGTTGGCAGGCAAGCGGGAGTAGCGGAGTATGGATAGGGAAGAAAAGAGTAGGGGATATTAACGAATGATAGACCTGATGAACTCTGGCGAGGCGTCAAAAACAGGCGTTGGAGACGGGACACCGAGAGTTATGGCATGGAAAGCACGTTGTTCGACGGGATGTCTTCGCAAGATCGTACAAGGGTCTCGAGGACATGGAGGTCAACTGGTCTCCCTTACCTACATCCACCAGAAAGACCTTGTAGGAAAGGTTTTCGTCTTTTTGAGGAGCTGCATCTTAGTGATACAGACTGTTGTGGCCTGCATCTGACATACATCACCGACGTAGCGACCAGACTCAGACAAATAGTTGAAGAAGTTCTCACATGCCTGAGCAGTCGTGATGTCCCGAAATAGTGGCATCCATCGGCGAGGCTGAGGTCTCTCGGCCGCGATTGGCTCACAAATATTGCGATCACGTGGTCTCGTTCAACTTCCCAAATTTCGAACCTCAAAGCTCAATCCAACAGCTCACATCAATCGCCATTTCATACACCACGTCCTTGTACATCCTCTCCGATCTCACGACCCAGTTTCAAGATGCCGCCGATCCCATCGATCTTCGCTCTCCATGCTTTCCGCGCCATCACACGCCACGCCCTCTCCAAACCACTCTCATCCTCCCCCATCCTCCACAAAGCCAGTGCCCCATCATCACGACTCTTTAGCACAACTCCCACGCGTAGCGCGACTCTCAACCAAGTTCGCACGAACCGTCGACGACCCAAGAAAGCCCGTCACGCAGTCTCCCCGGCTCTCGCGGCTCAACAACGACCTGAAATGAAAGGCGTGTGTCTCAAAGTGGGCGTCACAAAACCTAAGAAACCGAACTCCGGACAGCGCAAGACGGCCAAAGTACGACTGTCAAACGGCAAGGTCATATCCGCGTATATCCCCGGCGAGGGGCACAATGTGCAGCAGCACAGTGTAGTGTTGGTCAGAGGCGGTAGAAGTCAGGATTGTCCCGGTGTGCGGTATCATCTTGTTAGAGGAGCTTTTGATTTGGTGAGTATTTGTGCTGGTAGTGCTTGTGTTTCGGGACTAACGATGGATCACAGGGTGGTGTACCTAGTCGAGCGACGAGTCGGTCGAAGTACGGCACGAAGAAGCCTAAGACTGCTCGGGTTTAGGAGGTGGTTATGAGAGCAGAACATCTGACCTACATAAGGTGTTCTCGGAGAGCTAGAGGCATCATTTAGATGCTCTGCGTTGCAAGAGTTGTGGCTGCGACTAGTCAACTGGAGACACGTCGAGACGAGTCAGGCTCGAAACTGGCCAGATGGGTGCCCCTCTCGTGCCGCGCAGGCCACCAGAACGAATTGTCTATACTCGTGTCCGGTATCGCGTTCATACAGTTTGTGAGGGCGTACATTGTCATTTTGGTCGAGTTGTGAGGATCTATGGCCTGGGAGCAGCTACCTTGGAAGGTTCATAGCTTGTCCCTCACCAGATTCACGCAGGAGCAACTAGTCGAGCATTTCGGACCGGCTGGATTTGCACTGCTGCAAATCATACAGTCACACTCGAGGGCCATTTACTATTCGTTTTCTGGATGCCGGACATACTGACTGTATATTATTATGTACGTGAAAGAGAGGTTGCATCGGGATCGGGTTATGGTGCTGGACGTATCGAAGAATTCAGAGACGCAGCGCTGGAACGAAAGTCAGGAGGCTCAAATTTGATCTTGGTCATGCAGAGCAATTTACAATGTCAAAACTGTCTGCTTTGCTCGTTCATACAGATCTGAATTCATGTGCGCCGCCATTTTTCTCGAGTTTGGGCCCAGCGAAGCTCATTGACTCTAAACTGGTTTTCCTGCCATGCCACTTCTTGCAATGCCTTTTCCAGCAGAGTATCCCTGCTCATAAGTCTCCGATAATGTCCATGCCAATTGAACGCTCAATATCCGGATCACGTGTGCCTATTTCACGCTTCAAAAAGCTAGCTGTGCTGTATTGTACAAGAAAGCGGAATTTCATTACTGGGGCGGTTAAGTAGTTCTGCCCAGCATCCTCACGCTCAGCTGCGTGATGTTGACTTGGAATCGGCCCCTGAGCGAGAATGTAACTTGTCTGGCGGACTTTTTCGCGTAGCATCTCCAGCGCGTATCTCATTGCGGGTCATTGCCTTCTGTACCTTTTTCATGCCACTCGGCTAACTGTTCGGCATAATGAAAGAGCTTGCGTCTGGCCCGAGGGATTCTGAGGAGCGTCATAAGGATGGCCAAGGAGACCGCAAAGGAGATGCATGCATATTGCCAGAATGTTGCCCATCCTGGATCAAGGCCCGACTTGGCAGCCGGTGCACCCGCATCTGAATGCGTACCAGCCAACTTCTTCGCGACGGATAGTCATACTTGGTCCATCCATCCTTCAGGTTTGGCCAATTGATTCAGATCGAAGTATCGAGATGTGCAGGAATATCCCTTCCAGTCAAAGTTGTCGGCAGGATTGCAGTGACAACGCAACTTAAGTCGGACATCATCGCCTGTTGGGCAATGCGTAAAAGGGATGTGATAGTATGCGATTTCGTTGAAGAAGTGGATCTCGCTCTTGTTGAGGAGAAGACTAGCAGCGATAGAATGCACCGGAGCATCACCCCATCGTTCGTAGAAGAAGCCGCCGTCTTTGTCGAGACTCTCGAAGAAGTCAATGTAAGCCTTAGATCGAAGCCAATCGAGGTTGCCGACTTCAAAGTTGGACCACTGCCATTGTTAGAATGAGTAAAACTACCACGTGAGTAACTTACAAAGTGGCATTTGTTGTACGTCTCACCGCCGTCATCACTGAGAAATGCTAATGAATTGTCTGGTGCAAGATGTTCGGGGTGAGCTTTCATGAACTTTTTCGTACTGTCCCACAAGGTCGGAATGGTCTCGACATATTCGTACAAGCTGAGGACGAAACTGTACTTTTTGTTGTTGTCCTTCATGACCCGGAATGGATCCTGATGAATATCGCAGAAGAGTTCGACGCTCGGCTCGACTCGCCAGTAGTACTCAAACTGCAACATCAAGGGGTGACGGAAGAAAAAGCCAGATTCAAACCGGCACATATGACGATAACTGATGGAATCGCCGTAGATGATCTTCCTTCGACGCATGTCTTCGCGAACCGCTTCGGCTTTCTTTTGATCAATCCACGACGGGAATGACCATTGCTCGGTAGGTATCTCTCCATAATGCGTCTTTCCAGATGCTAGAGCACTCGTGACCTTCTTGAATGTCTCGTCAAAAGGCTTGTCGTTCAAAAAGACCCAGTCATAGTTGTAATTCCTGTTGAACCTGTCCTCGACCTGTCGGATGGATCGTGCGATTTCCCAAAGGTCCGAGTTTCTTGCCAACGTGACAAACGTGGCGTTGACACGTTCGCCAGGAGCTGGTGGGGAGAGAAGTGCGGACTCTGTGGTGGTGATACCGTTCAAGGGCGCAGCAGACTGAGAATTCGAGGCGGCCGGTACCCCTGAGGCAGGACTCGAGGAGGCCTCACTACCAAGTGCGTCGTGTGCGGAATTAGGCTTTCCATCACTGGTTTGTGTACTTGTTCGGTCCCAGGTGAATTTCCCGGTTGAAGGTATCTGTTGTTGCGCGTAGGAGGGTATCGAGGAAGTCGAAATGAAGTAAATGATAGCAGTGCCCTTTATTTAATCAGCTTTTTCATAGAGTCCCCCTTTTGGATCGACTCACAAAAACAGCGAATAATATGTAGCGGAGGATCCTCCCTGAGCCCGCCGCCATCTTCGAAGTTGTGGATATTTATATCCTGCGTTAATGGTGTCGAGAATCAAAGTCTTGATCAGTTGCAATGAGGCGTGTCGGGCGGTCGTTAGAATGCTCCAGGCAATCGTTTGATAGGAGGAAGAAGGAAGTTTGCTGATGACCGCAAACGAGTGGTACGGGCTGTTCAGCTGGATGGCATGAGGCTTGCAGATTCCCGGGGACAATAGATTGTTTGCAGCACAAAGAGAAGACCCCTTGCAAGCTCCTCAGGAAGTGAGACGGATGACCAACGACATTAGGAACCGAGGGAGAAAGTACCAAGTGTTTCGTGTTTGAGGAGGAATGTAGTTTTAGTTATGTTGTCCAGATGATGAGGATCATGATACCATAATAAATTATAGGGGACGGACGCGCAAGCCTTACGTGTCGAGAAACCTTTTTTTTTTGAGAGGCCCCTGAAGACTTGGAAGCCTGCACGGGCCGGCTTTAACTGAAGTAGCCCTGCAGTGGTGGATGACTGGGCGCGCCGCAATCGTTCACGGGCGCCGATGTCAGGCCGCATGCAAGCGACGGACTGACAGGTCACGTGATTTTGTCGTCGATTGCGCAGTTCTGTCCTCACATCCCAATCTGTCAAATGTATCGGGATTAGGTCACCATTCCTCCACTAGCACATCACACAACATTTCCTCTGGTCTACAACATCTCCATCTCCATCTGCGCCTTTCCTCAGATCGGTCCCTGCCATGTCCTAGCGTTTGGCTCACTTCTGCGCAATCGACCCAAATCCTCCTCCAGCACCCGGAACATGCGCACCTGCACCTCTTTTGAGAAAAACAGACGGAGTGGGGTAAACAGAATACAACGACCTTGAGCGATCATTCTACAAAGTACAGAGGCATTCATTACCGCACACATAAGACCAAGCAATGTCGTTCTTCGGCTTCGACACTTCCCTACCAAGGGATAAGCCGGCCCCACAAAGCAGAGGCATCTTTGAGCACAGCAACCCTTTCAGTGAAGTTGCGAAAGCTCGTAAATTACAAGCCTTTCAAGGCAATGAGGAGGAAATGTAGGCCGAATGCAAGACAAAAACTGAAGACATACAACTAACATCTTATCTTATAGCCTTGACTTCGAAGACACCTATGATGGGCTCGGTGACAGGCTTCATGAGACCGGAGACGATTTCAACGACGACACCTTTGGTGGAGGCGCCGAGGGCGGAACCGATCGAGGCGCTGTAGGAAGAGACTTTGATTTCTTCGGGACAACAGCTCAAGTCTCCAATGCCCTCGAGGAGGAACAAGTCCGGTATAGCTTGCAACAGCCCGCGACAACGCAATTTGCTCCGAGCCAGGCCCCGAAGCCAAAGAAAACAGGTTATGAGAAGTACCAGGATCCGGGTTATATTCCAGACATTCAGGCAAAATCAGGAGCATGGAGTTCCAGGGCACAAGGTCCTCCTCACGGTGGAGAGTCGCGCATCAGTACAGCTGCCAGGCATCAAGTGCCCGAACAAGCGCCAGCGCCCGCTGAACCCCCGAGAATATTGAGCCTAGAAGAAGTCGAAGCTGCGTTGCTCGCACAGTCACAACAATTTCAACGGCAACAGCAGCATCAACCATCTCAATTCCCTCAACCATACCCATTTCCGCCACAGCATATGCAGCCACCCCAGCAGCCATTCCCACAAATGCAGCCGCCAACTGGACCGAGTCACCAACAAGCGCCTCCCCCTGCTGCGAGTCCTCGCCGTCACAATCGCTTGCCATCTCAACAACAACAGCAACCACAACAACAATCAGGCGCACAACCTCCACTTCAAATCCTGCAGAATCCCAATCGGGCTCGACACTCTCCACAGCCAAGTATCGACCGAGCCCAACAGTCTGGCTCTGTGCCTGTCATCACTCACCCTCAACAACTGATGGAGCTCTCCGAAGAGCAGAGACGCGCTTACTTGGAAGAAGACGCGAAGAGGGCCAAAAGAAACCACAAGATATTCCTGCTATCGAAAGGAAATGGCTTGATGACTCCACAAGACAAGAATTTCATCACCCGCATCCAGCTTCAGCAACTCGTAGCAGCAACCGGCAACTCGGCGGATCCTCACCCTGAAGCAGCTCTCACTGAAGACTTTTACTACCAAGTCTACAGTCAAATCCGAGGTGCTCCAAGACAGCATCCCACTCAACCATTGGGTCATTTCGCTCAGACATATCTGTTTCAGACTGGGAACCGTGTTGGTGGTAGGAGACAACAAATCAACGGCGACAATCATATGCAGAGAATGCAGCAACAGGTGCAGCGTGCAGTTGAGGCGGCTAAGCTGAAGCCCAAGAACAAGCAGTTGATCATCGAGGGAAGTCTGGGGAAGATCTCGTTTAGCAATGCCAAGACACCCAAACCCCTGCTGAACATCAAGAGACAAGAAAACCATGATGTTCGACCATCGACCGGCAAGAAAGAAGGCGGGAGCGATCGCAAGACCATTCTGAAGAACATTGAAATGGTCTACACCACCTTGATGCGTTTGGAGGACAACGAACGACAAATGCCTCCGCCGCCGACGGAGGGTGATGCTGATTCCATCCAGACTCACCTTGAATGGCGGCAGAAGACACAGGAACTCATCTCCAACCTATGGCAGGAATTGAAAATCCTCGAACCAATCACACCTGGATCGTCAGTGACACATCCCTTCATTGCATTCTTGTCCTTCTCCAAGGGCAAGAAAGCAATTCCCAGAGTATTCCACCAGATCGACCAAGAACAGCGAGTGACCATTCTGACCATGATCATCGTTCACCTTGATCAACTCGATGTAATCAAGGATGCTCAGCTTGCCCCCGGAGAATCACAACCAGCATTGCGTGTGCGAGAAGAGATTGAATTGTTCTTGCAAGCCGTCCTGCCCTGCTTGATGGGATATGTGAGCGAAGCTCCAGTCAATATCGTCATCGGACTGCTTGGACTTATGATTGATCATACCAATGTTGTACACGTTGCTCACACAAAGATTGGACTGGGCATGTTGACAATGCTCCTGACTCGCGCTGAACTGGTCAAAGAGTCTGGCGGTGTTAGCGATCAAGAGTGGCAACAATGGACGACACTGTACCACCGTCTCTTTGATATTCTGGAGCCTATCTTGGGCTCCATCTTTCCAGGACCAGTCAACACTGGAGATGATATATATGTGTGGCAGTTCTTGGCCGCTGTTGGTGTTGGTGCCAGTCCAGATCAGCAACAGAGACTCGTTATCGGTGTCAAGGATCGGGTCATGGAAACAGTCACGCAGAGCAAGACTTTGCCTGCCGAGATGTCTAGCGTTCGACTGGGCAACGTGAACTTGTTTATGAGAGCAATCGGTCTTGACGTGGAAATGCTGGGATGATGCGTGGATGTGAATGGGCTATGCGCCATCACAGTGGCAGAGACTTGCAACTATAAATGCAAATTGCGACCTATGTCGATAAGTTCGTGATAGGCTGCGAGAATAGTGTTTCGCAAGCGAGTTGGATGATTTGACATCCTCACATCTTTGCAATCGATATGTTATTTGAACCGTCTGAACTCTGAAGCCCAAGAGTATTATATGCTTTCACGCCTGCGTATTTTCTATTGGTGAAGTGGAGTTCGAGGTTAACCCTTTTCCTCTCAGCCTCGTCATTACAGACCAACTCGCTTGACGGCCTCAACGACACAATTCAGAAGCAGCACACGCATCGAGGGCGGATGCTATATGTTAGGCTTGTATCTCATGATGACTCAGAGCCCCCGAAGTGGTAGGCACAAGACGAAAATTAGGCAGTGGGAAAGGAGCTCGACACATTTACAAGAGACGAGAGGCTCATAAACTGATTTGCTTTTAGTCATTTTCTTCGCAGCATGACGAGAGCCTATCTATCCTTTGGCTTTCTCGCCTCTGAAGTGCGACACTAACCCCAATCTGTGTTGAAGACACTTCCCAAGAACCACCGTTGGTTTGCGTTTGGCATCACAGCTTAGTTGAGATGTTGGAAATGAGCGAAATAGTTGGCTGAGAAGACACTGGGACCAAGCCTGAATGATTGGGCAGAATATCAGGAGGTGCCGCAGACCAGTTCACAGCCATCAGTGTCCAACGCATGCAGTCCTGCCAGTACATTCCACCAATGGTGTTTAGTTTCCACTGTTCCAAATTCCACTTCTTCACTTGATTGTCGCTGAATTTGCCTAGATTCGTTGTTAGTACTCGTCGCTCTTGCTCGCAGCCGGAGAAAGCACTTACATTTCTGCACCAGATTCTTGGTGAACCCGTTTATGCAATCCTTCGAACCATACGCAGACATATTGATGCCGTTTCTGTATTGGTCAGTGGGCGAAGAGCAGCCATTGTAATCGAAAGTCAAGGCGATGACGATGGGGTATTCGTTCAATGTGACCTGATTCTGGAAGGGAACTGAGTACAGCGCGCATTCAGCTGGCGAGGATTGACCATTTGGTTCACCGTCATTGAGGAAGATCTGGTCCTTGGTGATAGTTTCGCAGAACTCGTTGATCTCGAAACTCATGTCGCCGAAGGGACTGAAGGGAGAGTCTGATGGCCAAGCAGTTGGGAGCTTCTTGGTCGCTGAGCCCGAGACCGGAGTCGCACAGTTGAGCACACTTGCCTCTGCTGGACTAGTCGTTGAGAACGGAGCTGTCCATGACGCGCAGTATGCGGTCTTCTCGGATGCTGGAGGTTGTGTGGTTATGACCGTCTGCAGTTGCCAGGGTCCAAGGCAGCCTTCGGTTCCGCCCTCGGAGTACCCATTACAGAAGGAGACATCAATGATGCTGTAATCTGTGGTTCTGGTTGTGAGAATAGTATGGACAAACGTCTCTGTGCCCATACGAGCACTCGATGAGGCCTGTGCGCTTGATGGTGGTGGTGAGGACGTCTGCACCGTAGAAGTTGTCTTGCTGACCACGGTACTTGTCGGTGATGGTGCCAGGCTGCTACTAGTGGAGACTGAGGCAGTCGAGGATGCAAGGACCCTAGAGATGCTGCTAGTGGAAGTCTCCGACGTGGACAAGGACGATGGAGACATGCTACTAGACGACGAGCTTGCACTAGTCGAATTCGTAGTCGATGTGCCGGAGTTGCTTGTACTCGTCGCGTTGATCGATACATTGGTGATATTTGTTGGCGCAGGGAAGTCTGAGCCCGTACCAAGAACCAAGGGAAACTGCGTAATCCATGTCATCACGGAACTCATAATGGCAGGATCGTTGTACCAGTTGTTGGTCGAGCAGGCGCTGCCCGCCTCACTTGTCGTGACATTCACGTCAAAGCAGGCGGTCGTGGTTGTACAGTATGTCGAGCACGAATCAAATGTCGTGAAGGAGCCACTGGTTGTGCTCGAGCATGTCACACCACAGAATGAAACCGCCGACGTAGAGCATGAGCTGGTTGAAGCCGACGATGTTATGGTTCCAGTCGACGAAGTTGATGGCTCCGAAGTAGAGGTTACAGAAGTACTGGTTTGGGATTGTGAATTTGTCGATGTCGCATCTGGAGTTTTCGTCGTCGGAAGGGTCAATGAGGCTGGTCCAATAGGTGGAGGTATCGGAACTGGCGGGAAATCCCATCCGCCATTGTCGGGAACGTGGCAGGAGATATGGAAAAGGCATTTGACCAGGGAAAGCCAGTCGTTGTCGGAGGTTGAGCCACCGCAAAGACCACCTACACAATGCCAGACCCAGAAGGGAACGACAACAATAACGCCGTGATCGCGTGAGACCGTGCTGGTTGACAAAGATGCGGTCCATTCCACGGTGGTGGTGCTGATCTGTCCATCAGTTCTGGTGATTGTGTCCAAGGTTTGGTTCCAGGTGATGGGTGTGGTACTTCCCCAAACAATGCCGCTAGGAATGCTCAGACTCGCTGTGGTGCTCCCAGTAGGGATTGTGATGCCACACGCCCATCCATCCGGACAGATTGTCCCTGTTGGTGTTGCGAGGTCGCATAGATAGCTTCCAATGTAACAGTATGGGCAGACACAGTATTTGCCACTTGCGGCTGCAGCGGAGTTTGAGCCCGAAGCGCAAACGGGGCTAACGCCAAAGTCGCAACTCGTAAACGTGGCTGCTGGAGGAGAAATGGTCACCACGCCGCCGGAAGTAGACGCCATTGATGCAGCAGATGCCAGTGATTGAATGGTGGGACCACCAACTCCAGGAGCCCCGTTGGAGGACGAGTTTGACGAGGATGAGCCAGAGGTTGCACTTCCGAATGTCGTGCTCTTAGATGATGCTGAAATGGCAGACGAGGCTGTACCTGCACCCTGACCTGAGGAAGAAAGCTGAATAACAACAGTTGTGCGAATGACAGTGACGAAAGTCGATGAACCGCTCTCGATCGTGCTGCTGAAGGACGAGATAAAGTCAGAAGCAGACGATTGAGAGATGGCCGTGCTTGCATCGGTCGTGGTGTTGCTAGACTGCGATAGAGCAGGGGATGCCAGGCTGGTTCCAGTCTGCTCTGAGGTCTGTCCCGAATGTGAGCCTTGAGAATGGGTAGTATTCAAAGACAGTGAAGCTTGACCAGGTTGAGTCGTATTACCGACCGGAGAGCCCGAACCAGGTGGTTGGATTGATGAGTGTGTACTTGATTTCATTGATGTTGTCACACCTTGCGGAGAAGTTGTACCAGAGACTTGGGATTGGCCAGCCTGACTGTTTGAAGTGGTAGAAGTGTGACCACAATGGCTCTGAGAGGTTGAACTGCTGATCGCAGGTGATACGCTGTCTGACGAAGCACCAAAGGAGCCACCGGCCGAGCCCCCGTTGCTGGAGCTCTGTGATGATGTTCCTCTAGAGTTGCTCGTGGAAGCGCCTGATGTCGCAGAGCTGATGACAAAAATGCTAACGGAAGACGTTGATACAAATCCGGTTCCTGTTGAACCTACTGTTGAGCCCACTGTGGTGCCAGTCGACACTGCTGATCCACGACTCGTAGCAGGAGATGAGCCTCCTGCCGCAGAGCTGGATGTGCTTGACCTTGAGGTTGAAGAGATATTGACAGAGAAGCCTTCTGATGTTGTCGAAGTTGAGACAGGCGCCATAGAAGGGGCTGATGAGCTCTCCGTCGGGATGGTCTGTTTCGAGCTGGTAGCGGAGTGAGCACTGGATTGAACAGAGGATGAAGTCAATATTGACCCCGTTGAAGCAGCGACAGTGGCAGTCGAGGTGGAAGAGGGCCGAGTGTTCACTGTTGCGGATCCTGCCTTGCCGCTGGTGGTGCTGGTGGTGCATGATGATAAGGCTGTTGGGACGGTAACCGAGGTTGTCGTGGTTGAACTGAGATGGGTGGTCATGCTCCAGTCTTCCCAGTTCGTGACATCTTTACGATTGATCGCGCGATCAAACCAGCCGGCGTGAGTGAGAAGAACAAGATTGAGGGTGAAGAGTATGAACATCGTCTTCGCCAGCGACGGTGCCATTTCGATTGTGTCGTTGCAGCACTCCACAAGCACAAGGGTTAGAAAGCTCAGAGTCTTCGAGGATACTGGAGAGGCAGAAAGGTTAGAATGTTAGCATTGTGACCTGATAATGATCTGGACAAAGGCCAAGTTGAAGTCGCACTAGGCAGTGACGCAAAAAGTGAATGACTGTTCAGTGATGAGAGTGACACGGAGTTCTTGCAGATGAAAGGCCATTGACGAGACAATGAGAGCAAAGTGCGAGATCTTGACGCTATAGACCGTCAACGGCCTCATGGGAAAGCCTCACTTACCGCTTAGGTGTGTCGTGCACATGCATCTTCACTACCATATCTGAGCTGGCTCGCACATGCCAATCCGCATCAAGATGATGAATGCCATTCATATAAGTATAAGAATTCGACTTCCGTAAAGCGTATAAACTGTCTTGCCACCAGGACTCGACTTTGTCCAAGTGGCTTCAACCACAACGAGCTTCTTTATCTTGCGGCGAACAACAACAATGCTTGCTCTCGTAGCAAAGGGTAATCACTCTATCCCTGTGGTCAGCTGAACAAGACGAGGAACATCACCAACAAACATGAGGCCGACCTTGAACCATCGAGCCATGCCGCTCATGATACTCATCTGGTGTACCTTGACCCCTTTGTGCCTGGCTTCTTCTTTCAACGTCACCACAACCAGCAGCGACTTGAAGCGTCGCCAATGTGTTTTCGATGCCGCCTCAAGTTCGTGGAACTGCGACTTCCTTCTTCCGACCTTCGAGCAGCTCATCACCCGATTCCAAGACGTTAGTGATGGAGGAGGAGCAACACCTGACAACATTGCCTGGTAAGAATGCCATCAGCCGATTAGATGTTTGACGACCTCCAGCTGATTTACCGTACTGCAACAGGTTTTACACAAACTTTGATGGTGGTAATCCAGATTACAACTTTGATCAACTTTTTGCTTGGATCAAAGCGTGGTTCGAAGCCAAGGGACTTGGATCGTACTACATCTATGATGGTGTCAACCCGGCATGGAGAAAATATCAGGAAACCTTCATCGCTGACCATGCGAACGAGATCGCCGAGCACAACGAAGACGATTATCCCGGTTGGGATACGCCTTACGCGACTTTTTGGTGGTGCTTCTTCGAAAGTGCAGCCTCGGCGGCACGGGCTCCTGATGCTATCATTTTCACACCAAATGTCCCTTGGAGATCTGACAAAACTGGGCTCTGATTGAGATGCCGGCGCTCACAAGAAACCCGAACATTCAGAAAATATGGCGGGTTGACCCTCGACCGGGAGCGGATGGATGTGGCGAGGAACAGTTGGTTTGGGACAGGAGTCGCGGAGATTTCATGTTGGCCAGTACTTGGCGATGTCCAGTATGATTGTATGAGGCCAAGAAGTCAACGAAAGAAGAGACAGAGATACTTTCCAGCTGCAAAGCTGCAGGATTCCTCAATGCCAGTCCTGCGTCGTAGTTGTGGGCAGGGTGGGATGCATCGCTCCAGCAGTAGATGTGGATAGACTTGATTACAGCGATCAAAGCTTGCTGTTTCAACAATTTTCGGCCTAGCACAATATGCCGCGAAAGGCTTGAAGTCCACTTGCCATAGATTCGTTGATCAGAAGCCAGTTCAATTGCCGTGGTTGTCCGTGCCCATGAGGGTTAACTTGTGAGATGCCGTACAGTGCTGGATCGAATTAGATGGCCTCTTCAAGACCATCCAAGGCTAGCGACCTCGTCCTTTACTCGTAGTTAGTGTAAACATTTGGAGGGGGTGGGCAAGACTGCAAGGTGACCTTGCGGTTGACGACGAAAATTGCATATTGATGGCTTGGAGACGAACTGGCCCACGAGTGGTGGTAGTTCGTCCACTTTACTTGGTTGACCCAGCCAAGCAGAGAAGACCGCACTCGAAACTGCACGTGTATGCACTTGATATTGAAGTTGGGCAAGTGTGCGTGAAGACCAATCCAACACGTGATAGATGAGCCGCGTAGTGACAACTCACACAGTATCGAAGTTCCTGACCGTGCCAAAAAGAAAAGAATTGCTGAGAGCCGGGAATTGAACATCAGACCCCAAACAAGAAAGTGCCAAAGTGCAGATAACTTTCAGAGGCCTTGTCCAGAGATTGCAATCAAGAATGAGGGGAGATAAATCTCCTGCGAGACATGTTTTGAAATCAGGTATGGGCGGTTGAACAAGGGATCTTCCAGTATATCTGCAGTTTGGAAGAGGCACAGATACCGTTACCAGTTTTGTTAGTAGTCATGAGGAACAACAGAGTTGTCCAGCCCCTCGCCAGCAAGGCGTTCATAACCACTAACAAGACCAGTAAGTGGTACTGATAGACGGCTCAGCCATCTCACCTCTCGAGTGATATTTGAGCACCATTCCTAGGTCGAAAAAGATAAACCACCAATTTCTCCTGCTGGTCAGTCACTGATAGCTTGGCGGGATGAAAGTGAATGAATAACTCTGCGGTGAAGGGTGCAAACACGAAGTCTTCTGCGCTGCTCCGTCCTCTTCTGCCTCTCTTTTTATTTTTCAGATTGTTCCTCACATCCAAATCTTCGCTCACCATATTCTCAGGCGCAATCCCGGCAGTCTCTGAACGCTCGAGCTCGATCACCATGGATAACATGATCGTCGACGAGCCTACGCGCAGCGAGCACGATACCGTCCAAGAGCTACCAATCAGAACGCGCCCTTCGGATCTCGATGGCGAGGATTCTGAGATGCTTGACGCTGGCCTTTCGGACACGGAGTCTGTCGATATCATTGTTGACCCGGAATTCGCAACAGAGATACCGGAGCCGAACACTGAACTGTACGAAGACTCTGGAGACGACGCTCAGAACGTTGGTCGCGACCGCATAATTCTAGTCCGCGTCATCTTCTACAACCACGTAAGTGATTCCCCTCCAAGATACTGTGTCGTCGAAGCACGAGTCTTTTGATGTGTCCCTGTTTGTGCCAATCCCGCTTTCTGACGACTTGTAGTTTGCTACCCAACCGTTTCATGTCCCTGCGCGGAAAGGCCATACCATGGGCTCCATGCTCAGAGCGATTCACAAAAAACTCCCTGCAACCACCATTGAGAATCGATTTGATGAGAAGCTGGAATACGTCCCTGCACAGGACTCACAATACGAGCCATTGTTCATCCTCCAAGAGGCATCTTTCAGAACTCCAGCAATGCGGCGAACGAAATGGGTGGTTGTAAAGCCAAACACCAACAACAAAGCATACTATCGTTGGTTCGACCGCAACGTGATTCGGGGAAGTGAAATGGAACTGAAAATGGAAGTTCGTATTCGGGATATTGAAGCCATTGAGCAAATGGAGGACCTGGCGGCTGCTGGTCGAGACGAGGCTGTCATCGAGGGTCGCCGATATGTCAAGATCGACATTGACAAGCTTTGGGATCCAGATGTGTTCTGGAGATATGTCGAACACAGCAAGACTGTCGCTGTGCAGTCCATCGATCTCACCAAGCCTAGCACTGCCGAATGGTTTCCGGAGCGCGACGGCCCAATCGACCAAATGCCACAGGCTTGGAAACAATGGGCGCCAGCGAGTCAAGCAAGCTAGGGCATCACGATGGCGGTAGAGGCGGACTGGAGGTCATCGACGACGAGGTCAGAGAGAGTTGATGTGGTGTTTTTAGAGCTGGAATGAGACTTGGCACGCTAGCCACTAATGGATTTGAACAGTGGCATTGATGAGCACCCCACTGTCTAGACAAGCCCTTTAACTAGACCGTGCTAGACCTTGACTGGAGCGCCTGTGTATTTTGGTACTTGTCGCTTTCTGCAGCTGCCCCGACGTCACGAATTCCACCCTTCAAACCTCTCGTGTCACCCAAGATATTCACTCAAGCGACGAACCGCGAAGACGAAACCTACCGAGTAGTATTGCAAATTGATATACATTCTCTGTATCCCTGACTATCTCTCAATCACCGACGACGCCAAACTCTCGTGGATTGCCCTCTACCCGAGCGAAACGAAACACCAGTCAATCAGTCACATTTCCAAACTGCAAGAACAGCACGTTCGCACACACCTGCTTTGATTCCGTCGAACTCGACTGTCGCAGTCTCGGAACAAAGCGCGTCTTCGTGGCTTTTGTCCTTGTTGTTCAGCCACGTCATTTTCACTTCCTTGTTACCCTGCGGCCTAAACTCATGCTGTTCTCACTACCAAACTGTGTCAACCAACCATGTCAGGAGTATATTCTGTCGACGATCTGTTGAAACTGCGAGCATCGCCTTTGATATGCAGACCTTCGAATCTGCCACCTATCGAAGAATGGATGGGGTACGAATCAGTCGGGCAGTGTTCAGCTGAGATACCATAACTGACGCCGGACAGAGCACAAGATACCACTGCCAGGAGACCAACAACAACCCGAGGAAAACCGGATGAGCCAGCTGTACAAATCGAGGCTTTCCAAAAACGACCTGCATTATTAGACACTCAGCGTCGAACAACTACTGGTAGGCATTACCATCTACCATATCTCAATGCATACTGACCACTGTTTTAGATCCAGACAGAATCGTCCTAGGCCCACCTCGTCGCTCCTTTGCTTCTTCTAACGCGCGCGCTGCTGGCAAAGGCCCAGAAGGCTTGGAGGAGTCAAACACAAGAGACAGGACATCCTTCCACGAAAAGTCGAGAAATGGCGACTTGCCGGAATCAAGACACCATGAGCGACGGAACACACAGACCAATGGGAGACAAAGCAATCGGCAAGAGGGGGAAGATATCGAGTCTGCACATCGTCGCGATCTCGAGCGCCGACCCAAGTGGGCCGGAAGAGACAAGAACGATCAAGCACTAGAGGACGAGGAGGACTACTCGCGAGCGGGTCTTCGACGGGATCGGGGAAAACTATCACAACCATGGTTCAAAAAAGAAAACCCAGAGGCTGTGGAGGAAGTCGGAAGAGACGGCGAGCGACCACAAGATTGGCGCCGCGATCGTCGAGACAGGGATTGGGATCGATCTGGGAGAGTCGAAGCTGAGCCTGAATGGATGGATGCTGCGGAGCCCGAGGAGCCATTCCAGGTCCGTACTCAAGAGGACTTTCAACGATGGAAAGAAAAGATGAAGGCTGGCACAGCCACGCCGACAGATAGGGTCGAGCAGTCCGCACCCACGGAAGCTGTACAGGGGATCTCGGCCACAAAGATCGCCTCCCCGGAACCAGATGACTCGATGGACAAATTCTTCGCCCGATTCGAGTCCAAGGGACAGGAGCAGAAGGCTGCCACCGTTAAGATGCATGGAAAGACTCGATTTGCCTCGCTCTTCAGTCCTGCGACAGAACAGAACAAGCAAGTCGAAGCACCTCCACCAATGCCAACGTCAGAAAGACCTTCATCAGCTCAGCTGCCAGGCCCCTCGGCAGATGCAGATCAAGCTGGCTTCGCCCGCATTCTGGAAATGTTGCAGACTCGTAGCAACAACCCTACCCCTCAATCACAGGATACTGCGAAGCCGCGAACACCACTGTACGCCAGAGGGTCTGAGCCGAGGCCAGAAATGCAAGGACGGCCATCATCTCAGAGCTTGATATCTATTTTGACTGGCCAAAATCTACCTCAACAGCAAGAACCGACTCCTATGAGTCAGGACAGATTTGTAGATTCTGGCTCCGCGGCTCCGCCACCCGCACATACACGTCAGCAGCCCAGCATCAACAAGGATGAGGTCCTGTTGAACCTGCTACGGCAAGCCAGCCTTGCACCGAAGCCTGAGCCACCCAACCCTCATCAGCAATCTGGATTGGGCATGTATGGTATGCCAGGAGATCCAAATGCTCGCGCCGCAGGAAGAAATCAGATGATATCTCCAATTCAGGGCCAAGGTCCAATGCCCGGTCAACGACGTGAGAATAGCCGGTCGATGTTCGACGACTCTCCTGTATCCATCTACCCGAAAGAAGCGGCACCACGCGAACATAATCAACGACGCCCGACCGAGGGTACACAGTCTGGACAGGAAGACCCTTTGATCGCTTTGCTGCGTGGCCAAGCTCCACAGAGACCAATGCAACCACAAGGTCCTCCTGGTCTTCAGCGACCCCCAGGACTAGACCAGGTTCCTCGACCTGGTCAAGGTTGGCCCGCACAGCCACCGCAACCCCAGCAACCGCCCCAACGCCAAACATCACTTCCGCCCGGATTGCCGGCCGTTCCTCGTGGCATGGCGGGAGCACCGTTTGGTCAACCACAACAAATCCCGAGCCAACAGAACGTTCCACCACCCCCGCCACAACAGCGAGCACAGCAGCAACGCAAATACACCGGAGAATCGTCATCGGCGCCAGGAATGCCGAACCTTCCCCCAGGCATGTATCCTCCCCCAGGCTTTATGAACGCCGGTCCTCCACCTGGCTTTCCGGGTGCCATGGCCAACCATCCTGCTAGATACCAAGGCGAACCAGGTCCGCAGGGTGCGAACCGTGGATTCATGGAAATGTACGGTGAAGTCGGTGGCAGAGGAGTGGGGTTGAGGGGAGGTGCCGGGAATGGTCCTATGCCCCCTTTCAGATAGCGTGGTCAATGAACGGATGTGCATAACATACGGGATTTGATAGGGCCGATCTTAGTTTCCATGCCACCAACCGATGGATATGGACGTGGGCTGAGAGCGCTGACGGGTGACAAGTTCGCGCGCAGAATCACAGAACGTGCGATGAGCATCGGGCTTTGATGGCTTGAGAGCGCCGCGCTTTGCCCAATTGATGGATTACGATAATCAGTGTCAGGCATGTCCAGTATTGAAGTCCAAATCTAGATGGCACAGGACACTGTATTCTTTGCTCGTACTTCATTTGCACAACCATACAAGATATGTCCTGTGTGATCCTGCTGGTTTTGAGTCTACTTTTTAGTCTGCCTCTTGATCTTCTCCACCAGACTCTTGACATCGCCGTCACCCTTGGCTGGTCTCGCAGTCTTCTCCTTATCTTTGCCCACCGTATTCGGCACATCCTCTTCATTGGAGCCATGCTTCCTGCGTCTCCCTTCATCAAGCAAAGTCTTCATCGCTTTCGTTCCCTTGAACCTCGGATTCGTTGGATCAATAGCATACTCGTGGCTCTCGAATAACCTTGCGAATCTGGGGTCTGCCGTATCGACCTTGAAATCGTCGTCCACTTCTCCCGCACCAGTCGTGGCTTTCTTCTTATCGTGCTTGCCCTTCTTTCCCTTCTTTCGCGCCTGTTTCTCCGCCTTTTCAATCTCTTTCATATCAAAGTGTCGGACGCCGTTAGCGTCGTCGTCATCGGCCATAAGCAGTTCCAGTCCCGCACGCTGCTTGCGCTCGATTTCCTCCTCGGCTTGGCGTTCTGCTTTCTTCTTCAGGCGCTCTTCCTTGCGCATCTTGTTGCTTGCGGCGCGCTCAGCTTTGGCGGATGGTTCGACTGCATCGTCGCTGTCATCACCATCACCACCAACGAAGAACGGGTCGTTAAAGCCCAGGTCATCTCCATCTTTGTCTGCTGTGTCGTTGGGTTCTGGCTCCTGCTCGTCTTGATCTTCGTCGACCACCTTCCTCTCTTTGCGCTTCAGCTTGCGCTCCCGCTCTTTGCGGATGTATTTCTCTACAGTCGTCTCGTCTGGCTCGGGCGAGTTTTCGAACACGGACCGCCTCTTCTTGCCGTCCTTCTCTGCTGCCAATCCGGACGTGAATGTTACTTGCATATCTCCTACAGGTGCTTTTTCCTTCTTCGACTTCTTTGCAGGTTCGGGTGCTAGACCAAGTAAGGACCGCATGCGCTGGCGTTCTTCTTCTTTCTTCGATGCTGGCCCCTTCTCGTTCTCATCACCTTCATCCTCGTCATCTGAGGTGTCCGAGCCGAGATACGCTTTCACGTCATTCTCGTCAATTTCTTTTCTGCCACCCTTGAATGCTCGTGCGACTGCTTCTTTTCGGCTACCGTCCTCGGCATCCCAGGTCAATTTCACTTTGCTGTGCTGCAGAGCGTCGGTGACAAAGTTGTTCGGTTTGTAGTCGTCTGGAATCCTTTCACACTCTTCCTTGGGTGTGTCGCTAGAGAAATCTGTGTCGTCAGGCACGAAGCGCAGGTCAAAGAAATTGGCCGTACGAAGATACTCGGTGCCATCAACGGCGTCGTAGATATGCTTTGCCACATCCGCAGACGAGAACGTCAAAATGCAGTAGTAATAGCGTAAGCGTTCGAGTTGATACTTGCGCAGTGCGGCGGAGTCGAAATCTGCGCCATCGTCTGGCTGAAGTATGGACTTTTTGATATCCTCTTCATCATCTTCCTCGGGATCTTCGTCCACTTCTGCTCTTGCTTCGTTGGCGAAAATCTCCTTTGGTGGTCCTTCCAGTTCTTCGCGTTCGAGCCTTTCTTTGCCAAATTCGCTAGGGTAAATGGCCACGTTGAGCAATGACCCTGTCGAAGGAAGAAAACTTTTGAATACAGCCATCAGATCTGCCGCCTTTATGTTGTCCCAATCCAGATTTACAATGGCGATGCGAGAGGTGACTTCGCCTGTAGGCACGTCCGCTTGCTCGGCTGGTCCAATTCCGACTTCTTCTTCCAGATCCGCCTCTTCTTCTTCCGACTCTTCATCGCTTGTGGTCTCTTCGGACGAAGACTCGTCATCTCTGGTGTCTCGAAGGGGGTCGAAGGGCTTTTCGAATTTGTTCAACTCTTGTTGTACTTCATCGTCGGCGTCAGGTTCGTCGGTCTTGTCTTCATCGTCTTCGAACTCGTATTTGCGTTTCAATCTGTTCCTCTCGGCGTCAGATGCCAGCGGCCGACCGTATCGGTCTACCTTGGCTCTTCTGGTGAAGTCTTCATCTTCCAGGGCTCGGCTGAAGCGCTTGTCTACCTTGACTTTATTTTTCTTCCCAGGTAGACGATATCGTGGATCGGATTGAATGTTGACAAATCGAGGATCTGCAATACGTTCTTCTGCTTGAGGCTTCTGGGAACGCACGCCAGTCTTCTGCTTTTTCGATGATCGTTCCGCCATGCTAGGGTAGTGGTGTCGTCAATGTCTTCTCGTCTGGTGAGTAAGTCAGCCTTCTGGCAGACCGCAGTCCTCCGACGACTTTTTTTCTGGTTTGACAGGCGGGGCACGAACGTGCATCTAGCCGGCGGCCGCTAAAATAGTTGGAGAAATTCCTAGCTGCAGGTCCGGACATTGGGTGGAGTGTTAAATGCCACACTGTCGGAGGTCAATTGAATGGAAATCTGGTGATTCTGGACCCCTTTGGGCGTGTTCCGCAAGCTGTCCTGCTCTCCTCTCAATACCGCTTCTTTGCAACTGCGGTGTTTCATCCCTCTTTTCCCTTCGTGGCAGCAAATTCCTCATTGCACAACCTACAGCAGCAAACATTCCATCGTGCTGTACACGGTCCGTCGCATCGTCATCTGCGCACTGACCCACCAGAAGCAAACAAAAGGTCCCTGTCTCGGATACCAACATCAACCATGCCTGTCGGATCGTGTCTAATTACGGGGTAAGTCAGGCCCTTAAACATAAGCGATCGCACGTCAGATTGACAACCCATACAGTGGTACAGGCTACATTGGCTCCTTCACCACCCTCGCCCTCGTCGAAGCAGACTACAAGGTCGTCATTGTCGACAACCTGCGCAATTCGTCCCCCGAAGTCCTCAACCGCATAGAATTGATCTGCGGAAAGAAGCCTGAGTACTACAATGTCGATATCACAGACGAAAAGGCCCTCGACGAGGTATTCTCCAAACACCCGGACATCGACAGTGTCATCCACTTCGCCGCGCTGAAAGCCGTGGGCGAGTCTGGCGAGATCCCCCTCGACTACTATCGAGTCAACGTCTACGGAACACTCTCCCTTCTCTCCTCCGCGGCCCGCCACAATGTCACCAACATCGTCTACTCATCCTCCGCGACCGTCTACGGTGACGCAACCCGAGTCCCAGGCATGATCCCCATCCCCGAAGAATGCCCACTGGGCCCTACCAACCCCTACGGCAACACCAAATTCACCTCCGAGCTCATGATCACAGACCACATCAACGCCGAGCGCGCCAAAGCCCAGAAGAAAGGTGACACCGCTGCCGTGAACAAATGGAACGCCGGCCTGCTACGCTACTTCAACCCCGCAGGTAGCCACCCCAGCGGAATCATGGGCGAAGACCCATCGGGCGTGCCATACAACCTGCTCCCACTCCTCGCACAGGTCGCAACAGGCAAGCGCGAGAAATTGCTCGTCTTCGGCGACGACTACGCCTCGCACGACGGTACCGCTATCCGCGACTACATCCATATCCTCGACCTGGCCCAAGGCCATTTGAAGGCTCTCGACTACTTGCGCCAGCACAACCCGGGCGTGCGCGCCTGGAACTTGGGTACGGGCCGTGGCTCGACCGTCTTCGAAATGGTCAAGGCATTCAGCAAGGCCGTTGGGCACGGTCTGCCGTACGAAGTCGTCGGCCGAAGAGCAGGAGACGTGCTCGACCTGACGAGTAACCCCACGCGAGCAAACAAAGATTTGGGCTGGAAGACGCAACGGACGCTGGAAGATGCATGCGAAGATCTGTGGAAGTGGACAGAGAACAACCCCGAGGGATACAGACAGAAGCCCCCTCAGAAGTTCCTGGACGCGTTGAAGAAGAATAATTGAAAATACCACACATAGTACATGGCGCGGTGTTTTTTCTTGTCGGGAGCTGCAACAATTTCGATCCTCTTCTTACTTCACAATTAGACTATTTTGAATGTACACAGCAGCAAAGAGAGGAATTGAGATAACTCTGGAATAATAGGCTTGATAGGGCCGAAAAGGCGACTTTACATTCTCCAATAGATGTTATTGGCTCATCGGGGTATATTTTTGGCTCCATGTTCAAATCAAACCGTGTCTATGACCTTCGCTATGCATGACAAGCAAATTGTGTATCACGTAGAATAAGCGACACTGACACCCACGCTGCCCGTCCACCTCTTAATGCTTACACCCCCATCACCATCGCTGGACCTCGCGACAACAGAACCAAGCGAGATTGGGGCTGAAGCATTTCGAACTATCGGCGAGACACTCACCCCAGCGCTCACAAGCAGACTTTTGACCCTCCCCGTCCATAAAGCCTTGACATTCCAGCCATCATCGAACCGGAACTTCAACACATTCTCTTCTTCCCTTTGGACGCGTTGTTCCTTGAGATCGCGCTCGGCCCTTGTGAACCAGTCTTGTGTCCGTGTCCTTGCCCACGTGATATTGTCACTCTGGTCAGTGGTGGTTGCGGTCCTGCCGCGACGCCACAACTCCCCGCCAACCACGTACCGCGACTCCCATGAGTAGAAGTTGAAATCGAAGCGTGATGACAATGCCAAATTCGGCGTCGGTCGGACAGAGTACGTTGATGATATGGATCCCGTGAGCGGAGTACATGTCAATGTCATGGTATACGGAAACGACGAGTGCGAAATGCCAGAGGGTGTGAGGAGACTTTGGCCTGCGCTCGACAGCAACAAAGCGGATGTGCCGGCCAGTGGTTTGTTCGGTGATGTTGGACTAAGGCGAGACGGGGGATCTGAAGGTGTGATATGCGGTGCCAGCGTCGTGAAGCGCAACCCCGTCGAGAGTCCTATAACATGGGAGAAGGGACTGTAGTAGAATTCTGCTCCAGCAGACAGAAGCGAGGGTTTCGATGCGAGGCGGTTGTGGTAAGCGGTCATAGCATTGAGTTGTGGCGGGAGTGGTAAACCAGTAGGAAAGTCCGTCAGATCTCCCACGACTATATCCTCGTCCTGCGAGGATGGTTCCGGCGCGACACCGAAATTCCATAGACCCCGAATTCCGAGTAATGCATTATCCGTGGATCCCAGACCTTCGACTGAATACCGGCCTGTATCGTGCTGGACGTGTGCGAGTACCGATGCAGGTGGTGGACCATGCACGACTGGACTGCTGAGTGATTTGCTGTACAGCGACAAACAGAGGAGCGTGTCTGGATTGACGCGCCGGGCGTATAAGCCCGTCAAGACGGACGGAGGGGGCAGAGCCAACGTCGCGTGCAGCAGTGTTGGTTTCCTCTCATCTTTGCTTAGTGGCTGTCTCTTTTCCTGCACACCGATCGGCAGCCGGATATCCCTGTACCCTCGTACCAGTTGATGCAGCGGTATACTCGTCGTCTGCGAGGAGATGTGCGCAAGTGGGACCGTCGAGTAGAGGTACGATATCGAGCCATCAATCTGACCTAACGTTGAGAGGGTGTAACTCGTTGCGAAATTGGGTGTACTCAAGGACGAGACATGCAGTGCGAGAGTGGAGGGTGTCTCGAAGGAGACGATAGCGTCGGAAATTGCGGTCAAGGACGAGTAGCTGTTGTCTTTGTTCCAGTCGGTCGAGGTACCGAACGCATGAACTATGTAGTCCATGAAATCAATCATTTTGTGTGGGTGGAAAAGCGCGTAGGGCGCTATCTTAGGTCGTGATGCATCGAGATTTCATACACTTCTGGACCAGACGATATGACTGGACCAGGTATGTCTTGACGACGGAGATACAGTGGGAGCAACAACTACGAGTAAATGAACCTTGGTATTGATGGTATGTACCTATGTACCCAGGAGACGCTGCTTGCACAATTGTGGCCGTTTGCGCCGCCGTGCTACGGTCGGTCGATCTGATGCAATGGGGCCGGGGGCACTGCGGGTGTGATACGACCTACCATGCATTTTCTCGTATTAGTATCATCTCTTTTTGGGTTCTTGAGAATGCAATCGCGTTTCTGATTTCTGTGTGATGGACGTATCAGGAGTCACATCCTGGGCCGCGATAACATCCTGGCAGCTAATTCGCCTTGACAGCCTGGTCTGGCTTGCTGCTGTGAACCCAGATAGAGAAGAACGGGAATGCCTCAGCGCAGCTATCTCGGGTATCCCAGAAGAACTGTCGGATCGCCTCCGAGCACCTCTTATCACGCCCCTATGTCGACCAACAAGGCTACGGCGGTTAGCCACGTTATACGTCCCGCCTCTCTGTCACTCTCATGGCCGGAGCCAATACCAGGACAGAGCTTTTTTAGCCAGTCAGGTACTGTTCGTAGGGGAGTATGTCCAGGACCTTTCATGCTGAGACCCTGATTCCCCAGAGGCGGTCAAGGCCGGTGCTTATCTTGCAATTAACAACTCATAATTCAGGACGCATTACGCTAGAGGCCGGCCTCATAAACATAGCCCTGGAAGGCGTACTTGGTATGCGTCCCGAAAGGATGAATGATTGCAGTGCCCAGCGAAATGGCGACACGTTATCGCCCTATCTAAAAAAGAGTACAAGACACGGAGTCTCAGGAGGCCCCCAACCATCCAGAGTTGTCGTCTTTTTCTCTCCTTCACCATTCAATAACAAGAATGTCGACCGCCGCTTTTGCTGTCAAGGGCGCGAAGCGTGCGAAGGCGCGCGACGCCCTGATCCCCAAGCGGTACTGGGTGGATGCGAAAGACTTGCCGCCGGCTGACCAGAAATCCGTCATTGACCTCGTGTCGCCGTTGTTGTCCAAGAAGGAGATCGACATCATCTCCATCCTCGACGTTACAGCCTTGCTGAAGAGACTGCATTCAGCCGAATTGTCCGCCGTTGAGGTGCTCGAGGCCTACACTAAGCAAGCCATCTTCACCCAGCAGCTTGTCGGCGTGCTCACAGAGACCATGATCCCCGAAGCATTTGAGAACGCTCAAGCCCTGGATAAGATCCTGGCGGAGACGGGCAAGCCCGTGGGGCCTCTTCATGGGCTACCCATCTCGCTCAAGGATCAATTCCACATCAAGGGCTATGAGTTGAACATTGGCTATGTCTCGCGCATCGGCACCGTCTCTGATCGTCACTGCACCCTGGTTGACCTCCTGGTCAAGGCTGGCGCCGTCTACTACGTGCGTACCAACTTGCCCCAGAACATCATGCGCGGCGAGGTTGACAACTTTGTCTACGGCCTGACCACCAATCCGAGCAACCGAGAACTGAGCCCCGGCGGCTCCACGGGCGGCGAGGGCGCCCTGCTAGCCATGCATGGCTCCCCGCTTGGCGTGGGGACCGACATTGGAGGCTCTGTACGCATCCCTGCGGCTTTCTGTGGCATCTGGTCTCTGCGACCTTCCTACCATCGTGTTCCCTATCAGTGGTGCGCCAACTCCATGCTGGGTCAGGAGACGGTCCCCTCTGTCATTGGACCCATGAGTTCGTCGTACACGGGACTGGTCGAATTCATGAAGGCCATCGCGTCGCAGGAGCCATGGTTGCACGACCCCATCGTGCTCGAGAAGCCGTGGAACGAAGCAGCCTTTGAGGCGCCCCAGAAAAAGGGCAAACTTACCTTTGCCATGATGTGGGATGATGGAGTGACTCGAGTCCATCCCCCCATCACCCGTGCCCAGAAGGCTGTCGTGGCGGCCTTGACCGCCGCTGGACATGAAATCATTGACTGGTCGCCTGTCAATCACGTTGAGGGCACCGCCATCCTCGACGTGGTGTACAAAGCTGACGGAGGCAAAGACATTGCCGACGAATGCGCGGCGTCTGGAGAGCCCATCCTCCCCGGTCTAGGAGAGGGCGCGTCTAAGCATCTGACCGTGTGGGAGGCGTGGCAGTTGAACAAACGCAGAGACGCCTTTCGCAAGACGTACCTGGACGCTTGGAACGCTTCCGCCTCCAAGACCGCCAATGGTCTTCCCGTCGATGCCATCATCAGTCCCGTGGCACCTTTTGTGGCCGCCGTCTTGACTGAGAACGATAATCTCGACTATACCTCGATCTGGAATTTGCTTGATTATCCCAGTGTCGTCTTCCCCACGGGCCTGCGTGTCGATGTTGGGATTGACACAGGCAAGGTGGCCGGCGAGGCCATATCGGGTAGCAGAGATGAGCTCAACGCTTCCAGGTGGGAGGAGCATGGCGCCGTGGGCTATGAGAATGCTCCTGTCGGCCTGCAGGTGCTTGGACGGCGGGGCCGGGAAGAGGAGATCCTGGGCATCGCCAAAGTCTTGGGCAAGGCTATCGAGCAGATCTAGACTGCAGATATTTGACACTGTATAAACACCCCATTGGGTGCTTTTGTAGAAATATCTATTGCCTACACGTGCCCGTCCATGCCAGGCCACTTTTCTCCGGACCAAGCCAGAAGCACCAAGCACATGCTGGACAGTGCAAAGATGTCATTGCGTCTGTACAGGAGCTTCTTCAATATGGGGGGTGGGAGCAACATTGGTCAACGGCGACAGTGTCTCAACGTGGCCATCAATGGTCAACAGGCAGTGCACCATCAGGGTTTATTGTCGCGAGCCAGAAACGTTCAACGCGGATATCCTTGACCAGTATGGAAACTTGCATAATCCGCTCATGTCAAACGGCAAGATTACGCGATGGCTTGCCGCACCATTCAATGGTCTGACAGTGCCTTGTTACACCAGCGTTTGAGGGCGACGACGAGATCTCGATCAGTAGGTAAATCACGATTATAGGAAGTGAGTAAATAATGTCTCTCTCACCTATAAATACGTGGTAAGTATATAGGTAGTTATAAAAAGGTAGAGAATTCAATATATTATATTATATACACTATTTAATAGTTATGAGCCTAGAATCGTATCCCTTACTAAGATTTACTAATAACTACTTCTAGCCGAGTATACCCTAAATTTAAACTAATTAAAACGCGTTGTTCGATAAGGCTATTAGGCTAGTATCTCCTAAATCTACTTATTAAGAATAAGTCTATATAATAACACTATTAATTAACTTATAGTAACTATATCTTATTTAAATAACTCTTCTATAGTGGCTAAGGTCTTTATTATTCTCGATAAGATTTAGAACTAGGACGAATAGTTCTATAAGATACGTAACGAGATAGTCTCGTACGATATTTAGTAGTATACCGATTCGGTAATTACGCCGAATCTAATATAGCTACTACTATCTCCTCTACTACCGATAGTAGCGATAGTTAGGATTAGGGTAGTAACCTACGGCGAACTTAGTGCTAACGAGAAGAAGATATATAAGATATTACGTTAAGATTATTAATATTTCTTAAAGACCTACGAGCGTAAGTATATAGTATTAGGGGCCCTTAATAAGTTAATTAACGATACGATCGCTAGATATAATTTAGTATATATTAGGAAGAACTACTTATAGTTATAGTAAAAGCTAACGATACTTTGTCTATAACTATTATCTATATTCTCCTATAGGGAAGCGAAAGTAATTAAGCGCTATAAAGCTCTATAATAGATACTAAAGGCGAAAGATATTAACGCCTAGCTAGTAAAGTAGAAAATTACTTACGCCGACGCCCTAGAAGTAGGAATCCCTAAGGTAAGTCGTAAACGACTAGTTCTCGACTTTCTTAATATCGTTATAAGTATTAAGGAGGCCTAGACCGAGACCTAAAGGTTAGCCTTACTTATAGACGAGAATAACTACCCTTATAATTTACCTAAGATTATATAGCTCTTTAGATAGTTACGATTATACGATAAAATAGCTAAAGTAACTCGAGCCTCTTATATCTTATTCGTAACCTTTTAGGGTAGATAATTAAGTCTTCCCGAATACTTTTACGAATAACGATACTAGTATATCGACTATAACTACGTAAATAAGGCAAAACGACTATTATACTAAAAGCTAAACGCTACTACTCAACGAGATTTCGAGGATAAGCTTAAGATCGATACTCTCTTCGCCTCTTAAATCTCTAGAGCTAAATAAAAGACTAGTAGAGAGATAATTCGAAAGGATACTTCTATTAGCGACGCTAGTAATACTCCGATAAGCGGAAAGTAGTTATTAGGGATATTTACGGCGGCGTACTCGGTAATAGCGAGGTACCCTCTTATCGATAAGTAGATTATCGATTTAGGCTCCGATATTTATCTATATAACGAAAAGAAGGTATCGTATTAGGTAATACGCCCTACTTAAATTAACGATAGAATATAATACGGTATCGATATCTATTCTATCGATAGCTATAATACTATCGTGATTAATATCTCTATTAATAACGGGCCTAGAACGATAATAATTACGAAAGTTACCTATATACTAGGATATATAACTAATATTATCTCTCTATTACGCCTTATAGTAAAAGGCGGACACTAGAATAACTTAATAGAAAGTCTATAACGCGGTAGAGAGTACCTCTATTACGTTAAATAATAGAAAGAATACTTCGTATTAGGAAATACGACGACTTAATTAATTCACTTAGTATTTATCTTAAGTATAGCGCCGTATAATAATAGGACTTATATAGCGATAGAATAATATTAAATTATAGAATACCTTAGCGTCGAGACTATTAACTAGTTACTACGAAATACCGAAGGGATCTAAATCACGGCTAAAAATACTTTAATAACTATCGAGTACTAGACTTATAGTATTTCTAAGGCTAAGGAAATTATCTCGCGAAGACCTAAATATAAAAACACTATAACTTAACTATTTTAACGAGTCTTATATAATTTAGCTATTCTTAACGAAGCCTATAGTAACGATAAGTATATAAGTTACTTTAATAATTATAAGACTCGATTTAATTACGTTTATACTTATTCGAGTAAGAGGGACTATATTCTAGTCGTTCGAGCCTATCTAGCCTTACTTAAAAATCACTATAGAATCGTCCCTTTCTTTATAAGGCTCGATAAAGAGACCTCTTTAGGTAAGGCGTTCAATAAACTTATAACTAAGAAAGAAATTATCGTTAAACGATCGGCTCTATATACTCCTATATAAAACGATAACGCTAAACGCTCGAGGAGTATAATTATTTAAAGGGTAAGAGTAATATATATATATATATATAATTATCTATAACACTATAGCCTAAGCTAGTTAAAAATAGCTAGGTACGTACTTAATCGTATACTAATTTAAGTACTAGAATAAAAGATACTATTCGAAGTAGTTAATTAGAAAAGACTAAGATTAAATTACTTATATATAGTTAGCTATCGAGCTTACGTCCTAATTAATAAGATATTAAGAAAAGATAAGCTTTATAAGCGAGTCTTTATAGGCTACTATATCGAATATTAATTACGTAATATCTAGTATATTTAGGACTCTATTAATTACTAAATCATTATATCTAGAAACGTTATCTTCGACGAGTTAATACTATATAACCTTAATAACCTTAATAACGATCGATTAATATTAAGGGAGATACTAGATATAGTAGAGATAATCGATAACTTTATTAGTTTAGAGCCTTACTAGAAGTAATAGGACCTAGAGGATAATAAGAATATAATTATTATTATATATATAGTACTCTATTAATAATAATCGACTAATTAGAAAGTACTCTATAACGCTTAAAATACGGCTTAAAAGAATATCTTAATAATTATAGTAAATTAAGCCCTAAATATATAAGGTCTTCTAAGCCCTAAGATAACCCTAGGACCTAAGGTTAATTTCGCTAATTAGGAGCCGCCGGAGAATTTAGCCAACTAATCGAAGAGCCGGATTCTCGAGGAACTTAACACTATACTAAGAGTTATAGAGATAATAGCATTACTTTTAGAGAATAATATTATTCCTAAGAGTACTCGTCGTAAACGGTAATTAACTCGTCGATAAGCTTACGTAGCGACTCTTCACTAAGAAAGTAACTTCGTTAGTAGTTACTATTATACTTTCGCTACTACTATTAAATAGAAGTAAGGTATATAACGAATATATCGAGATTATCTTTCTTTACTACCTAAATACTAGCGATAAGTATTATAATACTCTTACCGTAAGGAATAGATTAAGACTATCTCTACTAAATAGAAGGCTATTCTAGCTAATTAAACGATTAAAGAGGTTAATCGCTAGAGTACTAAAGATAAATAAATTCTACCTCTACTATAGGTCTTTATCTATAAATTTAATACTAACGAGTATCTCAATAAATTTAAGGCTCGTATCTATATACAAGAGGACCTTTAAATAAACGAGAAGAACGCCTACGCGGCTACTCTTATACTTAAGACCTTTCGAGCGTTAATAGGAATTATCGCTTACTTTGACCTCGAGATCTATTAAGCTAACGCTATCAACGCCTTTCTAAACTCTAAGATCGATAAGAAAGTATATATCGACTATTTAGAAGAATACGATAACGAAAATAAGAGTCTACGCTTACTTAAAGCGTTATACGGCTTAAGATAATTACTATTACTATAGTATAATACGTTTATCTTAGCTCTTAAAGAGCTTAATCTCGAAGAAGTACTAAAAGTAAATTACTTACTACGAAATAACTAGTTAATTATCTTCTTCTATATTAATAATATTATAATTCTCTATTAACGTAGTAAATAAGTATAATTCGATAACTTTATTTAATAACTTTAAGGATACTTTACTTTTCGAGTTATTAAAGATATTAATTAGTTTCTAGGTATTAGAATTATTAGGGATAGAGCTAATTATAAGCTATAGTTATACTAGGACTTATACGTCGATAAGCTTATAAGCCGATTTTATATTATATCTACTTAATAACGATAAATTATACTAATTACTATTAAGTCTCTTCGTGTTACGAATCCCGAGATAGTACGATACAGTATAGGCACTACGCAACCTAATATACGGCGGAGTATAAGCGTTACGCAACCCAATAGCTACGCCGAGGATCGGAGGATTACGTGACTTCCAAGTAGCGATATCGCTTATATACTAGTAGTATACGCCTCCCCATTAAGTAGCTTACTTTACCCTTAAGAGACTAATGTTCTCTTATGCTTTAAGTCTTATACCGATATAGATTAAAGGAATATCTATTAGTTAAACCTATCGCTATACTCTACCTATTTAACTAAGGCTATCCCTAATATTCTTAAAGTATTTCCTACCGAATCGGTCGGAGTAAGCGATACGTATAAGATACGATGGCTTCTAGTACTCGTAAACAAAGTTAGACCGATAGCGTTAACTCGGGTTTTAACACCACTAAAAGAGTAACACTAAGAGATTATTACGAAGAGAAGAATACGGGTTCTACGCGAGGCGTAGGAGAGACTCCTACTTCTAATATAGAGCTAGATATTAACGAATTCCTTCGCCGTAAAAACGAAGAGCTAGTTAAATTAGTTACTAAACAATATATAGCT